GAAACCGAAGCTGTTGACGCTGATGTAGCGCTTGTGTCGAGGCCACGGTCGTATACTAGTTGGAACTTTGATGTTCCATTCATCGAGAGGAATCGCCTCATTGGCCTTTTCGAAATTGGCATTGGGAAGAATGAAGCCCTTCTCGAGCATCATGGACGCTTTGATGACGGATATAATCCCACTTGCGTTTTCCAAGTGGCCAACATTGGATTTAACAGAGCCCATATACAATGGTGTGCGCTTTGTACGACCCGCTCCGAACACGCGATATATGGAATTGGCTTCAATAGGATCGCCGGCTCTCGTACCGGTTCCATGGGCTTCAACATAACCAGTGTCCTCAGGGGAGATGCCGGCTCTGGCATATACTTCCCGTATTAAACGCTCCTGCGCCTCACCGCTCGGATTCGTCAATCCTGAGGTTTTACCGTCTTGATTCGTACCGGTATTTATAATGACGGAGCGTATCTTGTCTTTATCCTTGAGCGCTTGGTGAAGAGGCTTGAGAATAAGGCATCCTGTGCCCTCGCCTCGAGCAAAACCAGATTTTGCCCTGTGATCAAAAGCAAAAGTCTTGCCATGTTCGTTGAAGAGTCTGCAATGTGTTAACCGTCATTCGCGTACTTGACGACATATTATTACTAACCCTAGTAATGACATGGAAATCATATCGTGAGGCTGCAGATGCAAGTTGGACGCTGCGACAATAGCCGAGCCCGACTCTCCTGACCGGATGCTCTGTACTGCCAAATGTAACGCATACAGACCAGATGAACAGGCCGTGTCTGCTGAAAAAGAAGGACCGTGCAAGTTGAAGTAATAGGAGATGCGGCCAGCCTGGATGGACTGATGATTGCCGGTGGCATCATACATGGGTACTTGGTCAAGTTCTTTCAACGTGCCAAGCCGATAATCTGAGGAAGCGCCGCCAATGAAGACTCCCATATTACTACCAGAAATGGTGTTCTTAGGGATCCCTGCATTCTCTAAGGCTTCATATGTGCATTCTAAAAGATGTCTTTGTTGAGGATCTACAAGCAAGCGTGAGCGTTTGGATATCTACATCTGCAACCAGGTGTTGCCACTACATAGGGAGAGGGATAATCCATACCCATAGCCTCAGCCTCTTGTTTTGTTATATGAAAAAAAGGTGCGTCAAAGCTCGACAAATCGCCATTCATAAAGTAGCCACCTTTGTTATTGAAGCTACCTTTCTTATGGGGATCCGGGTGGTAAAACGCTTTGGGGGTGAATCTCTCTTCAGGAATAGGACACCAGCCATCACGCGAGCGCGATAACATGGTCCAGAAATCATCAAGTGTTGAGATGCCACCTGACAGACGGCAAGACATGCCGACTATGGCGATGGGCATCGGGCGCTCCCGATCCATGTCTTGATTTGAGGACGACATGATGTGTAAAAGAATCCTCTATCTCAAAGTGCTGAGAATATGAAGGGAGGTTTGCGTGGCAAGTTCAACCTATACATCCCACAAAGTTCAGGAAGAGAGGAGAACGAAGTGAAAGCAACTGATGTGCGAAGGGGTTGGTTTAATACTGGGATCCATCTTGATGTCACTCTACGGGGTTAACTTCGAGCTCAAATTACGGCTTGGCAGAGAGGTCTCCCAACGTAACCAAAGAAGAGACATTGGAAAGCAAAAGAGGGACCCTTGAAACCACTTTCATGACGGCACGGTATTAATTTCCGTGAACATCAGCAAGAACTGGCGTGGCTTATCAACATGAACAGTTTGCGGCCTTGAGGCAGGGCGCCACTGACCACCCAAACCACTCAATCGGTAACACAAGCAAGCCGTGTTGTTGGACGTGTCATAAAGCCACATTTTCAGAGAATACAGTCCCTTTTGTTGTTGTGCAAATGAAAGAGAAAAATGCAAAAAGATACGGATATCATTAAGTCCGTGTGCGGGATGTCAGCCATTTCTTCCGTTGGGCCCTGATTTGCTGCATGCATAAAATATGCATATTGTGCCGCTACTGGGTCGTATTTTGAAACATATTGAACGAATAAGGGCGACAGGGTGACAGAGCGCAAAGCTTGTTCAATTTATCAATCTTAGGGACTACTCAGTATATTCACGACCTGCATGATTGCTGTTGGCACATGCAAGATAACGAATATGAAAGCGTCCAAATTGCACCTCATTTCTCTTTAACTAAGTACTATGATGTTAGATGCAGTGCAACCCCCAGAGAAATTGCGGCCACTACAAGAGATAGATTTTCGGTCGATGCGGCCAGGCACCCAATGTCACTCGCAAGCACTGTCAATTTATCATCCCTTCTCAGTTTCGAAGCGGGGATTAAGAGAAACTATGTCTATCAATTTGCGACATATGTCTTTGAACCATGGAGGGTTGTCGAAGGGAAGAACACCAACCTGCCCTGTTGCTGCCTACACTTCGGCAATTATACTCCGGAAAACCACAATACCGAGACATCTTATCAAGGGCACAGGGTTGGCCCTTCAGGAGGGAAAAAAAGGAGATGTCAAAATGACAGCTTCGGGCTTTGTGTAAACCGGTAAAGCTTGGCATATACCGCGGCCAGACGTTTCATCTCTTTACGAAATACGGGTTCAGGTCAAGCGCCTGGCTGCGTCATGCAGTGTAACAATCTTATTTGACGGCTTCAATCTGTGGCTTCGTGGTGAGTTATTGTCAGTATTGCGACAATGAGCTGATGTCTTTCCTATCTGTTACGAATTCATGTCTTGCCTGTTGGCATTTAAGCTTCGATTGTCTTCTTGCTCCTCATTGGGTATTGCATCTAAAATTCTGGACGCAAATATCGTTTAAAAAGACAGTATGCAGCGCCCAATGTATAAACCATACCACGGGTGATCAAATCCGTCAATATTGGGTTGAAAGCGATATGCCCGCGCGAGAATGTCTCAGTCTCGACGCGACGTCTCCGCTCCCGCTTTGTGCTGCCCCGGTTTCGTCTCCCATGCGCAATGGAGGGATGGAGGGTATCAAGGTAATATGAGTTAAATTGGACATTGATATGTTCCGCATGTTCCCGAGGCAAGGAAAAGACCTAGCTACACAGAGCGAAATAAAAATTTGGGGGAAAAGATCTTGATTCACTCCCATTCTACTGGGGAATTTGCCTGGAATACGTCGGGTCGGTATCACATATCATATCTCTGGCACCATGAAAGTCCTCTGTCTCCACGGTGCCTTTGGCAGTGCTTCTGTAAGTTGAAAATGTGATTAAGAATTAATTTCTTTCATTCTTACGTGTACTAATGTTTTGCGGACCAGAACTTCAAAATTCAGCTCGGCATCTTCACCGACGCTGCCCAGCGACCTGGTGTTGACTTCAAATGGATCAATGGCTTCACCGAGGCGACCCCCCCAGCCGGCTTTGACGACTACTTTGGCGCTCCGCCTCTATACCGATTCATGGACGTTGATGGCGTGAGCGAGCTAGAGCAGATAATTGCCAGGATAAGGGATCTTCCTCAAGGAGAATCTCCTGAAGAGACGATGCGAAAGCTGATTGCGGATAAGGAGCAGTTTACGACCCCAGCTGTGACAATGGCCTTGGATCGACTGCTGCAGCTTCTAGATGAAGATCCGGAGATTGATGTGAGTTTAAGAACTGTACATGATACGTGACATCACAGCTGATGTGGCTTAATACTAGGGGATCCTTGGATACTCGGAAGGGGCTACAGCCGCAGCCACACTGATTCTTGAAGAGCAGCGCCTTTTTAGGGAGCAAGGCCGTCCTCGACGCATCAAGGTTCGATACCACCACTTTATTTGCTTGCTTTCCCACCTGAACTATGCGCGAAGAGTTACTGACTGGGCATAATAAGTGTGCCATCTTCTTTGCGGGCTGGCCTCCTGTCCGCATCAAAGATGGGCGTGTCCATACGCTGCTTGCAGATGAACACGACGAAATGATTGACATACCAACGTGCCATGTCGTAGGTTGCAACGACCCATACATTCATGGAGCAATTGCACTTTATGGAATGTGCGATGAGGATATGGCGATTTTGTTCGATCATGGGAAGGGACACACAGTTCCTAGGGACGAGCTGACGGTGAAGGAACTAGCAGAGACGATTGAGAGGACTTTTGATCAAGCTGCAACATTTAGTCATTAGTTGAAATTCTATGCATATGGACAAGACTTGATTTACGCGCTTATCGTGATTATGCAGCGGGATAGCTTACACAATGCAGCTCCAATATCACAATGTGGCACGGCTCTTCCCGCGCTTTCCAGGGGGACAGAGAACTTTGAAGAAAAGTGCCAAATTCGGCAGCTACTTTGCCCATTTCTGATCAAAAATATCGTGGGGAAATATCTTTTTGGCGTGATTTGGAAGTGTAGTGGCTTTTTGATCCCTTTCGTCCGGAAACGGCATCTTCAGTATTCGAGGTTATCTCAAGGGGTGGAAAGATCAGGAATGGGTGCTTTCGGCCAGATAAATGCTTTGATGCACAATGATATTCGACAATTGTTTTCGCATTTGTAAACCTGTAGGTATTTAATTGCTTTCGTCCTGACCGTCGTGTTTGGGAGAGAGAAGGGAGGAGGAGGAGGAGGAGAGGATGCCGACCAAGATAGGGGCCAAATCGATCAACAGGTTGAGACAAAAATAGAGACTGAGACAATGCAAATCCGGGAGACTGGAAGGGTATAACATTTTTTTTCTTCTCTAGACGGAAACATTCAAAGAGAAGCGAAGAGCCAAAGGAAGCATCTCTATCTGCACACGTCTTTACCCCCCTGTTCGAGTGCAAGATGAAAGTGAACGCGAAGTGAGGAGGGCTGGCCAGGTGCCAAGCACCTGTAGAGCTGCTATCAATTCACCACGTCGAGCCACAACAACTGGAAGATGGAAATCTTTTCCTTTCCTGCCACTTCCACCCAACCTCTATTTTGCCAACCTTTCTCCTTCTTCTCCAAACCAACCAACCCATCGAAGCAGGCTATTCTGAGTCAAGATCTTCAAGATGGCTCCGTTCATACGCAGACGTATCCTGCTCATCACCAACGTCGAGTGTGGCGAGCTCGATCTCTTCCTCGCCACTGCTCAGTCTCTCCTCGAGACTGATCCTGGCCTGGATCTTCATCTCGCCACCTTCTCTGGCCTTGACGATGATGCTCTCCCTGTTGGCGTCATCTATCATCAAATCAACGGCATCTCCATGTATCAAGCTCTCGAGGAGCTCTACAATCGCACCCAGGATGAGGGTAGCATCTCTGAGCCCTTCGCTGGGCCACCTGGATTTAGAAAAACCAGGCGCGCCATCCGTGCCTACGCATCTCAGATCATGCCCTACACCGGACGCCAGATGGTTGACGTCTTCACTTCCATCGTTGACATCATCAGGAACTTGAATCCTGATTTGGTTGTCGTCGACAGCCTCATGTCGGCGGGCTTGACTGCCTGCTACCATTTGGAGGTCAAGTTTGTGTGCCTTGGGCCCAACTCCATCAAGGATTTTGCGGCCTCTGAGCAGCCTCGCAAGGCTGGCCACTGGAAGTTTCCTGCGTAAGTCCTAGCTTGAAAGCACCTTCTTCATCTCTGCCTTCTCCATCTCTACTCTCTTCACCTCTTTTTTGCCTTTGGCTAACGAAACCATCCAGGCTCTTCTCCCAGTTTGAGTATCCTGTGCCATGGAGCAAGGTGCCTCTCAACTTTCATTTCTCCCTCTACACTGCCAAGGCCATTAAGAATGACCCGCAGCGAAAGGAGGTGCAGTCGTACCTGACTGCCCATACCATTCTTCGAGGTCCCCTCGATCTTCTCAAGAATCGTCCTGAGGGCCTCAAGATCTTGGTCAGTTCTCTTCCAGAGCTGGACTTTCCTCTCGTGGTTCCATCCCACGTCGTCCCTTGCGGCCCCATTATTCGTCGCTGCCAACCCCTTGAGGAGACGGACGCCAAGCTCGCTGAGTGGCTTGCCCATGGACGAACCATCTACGTCAACATGGGAGCCGTCGTCAAGGTGCCCGTGGATCAAGCTATCGAGATTGCCAAGGCCTTGAAGATGGTCGTCGATACTTTTAACCGCCAGGCTGAAAAGGGCCGTCTTCAGGTCCTTTGGAAGCTCAAAAAGAAGGGTCGCTACTCCGTCTATGAACCGACCTGCAGCATTGCCAAGATCCTTCGCCAGGAATTTGCTCATGATCGTGTCCGCATTGTGGATTGGGTTCAACCTGAACCTGTTTCTATCCTTCGCACCGGCAATGTCGTCTGTTCTGTCCATCACGGCGGAGCCAACTCGTTCAACGAGGCTATTGTGTAAGTTTGATCTCTCGCTTTGGAAGCATCCTCCCACAACTCGCCCACTATATTCCTTCCCTCTCTCTGGACGAATTCAACTGATCAATGATGTTTTTGAAACAAATTACAGGACCGGCGTCCCGCAGCTTGTCCTTCCTGTCTGGGGACATTGCTACGACTATGCCCAACGCGTGGAACGTCTCGGTGTCGGCCGCTGCGGCAATCCCACCACTAAGCCTCGATGGACTGCAGAAGAACTCTCTCGTGAGCTTCTCAACGTCTTGGTTGGCGATGAGGCCAAGGCTATCAAGGCAAATGCCTTGGCTGTCAAGAAGATTTGCAAGCAGAACGGCAGTGGTGCTGACTGTGCTGCTATGGCCATTTTGAACGAGTGCGAGATGTAAGCCGAGCTCAGGCAGGCCGAAGAAGGGCCTTTGTGCTCTATGGGAATCTGGGAACAGTAAATGAACGCCAAAGGATTTTATGGCTGGTGGATTACCATGCGAATATCAATGGATTGGGACATGAACATAATGGAATTTAGTTCAATAAAAGTGGCCGTTGTCGCCCTTGTTGCTTTACCTTTGTTTGTTTGTTTGGTTCTTGCTTTGCTCCTTAACAACCGCCCTAGTGAAGATTACATGTGGCTGACAATAGGAAATCATACCAATGCTGCGGCACATCTTGGTGAGTTATCCCTACCACATCGCCAAGCTTGCCGTCATTTATTATCTCCTGCATTCTTAGCAGACGGCCAACTCTACGATCACGAAACACAAAAGAAACCACGACTCTTCTTGGCAGAGATGAATACAGCAGAGCATCGCAACGTCCTTATTGGATGAAGGACTCCGTTACTCCCGCCCATCTTATGCCTATTCCGAAAGAATACACCCTAGATCTGTGCCTTAATTAATACGAGTCGAGCAGCACGTTTGATCTGCGCCCCAGCCTGGCTTGCCTTCAAAGGCCCCTCCAGCCACATGGGCTTCCCTGTTGCATACGGCGGCTATGCAAAAGTTGCATGGCGCTCGTATCCCCTTGTCCGGGCGAAAAGAGAAAGAAGGGGGAGCACGGCAACAGAGATTTGAGAAGCGGGAGCACGACCGACTTGCAGAGGCGCGCGGGGATTTATTCCCATAAGGCCGAGAGAATTCCGTGGGGGGAGGGAGGCATGGAGGGAAAGATTGGGAGATTCTGGTCCGCAGACCATGGCCATGTGCCAATTGCGATCGAAAATCTGGCATCATGGCATCTCGTCCCTCGTTTCGGCTCCGAGATGGTCGAATCAATGACGCAGCATGTCTCACGCACAATGGCTCAAGACTGCAACCCAGAAGCTCGAGAACCCCCGCGATGGCTCCAAAACAGCGTGCCCGTGACCTGATCAGCTCCATCACCCGGCATTGTCACGATGTTGCATCCTGGCAGCCCTCTTTTTTCTGTGTGCTTGCGATAGATAAGCTTCGCGTGGAGCAGGAGCAGCAAATCTGGCAGACAGAAGCGGAGGGCGGGAATGACTTTCGCGCGCAAGCGGCCCGTATTGGCGTGCCCAAGGGGGGGATGAGAGAATCCAATCGGGCGGGCGCTTCCCTCACCATGTTGGTGCGATAGGTGTGGGTTTTTGCTTTCTGCAGTGCGACAGCATCTTGGGGAATTTCGCTCGCTCCATCTCTCTCTTCTGTCTCTCTCTTGTGTGTGTCTTGTTCTTCCCACGCCCCCCATTTTGATTCTTTTGGGGTGTCATGCGGCGGGCTGTCGCGGGATAATAGTGTCATGGGCGGCATGGCCCTTGAGGGCACTAGCGGAGAGGGCTTGCAAGCTTGGACGAGCCGGCTGGGGGAGGGTTGGAGGGATGTTGTCTGGTTTGGCTTCTTGGAAGCCCCCCGTGGTTGCTGATCAATCAAGCCTCCCGGGAGCTTGGAGAGTGGTGATCAAATTGTCGAATCCGTACAAGTACGGCGCAGCAGCACGGTATTTGATGCGAGGAACAGAACAGGGAGATGAAAAGGGCTCAATGGCAGATCCGGTCAGGCCGGATCGTCCCCCTTTGCTCCTTTGTGGTGCGAACCGCGCGGTGCTTCTGTATTCCGAACTATCAAATGGAATCAATCAAATCTAATCAAACATCAAACCAAGTCCAAGCGGGCTGATCTGATCTGTCAAGCGAGAGTCAGACTGACGAGAGACGATGACGAAGCTGATGGACAGGAATAAATCATGGCTGAGCCGCGACAAATCCGATCCGAACCCAATCCAATCCGTGCCAATCCATTTCCATTCCAAAGCAGCCCACTCCCAATCTCCAAATCCCAATTCAATTCCTGGAGGGGCAAAAGCCAATTGATGGATGGAATCAGTCGGATTGATTTTCCCCCTTCTCTCTCTTCCATTCTCTTATCGGCAGCAATACCGCTTCGCCTTGTAACTCGACTCTCCCCTTGTGCCACTCACCCCATCCATTTGCCATTTACGAAGGGGAACTTGACAGTACTTTGGTCGGCGAGTCTCGCTGTCATCTGTCGCAACACTCAGCTTAACGACACGCCCCCTCCCTGACGCACCTTTTTGCTCCCCCACACTCAAATCAGACCCGACTGGGCCCGGACTAAGAAGTTGACTCGAACCGCCCGCCCAAGAGGCTTGAGAGGCATCCGCTTGTGATGACGTTGACGTACGTCTTGGCTTGGACCTGTCCCTTCTTTTTTCACATGGCAGCGGCGCGCGAGAGGTAAAAAAAAAAATGTAGAGGAATGGTTCGAAATTCTGGAATTGCGCCAATGTAGGTGACGAATCCGCGACAGAGGAATTCCAGCCGCACAGGGCTGAAATTCCTCCTGAATCAGCCGCAGCTAGGCGAGGAGTTAGTCAAGGTTCAATAAAGAAGAAAAAGGAAATGTAGAAAAAGAAGAGAAAAGTCTCCCAAGGCAGCCGAGCACCCAATATCGCCGTCAGAATGATTGATGCCTGCGCAAAGACTGACGTGACGTAGCTCGCTCTTTTTGAAAACTGGAGAGAGCAAGAGGAATTGGGTCAGCTTATCGATAGAACGGCTGCCTTGAAGAGAAAGCAGCTTCAAGGACTAGGCCGGGACGAGGATAGAGGCAATCCGCAGCTTCGGCTCCCCTTTAGTGGCCGTCATGCTAAGACTAAGATGCCTCGTCAGCCCCATCTTGTGACTCACTCTCTTGTGGACAGTATTACTGAAAGGAGGCGTAGCAGCACGACTAGCCTGTGCCACTAGCTGGTCCTGCGTGAGTGGCCGGCGGTATCATGCACGCTGTTTACGCTTCTCAGATCCAGATGCTCTTGAATTGCAGCTCACATCACACGCCCCCCCTTGTTTGTTAGCCTGTTGCTCCCAATTGCTTCTGTTCACTAGCTACGCTACTGTAAGTCCCTCGATTTGATTCTGATTCATGTATGTTTGATTCCGGCTGCCTTTTTCTATCTATCGCATATCACATCCGCCCATCCCCATTCCACAGGCACTACTTGTGCTACTACTACATGATGGAGGGTGTTCTGATATCGAAATACCAGCAGCATCAAGTAGAAAAAGCGAGACAAGACAAAACTAAAGGGGGGGAAGGAGAGCTCAGGTGGACAAAGTCACGCGAGTTACGGTGTGGATGCCGAGGCGCAACCCATTGGCCAATGGATTGGGCGTGTGCCGTCGCGCTGCTACTGGCCAATTGTTCCAATGTTGCCCTTCTTCAGCTTGTGCCTGTTGCTGTACGAGTATGCGCGTTGCGTCTTCTTCTGCAGGCAGATACCGAGCGTCCTCCTCCGATAGGATACAGGGGGGCAACTTGCTGGGCCTTTGTGCTTTGTATCGCACAGGTATTCTACAGTACGAGCCCACGGTATGGGCAACAAAGGGCTCCTCCATGTCACCGAGGTCGGATGGGATAAGACGGCCGGGCTCTTTTCGCTTGGAGATTGGGCCGCTCTGATCTGACAGCGCGCGCAGAGACGACAATTGGGAGGGATGGCGATGGACCAGTAGGTCTGCGCCAACAGAACACAAGAGCGGTCATGTTTCCTGTTCTTTTGCTCTTCTCCGTTACCATCAATCAGCATCAGCATCAGCATCAGCATCAGCATCAGCATCATCCTTCCTGTTTTTTCTCCTTCATTTTCGTCGCTTCTCCCCCGCGCATAAACAGTGACAACTAACAAAGAAGCATCCTCAGCCAGTCGTTTCCATCAAGCCTCACGGAGCGAGATCCTACTAGTCCACGCCAAGGCAACGCGAAACCAAGCTAAAAGCACACCTACGCAACCGCAAGAAAAAGAAAAAGCACAGTACGGCTACGGGTAGCATGTGAGGAGGGGCTCCACGGCGCCAACAATGGATGGCCGTTTCGAACACGACGACATGCCTCTTGCGATTGGGCTGCCTCACTAGCTGCTGCCCAGAATAGGTAGTCCGGGCCATTGGGCATCAGGCACCTGAACTGACCGAGATATGCAAATGGATGGGCACTTTGATGGATCCATCCCGATAGATATGGGGGTGGCTCCTCGAGACTCTCGAGTCCGGCGCGGGCCAGGGCTGTTTTGTAACGGTTTGTCACGGTCAGTCAGAGTCAAGTCAGTCCCAACCCTTGTCTTCTTAGGAACCTGGGCACAAGTTCATCGTCGTCTCGTAGTCGTCGTCTTCGTCTTGCGGTACTTGTTGCTTTCGTTGCGGACTTGCAACAGACACTCCCCCCTTCCCCCCTCAATCCTCAATCACCATCCATTTCAGTCACCCCACCGACTGCCCACCTGTTCATCACCCGTCGGTCGCCTTGGGCTAGTTGCTCTGCTGGGAAATCGCTGCCGGACCAGAGCTGAGTCGAGTTGAATCCTTATCGCGCCACTGCCGCCAGAGATGTCGTACATGTCGTCTGCTGCTTGCATTGACCGCGCGAAGATGCAAGCCCTGCATGAGTGCTTTTTTGAATTTATCTTCTTCTTTTTGTTCGATCCGTTCTGACGTCTTGCTTCTCTCGCCATGTTAATCTCCGCGGTCAATTACCCGAAGACTGCCAGGGCACAAGCAAGTTCCACGTTCTCGAATCCCATTCCCCTCTTTCTCGTTCCAATCCTACCAACCGGACCCAAATGGACCGAACGCTTTTGCTACTCGTACGCCGAGGGCCCTTATCGATGGGGATGAGGGGTGATAAACCAATTGCCCCTCCTTTCCGTCTTGCTCTGTCTCGTCTTTTTTTATCGCCAAAAGATGCCCCTCCATGGTTTTTTGCGCCCACCCATTATCAATCATACCATCACCGTCCGTCTAGTCAGTCAACCGCCTGTTTTTTTCATCATCTTGGGGTGGTGCTACTGATGCAATTGACGTCTTTTGACAGATGCTTCGTGACCCAAGGCTTGTCCCATGCCGTCTCGCTGCTACGACGCTGAAGTCCCTCAGACAACCGAATCACCTCACTTTGCAGTAGCATTGGGCTTGATTTACACGCCGCTTGTTTCTGTGCCTTGCTTGATGCTATGATTAATAGTTTGCCTCTATGCTGGTGCTTGTCCCATTTTCGGGCAATTACTCGTAACTTGATCCTGGCCGCTGTCCAATCCAATTTCCCCTCATGCCATTTTCTGTTTCCTCGCCTTTCCTTTGCTTTCTGTCTCGCGACGCTCTAGCCGCCAGCTTTACGGGCATCCCACCCACCAATTGATGCATGTTTTGGATCCGGCCCGGAACTTGTATGAGAAGAAACGAAGCAAAAAAAAAAAAAAAAAAAACCACCAGTCCGGCGCAGATTAGGATATCCCCCACCGCCATTGCAGCGGGAAATGATTATGCGCATACGTCAATTGACCCTCTCCTCTCCGCTTTTACTTATTTTTTTCTTGTCTAATTTTGTTTTTCTCTTCCGTTCCATTTGAAACCAAAAGTTTAGGGCTGGTCTGTCGTTTGTGATGCGGTGAGGCAGGGATGGGCTGCTCGCTCAGGCACCTCCTTTCCGGCCACCCTCCCCCGAAGAGAACAGGCCCTTGGCAATCAATCTATCTATTCTGTGTAGCCCACCTTGCAGAGCCAATTTGCCTGAAAAGAAAGACAAAGATAACAACAAAGAATGAAGCCTAAGTACATGAAGATAATTGTTTGTTTTCATTTGTTATTCACAGTGTAGATGCGCTCTTCATACAGAGTAATTTTGTTGAACGAATAATTACAAACCACCACAAGATGCTACTACAGACTACAGGGCACTACACAGCGCTACAGAGCGCTATCAGCAAAGTTGGGGAGCTGCCGGAAAATCAAATCATTCGGCCACACCTTTTGCCTGATCGGTGTGCCTGATGACCGCGCCCCAAGGCCGCACATGACTGGCCGCAAGAGAGCCGCGAAAAAGGGGGGAGGGTGAGCGTAGTGAGAGCGAGCGAGCAACTTGTGAAAGTGCGTGCGTTGAAGTGAATGAAACTCTCCGTACATGTCCATCTCCATCCATCCTGCGAGGTACTGCGGAGTTTGTAACCGGGCTCGAACAAGCAGCGTTGCAAGTTGCGAGCATTGCATTGATGTCAATGGGAAACTTGCAATGCGATTCAATGATTTCTGGGCATCGATCGGTCAATTGGACTGCATTGTGAATGAAGCATAATGAAAGCATAATCAGCCAGTGCCTGACCAATCCTATGGAATCATGAGGCTGTACTCTACAGGTACGTGAGCGTGTACAAGCGGCAAGTACCGTATCGCCGCGTTTGTACTAGCAGGTACTTTAGGCAAAGTCGCCATGCGATGATGCAACTTTTTCCGGGCAGGTACTTTAGCACCCACGTTGTTGCAAGGCATTTATGCAGTACCCAGAACAGTACATTAGCACGTTGGGCCAAAAAAGGTACCGAGCGGGAGATGCGCCGGGGGTATGTACCTCGCAGACAAAAAAAGATGCAAGCAGCGATTTCTAAGTCTTTTTTGTTTTTACTTTACAATTTCAAGCACTGGGAGGATTCTTGAGCAAATCAAAAAGCAATTGATCTCAAGCTGGCGCGCGTCTGAAACAACGATGCTTTAATGTAGGAACTGACCCAAGATACGATATTGTACTGTGCTGTTGCTATGCTGTGCTTGTGCTGTGCCTTCTTCACACACCCCTTGCCTGTGCCTTCCCTCCTTCCCTCTCCCTTGCCAAGCCCCCGTCCGCAAGAGTGTGTAGCCTGACCCAAGGCGCTCCTTCCAATCGTGCTCCCCCCAGCTCAAAAGCCGCCTTCTTTCCGTTCTTGCTTGTCACTTATCAGCGCTCGTGTCCGTTGGCTGATGTCGCTGCGAGACACGGCTAAGCTGAATCAGTAAGTAGTAGCTTTGCGGCTGGGGATTCCTGCCTGCTTCCAGAGCAATCAATTGGGAAAGAAACTTGGATGGACGGATGCCTGGATGACATGACACATCCGGCAAATCAATGGTGATCAATTCATTGCTGTAGAAGTAGAAGTAAAAGTAATTGATTGTGAAATTGAACACTGCAATTCTACTATGGTATCACAAACAGGTACAGCACCAGCATTGTACGGCGTCAGAAGACAGAAAAAGGAATCAGATACCAGAGACCTGCATCATCCCACTCACACCCCCTCCCCCCTCCCTTCCCCTTCCATACCCCCGTCAACAAAATCAAAGACCATCCACTTATCCACCCCCCGAGGTGCAGGAGCAAAGGAGATACCTCCCAGTACTCACCCACTACACACACGCCCCCTCCCTTTCCCGCTGCTTCCTTTGTGTCTTGGCTTGCTCCTTCCTTGCGGGGGGCGTGCGCGCGCCTGTGTGCCTGCATCAGGGTCTCGCTGGCCGCCACATCACAGCTTTTAATAGCAAGGCGGTCCTGCTCATCGGGTATCAACACTGACAGACTGCAAAAGAAGTCAAGGCAATCTGATTGACTGACTCTTTCCCTTCTGCTTCTGCCTCAGCTTCCCTGCAAGCGTGTCCCTGCTCTTGAAGCAAGAAAAAGAAAGAAAAAAGCAAAACAACGCCGAGAAACAGTGTGAATCTTCTGATTTTTGATTGACCTGGAGAGAAAGCTACCGCCGGAACTACCTGTCTAGCGTCAAGTCAAGCGATTACCAAGACCCCAAGAGTCATCGATCCCAAGTCCTTTGGCCGTGCATTTATTTCGGGCACCTCCCTTCCTTCGCCAGGCTGCAACAGTTCGAGTCAGAACAAGAAAAAAAGAACCACAGACAGACCGTTTTTGAACCGCACTCACCCGCAGCAGCAATTCTTTGTTCACGGCCTGTTCTGCCTTTATTTGCCTCCGTAGTATCCGCTGCTGAGGGGGGGCGAATTCACCATTTCTTGTTCCTGCATTTTGCATCTTCCGTGCCAGAAGAGGATCCCCCAATCCCCATCGAAACTCAATTTCCGTGGGCCCAATTCGATTCAATTGAATTCAATTCGGACAATCAATCCCCAGGATTCCGGATCACCTTCTTCCAGGATCACCTTCGAGCCATTCATCGTTATTGTTTCATCCTTTATTCTTCCCCTACCCGCGCACTGCTGCCTGCTCTATTCACGTTTTGCGCAAACGAAATAGAGGGAAGCAAAGAGAACAATTAGCCTTCTTCCCCTTCTTCCTATTCCTTCGCGGCCTCCCGCATATTTGAATGGAAGCTGCCTATTCTATTCATCCCCTCAAACAATCGGCTCGTCTCCGCCTGCCGCTTTACTCATCTGCCGTCGTCAATTTCACGGCCTAAGAGAACTCCTTCTTCTTCTCTTGATCCCCGAGCCAAATTGACTTCCCTCACTCAACTTCCGCCACCTCGCCCTCTTTTCAACATCTCCCACAAACTCCGTCTTGCTCAGCGGAATTTGACTCTTCAAATCGAGTCTATCTCCGGCCAAAAGCTAAATCCCGAAAGGCTGTGACCGATTTGACATCTTGCCTGACCCCACTGTGTTGCCTGCGTCCGGCTCGATACGGCCTTCGCCACCCAGAAACACGTCAGACGGGTCATCGCCATCTAGGAATGGCTGACAAACCCACGGCAAGCCACACACAGTTCCACGCCCAGCAAGCTTCCACTCACTTCGATAAGAGCCTGGGCATTCCAGCTTCTCGGAATAACCCTTCTACTTCTACTTCTTCTTCTTCCCCTTCTCTCTTCTCGACTCCTGCGCCTTCTCCTTTCTACCAATTCCTCAACAACCGTCAATCCGCAATTGAATCTCGCAACATGACGACCAATTTCCCCCACGGCGGCGACTCGTCCGCCGCGCCCAAGGACGGCGGCAAGCTTGAGATTAGCAATCTCATGTCACCCCCTGACAACCTCCTCGAGACCTTTAGCCACGGTCATGGCCAGCAGCAATCAAAGATCTTTTCCGCCATGGCTTCTGTTGTTGGAGCAAACAACAGCCTGCCCTCCGACAAACACCCATTGCCAATGTCGCCTCCCATCTCGCCTTACACCAAGCACGTCTCCAGCAACTCACCAAGCACGCCACCAACTCAGGCCATTCAAGACCCTGTTCTCTATCCCGTTGATGAGGCTTCGCCATCGAGCCCACCTCAGCCACCTCTGTTTGCTCCGGCTGAGATTGAGCACCACAAGCGCATCGTCGACAACCATGTCCGCGCTCGTTCCTCTTCCACCATCATCTTCAGCGGAGTCACGCCACCACGGCGCGAGGACTATGAGCTCGCCCTGACCTTCCGCTCTCAGGTCATGAAGCACTTCACCAGCAACCGCCGCGGATGGCTTCTCAAGGAGCGGGCTCTCCTGGTTGCCGATCGTCAGGCCGGAGCCCAACGCTTCCACGCCATCCTCCCGGCTAAGCCAATTGCCGCCAAGCCGGCCCGATCCCAGCGCGCCGACCGAGTGTCCAAGCCACAGCATTCGGGCCACCGACCCATCCGCTCCGGCAACGGCTTGCCCTCGTCTTCGTCTGTTGTTGTTCGACCTGCCGCTGCTCGACGCCCAAGCGCTACCCCTGAGCCATCCCGCCGCATTGTCGCCCCCAACCGCGAGGACAAGGATTTCAAGTCTCTTCCGGACTACTGCCCGCCCCTCAACTCTCTCCCCAACAGAGCCAACAGCCTCAAGGTGGACTGGAAGGGCCAGCCCATTGACCTCAGCAGCGACCCTTACCACGACTTGCTTCACCCTGACGAAATCATCCTCGCCGGCAACCTCCGCCTGGACTGCGCCACTTATCTCACCAGCAAGCGACGCATGTTTGAGCGCCGTCTTCAATGCCTCCGGACCGGCAAGGAGTTCCGCAAGACTGATGCTCAGCAAGCCTGCAAGATTGACGTCAACAAGGCCTCCAAGCTCTGGACTGCCTTTGACAAGGTTGGCTGGCTCAGCGCTGAATGGGTGCGACGCTTCTTGTAAAGCTGCCAGGACTCTTTCTCTCTTGACATCTCTACTCAACCATCCCTTATCAACTTACACCCTCCCCCTTTGGCATCCCCAACATTCTTTCTCCCCCCGCTTTTACGATCTTGACGACCATCAGCACTCGATTTTAGCGTTACGACCACTCTGCATTTCATCACCCCCGTTGGTTTCTTCATTCTTCTTCATTCTTCTTCATTCGACGCCTTGGTCGGCTTGGCTCGGATTTGTCGACTCTGTGATTCTTCTTGTCTGTCTTGTCCGACAGTGACAATGACAGTGAATCCACAACGCAATATCGAGTTGGCCACTTTATGACCTCGTTACTCCTTTTTTTTTCTTCAACTTTTACACGATACAACGTATCTTATCTGCATTCCGGGAATTCTTCTTTGTTTTCTTCTTTGTTTTCAAGGATCACGCACATACACCAAGCATTAGGGGGTTTTTCACCATGATACCCAGTGGGCGAACGCGCCAGGCTTTAAAGGACATGACGCCGCTCCATCCACGATTTCCTTTTTTCGTTTTATTCCCCTATTTCGTTTTATCATCTAGTCTTGTTATTCGGCCTTTGTCCGATTCCATCTTTTCGGCTTTCGTTTCAGAGAGGGCATTAGCACCCTGCTCTTGATGAGAATCATTTGATTTCTAGGGACATGGTTTCGGATGAAGATAGGGATCGGGTATGCATGTACGGCGTTTGATATTATTTTGGCCCTTTCCTTTGTTTCCTGCATCCAACTAATCGGTCAAACGTGAAGAAGACTGGAGATGATGGGATTCACCTTGATGGTAAACCCCATGAGATGCGCATACGAGACCGATTTAGTTGTGGGACGGAGGGAGGATTGAATTTGCTATCTCTACTACTATGGTTGTTTTTATTTTGGGATTGCCACGCACTGGTCATCCAGCCCGGCTGATTCATGGAAAGCTAAGCTGGAGGAGTTTCTCGGCTTCTTTTTTCTTCTTCTCAAGGGAAGCAAGCAAGCAAGCAGCGAGAGGGCTTTTTTCTTTTTACAATGGGTCATGGACATGGTCTATAGCAGCTAGTTGTTTCACAAGGGCAGATGACACTCGACGCATTACGATGGTCCTTGGGCCTGCGTTTGCGTGCGCAAATCAATTGCTATTTATTTTGGTAAAAAAACGTGCCTTTTAACATGTGATGAGTGATTTGTCGTGAGATTTTCTATTTCGTGATGCAAAGTGAACACCATTGCCTCTCCCAACTGTCTACATGTAGCAGCCATCCACAGACGGCTTGTCCAACCCAGCCCATGGCCTTCAGCCCTACAACGGGGGAAGATCGATCTGGGCACGGATCTCCAGAAAAACGTGCAGCGGGATCAACGGGCTTGGTTGCTCTTGCTCTAGCTAGAATAGGAGGCGTGCGCGAGCGGCAGCCGTTATCGTCGCCGAGCAATGCTTTATCTGTGTACTCCAGTAAAAAAAAAAAATCTAAAAAAAAACTCATCTGCTTTGCCTTGTGCGGCAGATCGATCGAGCTGCAGCCGGGGGAAGGATGGGGCCGTAGTGGGCAAGGATTGGGGGTGTAAGGAGGGAGGTGAGTGGACGATGGGCGGGAAAGGTATTTTAGTACGGTGGAGAGAGGCGCGATCGTTTTTTGCTGCGGATGGAGGTACGTACCGCTGTGTAGGGGTTTGTTTATGAGGTTAGATTAGATTAGATTGGGAGTGAGATTTGGCATTTGGCATTTGAGAGTTTGAGATTTGATTGAGATGAGTTTGTGGTTGAGATTGTTGGAGTTCGTGTGTGACGGGGATGAGAATGATGAGGGGCTTCTGTTTGGGTGTATGCCTGGAAGTGTATGTGGAAGGGATTTTGCTGGGCTTGTCTTTGGTTTGAGAAATACGGCGAAATGATGACCAGAGAAAAAGTTCAAGTTGTAAAATCAAGTAGCGATTTGCTTATCTGGTAGAATGAAATTATCAACCAGTTGATGAGTGATAGCTATAGCATCTTATCAGTCTTGGCAAAATTACGCTTTAGAGTATCTTGTGACTTTGTGGTCGAGAGCAGAAATGAGAGGTTATCGATACACACTTTTCCTTTTACACCATTATCGCCCTTGCATCTTCCTCATCCTGGATCATCACCATGCTCAGCATACATACTTATCATACTACAAGTAGACGAATTCTAGAATTTCAATGCATATTCGTCAGCGTATTTCACTTTGCAATACTTCATCCCAGCTTTTAATTCAGTCAAAATAGACTGCATTGGTAATTACTATATAGAAAGCTATCGACATACGCATATAGCTCATGTTGTCTTTCGTTTCAAACGTTTGCATGAATCAGTAGGCCTACCCCCTTCCATTGCCACAAGGAAGTCCTTGATAGCTATTAAACGACCAAAAAACCACAATATTGGTACACACAAGCAATGCATCTATATATATGCCCATTATCATCATGCCGTCTTCCCATGCCTCCCCCCCTCTGCCACTACTTATTCTTACACGCCGCTCTGGTTTAACGCACTTCAATGTGCTGTACTGCAGTCATCCACTTCTTCTCATCAGTCCTGGTTCGGATTGTTAGTCACATTCATCTCCAGCCTAACATCCAGTGAAGAGAAAGCCAAAACTTACTTATCGAATTTAAGAAGCTTGCCCAGGACGGGAACAAGCTGCGCTCTCAGCCGATTGTCCTTTTGCTGCAGGAACTGCAACAGAATCGTCTTGAGATAGTCCATGTCGGACAGTTCGGAGGTCGAAGCAGTACGCGTCGAGTCCATCGATGTTCGCGATGTCACGCCCGACGAAGTTCCCGACTGGCTAACGCTTACGCCTGATGCCATCGCTGCGACCTTGGTCTGCGCCGCCTTGAGTTCCTTAGATAGCTTGTCGTGCAGCAGCTGCAGCGATTCGTATTCCTTGCGCAGGTTTGCCTTGATCTTCTCTCCGTCTCGAACCTGCAGCTCCGACGCATCCAATGCACTTCTCAACGAGGAGATGGTGTTCCGCAACTCGGTCGACTCCGTCTCCGTCCGAAGCTCGATTGATTCGAGCTCCTCTCGTCGGCGCCGCCAGGTTCGTTCCCGCTCTTCGAGCTCTTCCTTTTCGGCGCGCAAGTCCTTGACCTCTCTCTCCAGCTCTCGGACTTGAGTCTTGAGCTCGGCCGTTTGCTTGACATTCTTTCTCATCGCGGAGCTCGCCTCTGCTTCAAGCCGCTCTTGCTCCGCGGTAACAGTCTCGATCCGGTTGCGCATCTCTCTAAGCTTGGCTTCTCCCTGCCGCTCCGAGTCTTCAAGCAACCGCCGCATTGTCTCGCCCTCTCTAGTGCGTTCCTGCAACAGATGCTGCACTTCACCAAGCTCCTCCTCCAGGGATCTATTCTGGGATTGTTGCTCCCTAAGCTGGACCGTCATCTCGGATTGCTGATCTCGCATGCTGCTCAGAAGGCCCTGGGCCGTAGTGTACTGCTTAGTCTTAAATTCAGTTTCCTCCTGGGCTGCCGCCTTCTCGCGCTTCAGCTTGTGCGCCTGCTCCTCGAGCTCCGTCACCCGTGCGGATGCCTTGGACAAGTCATCCTTGGCCTTCTCCAGTGCTCGCTCCAGCTTCTCTGCTTTTGCGCTGAGTTCAACCTGCTCAGCCACGGCACGTCTGTAGTCTTTCGCTGATCCACGCTGGGCCTCTTCCGCTTTGGCCTTGTCCTCCGTCTCAATGGCCAATCTGTTCTTGAGGACCCCAACCTCCGAAACACGGGTGCTTATCTCCTGTCGAGCACTCGCCAAATCTCGCTCAAGATCCTTTACTCTCTTATCCAAGTTGCTCAGCTCTTTGGTTTTAGCCGCAAGCTCTCCCTTGGCTATCTTAAGATCCGCGGAATCCTTGCGCAAGGTCTTGATCTCAGGCTGAAGCGTCTGCAGTGCTTCACGCAGATCAGCCACATCTCTGAAACGATTCTGCGCCAGCTGGTTCGCAGCGGCAATGTCAGCCTGCGCTGTATCAAACTTCTCCTTCATGGAATCATAGTCTTTCTGGAGAGCCTGGAACTTCTCTCGCTCGTTTTCGGAGACGGCGGAGGCCATCTTTTTCTCCAAAGCAGTAATTTCTGTCTTCAACTCTGCCTTTTCCACTTCGAGCTCTTTGATTCGCTGCTTATCCTCGACGTGATCTTGGCCAATATTGATCAAGTTTTCTTGCAGCGTCTCAATCTCCTCACGGAGATCGTCTTCAGTCTTTCTCCGCTTAGACAGCCGCTCGATTTCCTTGTCCTTGCCTGCCAGCTCCTCCTTCAGATTGGTAATCTCTGCTTCCAGGGCTGAGGTATCTGGTCCTTTATCGGCGTCGGGTGCACTGGGGGCACTGGGGGCACTGGGGGCACCAGGAGCGACCGAAGAAGAGGGAGAAGCGGGAGGTGCGGGACTGGTAGCACCGCCGCCGCCACGGCCCTTCTTCTTCTTCTTCTTATTTCCTCCGCCACCTGTTGTAGGCGGTGCAAGGGTTGACACTGGCTCAGTAGGGACAGGAGCAGGAGTAGCAGGCTGCTTGGGCGATTCTTCAAGCTTCTTGGTCAGCTCTTGGACCTTTTTGGTCACCTCGTCAGTCTTGGTCTGAAGCTCGGACCTCTCCTTTTTCAATGAGTCGACCTGGGAACTGAGCTCATCAATCAGATTCTTGGAGACATTTCGGGCAGCCGTAGCTTTGGATAGCTCGCCAGCCAGCTGGCTAGCTTGTTTGATGGCTTTGGCAAGTACCTCTTCCACCTCCTGACCCTTGGCCGCTGCTTGCTTCTTTTCTGTCTCAAGTTGGGCCTCGAGCTCCTTGTTCTGCTTCTCTGACTTGTCGAGTCTGTCTGCCAAGCTGGTGATTTCCGTCTTTCGGGCTTCCAACTGGGCCTGTAGAGAGTCCTGGGAGGCAGAGGATTCACGGGATTCGCTCAGCTGCAGGGCAGATTTCTCCAGTTTCTCTGCCAAGCCTGCACTATCTTGCTTGAGAGTGGAAAGCTCTTCCTTCAAGCCGTCTCGCTCGGCTTTCAGGGAATCAATTTCTTCGTTCTTCGCAGCAATCTCGGCCTGTAGCTGGGGAATCTCTTCGTCGTAGGAAAAGAAATCGCCATCTCCACCAGATTCTTTCTTTGCTGCATCTTTGGATTCTGGCTTCTGGGCCTTCTCTGCCTTTTCAGCCTTGAGGGCGTCCAGTTCGCCTTGCATGTCCTTCATCTTCTTCTCGTATTTTTCATTCTTCTTCTGCAGATCTTCCTTGTCTGAGGAGACTCGCTTAAGTTCATCCATGACCATGTCTCCTTTTAGTTTCAGCTGGTTGAGATACTCAACGAGAGACTCCGGATCGTTGATCGAGGCCAACGGTGTGTTTTCGCGGAGAGCCTTTTCAAAGGGTTCGACGGCCTTGGCACGCTTATGTGCAAGTCGGTACGAACGCAGGAGTTCTATTAAATTCGTCATTAGACTTCATGGTCAGTAATTAATTGTCATGAGCGGGACGTACCCGGATAAGTAGACTCGAGCTTGTCCAATTTGCGAAGCTTTTGCCGGAGTTCTTGACTCAGCGCGGGCTTGGTCTCATGAGCAGCTCCATCGCGTGAGGCACCATCTTTGGCATCAACGTTGCCGTTTGAATTTTCAACAGCCTCGGCCTGCCCAGTGGCCTCTCCGTTGGGCGCGTCCTTCTCGGGAGGCGCAGGCTTTGGTGTTCCAGCTCGGCTCGGCTCCTCGCTGTCGTCAATTACGAATGCCGCTTCGAATACGGAAGGGTCAGGGTTAGTCGCAGCATATCCAGCCTCAGAACCTGGGTTCTGAGGCCGAGCCCGCTTGCCTGAGCCGCTCTCATTTCTTCGCGACGTCGAGGCAGATCGGTTCGCGGACGAGCTGGCTTCAAGCGCCTTTTGTTGGCGGGCTTGTTCCTCTGCGATGGTGCGGTCGATGGCACCTTTTATTCTCTGCAGATAGGGATACAGACGAACGGTCAGCTATCGAGATACATGTTTCTCTTTCCGTCGGGTTTCTCGGATTCAAAAAGAGGACGCGCACAGCAAGGGGAACTGACTTGGAGCATGGTTCCGACGAGGGGCCGCCCAGGGCCGATGTTGACAGAATGCACGAATTAAAAGTTGTAGATCATAAGAGCCTCGCAATAAAGGGCTGCAGAATAGAGAATGCGAGAGAAGAGAAGAAAGAAATCGCAAAACTGGTACAAAGGAGGAAAAGATGAAGTCGTGTTCAAGGGCCGATGTAGCCTCGTGGCATAATTGGTTTCTGGGGAGTGCCAAAGGTTGAATAACAAGCTCAGCCTCGTTCGTATTGAACAATTGACAGGTCCATTGTACTTTGCACGTTTTGGGTTTAGCGGGTGGTATTTATCACACTACCGAGGAGGCACTTTCCAGTGGCTGAGGCCTGTTGGGAGAGGCAGGAGCAAGGGCAGGATGTAAGACGTAAACTCTGTTGCAAGCGGTGCCTTCCTGAACGTGAAGCGAGAAGCGAGATTTCCATCCCACAAGAAGAAAAATTTCCATCTTGCTCAATTTATTCTCTTCTCAATCATTCTTCTTCCTCTTCTTTGAAATTCAAAGAGCTCTCGTTCAGTGGGTTTTCCAATTGATTCAACTTGCAGTCATCTCGATACTAGGGATTGACGGCGCCAGAGCCTGGAGGGTGCTGTAATAACAGGCCTCAGCACTGTGCATACAATTGGTGAGCCCTCTGAACAGCAGTTTCTTTTCTCTTCTCTTCTTTTTTCTCTTCTTGTTTTTTCAAATAACGTCTGTACTTCTTCTTACCGTGGAATCACTTCTAGGAGCACCATCAATCCTCTCTCCATTGAGAAATGCAGGCCTTCGTTTGTGCTTTGACAATTCCTTCGAGTTGACAAGCACAGCGTTGCGGGCGGGAGAACAGCAGACTGAGCCACAGCATCACACTGCCGCCCTTTCAGATGGTTTTCTCACACATCTGCTTTTGCAACATCCTTTTTTTTTTCTCTCTCTTCTTCTTTTTCTCACTCTCTTACTCATTCCACTGAGCTTTCACTCGTCGTCATGCTCCATCGGTTATGACATTATTTGGTATGACTTCCCTTTCTCCGAGTCTACTCGTACCTCACTAACCAAGATCAAAGATACAACCTTTCAGTCCTGTCGCTTCTCAAGCAAAGGCATCTCCATCAAGTGTCTGCTCTGACCAACCCTTGGACAACATGACGTTTGTTTTTCTTCAACCCTACGCCAAGGCTATCTGTCCTGATGTACGTTGCTCTCTCTTCCTATTACTCTTGTAGGAGAGGGCTGACAAGTAGTGGTGCAAATAGACATTGGCATGATGCTGTCTCTCCTTGTCCATAGTCTGTGATGCTCAACACACCAACACATTGAGGCAATGATCCACCACTTTTTGCAGAAACCCACAACGCAGACACCAGCTCAACTCTGGCCGCCAGCTCTTCCATCCTTCACATCAAAAGTACGGACAAGATTCCGTGATACACTTGAAGCAGCAGTGCTTGCAAGATAGTGGCAGCCTGGTACACGCCCTCCGCGGTCACGATAGTCTATTCAAGGCTCACAGTAATGTCCTATGTCGGCCTTTGGCCATACAATCATTGTGAGTAGCACTCAATCCTTTGTTTGGGAAATCAGTTGCTGAATGCTCAACAGCTTGGTGCAGGCCCCCAACAATGATAGTGGACTATTTGGCAAGAAGTTACGAGCAACCAAAGAGGGAATCCAGACACACAGCTCGGCTAGAGCGACGTCTACATTGAAGTTTGGCGGCTCAGTTCAAATTCTGCATCAAGCATACAGCCGAGCTTTCAAGGCTCACGGTAATGTCCTACGCCGGCCTCTGGGCTATACAATCACTGTGAGTAACAGCCCACTGCCGCACAATCCTCGCCATTCCCGGGGAGCGCATCGAATAACAAGCATATTAACCAGCAGCATGGCAGTGCTTTCGCAATGGCTGCAGCGCGTAAGCGACAAAGCACCGGCTCCGAAGCGCAAGCCAAGTATAGGGAGAAAATTGCATGATGAGATCATGAAGAGTTCCCTTGGACTCACCGGGCTCACGGTAATGTCCTACGCCGGCCTTTGGCTGTCCAGAGTGGCTTACTGCGACACAACCTTCATCATTCTTGAGGAGCACATCAAGTGGTAAGCAGGTTGAACAACAGTGTGGAAATGCTTTCAACGAAATGAATGGAAAGTCTTCATCGCAATGGTTGCGACGTCTTAGCAACAACGCATCGTCTCCCAAACGCAAGCCCAGTATGGGAAGAAAGCTGCATGATGAGATCATGAAGAGTTTTCTTGGGCCTATCGGGCTCACGGTAATGTCCTACGTTGGCGCATCTGGAATGACCAGATGCGCCAGGCTGTCGACGTGAGTAACATTGAATACTTTGTTTGGAAAATCAGTTGCTGACTGCTCAGTAGCAATTGATTGCCCGGTTGGATGAGAAGAAGAAGGCCATTTTCAACGTTGTCGATACGTATGAGAAAAATGGACAAGATTCTGTGCAACACTTGAAGCAGCAATGTTTGCAAGATAGTGACGGACCGTCCAACACGTCACGGTAATGTCCTACGGCGGTTCCTGCAAGATAGCGACGGCCTGATACAGGATTCACAGAGGTTGCTTCCCCTACGCAGAGCTGGCTTCATGATCTGTCTTCGACCATCCAAATTTTACTTCATCAATTGGGAAATCTTGGTTGCCCATCACGCCATTCACCATGCTTTTCCCATTCCACACGTTTGACTGACCGACTCCAATTCACTCGGTTTTCCGTCTGTCGTTCTTTTCGTCACTCATTTGTCACGGTAATGTCCTACGCCTGAAGCAACAATGTTTGCAAGATAGTGGCAGCTTGATGCAAACCCTCCACAACGATGGTAGGCCGTCCAGCACGTCACGGTAACGTCCTACAGTCAAAGACAAATCGGCAGAGGATTTCAGCAAAGCAATGAAATCTCGATGCCAAGCATATGGCTGAACGTCCCCCAGCCTTTGTATCATATGTAATGCTGTAGGATGGACATGGGAGATTGGCGCATTGGTGTGTAAGATAGGATTAATAAAGCGCTTGGTCGATACATCACGAGCAATAGAAAGCTCAAAAAAAGAATCTTCATTTATTGTGATTAATGTGGCCTCAGAAATTGACACTCCGCCGCAAGTGATTACCCTTCCATCTCCCCTCATATGTTGGAATATGTGAGAATCATGGAAGAAGAAACATATTTGGCTTCAATAAAATCCCAGGCTGTCCCATCTTCTTTCCGCTCAACCAAGCATTTTCCATCTCCCGAGATGGCAACCTGAGACAACTCGTCACCGTGCTTCATCAACAGGATATAACCACCATCGTCGTGCCTCTCTGTCGTGAAATACTCGTTCATATTCTGGAATAAACTGTGGCCGCGTTGGATCGAGATTTTACCCTGACCATCGTGATGGAGATTTGTGCCCGTGACACTGTTGCAAAAGGTTTTCCAACCGCTTCTCTTGACGCAGTGCCAAAAGGAGCCACCCCCTAGAGTAGGCTTCTCTAGGAGCCTCAACTCTCCGTTCTCAACAGTCAGGATGTAATGTGGCTCCGTTCTTGTTCGAATCATGAAAGATTTGCCTGCTTTGGGGTGGTATTCCACTGATTTAGCCGTGCTATTCGGAGTCATGGTATTTTCGCCGTTGGCGATAACTTCTGAAACGATAGAAAAAGTGGTTGCAAGCGCAAGGCAGTCTTCTTCGAGTCTTATGGTAGCGTTCGGTGGAAGGCTTGCGGCAAGAGTCGGTTCGGGGCCTACGGCAACGGTCGACTCGATGATTGCTTGGCCCTCGATCTCACCGATAGCCCGTTGTTCTTCCCGCCTCGCAGCACGTCTCCGAAGAAAATCCATTCGCTCTTCTTCTTTTCTCACAAGCTTCCCTCTCCTAACTTTCTTCGTTAGCAAGGCAGCTAGCTCTTGCTCTTCAGAGGCCACGATTGCTTGCATCTCTTCTTCCTGAGACGCCTGCTTCATCTGACGGGAGATTTCATCATCCACTTCTTCTCTTTCTCTAGTCTTTTCTTCTTTAATAGCCACTTCTTGTCTTTCTTTTTCGGGACGCGGTTCATCCAAAGAAATCGTCGCTGATGTCTGGAGAGCTTGTACTTGAGCTTTGAATGCATCTTATGTTCAATTCCATTAGCTCTCGAGGATAGAATGGGGATAGAAAGTACCGTACCTGACCACGGATGATATTTGGAGTCGCTTAGATTCGAAGCAACTGTCGCCGACATGGTGAAGATGTGGAATCACTGGATGATTTGCCCGTCAATAGGAGCTTTTGGCGGAGAGTGTAGAATTGATGCCATTTCATGACCTCCTAGCGGACCTAGGTACCCATTTTAACTCTCTCAATTCGATTCAATTTCGATTGGAAGGGAATAGACGTTGGCGCCAGGAACAAGTGGAACATGCGGGAGGCCGACGAGATTTGTTTCTAGGCGGCGGGGTTTCGAACCAAGTTGGTGACCGTATGCAAGGTGGAAAGCAGCCTACAAGACGCGTAGATCAACGAGTGTGCTTGTGCTCTGCCAATATGTGGCCGTATGATCGATGCCTTCCAGTAGGGTGTGCAGCATCTAATGCTCATCGCATTAGGACGTTCGTACTAGACACACGGAGGGTTAGTCGATGGTCCTCATTGAGGATGTGATTGAGGGTGTCTAGAAGGTTCCTACTCCTTTTGAGGACGAAGCAACAAGAGCGTAGAACGAGAAGAGGGTGGCGCCGTCGTATGTTGGTTGAATTGTTCACTCCGCCAGGCTACAGGATAGAGGTATGCGCGTATTTTCGATGTATGTCCAGATATTCTCTTTCTTGATGTCGAGAAGTGTAAAAAGACAGCGATATACTAGATAGTCATTGTGGATAGATCAGCAGGCAGCGAATATCTCGTCGGCATCTCCGTTTTAGAAGAGCTGTTGTGGGATATTTAGGCTGCCACTCTATTTTTTTACGATGGAGGCAACAACCAAGGACGGAACAACAGTATTAAGAACAGGAAGCAGATACCAACATCTCCTCTCGTCGGGTTTTCAACACGCAATCGGCTATAAATATCAAAGATAAATTCGATTTTCTGTCATTGATGGCAAAATAAATATTCGCGATAAATGAACAACATGTTGATTTTCGTGAAAGAGTGTAGGTTAGTGCTTCTCAATATCGCCCATCTTCATACCCAGATCGTGCTTGTAGGAAAGTTTGCCGCAAACCCCAACCGCTTCCTTCAAAACCCCTGTCGAGAAGGAGCAGCAAATCTACGAGCGCAGTACGTTCAATCATCGTCTACACGAAATTCGAGCCCTCATATTGTGCGTAATGGAAGATTCGAAGGGGAATTGACCTGTCGACATCATTTCAAGAAACTATTGCCGCCGCGTTTTCCCCAATGCTGAATCAACAATGGTCAGCTGAGATGATTTCGTAGACACTATTCTACCAAAACTTCACCCCCTCTCTGTTAGAGGCTACCAAGCAATACGCAGTCTACAGATACAAGGTGGCAGAGGCAAAATTGCCCTTCTTACCACTGGCCACCTATGATGAGAATAGCACCGTGTGCAAAGGCTCAGTTAAAAGGGTTAATATTAGTACCTAGGTAGGAATTAATGATTCTTCTATCATCTCCTGCGCTCATTGCTAAAAATCATAAATCTGAGGCGCGGTTAGCGCTGGCTCCGCACTGCTTTCCTTTCTCTACGAGTTACACACGGTTCGGACTCGCCGTTGGTGTCACTATGGTACAGCATTTTGCGGTTCATGAGATACAACGTCATGTCGAGTTCGTGAGGAACTTTGTATGGATACCTGCGTCATGCTGGGCGGGTGATTGCTTCCAACAAAATTACATGAGCGCATGTAAGTGGTGGCGGCTGTCCAACTACAGCAAATTTGAGACTGGTGGCTGGCGACCAGGAAGCAAATTGACATGCTGTCTCTGTGCTTCTTGACGTCAGATCAACCAAGACTTGACACGTTTTGTACTAGAATACAAGTTATGCCGCTGGTCTCTCCTGTCTAAGTGTCCCAAGCAAAGAAATAGTGATGTAGTGTTCATGGAGGCATGGCGTGGTGAATTGGCTGCTTTCTACAAGACTGGTGTACTCGGCGGCAAATTTACGGAAAAGGACCACTACTCGTTGTCAATATTGAGTCTTGACGGAGAGACTCACGTTGTGTATCCTGCCTATTCCATCCAGCAACAGTCTGGTGTTTTCTAAAGAGCAGTGGCGGGTGGATGGGTGCCGCAACCGGAGAGCGTGTCTCAGGTGAATACACGCTGCATTGACCATCGTGCTCGCAGCCGGGGAAAAAGCAAAGAGAGGCGTCGTGTGTATCTGTAAGTTGGTGAGGGGTATCGCCAATGGCATGTCTCTGCCTCGCAATATAATCTGCCAGCAAAGCAAAACTGCCGGCTGAGCCAATCGAATGGCCTGCGTTTACAGGGATCGACAGCCTCAGCGGAAGCGCTCGGAGTCGTGGCTGGCGGTTCAACAAGCTCACCGGTCCGGCTTGCAGCAATCTCGGCTAACCGACTGCGACTGTGGTGTGTTGTGAATGGATCATGATAGACAGCCGATTGGGCTGGTTTCTTAGCAAGGCAAGTTGGGGGAGGCAAGTTGGCTTGTGAATGTGCGAACACGTACTTTGTACAGCACCCAGCAGTTCCATCGCGATCCCACCACCAAATGTTGCTGTCATTGGACGAGTAACAATGCAGCGCTTTGTAAGTGCATGGCAGCCTCGAGCACAAAGCAAAATAAGGGCAGCCACCATGCGAAGGAGCCTGAAATCCTGACGGTTGGGCAGCTGGGCAGGTAGGGTCGGCTCAGGTGAATTACACAAACTGGGGGGATCCCAGGCCAAAAGCCCGGCCGGTCAAGCCATATCTGCAGCCTTGAAGCAACTATCGAGTCGCACAGAGTCGGGAGAAGTGCTTTTTGTGGCTGCTGTAAGAAGCAGGGAGAAGGAGACTTTGTCTTGACCGCCGAAAAGGAGAAAGTGAACGATGCAGGTCGTCAGCCAGGTTTCCTTTTTGTAGTGAGTGAGACAGAGAGAGAGACACGATGATGGTTAGTGGCCGTTGCAATCAAGCAGGTTTCACGGTAGACTTAGCGAGTTGACAAGGAAGCAAGTCGGAGATTTTTCGAGAGCTTGATTGCTACCTTATTCCTTGGTATGAACGGGTTCAAAATACGGTGAGATTCAATCTCTTTTTGAATTAGCAGCCAAGAATCAAGATCGAGATGCCTCTAGAATTAGAGTCTAGATCTGCCAGGTTACTGTACGTATGATAATGCCTGTATTCCACCTTCCTCGTAACAATGCTCGGTACTCGCAAAGAGAACAAGCGACTCAGCGTGCGGATTTACGTCACAAGCGGGCTGATTGGCGAGTCTCCTGCACTGTATTGTCGCTCCTTCCTGCTCCCTTGCGTCGAACCTTTCCCACTCCTCCTGCCACACTTTCCGACTTCTCGACCAGGCCCGGTCGGAGCAGATTCTCCGAAGATGAGCCTGGCCAATCGTTTCCCGTCCAGCTGCGGGGGGCTGAAACGAACTCCACCCGCGCGCGGGTCTTTCCTTGTCCACTAAGGCAGGCGCAAAGTATCGAGTAACCCGGTTCTTTGCCTTTGCAAAAGGTACCTGCGGAAGCAACCAAGACACACGCCCTTAGTACGTACAGCTCTACTGCTCAGCCCAGTTTAATTTAGTCCAGTGCAGCTCGCTTGATTTTCGTTCGATTTTGGTTCCCGCTGGTTTAGTTACAGGTAGTCGGTGGGTGATGCCGCTGCTACAGTACCATAGCCGTACCTTATTTTTGCTAGTCCTCCCGTCGTTGCGTGTAAGCCGGAGAGTTGGCATCTCAGCTAATATATCGCTAATCTAAACGGTCAGCTTGGGAGCATCCTGAGAAAAATGACAGCCCATCAGCGATATATTCCGTCCCAGATCCGGCGTCCGGCTCTCACACGAGTTTGCACCGATTCTTTCTCGTCCAGCTGCCGCCAATGTTCGTGTCTCTTGTCCTGGAGTGTGAAAGCCAGCATGCTCTCTTCGCAAGCCTCTTCTCTTCTCACACCCCCTCTCGAGACGGCTACCTACCTATCAGATCCCATGGCAGTTATTGCAGTGCATATCTAGCTTGGCGCTGAGGCTGAAATGTTTGTGCAGCTGCAGCCAGCCACATACTGACCGGCAGCCTTGCTCGCTTTTCGTTGCTTTTTCATTTTTCCAGTACCTGGGGGCATCCCGTCCTCGCGATCAGCTTCGAGTCTGGTCTCGTTGTCTTCCCTCTTTCTTTTATATTCGGACATGGTACTGCTCTTCTCTTCTTCCGTCTTTGGTCTTGCTCCTCTCCTGACATTGTTTCCTGCATAGACTCTGTCTACTATCATACGGGTGACAACACGCTGTTTTCTGCGCTGAACTCTCGCCTCTTTGTCATGCGGGCCCCAGCCATGATGGAAGAAGACACACTAACTGTGGAAGGAAGAAGCAGAATCAACATTCTCTCGGGAAAAGGCGAATGCACAATGGAGGAAACGAACAGAAAACCTGCGCTGCTTCGCATTCCAAATGAAATCATCGGACAGATCGGGGCGTACCTCGAAGAAAAGGGCGACATTGCTGCTTTCGTGAGGACGTGCCGTCTCTTCAACGACATGTTTGGCGATGTTTTATACCAGCGAGATCAGATGTATCATAAGTACAAGCAAGATTCCTGCCTCACATGGGCCGCCAACCGGGACAAGGTAGACACCCTTAAGAGAGCCATTAAAGCCGGCATCCGCCTAGAAGACCACTCATATCTCATTTTTGTTGTCTCTTGCACCGGAAGCCCCAAATGTGCTGAACTGGTGCTGTCGACTCCCGGAATCAACCCAATGGCCGAAGACGATCGAGGGTGGACGCCCATCACCCTTGCTGCCAGCTTCGGGCACGCCAACATTGTCAAGAAGCTGGTAGAGCATGGGGCTAGCTGTACAGCGCTTACAAGCTTTGGTTGGTCGCCCATCAGCGTGGCCTGTTGCCGTGGGAGCCTCGGCGTTGCGAAGCTCTTGTTGGACGAGTATGGTGTGTCGATGGAGGGTGATTACGGGATCAACTGGTCAGCGCTGAGGTCGGCCGCTACTTTCGGTCACGCAGACATCCTGACCTATCTTCTCAAACGAGGGGCTGATACAACCCCCGAGGCGGGTGGTTGGAGCTGTCTACACATAGCAGCCGATGGTGGACACACCGAGGCAGTACAAGTGCTTCTTGGCCACGGTTTTAACCCTTCGGCTGTTGCAGACGAGAACGGCTGGACTCCCTTGACCCTTGCGGCCGACAAAGGGCATTACGATACAGTTGAGCTGCTATTGGATCGAGGTGTTAATACCGAGCAGAGATGTACCAATCGATGGACAGCTCTCTGCATGGCTGCAAACCGCGGCGACCTCAGAATGGCCATGCTCCTGGTTAGTCGTGGAGCAGACGTCATGGCCAAGGCCGTCGGTGGGTGGAGTCCTATTACACTGGCTGCGACGAATGGCCACCTGGATATAGTCAATCTATTGCTCGCCTACGGGGCTGACATCCATATGAAGACTCTGTCAGGCTGGACGCCGCTCATGGCTGCTTCGGACGGTGGCCACGCCTCACTGGCCAACATCCTCCTCATCTGCGGCGCTGATGTGCGGAGCAGCAGCACAACTGGGTGGAACTCTTTGATTTGCGCCGCGGATGGCCGTCACTTGCAGACCTCGAGGATCCTCTTAAGCCACGGTGCCGATATCATGGCCACCACCATCGCAGGTTATACCCCAGGCATCAGAGCAGCCTATGCAGGAAGTCACCGTCTGCTGAACATATTTCTCAAGACGAAAGGCTTCCGGCTTGACCATCTTGACAACCTAGGCCGCTCGGCATTCTTCCACGCCGCTATGCGAGGGCACACAAAGGTCATCAAGAGGCTATTACCCTTGACCAGCATGGCCAACGCGAGGGACAAGTTTGGGTCGACTCCCATCTTTGCGGCTGCTAGAAACGGACACCGCAAAGTGGTAGAGCTCCTTGTTAACGAAGGCTTTGCGGATTTTGCCGAGAGAGACTTTCTGAACTGCACTCTTTTTGCCCACGCCCAGCGATCTAATAGGAGGCAGTTTGTTAAGTACCTCAAGAGACACGCCAAACAAGCCAATATCCCCATCTGGCTGGAGGACCCGGCAGGCAAGAAAACACAGCACAGGTGGGATCATGCAACGTGCCACTGCAACGTCTGCGGTCGAGCCAGTTGCCATGTGGAGCAGGCGTATGTCTGCGAAGACTGCAACGGCGGCATGGTGCTTTGCGCGGAATGTATCAACGCCGGCCAGACGTGCAATAATATCGACCACATTTGGACCGCGCATTCGTGTATGTGGAACGACGACTTTGGCTGGACGCCGCCTTATTGTTTGGCCGATGCCAATCTACGCAAGATTATTGAAGTTGACGATAAGGGGAATGCCCTTTCGGATGTAGAAGAAGCTATAGAGGATGGCCATGATGATGCTACTGATGAAGTTATGATTATGGGAAATTGATTCTAAACAGACAGAGGAGGATCTATTTTATATAGATACACACATACGTTTTATACCAAGCCAGCTACGTTAAGAATGTCAGAACTGAGGGTTTGTATCTGGAGCGAAATAGGAGTTGAAAATTATTTAGTTTTTGTTATAATTTTATTTACTTGTTGATTTTCTTTGATTCATCACTTTGACATCATGTCACAACTGATAAGAAAATTCGGTGTTGCTTTTCTTGCAATCAATTGACTTGTCAGATGGGCATTATGCAAGATCCAAGACCCTGATTATCTTAGCGTGCGTGAGATGCCCCGATCGGCCAACGCGCGGTGGGTGCCTGGCATTGATTGAAACGAGGATGGTGTTTCAAGGGTTGCATTTTTAATATGTACCGCCGGCAGAATACGAAGAAAACATCCATCAGCCGGCCAACAGGTGGTATGAGTACAGGTACTCTGTAATACCTCCTGAATGTACTGCTGCCAAAAGAAGAGACAGATTGTGGCGTATTTGAGCTTGTTTTTAAAATCTAGCCATTTTTCCGTCAGGAACCAAAATATAATTAAATCAATCAACACGCCTTTCGCTACCCAAATCTAATGATATCTTTTGCAGCCAAGGTACTCTGAGTAAACTAGATTCCGATATATTAGGCTGTACCAACCAATTGATGGCATGACCTCCCTCCAACTGGAAGGTCACTGGCCTGTGGCTTGCCATCCGGGGTAGCTGCTGCACGCGCTGTGGCTCAGCACTCCAAACTGCCAGTCAACCACTAAATCCTCCCCCACCTACCTGTGGCGCGCGTCTCCCACCTGCCCAATGAAGTCACCACGAGCTCATTTCAGCCTCTGTGTCCACACTAGCCAAAAGGTACTTCTTCATCCTGCCGGAGCTACTCGCTAGGCCCAAGTCACTCCGTTCGTCGTGCCTCTCTGTCTCGTGCTTCTCCTCTGCGAGGGCTCACGAGGCTTCCAACCAGCCTCAACTCTGTCTTTGCTTGCGGCTGCGCCGTTGCAGAGTCTCAGCTTCAGCCTCGTGCTTACCTACCAGCTCCTTGCGCGACCCCCTTTAACCCACTCCCTCAGCTTGCACCCTGTTCCGTTCCCTGGAGAACGACGGGCCTGCCTTTGGCAACAATTCCAATTCCAAACCTCACCAGACTCTCCTTTACCTCCTTAAGCAGCTGCCCACCATGGTGTCGTTTTGGCCGTTCAAGGTGAGTCTTTGATTTTGCAATGCTTGCTTGTGTTGTTCTCCTCGACTTCAAGCTGCTGACTGACCTGGCGCAAAACAGAGCGACGACTCCTCGCCGGCGTCCTTCGAAAAGGCGCTCTCGACCCTCTCGAAGAAGATTACAACCACCCAGACTCGCCTGGAATGGACTCGCATGCGGTCTCGCAAGATCAAGGTGCTGGGAACCCTCTACACTTCCTTCGCCTACCTCGTCAGCGCTATTGTCCTTCTCCTAGTTGTGGGATATCCCAATCTAGGGCCCTGGGAATGGACCGGCTTGGCTGGCGGGCCTGTCTTGTGAGTTTGTCCCTTGCCTTTGTCGAGACTTTACATGGAAGAGCGCATTGCATGTTATGCGCATATATACACGCAACGAGAATTCGCAGATTGCTTCTCCCCCTTCACCCTCTGTCCCCTACCCCTGGCTGACGATTCAACCGTTTATTTGTCGTCACACAGCATATATACAACGCGCGTCGTCATCACGAGCTACTACAACTTCCGCATCGAGAGCCTCGAAGCCAAACTCAAGGCGCTACAAGAAGAGCGCGGCAAGACGATCCAGAAGCTCAAGGATGCGACAAAGTACGACTCCACCATGGAGCTGATCGAGAAATACGGCGGCCCCGACGGCAGACCACGAAGCAGGCAGCAGGAGGCCCCCGAGGAGCCATCTGATGCGAAAAAGACGCAGCAACAGGGATCTTGGACTATGCCAGAACGCATTCACATCTCCCCTCCCCCGACAGCCAATATCCCCCGACGAGAATTCTCGCCCGCCTCCCTCGCTCCCAGCAGCCGACCCGTCACGCCCCTCGCCCAGAGCGTCGCCTCTTTCGATACCTCAGCTGAATTCGCGCCCAATGCCTTTGGCAATGCTCTTCCTCCTCCTCGACCCCAATCGGCGCAGAGCCAGCTGTACAGCATCCCACCACCACAGCCCCCCTCCGAGCCTCATTGGTACGATCGCATCTTTGACGTCCTCCTGGGCGAAGACGAAACCGCCGCCAAGAACCGCATCGTGCTCATCTGCCGCACTTGCCGCGTGGTAAATGGACAGGCACCCCCGGGCACCAAGAGCCTAGGTGAGCTGGGCATGTGGAAGTGCATGGCTTGCGGGACGCCCAACGGCGAAATGGATGAAGGGAAGCGCATCGTAAGAGAAGTCCTCAAATCACACGAGAAAGACAAGGATGCGAGCTCGAGCAAAGAGCCAACAACGCCGGAGACTGACGATGGTGACCTTCAAGCCGAGGACGCAAGCCGGGAAGACGAGCCCTCGAAGACCGACGGGCCAGCTGCTGCAGTCAAGACCAGGAGATCAGCGAGAAGTAAGAAGTAAGTGGCTTCGGATGACTCTGCAACGGGGTAGGCGTATCGGTTTTTTGCAGGCCACAAGAAAGGCCTAGGTTCCTGGGGATCTTGGAGGGGTTTTTATATGGGCAGGGTGATGGAAAAAGAACAAAAAGAAAAGAGAAAAAGAAAATTCAAACTAAGAAGAAGAAACTCGATGGGACAAAGGGGGAAGAAAGAAAAGGAGAGAAAGAAGAGAAAACAAGGGCTCGGAGGAAGGCGTACTGTTTGCTTGCAGTGATATCTCCCCGCATGGTTTTTTGCTTTTTGCTTTTATTGCTTTTATTGCTGGTCCTTTTGTCTTTACTCTTTTCTTTTCCCTTCTCATACGACTGCTTCTCGCAGCTTTCCTTTGTAACCGGTGTCATTCTGTTGACTTCTTTCTTTCTTTTTTAACCTTGATATCTTCAAGGTTACACTTGGGTTTTGGCCGCCTCTGCCTAGCCTTTACCTATAGCTCCTTTACCTTGCTATACCTACCACTCATCGTCCTCCCCTCAATATCTAACTAACTTACCTTATTTTTGGTTGTCTGGCGGGTGTGGACACGGAAAGATATACTTGATATAACCGTACAGGAAGAAAGGCGAGTGAGAAAGACACAGGTAGGAAAAGAAGCTCAGAGTTGAAATCAGCAAGACATGTATCAATCACATGTATCTAACAGACCATTGCTTTATTTGTTTGCCTGTTTGGCGATTCCTTCCGTCATTGGATGGCATGTTCAGTCGCAAGAGCGAATCATGGCCGGATAGACAGGACAGGATAAAAAGGCCATTAGCATACGACTTGTTTGAAATAGGCATGATGAAAAGACATCTTAACATTGCAAGTCTATCTATCGCCATCCATTCCATCATGCCAAATTTGAAGTGGCCAGCTCTCCGTCCAACACTTTTTTTTGTGGTTTTCGTTTGTTTGTCCCGCCCCTCTCGCTTGTTCGTTTCGTAAGGGAATCATTTTTCATATCTACCTTGACTTTGAAAGGCTACCCTGGGCATCTTTCGACCATACCCGGGCACCGAAATCTTCTACCATCCATCTCATTAGTTGGCGGCGTAGTATGGTCCAAAAATACATTGCGCAACATGGCTTGATCCATGGCTCCTGTCCGTCTATATAGAGCTCCAGTTCATCGTTTCCGCACCTCGGTGGCCCAGCCGTCAATTCCCTCTCCACGGCTGCCAACCTCCAACCCCTCGATCTTGACGCCCTTCATGCCCGGCGTGTCGTCCAGCCACGGGTGCCCTGCCATGCCGCCGGCGTTAGCGCGCTTCTCTGGCACGAGCTCGAGCATCGGAGTCAAAAAGGCCGAGATGCGCTTAGCCTCGTCCTCTTTGAAATGATATTTCTCTCTCAGGACGTCTGGTAAAGCCCAGTGCCTCAGCCTATGAATGTTCCGGAGCTCTCCCTTTCTGTTGAATATTTCCTGGCTCCATTTGCCGCTGAGGCACAGGGATCGTGGGAAGGGGCCCAGCAGCTCTATGATCTGCGCGATGTGGTCGTCGTCCTTGCCATACTTAGTGCCAGACTGGGGATCGAAGAGATAGTCGCCCGTAATCAACTCGAACACCTATCGACGTTTGTTAGTTGGATGGGATGGGATGTGGATAAAACAAGTGAATCGTGGCAGGCACTTACCATGGCAGACATGCTCCAGACATCTGTGCTTGCACCCCACTTTGCGCCTAGAATCACCTCTGGAGATCGATATTGTCGCGTTTGAATATCGTTGGTGAAGTGGTGATTGACCCAGCATGCATTGCCCAGGTCGGCAATCTTGACGCTAATCACCTCAAACGCATGCGAATCATCCGCCTTGCGCTTGTCGCCGGTTGAGCCCGACGAAGGCGTGCTGGATTTGTCTAGAGAGATACCCGACACTTCGCGAGTCAGGAGGTCACTAGATGGCGGCGGGACACAGTCTTGATGTTAGGAAAAAGAACCAAACAGTGTACGCGCAAATGGAAAGAGAGGGCACAGAGGCTTCGAAACTTACGCAGACTTTTCTCTCTTATGAGCGTCGTCGGCCTTTGGCGATCCGTCCTTGTTCTTACCTAGAAAGAAAGAAAATAACGTTAGAAAAATGCCAAATGGAAAGAGCTCACACTGCTCGTACCTTCCAGCATTCCAGCCAGGCTGCCCTGGGAAGTTGATGATGGGAATAGGTTGTTGTGGTTGAAGTTGGCGTTGAGGGGAGATGGCAACGGCTGGCTGCCAGTAATGAGCGTCCTACGTCTTCTGCGGCCGTTGCGGTTGTTCTCTTTGTCGGGCGTCTCGGGCTTGACGACCTTCTTGACAATCTGCTCAACGTCTCCAATTTCAATCAAGACGTTTTCGGGCTTGAGATCGGTGTGGATGATGCCACACTCCCGGTGTAGGTAATCCAGGCCAAGCAGGACTTGCTTGGTGATTTGCTTGACAAGAGGCATGGGAATACCGCGGTGGTTCCATCTCTTTATGAGGCCTAGCAGATTCTCGCCCAGCACCTCAAACACCATGCACATGTGGGTTCCGTTGGGGCCCTTGTGTTCGAACGAGTCGAGGAGGCTGACGACATGTTTGCGGCCGGGATGGTTGGGGTTGGCCTGGACGATCTTGTTGAGAAGCTTAATCTCATCGACGGCCGTCTCCGTGTAGTGGGTGGCGGAGCGCACCACCTTGAGCGCGACGTGTTTGCCGTTTGTGTTGTCCCGCGACAGCCAGACGGTCGAGAAGTGACCCCAGCCCAGCTTGCGCACAACCGTGTACTTGCCGTCCTTGAACTTTTCGCCAATCTGGACGGGGTGATAACCGCCCTTGCAGTAGTCTTCGGAATCTTCCTCGTCGGCCGTGTTCTCGGCGGGGTCGTCAGCCGCCGACGACGAGGACGGCGAGTGAGCCATGGTGGCGCTGGGCAATTGGCGGGTTCTAGATTGCAAGAAAAAACAAACAGCAGCAGTTAGCGATCGCGACTCGGGCTTGCGGACGCGCGTCAACAAGGAGAAAACGGTGGCAGACTTGATGGCCAAGCAACTACCTGGCCGCAAGACGATGGAATGGAGAGAAAGGGTCGAAGTTGGAGACAGGCGGGCGCAGGGATAGTGGCAGTTGATTGGGCGGTCTATGTGGGAAGGGGGGAAGAGGCTAGCGGTAAACTCCAGCCATAGAAACGCTTTGCGGGGTGACGGTATCAAGATTGTAAGCCCAACCCACTGCCTACAAACAACTGCGCGTGCGAGCGACACTGGCAGCTGCGGTGACAGCAGTGACAGCGGTAACTCAAAGTGAGAGATGGCAGCTGCCAGCCAAGGTACCTGATAGATGCCATGGACATCACGTACTTGACGCTACAATGGCAGCATGGCCGCAGTAGCGCTCATGGCAGCAGCAGCAGCAGTAGCAGCAAGTAGGAGCATTTGCAGCCAAGCGGGCCGCCCACTTGGGCGCGATAATCAAGGCCAAAAAGCCCCTTGCACATGCTCTTGAAAGGGGTCCTGTCGCTCGAAAGGGGGTTTGAAAAAGAGGGTATAGACAAGTAGGAGAAAGGTGAGGGGAACCTGGTCTTGAGAAAGCTCATGCTGTCTTTGACATTATGCAGCGTCTGTCCGCGGCAAATGGTTGGGCAATGAGATTCGCGGCTGGTTTCGGGCAGGGTCTATCCCAAAGATGGGATGACGAGAGGGACAATAAATAGGGCCCGTTTTGGCTAACCAGGAAGAGGAAGAAAAAAGAAGTAAATGTAAATGAAAAATAAAAATAAAATAAGGAACGGCAAAGTGCGCACAGAGCACAAAAGGTAGAGAACCTCGGGCTTTTTTCCTTCTTGCCCAGGCAGCAAACCGGGCAGACAAGGTGAGGGTTATTCTGGTAGAGGCGGTATCGTGACAAGGTGACAGAGGGGAGAAAGAACGAGAACGGCGTGGCAGCGAGAGTGAGACTGGCTGAGCACACACACACTCATCAACAGCCAGCCAGATCTTCATTGGCTGGGCACACCAATGATGACGGCGAGCAGCTGAAAGCGGCAGCAAAACAAGCCCGTACCTACTTGGGCCGTGGCTGTTCGATTCGACTACCCGCCCGAGCCAGCCCCTCCAGTGGGGCACGCTCACAGGCGCCGGCAGCTCTGCAAGCGGCGAAGCGCCCTGAAGCTGTGCCTTATAATGAGAACTTGGAGACCAGATGTTGGGATGAGAAAGAGAGTGAGAGGGAGGATCAGGGAGGATCAGGGTTGGAGCACGGAAGGATAACGACAGCGCCGAGTCCCCTTTTCCATATCATGAACAGACAGCCAAAGCAGCTATCCGGATAAACAAAACGAGGCTGGCAACGGGACCAACGGGATGCCCACGGAGCAGCACTCGGGCAACAGCGCGCGGAACCCTGGCCACATGGAAAGCCGCAGCAAACGAAAGTACAGCTCCATCGCCGTGGCAGTGGCAAACAACAAGAGCAAGGCAGAAATAATATGACCCTTTGCGAAATCAAACAACAACACAACACAGCATAAAGCAACGCAAAGACAACCCCCGGTTCGGCGCAGGACTCGGCGGTCATCAGCCTCGCGGAGCGGCCTCCAGCTCGTCACTCGACGTTGGCTGCGGCCCCGCTGATACGAACAGAGAGCATCTCCATCAGTGCTTCGTTCCAGCTCCAGCACAGAGGCACTAGAATCAGTGATGGTGATGGCATGGAGCCAGGGGCAAGAATGCACATGAAGTAATCAACACCATCTGCCCTGTTTTTTCTGCAGCTTCTGGGTCCCCTCTGGGCTCAACTCGAGCAAATGCCGGGCTCGGGAGGACCAAGACGGTGGAGCCGGCCATGTCATAGAGCGGGCACAGACAATGAGGGGCTAGCCACAGCGTGTGTAACGAATGAAGAAGCCATTTTGCATGCAAAGGCCATGCAGAGGGCAAAATCAGGAATAGAAACGAACCTGCGGCTGCGAGGTGATGATGAGGGATGTGACGGTGGAGTTGGACAAGTCGGTCAGGCACCCGACGGGCCTTTGCCAATGGCAGGGCAGACATGCAAATGATGGCGGATGGACACGCAGCTTTGCGCCGTGACCCCATGCTCACTCATCTCATCATCCATCCGTTGCCCGCAAGGCTTCAAGGGTTGGAGGGGTCACGTCGTACGGGGGCAGTGAGAAACAATCAAAGTAAACAACAACAAACGCAGACGCAACGACAAAGGGGGACGGGATCAGGGAATCAAAGACAGCTCACGAAACGTCGACTTACTCGTGCATGTCCGTGCTGTCCTGCGACTTGGACGCCTTGCCTGTTCCTGTTCCTGATGCCGCATCTGCGTCTGCAGGTCGCTGCGATGGTGGCCCCTCCATGGTGATGATGGGCTTGAGGCCGTCTTTCTTGCGCTTCTTGATGCTGATGCCGGAGCCGCTGGAACTGGGGGGAGCTGGGGCCTCTTTCTGGGGGTTGGCGGCATCCACGTCGCTGCCGCTCATAGCTGCAGACGGCGTCGTTGCTGCAAAGCAAAAAGGAAGCGCAAAGCAAAAGCAAAAGCAAGGTGGTGAGACGGAGGGGAAGATGGACGAGATGGGAAGAGCAAGGATTGGATTGGCCTGAAGGCGAGGCTGAGTTGGGTATCGATAGGTGAGGTAGTAAGTCAGTCGCAGTGTGGCAGGAGTGGTGCGCGTGGTTGCTGCTACGGGCCGGGCTACAGTATCGTGCCTCATGCAGGTAATCGCAGGCGCGTGTGATTTCTTATTTTTCTTGTTTTCCCCCCCTGTAATATGGATCAAAAAGGCCTCTCTACTGTATGTAAGAGTTGGGGGACTGGCTACGATAAGTGCTGCAGCCGATGACGCTCTTCCATCGTATTCATCTTGTTCCTGCATTTACTAGTGCGATGAAAAAATTCTTCAAATAAAAATTGAAGGATTAAAAATTGAAAATTAAAATAGAAAGAAAAAGAAAAAGAAAGGACTCGATAATTAATGTGCTTGCAAAAGAGGAGTAGATGGCGATGCAATGCGACAGCGTCATAGCACTAACGACGAGGAAGGAACATACTAGGAAGCAGCGACGCCTTGATCGACTCTGACTGCACTGTTTTTTTCTTCTTCTTTTTCACAATGACAAAGCCTAGTTGACAGGTCAGAGAATCACTGCGCTGTTAGGAGCGGAATCAAATGAGCGCATACGCAGGTCTCTTGCAACGAGACAAGATTGAAACCAACCTTCCGGCCTCGCTCAGCACCTGGACAGCACACGGCGGCTATGCGCAAATCCTTCGGTGACGAGCTGCTACTAGTAGGAAAACGCATCGGCTCACGAATGGAATGTCTCCTGTTATAAGACGACAGTGTCAGCTGAGATCGACCCACGAATGGCCGTCAAGGTAGCGGTATGGCTTGGAATTCACTCGCTGTAGGGCTGTCGCAAAATTGATTGATTACTGCAAGAGAAGCAGCAGGCCTGTTGATCGCTGGCTCAGGTCGGCGCTAGAGCACTATTACCGCATATGAAGTGTGATGATGGCCAAATATCGGCATGCGTTGTCATCGTTGGATTCGAGGCGAATTTCGAACAAGACAGATTACAGGTAAGTATCACTAAACAGTGACACAAGAGCCGTTGGAAGATGCTAACAAAGGCGCCGAGGCATTTCAAAATTCCTCGACTCAGATTCGCCTTGTTTGATAAAACCGTCATCGGGTGCTAGGACCGGTCCGGTCCGACATTGGTAACGAACCGCGGCGAAGAAAGAAACAAAGCATTGGTAAAAAGTGAAAGTCAATTCCCGTCCAGCACCCTCTACACTAAAAGGCCAAGATGTGATTTCCAAGAGAAGCAGAGAAATGGAAGAGCAAAGCACCACAACTTGGACAAGGGCGGGTCAAAGCAGCGAATCTTGTGACGCCGCTCTCGGCACTAATCTCGACACATGCACGCCATTCTCGTGCAGATAAAGATCGACTGAGGAGCATCAGTGACACAACTGAAGCAGAGGCCAGCTCCAACTCCACTCATGGGCTTTTTCTCTTTTCTTCTTCTTTTCCCTTTCCGTGCCTCTTTTTTGATTTCGGTCCAGCCGCTCGATGCGGATCCGCGGGACTCCACATCCCTCGCACTTTGTGCCTGGCCCCCATGAACGAATCTATTTGTCCAGCGTGGAGCATCTCGAATACGGTATCCCGAGGTTAATTGTCTGGATCTTCTGCTAACGAGAGGGGCATTATTCGGAATCCTCCCGTTACCATCACATGATGGGGTTTAATATCTCTGATTTTCCCTCAAGACTAAGACAAACCAGGATTGCATGGCGAGATTTTCTCCGTCGACGATCCAGACACAGTTGATGGCGGGATTCCTTTTCATCCTGCCTTGAAACCTGCCGAGTCACAAGTGAGAGAGTTTTCTTACTCGAAGCCTTCTCCTATAGGTCTCTCCCCTATCCATATCCCTATATCCCGGGAGCATAATGCCTACGGATATAGCCATCCAACAAGCATTAAACAGTTGCCACCAGCACGTGGGCTACCTTTAGCTGTAACATGCATGCCCTTGTACGGAGCTCGGGATGCAACATGCCTGATGCCAGACCACTGGGCTGATGCTTCGGAAAATTGCCCAAGGTCACTGCAATTACTCATACTAAGCAGTAGAGAGGTAGTACTGTCGGTGGGCCAAGCAAGCAGCTGATGGGTCTCAAAAGGGGAAATTTTATAGGCACCGGGAGTAGTACTCCGTACTTCCAACGCCGCGTGAAGGAGCGCAATCTTGAGACTCGCCGTAAGCGTACTCACACACACCGTATCTTATGCACACGACAGCTGACCCGTCATCCCGTTGATCTTTCCCATGGAAGGCACTCAGGAGTTGCTCGTCTTCCAGGCATTGCCAGCGCAGGCCGCCGCCCGTACGCGCACGGTTGTATCATCGAGCAATCCGAGGCTACTGCTAGTGCGAAAGAGAGTGCGAGAGCGGGAGAAGAGGAAACGGATTACGGACCCCCGTACTCCCGTATTGCTAATGCTAGGGAGAACCGATGTAGAACTAATCTTTGCTAGTACGTTGATATACATATCACCCGCCAAAATGCGGCCCGCGATGCCAAACCAACCGCTCCAGGTAGAGTACGGCCGCTGCCAAATCCTTCCCGTCGGACTTTTGATAGGGCTGCCGCTTCTATTCCTGAATACCACGAGTACTAATACTAAATGTAGCTAATCTCCCTACTAAGATACGGGACATCTTGGACGAGTTGTAATACGGGGTAAGGCAAACCCGGAGAAACCCTGAACTCGGTCCCTCAGCAAAGTTGCGGTTGATGAAGCCATTGACAACGACAAAAGGGTCACTCTATTCCATCTTTGCCGAGCCTGATTGGCCGCCGTGCAACATCGAAACCCCAGTTCCCGGTTCTCGGCAGATGACACTGCAGCCGCAACAAATAGCCGTCTGGATATAAGAGTTTTCTGGTTGTGGCGTGTTGCTGCATCCCCATTTTTGTCGTTCGATGAGGCCCCGGGCTAAGTCCCAATCTGCAAAGACCCTGACGCAATGGGCTGGTTCGAGTGACAGATCCCGGCATAGCAGCTCGCGTGCTTTTCCGCCCCCCCGTCCACTTTTCCCTCGACTCCGAGAAGCAACTGGGCGCCGAAGCGGCTGCAGTTCTAGAACACACCTGAAATTGGTGCGAGCCCGGGACCCTCCCCTGTCCGGAATCATACGATTCGCTTAAACCTCTTGTCAACGCGAGATTTGTCCCAAAACGCGGTGACGTTTGTGACAGGTTGGAGATTGGAAATTTTTTTTCTTTGGCTTTGTTTTCTCCTCAAGATCCAATTTTTTTTTTCTTCAGCCCTTGAGACCGCCAGGATTTGGCGTTGTCAAGCGGCACACATGCGGCCCAGCCGGGTCGTTACGGGAATTGGACTATCAGCCCATGGAGTCTATGCCCCCAACAATCATGGTGCTCTTGTCTTTCATTAATAAAGTCCATGGACTGCCCCAGAATCTTCAGTCTTCTTCTCCGCATAACCTTGATTGCTGTTGTTTTCTTCGCGAAACTACTTGTTACTTTATTTTTTCCAAGTTTTCTTTCTCTGTACTTGTAAAACTTTGATACCCTTTGATAGCATTGAGTCTCGGTTACTCCGTACCCAAGTTTGATATATACGTATACGCCCATATATACACACCCTTGTGTACACATACATATATACATATATATATCAACTTGCTTGTCAATTTGTTCCTTCAGCGGCCAAAACATTTCTCAACACATTCACCATGGCCTTGACTCCGCAACAAGTCAAGATGGTCAGGGACACCATTCCGGCTCTGACTGAGCAAGGAGAGGTCATCACAACCCTCTTCTACCGGAATATGCTCACGGCTCACCCAGAGCTCCATGACTACTTCAACACGGTCAATCAGGCCAACGGCCGTCAACCTCGTGCTCTGACGGCCATCATCCTCAGCTTCGCCAACAACATCAACCACATCACCGAGTTGATCCCCAAGATGGAACGAATGTGCCAGAAGCACTGCTCTCTCGGCATATTGCCCGAGCACTACGACATTGTGGCCAAGTATCTCATTGCCGCTTTTGGAGAGGTCCTTGGACCGGCCATGACTCCCCAAGTCCAGATTGCCTGGAGCAAAGCCTACTGGCTGCTTGCAAAGATGCTCATCGGCCGAGAGGCCCAGCTATATCACGATTGGCAGCATTGGCAGGGTTGGAGGAAGTTTCGCATTGAACAAAAGGTGGAGGAGTCGGATGACATTTACTCGTTCTATCTTGTCCCCGAAGACGGCAAGCAGCTGCCGAGCTTCATGCCGGGCCAGTACGTCTCGGTGCGCGTTCAGGTGCCGGACACGGGATATCTGCAATTACGACAATATTCGCTCTCTGAAAAGCCCAAGCCGGATTATTATCGCATCACGGTCAAGCGTGATCGAGGGTCGCAGATGACACGACACCCGAGTTACCTGTCAAACGAGTTTGGCACCAACCCCGGCGTCGTCTCTAACATGCTCATTGACCAGAAGAACGTCGGGGACTTGCTGGAACTCACTCACCCGGCGGGAGAGTTCTTCCTCGACACGTACAACACTTCCAACTCCCCTCTAGTGCTGATTTCTGCTGGCGTTGGCGTCACCCCCATGGTGGCCATCCTCAACTCTGTGATTGAGAAGCAGCCCAACAGGCCGGTGTCGTGGGTGCAAGGATCGCGAGACTCGATCCCGTTCTACCTCCACGTCCGAAAAATCGCCCGCGACAAGCCTCACATCAAGACCAACATCTTCAAGACGCGCCTTGCGGAATCTGATCTGGCGGGCGTCACTTATGATCACGACGCACGGGTGGACCTTGACAAGGTGCACGCGGAAGAGTTGTGGCTAAACAATTCGTCTACCGAGTACTTTATCTGCGGGCCGGAGCAGTTTATGATGGAGATGGCCAAGCGCCTGAGGGAGTTTGGCGTTCATGGCGATAGGATCAAGCTTGAGCTTTTTAGCACGGGTGATACTGAGTTCCAGGTTGATGCTTTGAGCATTGCGTCTGGACGATCTCAGGCGGCGACATCTTGCAGCAGCAGCAATTAAATGGATTACGCTGCCAACAAATGGGTACCTATGGGAATATCTCTACATGCACATGCACGAGACCGCAAACCCACAAACGCACACGAGCAGACAGACACACACTTAAAGTGTACGAAATTAATAGGACAGTTCGGAAGGACGGGAAGAGGAAGGAGGGGAGTCAAGTTCATGAAGTATAAAGGTAGAACCGGGCAAAATCGCAGGATTGGAAAGGGCACATACTGGGCAGTATACGACATGTTGACGAAACATCAATACTACAAAAAGAGGCGGGATAAAGAGAAATGGGGAAAACTTTTATTTTGGCATAAGTCAGCAGTGGCTTGCGGGACAGGTGGCGTTCTTTTGTCTTTTGCTTTGCTTTATTTTCCATCAAAGAGATTGAGAATTGTATCGTTTCAGGTTTTTGTTGAAGGAGAATTATGGTAGTGATGTGATACATGGCATTCTGGATATTATGAGCAGCTTTAATGACGAATGGATAATAACTATTTTCAAGTATAGCAGTCAAGTCTGAAAAGTAGAATCGACTCGACATCACTGTCAAAGGAGTTTGACATTCTTATACATACACACGTATCGACGTATCGTCAAGCATCATTCGTCAACCTTCATCCAAACGCTTCACGGCTGCTTTGCAAACCGGTGGCTCCAAAATCCAGGCCACCAGTCCTTGACCTCCTCAACCAACCACCTCGCAATCGCCGCATTCACATCCTCAGGCTTCTCAACCGCAAGGTGGTGCCCCGCCTCGACGATTGTCTCCGTCAGTTTCTCGCACTTTCGCCTCATATAGACGGTAGCCCCCGAGTTTCGCGCACAGTCGCTGACGCTGTCCCATCTTGCGTGGACGAAGAGCACGGGCATGGAGAGCTTGCCGTCGTGCTTGCTGTGTGCGAGATTATACTCTTCGTTGGCTTTGTGGTTCATGTAGTAGCATCCGGCCGAGCCGAAGCCCGTCTTTTCCATGGCTGCTACGAATTCCTGAAAGACGTCGAGCTTCATGATGAGCTCTTCGTCTTTGACGGTTGAAGGAGGAGGAGGGCTATCGATGCCGCCGAACCAGCCGCCTTGCTTGAGGACGTTTGCCCTGGGAGAGGGTGTGTCCTCGGGGAGCCACTCTGGCTTTCGGAAGAGATATCGCAGCATGGTGTGCGGGCTCTTGTTTTGAAAGGCAATCGCCTTGTCAAAGGACTGCTCGTAAAACGCCATGTAGCTGAGCTGGCCGTATGGATACTCGTTCTCGGGATAGACATGGCGATCGACGGCGGCCAACAGCCCTGTCCAGCCGCGCTCCAGGACTCCATACGGGATGGCGAGCCCGGCGACGGCCCGAACGACCTCGGGCCGGGTGTTTGCGATGGTGTACACGGTGGCGCAGCCCCAGTCGTGTCCTACCCAGATGGCTTGGTCTCTGCCTGTGTCGTGAAGCACGGCGAGGACGCCCTCAACGACTTTTTCCTGGGAGTAGTCTGTCTTGACGCTGGTGGTTGTTGATCTGCCGTAACCTGGCATATCGGGGGCGACTACTCGGAACCCGAGGCTGGAGAAAGCCTGGAGCTGGGGATGCCAGGTTTTGGCGATGCCGGGCCAGCCGTGGACGAAGATGATGAGAGGGCCTTGCCGAGGGCCGGCGGCGAGGTAGAAGATGGACTTGGCTTCATCGCCGTAGGTGACGGAGTGTTCCTCATACGGAATGGCTGACATGTTGTTCTTGAAGCTTCTCTTTTCAGCCTGTCTCTTTGTGGGGTCTTGTGTTTTCGTCCTTGTTGCTTTCAAGATTGAGTCTGGTTGGTTTCAGTCAATGGGTGACTGGTGTGAACTTTATATCAAGCCAGCTCACCTGCATCTTTTATGTGCCATTTTCAACTCCGAGTGTTACACTCGGCATCAGCTTCCGTTCCCGAGGCAGCTATTCCGAGGTGTTACCTCATTGTGTTGCCAAGCTGTGCAAGAAGGGTAGTATTCCATGGTAAATAGACGATCTGCAAGAATTGGAGTTGATGGTAGTCGACAAGTCGATTACAGTTGCACCGAGACCACAAGGCGATGATTAATCACAAAATGTGATTTTTAATCACCCAGACGGGTAAACCTTCAAAGCTATAGCTTTGTAGCCTGCGTCATGATGGATTTGAGATGGAGAGAAGCCATTAAGATGAGTAGCGGAGGCATTCGTTTAGACAGTGCGTTGGTACATGGCCAAGTTGTCGCCGTCTTGAGATGCTTGTGAGATTGATCATAACGTTATCCGGCTGTCCAATCTTCAAGCTATACCTTTTCAGCTTGTGTCACGATAGCTTTGGGGGTGGAGAGAAGCCGTCGAGATAGAGTAATGGAAGCGTTTGTTTAAACAGTAAATTGGTAGCCAAGTTGTCGCCGTTTTGACATCCAGCCTGTGCGATCGATCGCAACGCCACCCGACTCTCCAATCATCGCTTTTCTACCGTTAACAGCTTCAATCCCAAGCTTGTCCCAAGCTCAACTAAGCTCATCCCAATTGAATTCTTTGAATAGCAATCGCGCTTCCGGGTAGCTACAGCACTGGCGATGCTGCGGCCGCGGGATCTCGCCAACGTTACGCGGGATCGTCACCCGCTGCAGATCCAAACGAACCTGCAGGACAAGTTGAAGAAACGGACTCTGCCGCTTAGCTTCGCTAACGAGCAAAGAGGAGCTTGGGCTGGGTGACAAGCATAATCAACCATAATCAACTGACCGCTTTAGCTCCGTCGTTAGCGATGCTTCAGAGCCCTGTCAGCGACGCCAAAGGAGCCAGGCCAGCCACCGGCTCAAGTTTCTTGCGTGTGTATCCACCGCGAATAGTTTCATGGGCATGGGGGCGGTTCGTGACGCCTCGCAAGCGCCGTGGTCAGCACCTTGAGCGAATCTTCAGGGTCTCGATGCCGTGTCCTGTGTGTGTCTGTAACTCCGTATGGCGCGTAGGTTTTGTGGCATATCAGTGACTTGCGCACGTTTTTGATAGGGGCGGTCCAGAGATAAGGGCCATTTAGTTTGGCTTGGGGGCGTAGAAGCTAGAGGGAATTCGCAATGAATAGAGAAGAATAGCTCGCTAAGTTGTTAGCTGGTTGCTAGTAGCGTTGATGGCTTGGGATGCCGCGATCAAGATCTGACCAACCGTCCCCTTTGTGTGATTTCCAGAGCTTTGCTTCTCTCTGCTTCGATCAGGTTTGCATAGCTCTTTCTCTCTGAATTGTGTCCAGCCATGTGTTGCTAGCTGCCAGATTCACGGAGCTTCGGCCCTCTTCTCTCTCTCCCCCTTTTCCCTGCTCCTCTCCAAAAACAGGCCAGTCTCTGGGCCATCATGCTTCTCACCCCTACCTTGCACACTCCCAGGAATGGCGATTTTGGGCTCTCAATCAACGCAACGGACAATTCAAGCCAAACGGCGTATTACCCCGCGTCTTCCCGTGCTGCTTGTGGCTCCTTGGCTCCTTGGCTTCTGACCGGGTTTGATTTGCTCATCTAGAAAGCTTCCATATCCATATCCATGCCTGGCCTGAGCATTGGCTGTTTCTCTCCAAGCAATCGCAGAGCCCCCGGTTACTCGAACTAGGGCCGATTTTCCTCAATTCACATCCCGGCAACGTTTCTTCTTTCTTCTTCTTTCGGATATCGCCGTGTTCATTTTCACGGCGTTTTCTCTTCTCTTTCTTTTTCTTGACATTTTTGCATTACGAGCGATACTGCCATTTATTTATTTTTATGAATTATTGTTTTTTATCGGCCATGTCTCTGTGATTTATTTTTTTAATTCACGACTTCGTTTTGTACCCTTTTTTTTGATACAGTTTTCTCGGCGGAACCGGCTTGCATGGAGAGTCGGTAAAAGAAAAGGGTGTTCTTTCGCAACCACTTTCCTGAATGGCGCGCCGGGTCCGAAAGACGCCGTGGAGCCGCACGGGATGCAGTACGTGCAAGCGGAGGAGAAAGAAGTGTGAGTCTCCTTCTGCCATTTCTATTTCGAGCGGGCGTCGCGGCATGTGTTTGGGGGCTGTATGGACTCGTGTGCGTGAGACACGGCAGAAGACAGAGACACCAGGCAGCGAGAGAGAAACAACAGAGACTATGGATTTGACTGACGCTGAGAACTGCAGGTGATGGCCAAAAGCCGAGGTAGGTTTTAAGCAGCTCTTTTTCTTTCTTTTGTTTCGATCTCTTTTTTTGCAAGCACTTTACGCGAAGATACTATCGACTAGCCGAAGCTCGACGAGCTTACCTCGGACCGAACTTGCTACCCTTTTGATTGATTCCCTTTGCTGGGGATTTTGTTCCAACTGACGTTTCTTGACAATGGCAGGTGTCAGACATGCCTGCGGCTGGGCCTCGAATGCGTACAGTTCGACATCTTCTGTCCCATCAACGTTGTTACACCGACACGCGAATCCCGGCCGTCTAGAGCGGTGACGGACGCCGACCCGGAGCCAGATCCGGAGGAATCGAATCACTCGAGCCCGGCATCGACATCATCGGGGTCTTCCGGCGGCACGGCAGACGACGCAGAGTCCAGCAGCGAGCCGGCGGAATGGCAGAGCGTCTCTTCTTCCTCTTCCGCGCTGGTGCCGTCGACGGCTCGACGGAGGCTCTCGCAGTCGTCGTCATCGTCGCGGTCGTCACAGTCGCAGTATGAGTCGCAGTTTCAGCTACAATCATCACCGCACCAACACCAACATCACCAACATCATCACCAGGTGGCCCTGCGGACTCGCGGCGGCTCGCGGGACGAGCGGCCGATGCCATCGCTTTCGGCCTTTTCATACCTGTCTACGAGCGAATACTTCTTTCTGCAATACTACCTGGAGCGGCTGAGCAACGTGCTGGTCAACGCAAACAGCTTCGTCAACCCGCTCAAGCAGCTCATCCTACCGCGGATCGCCTCGTCGAATCTGCTACTCGACGCAATCTGCGCCACCGCAGCTGTACATCGATCGAGTGCAAACGACGTCGACCGGTCAGAATACTCAACCATGGCGACGCGGTACTACGTCCGCGTGCTGTCGGCCGTGCGGGACTTGATTCCGAGAGTGACAAACAGTTCAAGCGGTGCCTCTGGCTCTGGTTCCAGCAGCAGGAGAAGAGAGCTGATAACTGATGGTAGAGAGTCAAGTCCCGTCGAGAGCGAAAGCAGCGGTGACTACGGTAACAGTAACAGCAATGGCAAGGGGAAAATAAAGAACAAGAACAAGAGGAAGGTCATCATCGAGGACAAGGACACGGCCGAGATGGCCATTCTGGCGTCCATCTTCCTGTGCAAATACGAAATCATCAAGGACGGCGTGGAGAACTGGCGCTTCCATCTGCGAGGCATCGAGTCGCTGTGCCAGTCGCTGGACGCGGAGCAGCAAGCTTCCATGTCGAATACGCTGGCCTACGTCCGTAGTTTGTGAGTGCAGAGAATGCACCCTTTTCTTTTCTTCTCCCTCTCCCTCTTCCTCTTCATCAGCGTCATCTTCTGATTCTTGTTTCCTTTTGATCTTGAGCTAATCGGTCCAAAATATAGCATGTCGTATCATAAGAATATTGCTCGCGTCACAGAATACGCGCCGCACTTCAGAGAAGAGGAATTTGAGCATGAGCCATTCGAGATTGGCACGCTGTTTCCAGTTGACCCGTACATGGGCTTCTCGCAGAGCCTCATTATTCTTCTCGGCCGCGTCAACGACCTCCTCGTGATAAACATACGAGATGAACCGTATAAAGTGAAGGCAGAAGTGGAGGAAATGTAAGTGAAGAAATCAATAACTGTCCCCGCACCGACTGGTCAATTGACTGACTGACTGACTGACTGTCTCGAATTAGATTAAGCCTGCTGGCCAGGAGAAGCTGGAGTGCGGATCGGTTTGCCATTCCTGAGGGCATGGGTCCCTCAACGATTGAAAACTCGTCACATATTGCTGAGGCGTATCGATGTGCCGTCATTGCGTGTATTCATGCCGCGCTCGAGATTCTGGCGGAGAGAGAAAGAGACGGCGCCATTTATTCCCCACTGGAGCCGATGGAGGAGCTCTCATTACAATCCCAATTGCAGTCAACAATCCCCATCCCAATCTCCATTCCCATCCCCATAGACTGGGCATCCCTGCATGCCCTTTTGCCCTTAGAAAAGGCCGAGGCCTTGACAGACTGTCTGGCGGCGGTGGCGCGGGTTCCGCTTGGATGTCCGGAAGAGGCCGGTCTGTTGCCGCTGCTGTTTATCGTCGCGTGCGAGACCAACCGACAGGACCAGGCAAAGGAGGCGCTGCTGCGGGTGGAAGCGCTGGGGAGCCACATTGGGCTTGGGAACGTGCGATGTGCGAGCCTGTTGCTGAAGGAGGTTTGGGTGAAGAAGTCGGTGCAGAAAGACTTTCACGACTGGCGGGGGTTGCTGGCCAAGGTGAAGTGGGATCTCATCATTACTTGATGAATGGGGAGACCGACGTCTTTGAGGGATGATGATCGTTCAGATGTCATGATAGAGCGATCATTATTGATGAGAGATGATGATCATTGAGAGTTGATGACCATTGACACATGTGAAGGTCCATCATCCATGAAGAGTTTCATGGTCAATTGAGAGGTCGTCAACTGAGAGGCCGTCAATTAGGAGATCATCGTCAATGATGAATGCATCATCGATGGAGAGGTCATCAACTGAGAGATGATTCCTTGTGAGACCATCAACTGAGACGCCATCAATTGAGAGACCATCGACTGAGAAGCCATCGTGGATTGAGAAGCTGTCGGCTGAGATCATCCTGCGTGAGGCCATCGATTGAGACTTCATCACCCGAGAAAGAGAGAGTGAGAGAAATGGCGTATTTGCGACCTAAAATGATGTGTTTCTCCTCTTTCTTGTTCCCTTTTTTCTTTGTCTTCTTTTTGATTCGCTTCTTTTCTTTTTTCATGTGTTGTTTAGCCCGTTTTTCGTTGTCGATTCGATATTCTCGCGCCCGTGGAATTGTGTCATTTTGACTTGGTATGGGAAACAAACACGACGGGAACAAATGGCGTCTTTAGCTATAGTATATAACCAAAACTAGTAATTTCGTGAGAAAAAACCCCCCCCATCACTCGGAGAAAACACGAAAGAAATGGGGAACGGACAGACCTTGGCCTTTATTTAAATGTGATCAACTCCCAAGTTTAGCAGCTGACTAGCAGCCACCAAAAGACTTGCTAGTCATGCAGTGACAAAATAAATGGCTTGATCCACGCGGTTGGTCCGGGGGTTTTCGCTGATGATTCTGCTTCCGAAGAAATAGAATAGGGTTGCCAGCTCAAAAAAGTCTCTTTGCTTTTCTGACAGGACAAGGAGGACGGACGGAGAGAATCTCCACAGCGGGTTGATTTTCCTTTTAGTGCGCGTATCTTTGGCCCAAAGAGGGATCGGGGAAGAGACGGCCGCCTCCGCATTTCATGGTGGTTGGCTCGATGGGAACAGATCGGATGTTGGTTCCCTTGTCAATAAGGCGTTTGGGTAAATTCAAACAAGGGAGGAGAGGAGGGGGGAGGGGGGACCCTAAACTGATAGTTCGATGAACGAGGATAGAGGGGAAAGCTCCGATTCGGAAGTTGAAGTGTAAGTTGTACGCTGGCGTGAGTTTCTAGTGGTGTTGGGGATGGGATCAACGAGAGGGCGTGATAAGGGGGACTGGACTAACTGGATTATATACCTGGAGGCGTGGGCGGTTGGGCACGTATGGATCATGTACTACTCGTATCGTAATCTGTGGGTATTGGAGTCTAATACAACAGTAACGGGAACGAATGGAGGCCGGAATGTGATGATGGGCATGGCTTAGTATAAGAGGGCTTGACGCCTCCCCCCCTGGAGCATCTGTCAACTTGTCGACTTGACTGGTCAGCTTTGGGATCTCGGCTGGAGAATTAAAGGCTGAAAGTAGCAGGCAAAGATCCTTACCTTACTTGCCGTCTTTGCTAACACCACTTGGGTACTGAATGCTACTGCTGGTGGTGGCACTGTACAACTATTCTGATACGGATCTGACTGTTCCGGATACTATTCTGGATACCGGCACTATTCCCGTGTGCAACGACAACACAACGGACCATAAGCACGGCTACGTCAACAGACGACTCGTTGATACCGGCAGCTCGGTGAACTCCCGTTTGTTATACTTCGGAGTATTATACCGAGTGCGGAGTGCATATGCTATTGCATACTATTCAATACTATACGGAGTACACTCGGCATTTGCATCTTGTTCACATCTAGAGGAGGTATCATTGCATACCACCTATTATACAGCCAGAAATGCATCCCTTTGATCCCATCCGCCCCGAGGAAATCACCCTCACCACATCCATCCTCAAGGCCGCCCTCCCCGGCGTCAACCTCCGCTTCAAAGTCATCGACGTCAAGGAGCCCATCAAGCAACATGTCATCCCCTACATCGAGGCCGAGCGGACAGGCCAGCCTCTCCCAAAGCCGCCGCCTCGCCTCGTCTACAGCTACTTGCACCGCCTGGACTCTTATGCCTTCCTCAAGGCCGTCGTTAACCTCGACACAAAGGCCGTCGTCGATCTCAAGGAGCTGCCCAAACACATCCAGGGCCCCGTCGACGTGGACGAGATGATTGGGCTCGAGACGGTGATTCTGAAGCACCCGCGGGTGATTGCCGAGATTGAGAAGCTCAAGCTGCCCGAGGGCGTCACGGTCTGCACCGATCCGTGGATCTACGGCACGGACGACGAGGCCGAGACGCGGAGGCTGGTGCAGTTTTACATGTTTATCGTGCCTGTGGCGCATCCGCAGTCGAACCACTACTCGCTGCCGTGTGCGTTTTCGCCGGTGATTGATGCCAATACCATGGAACTTGTTCGCATCGACTATCTTCCCACAGGAGGCGATCACTCATTCGTCGAGACGCAGCCGTGGAAGCCCGTCAAGGCTGTTGAATACGCCCATGAACTACTAGAAACGCCCCAGCGGACGGACTTGAAGCCGTTGATTGTGCAGCAGCCCGAAGGTCCATCATTTTCGCTCGACGGCCACCTGGTCAACTGGCAGAAATGGCGGTTCCGCGTGGGATTCAACTACCGCGAGGGCCTCGTGCTGTACAACCTCACCTACGACGGCCGCAACGTCTTTTACCGTCTTGCCCTGTCCGAAATGACGGTCCCTTACGGAGACCCTCGAAAGCCGTTCCATCGAAAGCAGGCGTTTGATGTGGGTGACGTTGGATTGGGCATCACCTGCAACCAGCTCAGCCTCGGATGCGACTGTCTGGGCCACATCAAGTACTTTGACGGCTTCAGGATCGATTCGCAGGGACGACCGGTGCATCTGCAGAATGTCATTTGTCTGCACGAGCAAGATGCTGGAATCCTGCACAAGCACACAAACTACCGCAACGGCCAGGCGACGGTGGTGCGCAACCGGCAGCTGGTGGTGCAGATGATTTGCACCGTCTCCAACTACGAGTACATCTTCGCCTGGATTCTAGACCAGGCTGGTGGTGTCGAGTTCGAAGTTCGTGCCACGGGCATCCTGTCGACGATCCCGATTGACGATGCCGAGGGCCTCAAGCTGCCCTTCTCAACCCCCGTTGGGCCCGGAGTATCGGCGCCGTATCACCAGCACATCTTCAACCTGCGCGTCGACCCGGCGATTGACGGCTTCAACAACACCGTCATCTACGAGGACAGCGTGCCGCTCGACCCGCAGGAGCACGGCATCGACGACCCTTACGGCGTGGGCTACGTGGCTCGCACGACGGTGCTGGACAAGGCGGGCTTCGCCGACACAAACGTCGAGCTGGGCCGCGTCTTCAAGATCCGCAACGACAGCATCATCAACGCCATCAGCCGCAAGCCCGTAGCCTACAAGGTCCAGACCGTCGCCAGCCAGCGAATGCTCATGTCCGCCCGCTCCTTCAACGCCCGCCGCGCGCGCTTCCACGAGCACGCCGTCTGGGTGACGCGCCACCGCGACGACGAGCTCTTTGCCGCGGGCGAGTTTACCAACCAGAGCCGCCTGAGTACAGGTGTTGATGCCTACGCGGCCCGAGGCGACGATATTTTGAATCAGGATGTGGTGTTTTGGCACACTTTTGCGCTGACGCACAACCCGCGGCCCGAGGACTTTCCCGTGATGCCCGTGGAGAGGCTGAGTGTTCATTTCAAGCCTGTGGGGTTCCATGAGAAGAACCCGGCGTTGGATGTGCCGAGCTCGCAGCAGGCGGAGAACAAGTCGACGCTGGTAGAGGCGACGGGAGAGGCGGCGGCGTGTTGCGAGACGACGACGGCGAGCAAATTGTGAAGAAGTTGATATTACAGTAGGGATAGAAGCAGGGAAGATAGGGATATGTAGAGTATGTTGGACATGGTACGGAGATGTGGCTATTGTTGTGATGTTTAAAGAGCTGTTGATATGATGATATTACGATCGATACATGGTTGTGTATGTACACTTGGATGGAAGAGATGGATTACGTTGACGACGACGATGATTATGAGTAAACTGGGAGGTACATTGTGCGGATTTGTATTGTTTTACATCTCGTTACTAGCTTTGATATAAAGCCTTCTTTGGTGATGTTCTTTCAGGAGTCATCTATTGTAACATAGGTATCTATAGCATCTTTTCTGCTCAAGCAAATAAAGCAACATTCCTTTGGATTCCATTCCATATTCGTTTCAAGCATCAACATTCACCATCTTTCTCTCCTTCTTTACTTGCTAAGCAGCGCCTTTTCAATCACCCGCGCCGCCTGCAGCACCATCCGCTCGTGATACCGCTTGCCCACAACCTGAATACCAATCGGCAGGCCCTCGGCGTCGTCGGCAGAGTAAATCTCCCAGTAGTGCTTCTCCAGGTCATTCTTGGGCTTGTACTCCTCTCTGAGCTCTGCGGGAGTCGCATCGCCCACCAGCTTGCCCGCCGGCATCGCCACAGCCGGATACTGCAGCAGGTTCCAGATGGATGTGTAGCCCCAGTATCTCGTCGCTCCGTGGGGGCCGGCCACACTTGGGTAGATGGGAGCGAGCACCACATCGACGTCGAACTGGTTCCAGTGATCGCTGTACTCTTGGCGGAACCCATCACGAGCTTCCTTGAGGCCCTCGGGAGACGAAGCCACGGAAGCGCGGCCCTTTTGGCACTCGTTGATGATCCACTCCGTCAGGGGCAAGACGGCCTCGCCACCCTTTGCGCAGAGCGCGCGGATGTTTGCGCCGCCATCCTCAAAGTAATTTGCGGCAATGATGCTCCAGCCCCTGGCGTGGTCCATGGGCGAAAAGGACACAGTCTGGACGTCGATGGCACGGCCCAACTTCTCGGCAATCTTGCGCATGGCAGCCTTGACCGGCGGAAGCGGCGACACCACGCCGTCATCTGACAGAATGCCGACCTTGAGTGGGCGAGTCTCATCTAGCTGGCGACCCATAGCGGACGACAGGATGCTGCCGGGGATGAGCGAGACGTCGTCGATCCAGGGGAGGGTCGAGGAGTAGGCCTTGCAGAAGAGCTCGAGGTCGCGGAGGGAGCGCGCAAAGGGGCCCAGAGTGCCGACAATGGAGTCGTGGCCGGGGGTTGGGACGACGACGCCCTTGCCGCTAAACCGACTAGGCGAGGGCTTGAAGCCGTAGAGCTTTAGAATGATTCATGTCAGCATCACTGAGGGCAGGGTAACAATCATGGTACACAATGGGCCTTCTTCTTACCCCGTTGAACGCTGCTGGAACTCTGATGGAACCTCCAATGTCACCTCCAATGCCTAGTACCGACGCATGCATGCCCATCAGCGCCGCCTCACCACCCGTGCTACCTCCCGCCGTCAGCTGGCGGTTCCGCGGGTTCACCGTGGTGCCGTAGATGTTGTTGGAGGTCTCGAGGTGCATGCCGGCCTGAGGCTGGTTGGTGCGGGCAAAGACGACAGCGCCCAGCTTGCGGAACGTCTTGACAATGGCGGCGTCATCGTGGCTGGTGCTGTTGATCCAGGTGACGAAGCCGGCGTTTGTGAGGTGGGATGCGACGCCGATCTGGTTCTTGAGGGAGAGGGGGATGCCGTGGAGGGGGCCGATGAGGCGGCCAGTGAGGGCGAGATGCTGGTCGCAGGCCTCGGCGTCGTAGATGGCTTCAGCGAGGAGCTCGGTGAGGCAGTTTGTCTGTGAGGATGATTTAGCATGAAATACTGGATGTGGACGGAGAGAGACTGTATAATGTTGATAGAGAGAGAGTATTGAAGCGATGGGTAGAGCGGTAGCTGAAGATGAGGAGATAGAGAGAGGGGTTGGAGGGGTAAAGGGGGTTGATTGATGGAGGGGAAAAGCGTCGACACAGACAACAGAGTCGAACAGAGGTGATGATAATGAAGAAGTAGAGATGGATAGAAAACAAGAGACGATATTGGATCCAACACCATCACCCAAAACTCACACATTGCTGGGCAATCGTCGCCCTCTTGCGAAACGCCGAGAGCAGCTCCACGGCCGTCACCTTCTTGGCTGCCAGCATCTCCAGCAGCGCCGTGGCATCGTAATCTTCGGTGAGCTGCAGCTCGGCGTCGGACAGCAGGCCGCTGGACCGGGGCACCGAGGTGACGTCCTGAGGCAAGGCAGTGATTTGCGAGAGGGAGAAGAGCACGCTCTTGTCGAGGGAGGCATCGCGCAGGGAGATTGCCGTGCGGATGTGGTCCTGCTGTTCAGTCATGTTTGCTTTGCTTTGTTTGTTTGTGGTGATGTCGGTTGTCTGAATGTGGTGTTGTTATGAGGGAAGCATTTGGTGGGCAGAGGCAGAGGCACCGAGAAATCAAAAGGTGAGTGAATTGATTGATTGATGCAAGGCTGTCAAATCTTCAATTTAGATATGATACAGAGATAGATAGATAGAGAGCTTTAACCATGATCCAACTTTTTGGTCGGAACCCCCTCAGTTATGTTTTCTTTCCCTCCCAAAACGGCATCTAGCTACCCCATGGCTGCCCAACATGCATCTACAGGAAAATCATCCAACTGTTAAAGAATCAAGAATAAAAAAGAAGAATTAAAAAAGAATTAAACAGCTCAATACCACCATCCTCAATGCCCACAAAAAACCCTCAACCCCTCTTAGCGTATATATTGCCCCCTTTGGCATAGCACTCGATGCCGGCACGCAAAGCCGGAAGGAACGAGCAACAAGCTTAGCAGAAAAGAAACGAACGGACTTTTCTTTGTCAAGAAGCTGCAACTCTACGGAGTAGTCTATCACCAAAGTGAACAGACGGGAACTTGTTTGGACGGGACTGATTCCCGCGCGGGGTTTCCCGGCGGAAAATGGAGTCTAGCCCCGGGGGTCCCTTTTTTAAAATCGTACGTCAATGCCTTTATTTTAGTTCATACATGTTCTTTATTTTAGTTTTAAAAACCCCTGTGGTGCTGATTGTATTGTTCCTAGGTTCCGCGACTAGCAACGGGTCGTTGATGAAATGGGGCCCGGGATTTGTTGCTTGGATCAAGGGTTGGTTGGTGGGCTTGTGGGTTGCATTGCGACGCTGTGTTGGTTATGATGAAGATTGCAAAACGGCTTGGCGTCGATGTGATTGAACTGAGTGGGTGTCGAGGGTATCCGTCCGCTAGTCCGGGTGCGACGGCTGCGAGTATTGATTGATTGTGCTGATGCTGTGAATAACAATATTGGTGTTCTTGGTAATGATTTGCGACGAGAAATGTCAGCCATAGAATGAGCGGTGTTGGAACCAACAGTACCAAATAGCAGTAGTCAATATGTGATGGAACCAACAGTAGCAAGTAGTCAGAATGTGTTAATGTCATCTTATGATTCATATTCAAAAGCTTTGCAATTTATATGCTATTGGCATCGAGCTCATACCCATGAGCATGCCCCAGGTATCCCAATATTTCCCATTTCCATGATATGCCGTGACAGACATGCAACCATTAGTATGTATATATGTGTAATCGTTAAAACAAATCCCTGAAAAAAGTAAAAAGGTAGCTCCAGACCCCAGGCTTCATTGTACGTTCGTTAAAAAAACAGTAGCAGAGAAGAATAAATCGCTCTACTCCTTCTGTGAGCCTGCCGACTCGCTCTGGTCAACAGCCTTCTCGTGAGCTTGCTCGTGCTCGTGTTCGTGCTCGTGGTCCTCTACGACCTCTTCAAACGCCTCAGGAATCACCACGCCCTCCTCTTGTCCATACTTCGTATCAGTCGTGTAAAGGTAAATGGCAACCATGGTGAGGCACAGTCCCACAATCATCATGCCAAAGTAAGATCCGGCCTCCCTGATAAACTGCACGCCGTGAGAGTCGATTCCGAAGGCCGTGGCCGTGCCAAATGCCTGGAAGCCCTTGAAGTAACCGCTGTAGCGTCCCAGAACATGTGGCTCGTTGGAAAAGGTGCTGTAGGTCCAGTGGTGGAAGTTTTGGAAGATGGGGTAGCAAGCTCCAAACAGAATGTAGATGACAAAGGGACCGGCAAACTTGCTCGTCTCGGTCCAGTCAATGGCACGCGGCGTCTCTGATCGGTCAATGTGGTTGACGGACAGGAACGAGACCATGGCGATCCAGGTTCCTCCAATGACAAAGGCCACGAATCCTCCAGCAACGAAAGCTCGGCGTCGACGAGATCCAAAGATTTTGGCGTCGCAGATCCAGGCAATGGCGAGGGCTCCCAGGACTTGGAAAATCCAGTAGCAGAACTAGAAATCACCCTTTGTTAGGACTTTAAACTAGATGGTTGCATAATTAAGTGTACTAGTACTCACGTTGGCAAGAGATCGTGTTCTGGCGTTGAAGTACCAGGCGTTAAAGGCTCCGGTCAAGGACAGGTACATCTCGCTGCTGTAGATGGAGAGGGTGATGAGCGCCATCTTGGGCTCCAGCATGGTCAGGCCGAGAGCCTTGAGCTCCTGGTACCACGGAAGAGGGGTGAAGGAGGCAATTGGGCGGCCATCATTGCGTCGAAGCTTGGAGGGATCCAGCAGCAGGCCGGCGATAAGCAGACCAGCGCACTCGAGGCAGATGAAGATGATGTAGACGGATGAAGGCACTCCGGAGACGGAAGTGTTGTTGATGGTGACACCCAGGACGATGGCTGTGATTTTCGCGTCTTGTTAGTTACAGATGGTTATGAAGGGCTGGAGGTTTGATTAAACGGACCTGCTCCGACAACGGAACCCATGGCATTGAGAACCCATGATGTGGCAATGTATTTTCCCTTTTCCGCCTCGGTTGGGTAGCAAGTGGTGATGTAGCCTAGAAGATTCAATTCATGTAAGTACGGCCTCTTTTCTTCAACGTTTATGATGGGCGCAAGACATACCTTGAGTCGACCAGAGAAGACCCGCGGAGAGACCCAGCCAAGCACCGCCAAAGATGACGAACCAGCTTCCTTCGCCCTTGTCAATCCACCTATTGAGCGTGCAATGATTAGCCTCTGTTTTCCACCTTGTTCAGTGGGAAATGGGGAATTGTTTGCAAACGTACCATAGAGATCCGGCATACATCGGGTAGCCCGTGGCACCAATCATCAGCGCCCATCGTGGTCCAATCTTGTTGATGATACTGCCGCCCAGAATACCAGATGCTCCAAATAGACAGTAGAGAACGACGTTTGCCTTGTTGACGATTCCAATCAGCTGCGGCTGCTTGCCTCCAGCACCCAGGCCGGTGATGGCGAGGTACGTGCCCGGGTTACAGAACAGCACGAAGCCGACAATGATGGTTTGAACGAATGGCCTACGAGGGTTGGCACGAGTCAGTCAGCAATTCGCGATACGCGTAAACCAAGTGTGAAACGTACGAGTTGTATCGCCATGTCGACAGGCGCTGGTGTTGCGGTTGCGCCTCTACGACGGCAACCTCGTCCTTGTCGGCGGCGGCCATGATGAAAGGACGAAATGGGAGGAGAGTAATCCTTTCCTGCTTCTTCAAGCAATTGATGAAGCGATGGAGAGGAGGAGAGAAGACGATGATGAGAGGGGACACTAGCAGCTTAGATGGAGCGGGCCGCCTTTGTTATAAATGCCTGCTCTAGTAGTGTCTGTAGCATTGTATCGCATCAGTTCAGAGCCTCCCCACGACGCGACATTGAGGGCAGACAGACCGTCACAAACGTTGAAAGATTAGAAAATCGATAAAAGAAATAGACCGCTTTGGACTAGCTCTCGCCAATCGACCCTGGCAAAAGAAGCCTGGAGAGGAAAAAAAAATAATAAACCACGACCCCGGTCCCAGGTTTAACTCTTCTTGGGGGCCAAGCGTATCTTTATCCCTGAAAGGGGTCGAAGACGAAAGAGAGCGAAGAGGCGTTTGTGACTGCCGACTTGCGACAGGATGGAAAAAATGACCAGAGGGGGCGGGGAAGTGCCGATTCGCTTGAGCCAGACATGGATGGGAGGGAACTAGGATCGTGTCACTGCAGATGTTTAGTTTGTTAGTAGTTAGTTAGCTGGGAAGAGAGGAGAAGAGAGAGAAGAGGATGAAAGAGTGTGGTGGATTCACCTTCGCCAAACTTCAAAAAAGTGACCTGTATCTTATCTAGAGAGGTACTGAGTACAGCGAGAGATGGCCGCTGAGGTGGTACTGGTACCTGCGCTGCAACAGCCGAACAATAGCGGCCAGGTCAGGGTTACCGACGCCACCGAGTGGTGCTGCCGACCGCTGCATGTACCGGTGACGGGACGGGCGGACGGGGATGCTTGCTTCATGCATGTTGGTTGTCGATTCAGTCAAGACGAGATGGGGTGGATGCTTCAACTTTTGCGTTAAAATATTACAGACCAGACTAGGCAAACTAGAAGGACTAGAACTAGGACTTCTTCAAGCCATGCCGCCGCCTTGCCACGATTGCATGTGGCCGCCCCAAACGGGAAGACAAGCGAAGCAAGCCTCAAGCCATGTATGTGGAATAGCCTCAACTCTGTGGCCGTAGTGCTGGGAACGAAACAAACGTGGAACTCGTACACCGGTTGCTACTGTACAGCTAATCAAGCTACTGTCGCATCATGGATCACTCCCGTATACCTGCATTGCATTGAACCTGGAACGTCTCCATTGGAAGTCTCCATTACGACCTGCTGTCTGGGATGTTAGCAACTAAACCCTTGCAGTTTGCAGAACTTACAGTACAACGCAGAACGCTTCTCGAGCCCGCCCTTGCAGAGACATGGCAAGCCCTGCAGAAAAGCAGCATTCATCATCTTGATCCATGACCATTTCTTCTTCAGCCCGCCCAGCCAGTGAGTCAGGCGAGCAGCTGAGCCGAGCTGAGCTGAGAGTTGAAGGTTGAAGCGAGCTCGCTGTCATTTGTCACATTTCTTTCCCGCAACCACATCCCGTCGAATCAATGCCTTTGTCCTCGACTGTCCTTCATGCCATAAACCATCCAGGCCCGTTATTACTGGACATACCGCCACATCCTTTTCGCTAACCCTCATGCAGTATCGTATGTACGATTCCCCTTCCCCGGTATCCAATAATTTCTCACGATTCAGCCCGCTGAAAACCGCTCCCATGACCGTCCTGATATGATATCACATCTAACACAAGAAAAGAAAAAAAGAAAAAAAAAAAATAATCCCAGACGCCTCGCTAATCTCAAACCGTCAATCAAACATCAGAAAATCGGTTGCAAACATTACTCGTATTCATTCTCCTCGTCCCGCATAATGTCTCTCATAGCGGAATAGAGCCCTTCGTCAACTTGCTTCCACCTCAACCCCTGGAGATACCACTTCCGCAGTCTAATTATCATTGGAATCAGCGGCTCGTGAAACGCTGTGAAGCATTCCCCAGCACGCTTGCGAAATATAAACGAGTCAGTGATGACACCGATCTTCGACCCTGCCAGCTCGTAGTCTTTTGCGTAGTTCCAGGGTCAAATGGGTTATTCTTGATACTCCTGCCTGGGCCGTCGTGATTAACGCAAATCCAAAAGAGGACCCAGAAGAAGGACTCGAGGTCATGCATAAAACAGTGTGGTTCGCCAAACAGTAATCCAATCGCCATCAAGGGCCTTGTTCCCGTCCTCCCCTTTGCCCCTGGCGCCTTCTTCCTTGACTCTCTTATGGCAAAGTCGAGATCTATCAGGAATCCCTTCTGGGCACCTTCTCTTTCTTCCATTAGAACGTTGTTAATGGATGTTAACTGATATGTCTCGATGGATGAACCCCGCCTTTCCCAGACTCGTGGCCCTGGATGCAGCTCTCCACAGCGGCCACAAGGGCTGCTGGCGAGCTAGCCTTGTAGATTGGCCGTCCGTAGCCTTGAACAATGATCCTTCGATTTATCCGGTTTCGGTGGTGTCTTATCGACGCTGCCGGCTTATGGCTCTGACCGCGATCTCTTAGCGGGACGTTCTTCTGCCTCGTTGACTTAGCTGGATCGTCTTTTTGTGCCAGCACCGCCGGTACTATCGGTATTAGCACTACCATGGCTCTTTTTGCTACTTCTGCTCTCGCTTTGGCGGAGCTGCTGCACTCTCGGTGTCTTTTTTCCCTGTTGAGCGGTGGAGCGTCTTCGTCGAGGAGCAGCCACAGCTATCGTGGAAGCCGTAGAGATGGCTGACGCAGATGCCCTTCGGGCTACAGCTGTCGTCGCAGTAACAGGGGCTACTTTATCATCTGCAAAAGCCTTTCCCACCACGGCCGTTATAGCTGTTGAATCAGCTGTGGCTGTAACTACGGCATTGGCCATCACTGTCGCAGCCGTCGAGTTGGGAGTAGTCACCGCATCAGCAGTCACTGTAGGAGCAACTGCAGTGGTAATATCCAGTCCCGTGCGAATACCTTTCCGAATACTATCGTCGACATGGCGAATACGAACCGTCTCGTGATGATAATACCGAGCGACGGTCATCACGCCTTGCTGGGTAACCTTTCGAAGAATCTCGCCCTCGTCGTCCCGCTCCGGGTATTGCCATGAATCTTTGATGACAAAGGCGCTCTGCGAGTCGTCCTGGAGATGTGCCTTCCAGCAACACATCGAGATCGTACAATGGCCCCGTCGATGATGAGGCGCTCTGGCCGGCCGTCTCGTCTGATCTCGATCAGACCCTTGCCGTCAGACGTCCTGGTGGTAGGGTTAAACTCAAGCCTTTCTTCGTCCATTCCGAGGAAGCCAAGCATGATAACCACAAACTCCAGCGCGCCTTTAGAATCGCTAATGTCGAATTGTTCAGACGCGATCCCTCCTACTGAATCACCCACAACCGCATCATGGGCCCGCACAGCGAAAAGCCCAAGACGAAGCGTCGAGCGTCTTGGGCCGACAGCACTTCTCCCACATACGTTGCAAGGTCGGTCCTCGCCACTGAGGTTACGTGTGCCTATGGATTGTTATTCAACTTGCTCGGCACCAAGACGTGACATCAGCGGTATCTGTCTAACTTTCCCGCTTACGGCCGATAGACGACATCGTCGTTGACGAAGCTGACATCCATGCTGCGTCTTCCTGTATATCCGAGCAAAGGTGTTTTCGGTTGTGCCAGCAATGTCCGTCTTTGTGTCACGGAGGTAGGGGTGAAATCGACCGCAAGACTCTGCAACTTGGGCACGACCAGCTTGATCAAGAGACTCTTCAGAAACCCCCACGAAAGCTTTTCGGGACATTCGTGTCACTCGATTCAGCCCTGTTTCTTTGCTCTGCTGGCAGAGGCCACAATCTTTTCAGTTTGCCTCCACCATCTACTCGGACGACTTCGACTCTGATCGTGTTAAGCCCCTCCTTCTAGAAGCCCTTGATGATAATCTCAACGATTTCTTCATCTGGGGTCAAGTCTGCAATGCCGTCACCGAGGCAAAGCCCCCTCATCGTTCTCCGCAGATAAGATAGTCATCTATGACAAACATCTGATACACGAGCAGCATCCTTAACTTGGCGGAATTGCTTTGCGAGGTGAACCAGATCCTTAAGGAGGAATCTAATCTTAGCGTCGACATTCGCAAGTTTGAACAATCTTTCTTCGCATCCGTCCCGCGCCTCGAAGAAGCCGCCGATGCCGTCTGTCATTCTTTGAGCATTATTTGGATCTGCTCAGTCCCAGCCATACGTGCGGCTTCTTCCGATTCCTCTTCTTCTATGGCGTTGATCTCGGAGATGTCGGCCTCTTCCAGGTCCTCCTCTCCTTCCACCTCCCTATCCTGTTCCCATTCGTCATCAGGACCACTGCAATCTTTCTCACAAATCGTCACTTGGCTATCCGGCGTCTCAGTTGTAGAGGAGGAGTCACTGGCCTCTCTACCATAGGTTTAGGTAGGAGAAAAGTCTCACTTAGCTCGTCCGTTGGGTCGTAGGCGACTTGGAAAAGTAATTGAGAATGTAATTGGAGGTACCTGGCCCTTGTTTAGGCTCCTTGGCTTGTCTCCTACTTGGAGTAAGGCGAAGAGCCGCTCTTTGGTCAAGACGGATGGACTGGACTGTCAGCCGCTGCAGGAGAAGGAGAGCAAGAAGTCCTGGCTTGGCTCTGCAGTGTCGATTGCGTTGGGCGAAGAACTGGCGAGGTTCAGAGGTTCGCACGTCGATGTGAAAAGGGCGCGAAAAGGATCGAGGCTCTTCTTCGATGATCTTCAGCCTTGTATCTTCCATGGCAAGCCCCGTCTGACCGTGGTTTGCGCGGGGAAGGGAAGAGAAGAGAAGTGAAGATGTGTTTACAGGGTTGAAAAACGCCAGCCTATATATCAACTTAGGAGCGTTCAAACATTCCACATGGCGGCGGCTACCCTAGACTCGTGGCATCCCATCACAAAATTCTTACCGTGAAAAGGATTTGATCTTCTATTATCGCTATATTTCTTATTGTCGCTAGTTTCTCTTACTATTGCCATTTGGTTCTACTATCGGCTACTTGCCTCAACTGTCTCCTAATCCCTTCTATTATTGCTGCTCTCTTCTACTATCCGCTATCATTATTATAAATCAATGAATTGAGAGTTAGGACCCGGGATAGCGATGGCTACTCACCCAAATTATAGATACAAGTTTGGAGTGATAATAGCTTGAATATGGTAACGTCATAGAATGCGCTACAAGTACACCATGCATGTGCTGCATGCATGTATCAACCGCTCTGGAAATACCATGGCCTTCACCCTACTCTCGATTTCATAACATTCACTCTTTCTGTAGTAGAATATATGTTGCTCGGATGATATGATGGAAGAATCCGTTCCGATAATGCACTATAAAAAGAGCTGTGTGTGGCGATGGTATATGGGCCTAACTTCCATGTCTCCCTCGTTCACCAAACACGCCAAAGGAACCCTCAATATACTTCCTTTGTCAGAACATTACTTCGGCCAATATATTTATTCATTCACACCTTTCCCATGCTTATCTTGAATTAAATCTGCTTCCCCTGGTTGATAGAGAACCCCCTGTTGTGCTTGGTATAGCAAGAGGTTACGTGGATCGGAATAGCCTCTCCTTACACATTGGACTCTTGCTTACAAACATCATTTTATCCTCTCAGTAAAGTCAGTGAACAAGTATATTGATCAACAGTGAAGAAGCAGAATAATTTCTGTTTTGTCATCACGACGCTCCCCAAGCCAGTTGTGGGCTGCCGAAGTCCCGTGTTGAGTAATTCAGCTGCTTAACAATGCGAACCGTGGGGAATCTTGATCACAAACACGTCGAGATCGGCGGCCCTCGGCTGCGTGAGAACTCTAAGTGTAAATTACGGGTACCTTATTATCTAGATTTTGTGGGTGGAAATAACGTCACGCTGGCGAGCCATTGCCTCGGTCAAAGTCTTTGATCATGAAATTACCTATCGTCCTGCGTTGATATGATGAACTGTCCGACAACAAAAACAACTCTCTGATTCTGCGAATTCTCGATTGCAAAACAAAAAGCTACCGCTTATCGACTCAGACGTGATTAACCTCAATCTTGATTCCCCTCAAAGTAAACGGAGAAAAGAAAGTCATACCCGGAACAGACGAGCTCACAACCCGCAGCGTCGGATAAAGGTACTTTCCAGCAACCGTGTGGTTGTAACAGTTGTGCCACGACGGAACATTTCGCTTCATGACGTCCACAGAATAGTGCATGCGCATCAGCCGATATCCAGCATCAAAGTCGTACTTCTGGACCTTTGTATGTGTGGGATATCCGTCGGGGAAAACAACCTCCAACGAAGTCCACTTCTCCCCATTCTCGCGCGTCGGGCCATCTACCTCACGAGTCTGAATCTCTGGAGTCTCGAGGTAAAAGGGAAAGTTGAAGTAGTTCCAGTATGCGTAGCCCACGAACCAGAAGAGGTTGTGCACGTCCCACTTCGTTTCCGCGGTGTAGTCGTCAAAGACGTCTTTAGGAGTCTTTCGGACGTCGACTGGGTCTTTGGAGCCAATCTTGCCAACCTCTGTCTGCGTAGGAGTCCATGACCCGTAATAGTCGCCGAATTGCAGGATTGTAACTTTTTGGACTTTTGTGTCGACAATTAGTTTGACGTCGTGAGGACCAGGTTGTCCCTTCATCTCCAACGCCAATCCGGAGAACTCAAACTCTACTTTGAGAGACTGGATTGTCTCCCAGTACTCTCGACCACCATGAGCGTCGATGACGCTTTGTAAAAGGCTGGAGCTAGATATTAATTAGTAGCGTGATCAAATACATGGAGAAACTTATTTACATACCTAGTAGCAGACATAATGAGCAATGATTAGGGGAAACAGACATCCGAGTCCTGCACGAAAAGTTTTGTGCGGGACTTATATATTCGCCTTCAGCTCCAACGAAACTCCTCCAAGCGGGACACTATTGAAGTTTGCAAAGAGAGAGATGATTACTCATATATTGGAGCAAATAGTCGCTTGATATGAAACACATGGGTGTAAAGATGCTATAGCAATTGGTAGAATTACTAAACTCAGTAGCACAATACCCCTGGCAGGAGCAGAGATCAGTAAACACCAATCATTTATGGGCCTCGACAAGATTTAATTCCGACGTGACGAGTTGAACACCAGGATCTGGGTTGATTACTGACTCAAATAAACGCTTGTATAGGTATATAAAGCTGATTGTTGGGACGCCATTATTCAGTACGAGTTGTGTTGACCAAAGCCTTGATATAGCCGCTCAACATTTCTACAACCTCAACGTTCCACTGCATAGCGCCAGTCTTTTTTCATTCCAGACATTTTCTAGCTGTATTATCATTAGTCCTTCATCATGGCGACTGATAGAGGCCTCGAAATCTCCTCGGCCTTCCCATTCGAGAAGAAAAAGGTTGAAGTCTTTGGCAGTCACATGGCCTATGTCGACGTTGGGACCCCTTCTTCCTCCGGACCCGTCGCAGTCTTCCTGCACGGCAACCCAACATCGTCATATCTCTGGCGAAACATCTTCCCACATGTAGCAAAGAACACCCGCTGCATTGTGCCCGACCTCATCGGCTTCGGCGATTCAGACAAGGTCGCTGGCCTGGAGTATAGAGTCCGCGACCACCAGCGCTATATCGATGCTTTTCTAGATGCTGTCCTTCCATCAGAGCGTGTCATTCTTGTCATTCATGACTGGGGATCAGCTCTCGGTCTGGACTGGGCCAGTCGTCATGAAGACCGCGTCGCAGGTCTTGTGTTGATGGAGTGGATTGCGGCCTTGAACAACTGGAACACTCGAGATCAAATGTTCAGAGACCTTTTCCAGAAATTTCGTACTCCAGAACTTGGTCGCACCATGATCATTGAGCAAAACTTCTTCGTGGAGAAGCTTCTTCCCACGGGTGTCATTCGAGGGCTGACTGACGAAGAGATGGTTCACTACTGCCGCCCATTCCTTGACCCTGTGGACCGTGAACCGGTCTGGAGATTCCCCAACGAGATACCTATTGAAGGTCATCCGAAGGAAGTGGTGGAAAAGGCGCAAAGGTACACGGCTTGGCTTCTTGCTTCGGAGCTACCGAAGCTGTTCTTTTGGGTGAAGCCCGGAACTTTCGTTAGGGAGCAAGACTTTGAGAGGCTGAGCTCACAGATGAAGAATGTCAAGACCATGTATCTTGGGGCAGGAAGTCATTTCGTGCAGGAAGATCACCCCCATAGCATTGGACAAGAAATCGTGGCATGGATGGCAGAATTGGGCCTCTCCTCCGATGTCAGCGCAAGTCTATAGATGATGTCTTTGTGCTCCATAGTTATCAATACAACAAACAATCCTGTCAAGATTAGTCACCTTTGCTTAATTGTCAAGAGTCTCATCTCTTAGTTTCTCTCAGGGACCGTGTAATACGGCAATGCGGTATAACTCGCCGTTCCGTAGAGAAGTTCGTGCCTCCCGGGGTTCGGGTTTCGGACTTGGATGACGCACATGTCATTCGGGAGTCGCTATTATGTCACAGGTCATACTCGTATATATGCAGCTCCCCTTACCTCTGCTGTATTGTTCTTTGGCATCTTTCATCAATATCAATTGCGCTTTCATTAATCAAGCTCTGTCGCTGCTCATGTAAATGTTGTGAGCAGCTTCGTACAATCATCACCAACAGTGACAGATCTTGGATTGAGACAACCATCGACATGCCAGCCTGGAACCCTTCAAAACTCTCCTCATCCCTACTCTTGAATATCCGCAATCACCCTATACTCTTCACCTCAGCAATAGCCATCATCCCCTTGGCAGCTCTCGCCATGCCCTCATACCGCGGCTACATCGATCTTGGCCCCGGTGGCCTCCCGCACAACGTCTTCGGCTGGCTTCTCCAAGGCGCTCTACGCCCACTTACCCTGAAAAGCACCGTTGACCACAGCGTCTTCAAAAAGCCCGGCGTTTCTGAGTCATACGAACCTCATGGCACCACCCGATTCCTCCAGGAGCCGCTTGCACAGCGTCGAGGCGACAGACCAGTTATCCCAAACTACGTCGCCCCTCAGAGACAAGCCACAGAAAAGGGCGACAAAGCTCTCATGGACCGTATGAACAACCATCTACAAGACTTGGCAAGTCGTCACCCAGAGACGTTATCTGTGAAACCATCCGGCCTAGAAGCCAGAGACAATCCCGCACTTTGGTTCGTTGGCACCCCATTGCCCAAGTACCTGACGAAAAGCACAAAGGGCGAAATCGTCCACGTACACTCAGAGGCCAGCTCGCACATGGTCCTCAGCCTGACTGACGCGGAGGAAGCCATGGCGAAGGGGTGGGCTGAGCTGCACCCGCTAAGTGGCGTGATGGGACGGATTCCGCTGCCGTATGTCATGATCTACGCGCCAAGGGATGAGGAGGAGTTTGGGGTATGGACGAAGTTTGTGGATGCAGCTGTTGCGTTTACTACTGCGGGACAGCATTAGCATCATGACGGCAATTAAGAACGGTTGCATTCTGCATGCTAGAGGCGGGGATGGCGGATGCGATGTGTCATTTTTCTTTTTTAATACCCACGGTCACTCAACTCTTTTATATAAGCCATGGATCTGAGATAGTTTTTTATGTGATTTCTTCCATCTCATATGAATTGGAGTAACCTTGTGCTCGTGATGGCTGGTGAGTGTAACGGCCATATCTGATATACCATCATGATTGGGTCGATTCCTGACGGCGACTCTCTTCACGTCAGAAAATAATAATGCGACTGCCACGGATGGAACTTACGTCCACAATTCGAATCATGAGTGAATGCTGGATCTCTCTATGGGAAGAAGAGTGCCCAATAGCAAACAAAGTCAGTCGAGCAAATGGTGGCGCAGACGATAGCAATAAGACAAGCGAGCAGTGGTTATTTTGACGTTGCATTTGGTGCTCAGTTCTCAATCCCATGTAACCTATATGCTTTTTGCAAATGAACCTTTCCTTTCCTTGAGGCACAAACTTGCCGGATATATACAAAATTGAGCAAGTCGACGTAAAACCCATCCTCGACGATGCCAGACAGAGACAACTCCCTCGGCATCTGTCTCGTAAATTAAGCACGCAGCAACATTCCCTTCCACTCTTTGCACCTGTTAAATGCCCTTGAGCTTTCTTCGCTCCTTCTTCGCTTTAACCGTCTCCGCCCAGGCATCCTCAAAGAGCGTCTTCTTCGGCTTGACCTCCCACTCTTGAATGTTGAGCCTCCTGACAACCTGGAACGAACCGGTGCCGACGCTCATTGTCTGTCCCATGATGATACACTCAGACACACCTTCGATGCGATCAGTCTTCATGCCAGCGGCAGCCTCAAACAAATGGTCCGGCGTCTTTTCGAACGAGGCCAGCTGGAGAACACTCTCTCGCATCTTGGAGAGACCGAAACGGGTAATGCCGAGGACCTCTCCCTTGAACGTCATGACATCGGCTAGCAGCTGGATGTGACGCGGGTCAATGTCCATACCAGCCATGACGCTGGAAATCTCATCGACAATAGTGGTTCGAGCGGCCTCAATGCCCAGCACGTCGCGAGCTTCCATGACGGAGTTGGAGCGTGACTTTGTGCCAATCACACCTTCTGTGGTCATGCATGCGCGCAATCCGTATCCCTCGACCAGCACGGTATGTTCGCTCTGCTCAGAGGTCTGGATAATGGCTCTCGTTGCTTCGTTGTAGCCCGAGATGGGAACCTTGGGAAGCATGCGGCGGAGGTGATTGACTCGTAAGAGAAAATCAGGGGCCTCCTCCGTCAAGGTAAGAGAGGCAAGACTGCGCTGTCGCTTCTTGGCCGCATCGGGATCCACCCAGCTGTTGAGGACGTAGATCTTGATATAGTTGGGGCCGACAGAAATGTCTGTTGGCTGGATCTTGAGCTTCTTGAACTTGAGAATGGCTTCTGCAATGTCTATGACACCAATGCCAAGGTGCATATTTTGCAGTGCCTCCATGTCAATGTATAAAACAATGGTGCCTCGGTCGCTGACCCATTCGTCTTCAATCGCTTTCAGAACATCAATGACATATGTCTTCTCGATTCGTCCCTTAACAATTTTTGCGGCCTCAATCTGCTTGTCGTTCAACAGGGGGCAGGTAATGACAGGCGTACTGATGTTCTTGGACGCGTTGATAATTTCCTTGATTCGGGGAACACCCTGAGTGATACTCATACCGGCGACACCTGCGAAATGGAAAGTCTTGAGCGTCATCTGTGTTCCGGGCTCACCAATCGACTGTGCTCCGACAGCACCCACAGCATGGCCGGGCTCGACGTGGGCCTTGTGATATCTCTCCAGGCACTCCTTGACGAACCTCTGCAGCGTCGTCATGGAGACTTTGGAGACTCGGTCAACGCGAGCCAGCTGAGCTTTGAGATCTGCTGATGCGTCTGCAACTACTTCGTCTTGGCTCGGGTTGGGATCCAACCCAACAAGTGCGCGGGCCTTGGACATTTTTTGGGCTCGATCGGAGACGTATGAATAGATTGTGTCAATGAAGCCTCGTGCGCTTTCGTGCTCGTCCAGAGCTTCGTCGGTAGGATCGGAATAGTCGAGCAGCGCGTTATCCACCAAGCGGCGTCTCTGGTAACGAAGCTTTTCCTTGTCCAACATGCTACTGCACACTTCAAGCACTTCGTGAGGAAGCAATGATCTCTCGTTGTTGTCCCAGGTAGTGCTCTCCGCGTGAGTCCATGTGCGATCAAACGCAACAGGCACTGCAGAACCCTCCATGTCGACAGGGTCGAGCTTATCGGCACCGAACTGGAATTGTACAATGGTTCCTGACGACGTCCTGACAGTGTTGTCATATTGCGTCGAAAGATCCTCTAGGGACTTCATCAGACGTCTTGACATGTATCCTGTTTCTGCCGTTTTGACTGCGGTATCAATAAGACCTTCTCGTCCGGAGATGGCGTGGAAAAAGAACTCTGTTGGGAACAGCCCGGAGTAGAAACTGTTGCGCACGAAACCCTTGGAGGCTGGCTGGCGAGCGTTCTTATGGAAATGAGGCAAACTACGGTCCTGGAAACCATCAGGAACACGCTGACCACCAATAATCTGCTGTCCGACACAGGCAACCATCTGGGCGACGTTGATGTGCAGACCCTTGGAACCAGAGTTGGCCATGATCAGCGGAGCATTGTTGCGACTCAGTGTATCTACACACTGTTGACCGGCTTGCTGTCGAACCTTACTGAGGATACCAGAAATGGAAATCTCCAGCGTCTGCTCCATGTCACATCCAGCAGCCTTCTCAAGCTTGCCCTGCTTGAAGGTCTCGATAAGCGCGTCACTCTTGTCGTAGGCGTCCTGCACAAGCCTGTCTCTAGATTTGGTCAACTGGGTTATGGGAAAGACATCACCAACGCCGAGCGAAAAGCCCTGATTTCCTAGCTGTCTTGCGCACAGCTTGGTCAACCTGTTCATGGCCATGACGGCATGATCGGGACCGAAATCTCGGAGGATAATGTAAAACACTGAATTCTTCTTTCCGGAACCGATGATGGACTTGTCCATACGACCACACATGACCTCAGAGTTTCGGATGACTAGCCAAGCGTCGTTTGGATCCATATCAGGACATTGCCCAGGTCTGGCCGAGTATTCTCTGCACCTTGCATCTAGGTTGACGAGAACGGGCGACTGCTTGTTCGGACGCATAAGCACGTTGAATATTTGCTTGCCTGTCCAGAGGGCTTCGGGCTTGATGATTGACGGTGGAGGAAGATCAATTTGAGTAGCGCCATCCATCATGTGAGTGCAGATGTAAGAGAAAGCCTTTCTGTTATAAAACCTGTCCTTGCTGCTGAGAAGATAGGACGCGGTAATGAAATCCTGGGTGGCTGCAATAATGGGCTCTCCGTTCTTGGGCGTAGCCAAATTGTTCTTGACACCCATGAGGGTAATTGCTTCTGCACGAGCCTCTTCGGACTGCGGAACGTGGAGGTTCATCTCATCACCATCGAAATCGGCGTTGTAAGGTCCGCACACACATTCGTTGAGACGAAAGGTTCTCCACGGTCTTATCTTTGCAAGATGGCTCATGATACTGAGCTTGTGCAGTGACGGCTGTCGGTTAAAGAGAACCACGTCTCCATCTTCGAGATGACGCTCGACGACATCGCCGATCCGAAGGTCTCGTGCAACAAGAGCCCTGTCACCAAACTGCAGGTCTTGCTTCCAGTTTCCGTTGTCTTTGATGACATGATTGGCTCCGGGCCAGACCTTTGGCCCGTTCAATATACATTGTCGTAGCTTCTCCAAGTTTTGGTTTTGAACTCGTTCGGGGAACGTCAAGTTCTTGGCCACAAGCTGAGGCACCGCTACTTGATTGATGCCCAAGTTGGGATCGGGTGAAATGACGGTTCGACCGGAAAAGTCAACTCGCTTTCCGGACAGGTTTCCTCTGAATCGTCCCTGCTTGCCCTTGAGACGCTGGCAGAAGCCCCTGATGCTTTTCCCGAAGCCCGGTTGGTTAAGGCCGGGGACATCGCTGTTGACATACATGGCAATCTGCAACTGAAGGTACTCCCACTGTTCCATGATGGTCTGCATTGGTTTTCCTTTGTTCAAGGCTGTCCGGATCAGTCCGCTTATATAGACAATCTCAGCAAGTTTTGCGGTAAGATCATCTTCTGTACTGGCCCCCTCTTGTGCGACTGATGGTCGGATACAGACCGGGGGAGCGGGAACGAACTGCCAGATGAACATCTCGGGGCGACCTTCTGAAGGATCAAGTCCAAGAAGCTCACAGTCCGTGGGAGTTATCATCTTGAAGTGGTTGAGAACCCAAAGAGGATTTAGATCCTCCATGGCCCTCACCAAATGCTTATCCAAATCGGGGTTCAGCTTCTTGGCCTCATCAAACGAGGCATCAAAGGCAAGTTTGCTTTCCGGAGGCATCTTCTTTTGAGACGTCGACTTCTTGTACGCGGAGAACTTGTCGTGCGTGAGCTTGAGGACTCCGACTTTTCGGATCTGGCCGTTGATTTCGCCGCAGTACGGACACTGCCTACATTTCCTGCACTGCTCGTTGATCTTTTTGCAAACCTGAGTTCGGCGGATGTTGTCTAGCCCCGGCCGGCGCAGGTCCTGTAGAAAAGACCGTCGCTCCTCTTCGGTGAGGAGAACCTTGGCGCAGGTTTTGCACACATTCTGGAGAATTGTCTGGATGAAGCGAAGGTAGCCGATGTGAAAAGCAGGGAGAGCCAGTCGGACGTGGCCAAAGTGACCGATACAAAACTTGAGGGGTTCTTGACAGGTGCCGCATTTGCCGGACTTGCTCGAGGTTCCCTGAGACAAGAGGGTTAGCAGAGTGTTGTGCGAGGTGTGACAATTGCCGCGGTTGCATATCAAGCAGCTTCTGAAGTTGCAGACTCACCATTCGCAGATCGAGAGCTCCATTGATGAGCGGAGATCGGTTGTTGTCGATATCGTAGAGCATGCGCTGGGAAACCTCCAGCACACCTTGATTGACAATGTCCTGGTTAGATCTAGCAAGTAGTTTCTGTTAGAAAGCAGAAACGCCAAAGAAGCTCCCTGCAGCAAACACTCACTGGATGCCAAACTTGATCCCCTTGAAGCGCTTGGGCAGGTTGTCCGCAAGCTGCTCCTTGGTGGAGCTTACAAACGCGGCGTGCGCCATGGTGTCGCTTCTTTGGATTGGAATTCGTCTTTTCCGAGCTTAGTTTTGGGTTGTCTATCATAAAGACATGATATTCGATTCGGTTTTCGAAGGCCCGGGTGGAGGCGACGCTGCGGCGGTCGGATTGGGATTGCTGGGATTGATAGTAGGAAGACGATGGACTGGAAATAAATTTTGAGATGTCAGTCATAGGTCGTCCCCCACCAAGCAATCGATAAGCTTGCAGCGTGCAGATATAGCGCCCCACCTCCTGTACTAGGCGTGCTTTAGCGGGTTTTGCAGATTTATAGGCCACAGCGATCGCCTAAACGATGATTGGACCTACCTAGTAGTGATGCAGATGATGGAACGGCAATGCTTCTATCTGGTAGGTGTAATCTCAAAATTACCATCCATTAGTTAAATACATGTATGTCCAAGCATTATCAGGTATCTAGCAGCAGAGATGGAGCTTCAAGAAGCTAGAACCTGTGAGTCATTCGCCAAGATTGCTGCGACTTCAGCTACGTTGAGGTCGGATGCTGTGAGATGCCGTCAGCCCTCGGAATGCGGGAGAACACAATCGACCGCGACATGAATAAGTGGAGCACACAAACCCCGAGATATGGGCACCCATCCCTCCTGTTGATCGCTACCTACCAAGGGACTGTAAGCGCATATTCTTTAGCATTGATGTGTGCTCAAAATCTCTCCAGTCTCTGTTCTTCTGTCCCCCGCATGACTCCCAAGACTCAGAAACCAGATCTGTGTCGGCTTTCGTACAAATTTGAAGACCGGTTATATTAAATAGTTCTTCCATTGCTCAATTATTTCCTATCCTATCAATTTCCCCGTATTGTGACACCATCGTAATCTCATGTATGGAACAGCCCGATGAGAAGTCGAATATAAAAACATTGACCAGGTGAATGGTTCCCTTGACGCGGCAAATCAACTTTCTTTCTCATTCATTGAGTTGAAGTGAATGAGAATGAGAAACAGCCTCTCTAATGACAAATAAAGCGACTCAGCAGCCACCACGTGGGGGGCACCACGGGTTACTCGTGTCTCCCTTCGCTCTACTCAGTGGTTTGGTATATGCCACTTTGTGAAGAAATTCAGGGACTTTCACATAGCGATTCAGAATCTTGTCTCATGTAATCCATTATCTTATGGTGACTCAAAACAATGTGTCACGGGCCGCATTCTCAAGGCGCATATTGTTCCGAGGACTGAAAGTGGCCTGGGCGATGTCTCAATCCTCGGCGACTGCAGCTTTCATTCAGCCTCATTCACTTTTCTGCGACCTCCATTAACTATTAACCTAATTGCCACTAGGTGACCATTTCTGCATCTGGTCAGAGATAAAACACTCCAGCTGTTACTCAAAATTACGCGACGAATATGCCGGTCCGTGACGTGCATATTGAGACAGCAGAAATGCTACCTTACCTAGCTGTTTTTGGGGGTCAATATTCTGTGAGGTAGCACATTAACTTTCCAGTTTACTATAAATCCATCAGCTTCAACATCCAGCTATCTTTTCCGACTGATGTTGCTATTCTTCCAAGTTGCGTGAATGATGCTGTTGAACGAGGATGTTGACGTATCAAGGCACCCGTGCGCTACAATCATCAGAAACACGCTTGACAGCAGAATATTCTTGATAATACAGTGTTTGACAAATCTTTTGATGTAGGATACAGCGTTTGATGGCTGCCCAAGTGGCGTAAGTACGAGCCGTGTCTCAGCCTTTCCTCAGCCAAAGATAAGACGGATGTCACCACAAGCGGCTCGGAAAATGTCATGTCGGAAAGCAAAATGTGTTGACTAAAGCCGTTCTATGTTTTATACAGCAAATTGATGATCTGACAATGGTGTATAATGATTTACTATATATTGGTACCATGACAAGCTGAAGTAATTTCGTTTGCCATTGTAAGAGGTGGGATATGATGAGATGGGGGCCAGAGTACATGTAGTCAGTGGCATAGCTTAATAGATAAATACTGAGTTTTACCAGAGGCTTCGACAATATTAGAAAAACTCTCACGGCAATATGAGAGGAATCGCAGAAATGTGATTGTCAATGAGAAATCTGAATCAAAAGCTGGCCCCGTGATAGATGGTCGTAGCCCCTGTGGATTATCACCCGAGTCATCTCAGCACATCACTTCTCGATGCCTATCATGACAAAAATGAAGAGACCCGATTGGTAGAACAGAGCCACGGCTTGCGGTGCAAGGAGGCAGTCACCTTGACAGATCATGTCAATGTGATTCGGGAACACTGAAGTGAAGTTGGTCGGCAAAGATTTCTCCAGGAAAGGGGGACATGAGATGGCGCACGAACACAGGGTCCGACAAAGACATTTGTCATGGAAAATTATAAAAGACAAAGAAAATCCCTTCATAAACTGGGCGAACAACAACGGCAGCCAAACTCTTAGCATCGACATATCTCATACTTTGCAGATCCGTAGCTCCAAGAGTATGTTCCCTGCTTCATCAACCACTTCCATTATCAAGAAGACTAAATAGCTAACCTTCATTAGAACCGCCTATCCATCGCCATGATCTTCAGCAAGAGCCTTATCTCTATGGCTGTCGCCGTGCTTCAGCTGGCTTCACTCTCCAACGCCGGTATCGCCAACAGAGTCAATTCCGGCGCAGCTGTAGTCACCTATTCGCACGATGGCAGAACTTGCTGCACTGATGGCGAGCGTGGTGCTAACTTCAGCGAAGGCAAATGCGAGTACAACTCTCAAACTTTGACCCCAAATATTCCTGACGACACCTTTGTGACCAAGTGCTGCTGGAATAACACGGCCAACGATTTTCATGTTCATTTTGTCGACGACCATGAAGTGCGCCAAGTATCACCTATAGACATCACAGGAAATGCAACTGTGCCAATCGAGGTTTGCAATCTCGGCCTCAAGTGGAATATAATAGAGTACATCCTCACAGATGACTACCTCGACATCAATGTCAACTTGGCCATCGATTGCGGACCGTTCAACCTGTCGGATAGAGAATGGATTCGTATTCACTTTGACAGCTCTTATCGGGATTCTGGCGAGTTTGCATATGAAATCAGTGCGGTTGGCCCAACCATCTATGCAACAATCACTTCCAAGATTCACCGGAGCGATTTCTCAGTCGACTTCCATGGGCAGCTCACTGGAACGGGAATCCTCAGCCAGCTAGACCAGTCATTTGATAAGAATCTTAGGGCTGATGAGGTGGCAGCCATCCTCTCTAAGGCAGATATTTGTTAGTGATGGATATGAAGAATGGGGTTCCGTATGGGAAACGGTATTGCAGGTGTCTCCTCAACTCTGCCTCTCAAATGATGTACTTACTATCTGATCCGAGGTTGATACTTGAGCGAAATTATATGGATCTCCTCATAATGCAATTGATCGACGGCAGATCATTTTGAACACTTTGTTAAAATGTAGTTGGAGTGAGCTCAATTAGAACAGCATACTGAAAATTGAAAATTCTGATGTGTAGCAATTCAGGCGAAACAATGCTGTAAGCTGACTCAAGAGCGAAGAAAGCTGCTTTTCACTTGTTTGACACTACTCGTGTAACGATCATTTCCGTTATAGCCCGCGGAATGGATAAAATCCTTGTATAAAGAGGGGATATGCCACGGTATTGAGATCGCTGCTGAGCCTATCTATCGGAGGTGGACGGTGGTGTCTATAATCGTCAGGCGTCTCATGGTTATTTCTTTCACAGGAGAATAAAACATTACGTCTTTCCCGTTTCTGAATCACTTGTAAATCGGTTCACTGATGAAGATGTCGAATGTCATTTGGTAGTAGATTTTTCGGATCATGAAAGCATTCTTGCACGTAGTATTTATTGTTCCCCTGGCTCCCAAAACGCCGGATGCCCCTCCCAGACGAGTCTTTGACGATATGCCCCGAATTAAAAAGCATAAAAAGAATATCCCCCTGACACAACGGTACACAACCTGATCTCGATGGTTGATGGCGTCAATATCATCATGTCTGGCTTGTTATACAGGTAGAAAAGGCACACAATTTTTAGAACGCCCTCTAGGCAGCCCTTTTCTTGCTCTTTTGCGTCATCTTTCTGAAAGCCTCCATACCTCCAGCACCAAGAGGTCGGTGATCGGTGTTCCTAGTTCCGTCAAAGGTGCTCTTGGGGGCAATGGTGTAGCTGGCAGGGAGATTAACCATGCGAGCCCGGTTACCACCACCCACAGGAGCGAGCATCCGCTCGCGTTCGGCATCACGAGCGGACTGGGCAGGTCGCTGAGACAGGGTAAACTGAGAGCCTTGCTTGCGGCGTTGAGCCAACTTGGCAGCCCTGTAGCATGGTGTTAGCAAATGCGTGATAGACATGAAAGGACAACAGATATACGTACTCGTAATCGAACTCGCGAGTCTCAATGTGGCGCTTCTTGTAGTCATCGGTTCGCTTAAGAATTGGACGGCTCCATTCTCCCAGTAGCCTCTCGGCCATTCGCTTGATGCTAGGCTCTGGCTTCTTGCTCCTTGTATAGAACAAGACGACCTTGCCGATTCCACTGCTCAAAAGGGCCTCCTTTTCTATGTTGAGACGCGTCAGAGCCGTGAAAATATCCCGCTGAATGTTGTAGGCGGGCAGCGAGCCGTCGTTGAGCGGTTCCAGAAAGAACTTGACATGCTGCAAGAAGTTTGTGTCTGGGTCGAGCACGGCATGCTGTACGTTGTTGCGATTCAAAAGGCCAGCAACTTCGGGGAGTAGCTTGAGCTTGTGAAGGGCAGGCTGTCCAGCTTCACGCGCCTGGTTATCCGCCTGACATGCACGCTCCATCTGGACCTTGAGCGCAGCCAGCTGTTCGTCAATCTCATCTTCGAGGTCCTAGTCATCCGCGGTCAATTTCTAAATCCCTACGAGAATCCTCATGGAAGAGAACTTACAATCTCGTCCTTTCTCCGGCGCTTCGGGGCAGCTCCACGACTCTTCATGGCCGCATCCAGAGCTCTGTCGATTTCGCGATTCTGTCGCTGTTCCGGCGTGAGGTTTTCATCGTTCTCCTCGGGCTGGGGGGACGTCGGCTTGACTCTTGGGCGCCTCTCGGTTTCCGCTCGCTTCCTTCGCGGCTTCTTCTCTGCTTCGCCGCTGGAGCCATCGTTCATGGACGCATCATCATCTCGTTCCCTGCGCTTCTCGCGGCGAGTCTCTCTCGGCTTCTTGGAGGTCTTTTCGCCTTCGGCACGCTTGCGTTTGGTGGCCTTGAGAGTACGGGCTATGTCCTCGTCAATCTCCACCGGCCGATCCTCAATGTTTGCCGTCTCGGGATCGTAATCTTCGAACTGATTCTCGTCGATTTCCGACAGGAGATCCGAGTCGCGGTCAGAGTCGGCATCGGCGACCTCATCCTGGAATTCCTGCTCCTGGCCATCATCGACTGGCTCGTTGGCCGGCGAATCGAGGTCAGACATTGTTCGAAGCTCAGCTCGTGCTGATCGGGACGGCAGGTGAGAGAAGACTGAGGTAAATAAAACGTCTAATCTCGCGGGAATGGATCCAAGATTCGAATGGAATTCTCGTTGCCAGCAATGAGTTGAACCTGAGCAGAAAGTGAGACAGTCTTGAGCTGGGAAAAAAGGTTCATTCCATCTGGTTGCCTTTGAGATGCAGCGCGTTGCTGACATAATCATTCTTGGTGCGGAACTAATGCGGTGCAGCCTCAGGCACCAAGCTAATTTTTTGTTTACTCTGGCCCGGGCTAATTGGTTGCCACTGACGATTGGCACATGTCCGGCATTCAAGGTCGCTAATAAACAACCCATGCAAATCGACGCTTACATATTGAGTGCAGCATATCCCGGAACCTTCATCATGCATTGCACAAGCTGTTACTTTTGCACCTCGCTCGTTTAGAATCGCATCACATCGCTTTACATCGCATCGCAGCGCATCACCACCATTTTTTCTCAGCGTCTCCATGGAGCGTCGAACTTTTGAAGCTCCCATGGAGTGGGAGTACCAGAACTCTGGGCCTGTCGATCTAACCAGTCCGTTTGCCCAGGTGGCCAGGAAGAGATCAGATAACTGTAAGTGCTCGCGCCAGGAGAATCTGGATCTGCGAATTGGTTGAATCTACAGAAGCTGACCGTGATACAACACGCAGTGTTTGGTGGCTCGACTCTCAAGCCATCCACAACGCCCCCGACAGCTTCGTATTCCGTCTTTGGAACACCTTCATCAAAGCCGCCCACGCGATCATTCTTCACTCCCCAGCTCGCCCCCCAGGTTGTGGCACCGCCATTTCGCAACCCTGCATTCACAACACCAAGGAAACTCGAACAGTCTGATACCTCCTTCACCGACGCCGAGACCTCGTTCACGGATGCCTCTTTCGTCTCGTGCGCCGACGACAGCCCAGCGCAAACCGATGTTTCCATCTTACCCAACGACACCCCCGAGTCGGATCGCATGAGTGACGCAACGATAAGCAACACGACTCCGACCAAGATTGACAAGAACACTCGCTACAACAGGAGCTCCCCTCGGAGGCATGCGACAGGCAAAGGAGAGCTTCGACCTCTCAGCAGGGATAAGGAGCTGCAGGTGCTTAGGAAGCGGAAGCGGCACAATCTGGACAAGGACGTTAGCAGCGTGATCAGGCATTTGCCCCGAGACTGGGAGGGCGATGTGTCAGATTCGGAGACGAGCATGACAGACTATCGAGTCACATCGCCAAGCAAAGTGTTATCACGACCCGGATCCTCATCGCAGCAGACGCACCAGATGGCCCCGACTCTTCCGCCTCGTGAAGGCTGGTTTTTGTCCGCCCTGGGCACAATGGATCGATACCCAGGCGCTCCGGACCACATATACAGGTGGCTACAGCTCGGCCTCAACTGCTTCATTATGGGCATCATCATGTACTTTGGGTGGAGCGTTGTGGACGCAGTGCGATCAGACGTTCGAAATGCCAACGAGATGGCCCGGATGGAGATTATGGCTCGCATCACAGAATGCCAAAACCACTACACCAGCAATCAGTGCGCCAAGAGGAGGGACCTGCCAGCACTGCGTGTCTTGTGTGACGACTGGTATGACTGCATGTCTCAAGACTCCGACGCCATTATGCGTGTCAGAGTCACGATCAAGCAGATTGCAGAGGTTATCAACGAATTTGCTGACGCAATGAATCTCAAGGCATGGGTAAGCATATCTCAGCCCAACTCGATGAATCCCAGCCCAGTCACTAACAGGTACTTCCCTAGATCATGTTTGCCATAATTGCCGTCTTCGTCATCTTTTCCAACGTCATGCTTGGATGGGGACGATCCAAGGCACAAGTGGCACCAGCGCATCCGCCAGCCTTCTCTCATGTTCCCATAATGGGCCCAGACTCGACGCCAGCACACTTTAGAACGCGGTTCGAGACTCCCAGATCACAGCGGTATGCCTTTATCGAGAACGATAGAGTCGATAGTGACATGTCACTCGGGAAAATGAGCCTGGGCTCAGGCTTCTCATACGGCACCGTAGGACGACGCAGCCCAGGCAAGGGAGAACGGACAGCAAGCCCCAGCAAGTACCACCGAAGTCCTGACAGGGGTGTTGATAGATTAGGGGGCTCTCTTCGCTGGTAGTAGTGAGATTAGGACGGCAAACGGTGGACTTTGCTTGCTTTGCAATTTGAAGGTGTACACTAAGGAAAAGGGCTTGCATATTTTTACATGTGTGGCGTTGGCGGCAAGGCTTTGGCAAGGATAGGGTCTGAGTAACTGGGATTAGGATCGGGCATCAAGTTTTTATGGCAAAAGGCAGGCTGAGCAAAAAAGTGTTATTCAGTATTTATGAAAACCGGAATTCAGAGCAACTCGCGTCTAGTATTTGGTGTGTGGTGTCATGATTTGGTGCATCTTCAGTGTAATACTATATTGATACCGTATCTGGGTATCACAAGGCTGCGTATTAATGATTTGATGTTAAAGGACTGGGCTACACTTATCCAAACCGAAGATGGAGTGAATTGGAACTAACGATGGATTGAATGGCACTTGATCAATTACGACGAAAGTAGAGTGCCTGTTGCTAAGGTTAGCAGATAACAAGATCGGAATTGATGTGTCAATGGCTTTTGACTACATGTGCCTATCAAAGTGGACTGATATTCTCAAGTTCAAGGTTCAAGTGCTGAATGCTGTACCTGTACCTGTACAAACTGTTCATGTTGGATCATTCATTCAATGCTCCAGGTCCCTTACGGAACACCGCCGCTACCCGACTGTACGGGAGGCGCTACAGCTGTTGTACGCTTGTGCGACGCTGAGCTAGGTGTAACCACAGGTACCATTTAGTAGCGCTCAAGTCTCGAATGACCTCATGGCGCATCATTCCCCGCGAGCAGCAACAAGAAAGTCCTGATTGAGAGCACCCTTGAGGTACATGGACGCCTCAATAATATTTGATCAGTGCCAAGGAAAAGGCTGCATTGCAAAAGACACAGCGAATGAGAGATGCAGAATTCACACGACACGTCAATGAGAGAACAACGCTTGTGTTCTCGCCTTGCATTCGTAGGACTTGCTTTTTGATTCCCTTGATTTTATTTGGCCCTGCAATAATACCCTGCCCCGGCTGAGCTGAACTTGAAGTTGATACATCACCTGTAGCATTGACGTTACGCCTCCACTGGCTTCCGTACAGGTACCGGCTCCCCCACTCGGGATTGGGGGCGGCTGCAGCTGCTGCTATTCTGGAGGTGCCTGTGGGGACTCGGTATCGCTGGAAAGGCCTATCAATTGGATCGCAGGGCCCTGCTGGACGACCATCAGTTCGCCTACCGACCGTCGTATGCATGTATCATGTATGGATGAGTTGAGCCTGCAACTGCAAATTCCAGAGTCGCAAGGCCACCAATGGCAGAGATACAAGTAACTCGCCGAGATTAAAGGCGAGGTAGCCAAGCGCTCCAACTGTTTTGCTTTTTTTGGGCGTGCAGGCAGAGTTGCAGTTGCAGCGCCTCGTTTTTCTTCCCTGCTGCTGTCGTCATGTTTCTGCTGATTTTTCCTTTTTCCCAGCTGGTGGCACGATCAACATGGATTGCCCAAGTTGATGCATTCAGCCGCTATTCAGGGTTATCTTTGGAGTCTGGTCACTGCGAGGCTCGATCGAGCTGGCTTAAATTTCGAGGTTCGATATCTGTAACTTGATACAGTAGTAGAGCGCCAGCGGCCAAAGTGCCGAAGGGTGTTGGCGCTATCGCCACGGGGCTAGGTACATAGGTAGCACAGCACATGGAGCGCACTGGAAGCTTCGCTGCCCCCGTGGGCTTTAGCGGCTTCCGGGCCCGCGCAGTGGTGAATCGGCCCCGAGCTTTAGTGGTCGAATAGCGGCCTGCCCACAGCTCTAGCGGCTGAGTGAAATGCGCACTGACGTGCTGGAGCCACTGCAGCTCGTCCCGCCCCGCTATTCTGGCCAAGCTCGCCTCCATCCATCGCGACGCTTCCTCTCCCTTGCATAGAACTTCATCCTCCTCACCCTCACCCGTATTCGTGCTTTTTATACCGGCTCTGATGCCTCCTCGACACTGAGCTGGTTCCCGCAAGACCACCTGCCCCATCCTCTGAGTTCCGTCCTGCCTCCCCCCCGAACTGGAAGGCCCTCGGATAGCTTTCCCCCCGCAGCATGTCTATCCCACCACGAGGCTGCAGCTACCGCATTTCGAGCCTTGCAACCGCCCTGGTTCCCCATCGCTGAAGCAGTTCAGTTGAGCCTTCAACACTCAGCATTGCCCTGCCGCCATGCCGAAGAAGGGCTCGACACCCCCGAAGCGCCCTCTGGCGGCTGACAAGGGGAAGGGGAAGGCCAAGGCCGTTGCGGACGACGACCATGGCAGCACCAGCGCCAGCGCCAGCGCCAGCGCCGGCAACAGGAGCGACACGACGCCGCAGTCACAGACGACTCAGGCTGGGCCGTCGACATCCAACACGCTGCTTCAGCTGTCGAAACGTAGGCGTGGGCTGGGGGTTGTGACGCCCAATGCCTGCACGGAATGCCGCAAGAAGCGAGCAAAGGTAAGAAAGATAGAGAGAGTGAGAGAGGGCTTCCGAGCTAAAGACAGCACACACACGCCATGTCAGCGTGAACTTGGTCGCGTGTGCTCCTTGCTGCTCGCCCACTCAATGCCCTTTTTCATGTAAAGGGCCGTATCGATATGCTAACGCGGCTTTGCATCTTGTAGTGCGACGGCCAGCAGCCTTGTGCGCGCTGCAAAACCACAAAGGACGCTGACTGCGTCTACGAAGTTCCCGTTCGCCAATCCAAAGAAACCCTGCGTACGGAAATCGAGTCCCTGCGCTTGCGCCAGCGCTCCTCCGACCAAGTCTTTGGCGCCTTGATACAGCCGCATCTGTGGGAAGAGGTGCTGGCGCGCCTTCGCGGAGGCCAGTCCGTCGACAGCATCTCCGAGTGGCTTGGGAGCGTCAATGTCACCGAGGCCGCCCCGAGCTCGATCTATGCGCAGCATGCTGATCCCACCATGATGGACCACAACTTGGCCATGGCAACCTATGGTGCTTCTGGAGCTCCCATTCCGACCATGTCTCTCACAATGGATCCCGGGTCGATTCCCATGGAGATGGGGGGGCCGGCCAGCCCTTGGCACTTTTCGTCGCAAAGCCAGGGCGGCTCGACCCGGAGCGGCTCTCACCCGGACCTCATGAACTGGACCTCCGAGATGAGTGTTGCACCACAGTCGCGGGTTGGCTCATGGGCAGAGAGCATGCACACCGCCCACCTCACCGACGGCATGCACCGATACCGGGGGATCGAGCAAGTTCTGGCGCCTCTGAACGAGCCTGAAATCAAGCAGCCGGCTGGGACCTGGACCAGCATCACCAACGATTTTAACTTGGTCCAGCACCTATTGGCCCTGTACTTTTGCTGGGAGTATCCCACCTTTGCTTCGCTCAGCAAAGAGCACTTTCTCCGCGATTTTCAGGATGGAAGACATCGGTACTGCTCCCCAATACTCGTCAATGCGCTGCTTGCCCTTGGCTGTCGATTCTCTACCCAGCCCATGACCAGAGCCAACCCCAACGACCCCTACTCCTCCGGCGATCACTTCTTCAAGGAGAGCCAACGACTCTTCAACGAGGAGACGGACCACCACTCGTTGACGACCATCCAGGCTCTGGGCATCATGTCGATCCGCGAGGCCAGCTGCGGCCGTGACTCGGAGAGCTGGTATTACGCCGGCCAGAGCATAAGGCTCGCTGTGGAGATGGGCCTGCATCGCATCCACGACGAGGACGACGAAGATGAGCTGGCAGTGCAGTCGGCAACCTTTTGGGGAGCCTTTGCCTTGGATCAGTGAGTTTTGAATCTGGCCATCACCTCTTCATTCTGAAAAAATCTAACCTGACTCCCCCCCCCTCCAGTGCATGGTCTCTAGCCACGGGCTCGCTACCGCAGTGCTCGTGCTTTCCTCACCTGCCACCCAAACCGGCCATCATCAGCGACATAGAAGCCTCGCTCTGGGTACCGTATACCGACGACGGTGAGGATCGCACGACTACCTTTGGAGTGAATACTAAGGGCCTGCATGCTGACGATGATGTATCCGAAGGCGAGCCGTTGCAGCGGTCTTGCGAACAGCCATCCAATGTACGTTCAGTTTACAAGTGTTTTTGCGAGCTCAGTGAGCTTGTCCACCAGTCTCTTTATGTTCTCCATTCTCCCGGGAGGCCGCTTACCGCGCGGGATCTCCTGAATATTTACACCCAGTACCTAAACTGGTACGACCGCATCCCCGAGGTTTTGAGGTTGGGACACAACTTTACTCCGGCTGTCTTGTTTGCTCAGTAAGCAGAACCCTCTTCCTCCTACCCTGGCCTTTCGTGGCTACTTGATGCTGATGTTTGTGACTTGTGTGAAAACAGCATGTACTATCATTTCGCCATCCTCCTCCTCTTCAGGCCCCTGATCAAGCTCCGTATCATCGGGTCCAAGGTATCGCCGCGAGACGTTTGTTCGCAAGCTGCCGATGCGATCCAGGGCTTATTAACGTCCTATGCCCAGCTCTATACGCTTCGTAGGACGCCGTCATTTGTACCATATTTCGTCCTGACGTCGGCCATTATGCATCTGGCGATAGGTGCTAGCATGGTCAAGAGCGACGGCTCTGAAACCAGCGAAGAGAAGATGAAGAAGGCAGCCAAAATAGACCCACGTGTGTCCGAGGCCCTCAGCCGGGGCATTGCGGATCTGACAGAGATGGCGCCGTGCCACCACTTTGCCGAGCAAGCGTTGAACATCTTGCGATACCTGGCCAAGAAGTGGAACATTGAGGTCAATGTCGACGGCGACAAGGTGCCGCCGGAAGACCCCGACAACCTGGTGAGGCCTTACTCGAGCAGCCTCAACTTCTTTGCGCCCAACGTTCAGGAGAGCGACTTCATGTGCGGCTGGGGGCCCAGCGCCGAGATGGTGGAAACGCTGCAGGCGCCCAACATCAAGAAGACGGCCGAGACGGCGGAGAACCCGCTCTTCTGGCCGTTTCCGATGCAGGGGAGACCGCTGCTGCCTATTGGCCCGGAACTGGAGCAGGCTGGTTTCATCAAGATTTGATGCGGCTGTTCCTTTTTCCTCTTTTCTATTGTAGTAATACTTCGGGGTTGCGTACATATAAACGAAGCGGTGCGCCTCACGGACGCGGACTGGGTTTGGATACCATTGGGAACTTGCTTTATCATGGTGTGGAGGGATTCTTGGTATATAGTAAAAGGAATAAACCAATTTGTTACTTGCTTCCAACTCTTTTATGTACCAAGGCGTCCCTTTATAATGTGATGTTGATCTTTTGAAGTGCTGGAGGATTTGTTCTCGGATCATGCTGGATGGTTAACGGACCATACCATTTGGCTTCGAACATTCAACCGTCCACATACAATACGCCTATGATTAACCTTCCAATATTATACTTGTGTATATTATCAAAGGCAATCTATCTCATCCATAATTTATTTTCCATATATCGATGCTTTGGAAATAGCATCATGATTTCCCCCAAAATCACGAGGAAGATGCAGGGTAGATAAGCAATGCTGCATTCAGCAATCCCAGCCACAGCCACAGGCAGCTCCTCGGCCATGCGCCACAAGGGGCGTTTAATGAATGGCGTATTGTACCTCGGCTTCCACTGAGCGTCATCTCCTGGTATCATTGGACCTCGTGCCGCACAGCTGAAATCTCAACTTGCCATCAACAAACAACAAACAACGAAACAACCGCCAATCGCCAATCGCCGCCTCGACATGGTGCTCGGCGACTACGAGGGAGCACAATAGGCGGGACGCGAAGCAAACAAGCGCTGGGCGTCTGAGAAGTAGCCCGAGAGTCACAGCTACAGCTACAGTGAACACGCGATAGAGTGATTCAGGACATCCAAAGACGAGAACGCCTGGACGAGAGTCGCCTAGACGAGACACGAAGCAAACAGACGCAGAAAGCAGATGCAATGTCGGCAAATGTAACAAAGCCGGCGCCCAATCGGCCGCAGCGGCGCGTAACGGCCGGCCAGATCCTGTCGATGCCGCCGAAATGGCTCGGCATGTACGACGAATTCATCACCAAGAACGCCGGCCAGGTGTCGCAGATTGAGAGCGCGCTGAGGAGCTTGACGTATATTATTCCAGGTTTGATTCTGTCCATCTCTCTCTCCTCCGCTAAAGGTGGCAGCTCAAGCTAACTGTTGCTGCTTCACCACAAAAAAGGCCGCTTTCGCGATGCTGAAATCGCCTCCGAGTCGATTCACTCGGGCGTCCAGCTGCTGTCGCTCTACCACGACGGCATCCTCTCGCAGGCAGTGTCCAAGCTGCCGACGCCGCCAGTCCGGTCGGCTCATGCGCGCTACACGCGGTACTGGACGCAGAAGAGCAAGACGTACCGCAGGATAGCCATGGTGCTGCAGATGGTCGTCTACACGGAGCTGCTGTGCGAAATGAGCGCCAAGCGGCGCGGCGGCGAAAAGTCCCGGTGGAACGTCATCGTGCTGCTCGAGGCCATCAAGGCCTTTTGCCGCCTCATCCTGCTGCGCGTGACGCGGTCGCGCCCGCTCGTCACACCGGTGCTGCCGGAGCGAGAGCCTATTCCTGAGGACGACGATGTCGACGAGGATCTGGTGACGGACAGGAGCGAGAGCGAGCTGATGGACGAGACTTCGCCCAACGGATCCACCGTCCTCGTCAACAGCAGCACGCCGCCGAAACCTGCGTACGAGAAGGAATGGACAATGCCGCGGACGGGCATGAGCTTGCCGTCGTTGCCCAACCCTGGCGATGTTGGTTCGTACCTCCTGGGGCGCGTCCTGACAGCCGACGACATTAAACCTGCCAACAAGCTCCTAAACACTCTGCAAGGAGGCGGCCAGTTTGCCGAGATGCTGCACATTCTGACGCCCTTGATCTACGCAGTGGCGCTGGCTAGGACAAAGAACAAGAAGTCGTGGACGCCGTGGCTAGTGGGTGTGACCGTCGAATACGTCGCTCGCCAGCTCCGCCAGCGCAGCCTGCGAACCTCGGCTCTGGAGCGAGACGAGTGGAACAAGAGAGGCTGGGCCATGATCTGGTGGATGATGCGCGGTGCCTTTTACGAGAACGTGACTAAGGGAGCCGTCAACGGGGTGACGAGCAGAATGCCAGGCTTCATCGCCGGAATCCTACAGGACTACGAATATCTGTGGGAGAATTACTACTTTAGCACGAGCGGCTGATGGCTGTCGAGCTGGCCATGGAGCGGTGGCGCTCGTTCATCTTCTCTCTCGCTATATAACTTATATTGGTGCTACCGAAGCACATGCGCAACTTTGTCTTATCTTTTGGCGAGATATATATGTGATACGGTTCGGTTCTGGTCTCGGAGCGAAGCGGATAGGACTGGATAGGGCTGGACCGGACTGGACTCATCTGGATTTGAGTGGGAATGGCGTACAGGCTGTTGTTTCTATATATGAAAGGGGTGGAAACTTGAGACAATTCTTTTTAGCGGCTCCTTCTTGTCAGTACCAAGGCACAGAGGAAGGCCGCTGTAATACAGGCACAGGCATCGTGATGGAAGCATTTACAGACGACTCTGACGCAGCCGGCATACGCGGAGATACGAGTGGAGAGGGAGATGGATGTCAACCCGGGGATTGGCTGGGGGTCCGCTTTGGCAGATGCCGCGGCATCACTGCGTTGCCTTTTTTTCTTCTCTTCTCTTCTTCTTTTAAACGAGAAGCTATCAGCTGGGCAAGGGTGAGGGAGGAGAAGGATACTATATATCCTGGTTGTTTGTTACGTGCTCCGGGCCCCTTGTCCCTGTCGAACGGAGATGAGAGACAAGCTTTCGGGATACCATGGAAAGAAGAATAGCCGTGGGACAGCGAGCGCAAGAAGAACTGTTTTCGTCATAGACACAAGGTGTTATCCTGGTTGGGTGATACTATTGCATTGATATGTACTCGTGTTGTTGGTGTTTCTTTGAGAGGGAAAAACGAAGGGTTTGGTCATGCTATCAGAGGTTTTCTTGCTTGTGTTTGATGCGGCGGACTGGACGGGATTAATTGTGCTCGTTTATTTATATTCTGATGTTTTGTATTTTTGTGAAAGAACTTTTGTATACCTGTACGAATCGGGGAGTTGAGACTATGTTTGTAGCTCTTTTTCTTTTGTCAACTTGTATCATCTATCAACTACCTATTTCCTATCTCCAAGCATCTCTGGCTAATATGAGTCCCTACTGTATCTATCTGTGGCTTGCGGAGTACACTTTGCTGCATTCTATTAATTCAGGGGGCGGCGGTGCTGAGTTGCTGTATCAAACAAACAACTAAACAAACAGACAAACATGTGCAGTAGCAGGTTGATAACATGTGTATCAAGGAACCGCGATGATTTGACCTTGATGTGATGTGACGTGATTTAATTTCTTCTCGTCGAACTTCTTTTTGCTACTACTAGGAAGCGAAGCGAGGAAGCACAATCTTTAATTTACGGACCCTTGCTTGACAGGCAAAAAAACCTTGTGGTCTGATATCACACAATTCATGCGTCCCTTGTTTTTTTTTTTATTTGGCATACATGATGTGATCAATCAATGAATGACTAACCTTGTTTTCCTTCTTCTCCGCAAGCATTATTAATCGGGATTCGCTGTCACTGTGGCTTTTTCATTTCCTGCTCGGTAGAACTTATCGTATTCATGAGAAGAATTTCAGGGTTTGGGTTTCCCCTTGTTGCCACTTTGACACGTTTTCCGTGGAGAAGGGATCCGGGTCTAAGCGGGAAGTGGACCTTTCTCTTTTGATGATTTCATGCGTTAATGAAGGATCTTGAGAAGTCATTTTTTGGAATAAACGAAGGATGAATGCGTGTTGTCTATAGATAGATGTGGCTTATGTTTGTGATTTGGGGTGGCAAATGGAAGAGAGTCCTGACTAGGGGAGAGGAGATGATGAAACGTGAAAGGGCTTGCCACGAGGAGTTTTTGTTCTAGCTTATCACAATTCGGAAAGGAAAAGAATAGACCGGTGTTTGTCTTCTTTCGTGGCTTTGTCTTCGTAATGATGATAAGAAATGACAGGAGCTGCAGCCTGGCAGGGGTAAGCCTCGAAAAGACTTATCCCGGGGTGGCAAGGGAACAAGAAGAGAAGAAACCACAAAGGGAAACGTGCCGGTTGGCTTCGCGACCAAAGTGGAGAGATGGGAGGGGAGGGGGATATCCAAACTTGAAAGCCACGTTTTTTCTCTCAATCTTTGTCCGAGTTGTTCGTTTTCTGTTTAGTTGAGGGTGGGTGGTAAGGGTGACATTGGATGACAGCCTCGCGCGGGAATGACGGGTGCTGGGAATAGTGAAGGATTGGAATTGCTTGGGCGATGCAACGCTTTTGATGCGTGTAAGACGTTTGTTGGGTGCGTGTGTGCAAATCTTTTTTAGATGAGCTTCCTCTTACGACCACGTCTTGATAACTACTGTTCATTCATATCGTATCACCGAGAACTCGGGGTTGGTGGCCGAAGGATTCTCAAAGAGAGAGAAAGAGAAGGGAAGCCTCGGCTTCTGAACCATTGTTACTGCGAAAGAGGAAAAAAAATTGGGAAGCCCCAATCTATCTCCGACAGCGCGGCTGCGCCAGGGGCTTTTTAGTCAGGCAGGCATGGGGGTTTGGTCTTTTTTTTTTCTGGAGCTGATTCTGGCGTTTCTTGTTTTGTTCTGTCTGTTTCTCTGACTGATAATGAGCCGACTTGTTGAATCGGTTACAAGAGTGCGATGTTGAGGCTGTGCTGGAGATGCAACCTTGGACTGTATCATGATCCCATGCTCATATGATTGCAGTACTTGCTTGGCGTCGAGCGTTGCTCCTTTGAGTTGAAGAATTTGTCGAAGCGGAGATTTGTGCTTGAAAGATGCATCGTCACGGAGTAAGAGAGACATGTGTAAAGATGCATTGATAGAGCCAATATCTCCTTGGCATTGGCATTACATCATAAATCAGACCAGATTTAAAGAGAGTTTAACAGTGTGCTTCTACTGTACGGAAACTAGATGAGCCATGACATGATACATGATGGGCAAATCTCGATTCGGCGTAGAGCCATTACGGAGCGGGATGGGGGATGGTAATACGGAGCACTCCGTATTTCAAGACAAGGGGGGGAGAGGGGATCCCCGTTTATGACGCGCGGGTTGTATTACAGCGCCAGTACTAGTACTTTATCCTCATCCAAGTCTCACGGCCCGGCGCGTGAGAATGACGGAGCCTGTTGAGCGTTTGATGTTTCAACTACTGCCAAGTCTGCTCGTGATTACTGTTACCAAATACGGGCGTCGCTGAGACGAGAGGAGGTACTTGAAGATACTCGCGATGATGGCTTTTGCTTGTTTCTGGTGCTAAAGCGAGTAGCTCCGAACTCAGCCGCAGCTCAAGTGTTTCAGAAAGTCCATCGCCATTCGATCTACGGCAGCTTTTCCCAGAAGTGCGCGACTTAGTTCTGTGCCTGGGAGGGGAAAGTGGTCTGTGATGACGGTTTGAAGTATTTTTTAAATCTTTAGCTCAAGAAGATCGTATAGTAGTAGTAAACAAAGAAAAGAAAGTGAGAAAGGCGGAACAAGGTGAGAGAGTTGTGGTGTCGACGGTGCATTAGTGTGAGTGAAGATCAGAAAGGAAAAAAAAAAGAGATGGCGTCGATGTGCCTGGTTTATTGCTGATTCTGGCCAAGAGATCGTCGCAAAAGGTTTCAGCCGTTTGAAACAGATCTCGTGGATTGAAGAAATTTCTTTGGCTCGGCTCGTTTCCTTTCCCTCTTGGGGGCCCTTTGAATTGAATCAATTGCAGAAGAGGCTGAGACATTTGACTCACTTTTGCCCGCTCATCCCTGAACCCGCAAACCGTTTTCTCTCTGTAAGCAGCAGCCCCCCTGTCCCGTTTCTCTCTCACGCTCCCACGCAAAAAGGGAAGCGCGCAAAAAAAAAAAGAAGGGGAAAAATAAACCAGAGAGAAAACAGTAGGTCAGCAAGACGAGAAAAGCCCGAGCGTACGGCACACGCGCGCAGGCACAGGCACAGGCGCTGATGAGATGCATATGAGCATCGACCATCTCAAGTCAATACGACCCGTCGCCTGCTTCGGCCTTGGCTAGACACGCCTCTGCGGGTTAATTGTGAGCTACTACGAGTGCTACTCCAACAGGGGGGAGAGGCAGGCCAGGCTTGTTCGCTTTTCACGCTGTTGTCTTCGTTGGGTTCCTTTTTTATGAAATTGTGTTGGCGTGGAATGGAGCGACAGGGGCTGCATGTTGTCATTGGTTCGAGCGTGTTAGTGCCGTTTATTAATTGTCTTTTTTACTCTGTGTCGTGGCAGAGAAGCCATGGCTATCCCTGCTGCCACACAGCTTTGATTTCCCACTCACACTCACACAATCACACACACACACTCTCACACGCACTTTACGCCCAGACAACTCAAAGACACCCGCGCACCCCTGAGCTAAACAAAAAAAAGAAAAGAAGACCAAGAAAAAGAGTGTGAGAAAAAGAGAAAAAAGAAAATGTGTGGTAGGGGACGAGGGGATCGATATCACCCTACCCGAACCAGTCACGTTCCGCCGTTTTCCAGCCGTTCAGCAGGTCAAGGTTTGTCGAACTCCGTAGTAATCGCCGAAGTCAAAAGCAATTAAGCACATAGATTAAAATAAAAAATTACAGAGAGACATTGATCAACAGAGAACGGACATCCGACCGCCTGTAAACGCGTATTTTGCACATGGACCAACAAGATTTCGCAGCCGTCCATGCACACTGTCTACTCCGTATAAAGTACTACCTCACGTTGCCTTCAATTCCATTGGTACAGTACTCGTAGTGGCACGATGAGTACATTGAAGTATGGCTGCATGGTTCTCCATGTACCGATACGAGTACCGCGTACTTGTGAGTACATCTCATCCATGAACAACGGGAGATGGGAGATGGAGAAATAAGCAAAACGGAGATGGGAATTGCTGGCTTGTCACGCTAGAGAGCGCACGGATTGCTGCTATTGCTGGTAACACGGGGGGGCTACATCACGAAGAAGTGGGAACAGCATCGTCATGGCTCGTTTTTGTCGTTTTTTTCTTTTCTGATTCTTTTCTTGGGGTGGCCCTTGTCATGGATTCTATTTGATCGACAGAGATTTGCGGGCAGTGAGATGGAGAGGGAGGAGCACGGAAGTCCGATGGAGGTGACATCAACCGCCCTGTGCCGAGTTGAGGTACGGGCTGGAGATGGCGATGGTTCATGTTGGGTACTTGGTTGTTCGCGGCTGAGACAGAGCTGCAGTACATATTAAGGTAATGTAATCACACGTTGAGATGCATCCATGCTACCTTCACAAGGCAGCCAAATAGAAGCCAGCGAGAGAAATAAACAGACCACGGTAGCACCGACGCAAAGGTGCTTGTGCTCGCTCGCACGAATCAGGCACCGCAGCAACGCACCACAGTCTCTCTGTCTGTCTCTCTGATTCTCTGTCTCTCGTCTCTTGTCACTTGTCTCGCTGTCTCTCTTCAGCGCTGTCCCGACAAGCCACCAACTGATCCATCTTACACAGATGCCGTGCCGTGGCCCTCCATGCCGATCGAGACCTGCAGCACCAAGCAGAGAAAAAAGGCTCCAAATCCAAGACATTCTCACTGGGGATCCGCCCATCCTTCCTAGGCGGACCCGCGAGACTAAACCAAGCTCTTAGTGCTTTGTAGCTTCAAGGTAATAAACCCCGGTCCTACCTCACAGATTAATCAAAAAAAGCAAATGCAAATCCTCTCTTCTTACTTGTACCCCCAGAGCTGCGAGCAATTTAACCCGAGTCGAGTGCTAGTGCCGGGCCTTCGCACTTTGCCCAGAAAAGCAGTAAACTTGGGGACAAGGAACAAGCAACCCATCATCAGCTAAACACAGCACGGACTTGCGTCTATTCTCCCCCTCCCCCCCCCCCCCCCCCCCCCCCCGACGCGATCCAAGCACCCAAGTTACAAATCCATTCATCAGCCGGACGGATCCAGGGTGCATTAGCACGTACAGAAGAGAAGCACTTGGCCCGGAACAGGTAAGAGTGAGGGCGTGGTACCTGTATTAGCTCTGGAGTAGTTGCCCTTAGCTGCTTTCTCACTCGTCATTTGATGTGATTTTATCGTTTTGTTTGTTTTGTTGATTTATTTTTTAATTTTACCTCGTCATTTTTTGTCTTGTCCATCGAGGCTAGCCCGGGATGCATCATTTTGTTTTTTCAGCTTCCGCCAATAAATCGCCGGGGCTTGCATTGCTTTTCCTTTCTGTGAGGAGAAAACAAACAATTGGGCAAGCAATCAGAAATGCAAATTCCATCTTTCCCCCGGCCTTCGCTTGCCTGCTCGCCTCTGCCCACCTCCTCCCTAGCCTCTTGTCTTGTCCTTGGCTCGCTCTCGTCTGCATCTGCATCTGCATCCGCATCCTCGCTGTCTGTTTTTACTTTGCATTCTGGTGTCGTCTCGTCTGCTCTGGGCCTCACCGTCTCCTCTTTTCTCCTTGCTATTACTGCTGTAGCTGCCCATCTATTGGCTGTGCTGCCATCCTAGGGCCTGTATAATATACACACATATCCTGATCGTAATGCGGCCAAGCCTGCGTCTCCTCCCCCCATTCCCTCTTACATGGGCTTGTACCCAGTACTGCCGCCGCATCTCTCTCCGCGATCGAGCCCTCGCACATGCTTCCAAACTTGAATGCTTGCTTTTGCTTCAGTAGCTGCAAATTCCAGCCCCCAAGCGCAAAGCCCAATCAACCACTGACTGCACTTGTACATACATGGTCTACATACATACATACAGGCTCACATCTTGCAGCAAGAGGGTGGACAATCCACCGCTAATCCGTTCGGGGGTGTTTTGGTTTTTGATTTTTGATTGCACGCATTCTCCACGCCAAAAGAGACATGGATTGGCCCCGAGCAAGGCAAACTCCATGCCCTCTGAGCTGGACTCGACTTGATCCATGTACTGTACTCTGTACGGTTGCTTTTGGACTGACTTGATCTGTTCAGTCTTATGTCTGAACCGACCCCCCCAGTCTGGTCTGGTTCTGGTCTGCGCATCTTTTTCCTCTTCTCCAGCTCTCGGCCTCCTTGTTTCCCGCGCCCTTTCCTTATCTCTCCATCTCCGCCGTTCCGTCTCCATCTCGCCATCTCTCTCTCTCACTCTCTCATCCCGATACACGCAAAACTCGGGGCCTTTTTTCCCTTACCCACCCAGCACCGTATCATATCGTATCGTGCTGCTTCTAACGGTGCTAACTGGCGCTACTTGGCTCCGTACTGGCCATCACCTTGTTTCAGCCCGTTTATTACCTACTATATTCTATATTACGAGTACATTCCATTATTACCTATCATGGTTATTACTGCCTCTTCTGCCTAACAAGCATATGTACTAGGTAGGCAGGCATTGGTTTTATGATTTTATTAACATGATGATTTTGTGTCTTACCTCGTCTCCCTGCCCAAAGGCCTGACCCCCCCGGAAGCCGGCGCACTTTTCGAAAACCCCCCGACAGAGAAGAGAGCCCAGAAGCTTAGAAAGGTACCTGCTAGGTAGCACGAGTACCTCGGCCGGCGGTACCGTTTGTGCGACGCAGCACAAGACATCTACAAGACGCGCGAGTACCTCAGCTGTACTGTACTGTACCTTACCCATCCAGGTACGGTATTATTGCTACAGGTCTTATTACAATTACAATTACTATTTGCAAGCAATAAATCGCCAACAGCGCAAAAACAGCACAGCACAGCACAGCACAGCACAGAACAAAACAGCCCCCGCTAACCTCGATTCTGCTGCCGCCACTCTATTTGCTACAGCAAGCCCCTCGTCGCCTCTCTGTGCCTCTCGATTTGCTTTTATTTGATTCCTGGCTCGCCTAATCCTGCTACAATTTCACGGGCTGTCCCGGGCGCTGCGATTGCCCACTGAAGGCCAGCTGCAGCGCTAAACCAGGTACTAGAAGCTACTTGGGCCCTGCTAAAGCCCGCTAGCACGCTCGCGCAGCCGGAGCCTTGGCCAGCCGTTAGCACGTGTACCTGCGACAAAGTACCGGCCCCGTACTGGGCTACTCCGCAGCGGTCCCCAGGCCACGGCCATACCTTGCGCTACCTTGCAAAGTACCGCGCAGCAGTACCTGGCAGTACTTTGCGCGGCGTACTCTCGTACAGGCGCCGTTCCTTCCTTTCTTCTCTTTCCCTCCCGCAGCCACAACCGCCCGGCCTCACCTTCCCATTGCTCGCGCTCTCACACGCACATTCTTCTTCCTAACTCCTCCTTATCCTTATCCTCTCCCTGCGTTTCTTCTCCCTGTTCTCTCTTGTCTCTTGTCTCTTCTCGCGCACAACTCCTCGCTCTTTTTACACTTCACTTCACTCGTTTTCTTGTGTGTTTCTATTGAATTTTTTGCTTTGATTTTTCTTCTTGCTTTTGCTTTTGCTTCCTCGTTCGCTTCGCCCAATTCATTCCAATTCCTAGTTGCGCCTTCGAACCAAAACAAAACAATCCGCCATCCCGCCTGTTCGAAGCCAGAAAATCAACGCAACGCAACGCAACAGCCGCCACTCGCTTACTATTTGACTGCGACAACAAGAGACAGAAGAAGGAAAAGAACAAGACAAAAGGGGAACAAGAGGAGGATCAACACCATTTCCCCAGCTCACCAGGGCCGTCAGATGTGAGGCGCTCTCTCAATGGACCCAACTCTGCAGTCTCACCAGCTCCACCAGCTGGGCCAGCCTCAGTCTCAAATGGTGTCTCAGTTCCAGCAGCCACATCTGCAGCAGCAGCTCCAGCAGCAGTTGCAACAACAGCAGCAACAGCAACAGCAGCTCGACTCGGCCACGCCTCAGGATGTCCTCGTCGAGGCGCGCAAGAACCTGCAGGTCCTGATCGACTCGGGTCTGTCCAAGGATCTGCTTCACCAATGGGTTGACGACGATACCTTTTCTCTCCAGCTTTCGTTCCCGGGCCAGGCACCGCCATCCGCATCTACGTCTACTCCTCCGGCTTCTACCGCCACTCCCATCCCCTCGCCGCTGCTCTCTCATCCCGTCTCTGTCTCGCCCTCGCATCATCTGCAGTCTCCTCAGGCTTCAGCTCTCGCTCCTCCTCAGAACCAGGCTCCTACGCCCGTCTCCGCCGCCGTCCACTCCTCTCCGGTCGCGTCTCTGTCGGCTTCATCCGCCGCTACTTCTCCCATTCCCGTCTCCAGCTCCGGCACTCTTGCCAGCTCGACGTCTCCCGTCAACGGCGCACCTCCTTCTATCGCAATAATCAAAACAGAGCCCTCCTCCTTCGCCGACGATGTGTCGAGGGCCTGGGCCGCAGCAGCCGTGCTGCCGCAAGCCCCCAATTCTATGTCCGGAGCCCCCCAGGCCCAGGCATCGCGGACGGCTCCGACAGGCGGCATCGTCAAGTCTGACGCCTCGACCTTCATCTCGCCATCGATGCCGTATCTCCACCACCGTCCTCGCATCTCCGTCTCCTCAACCAGCTCGGGATCCTCTGGCCATGCTTCTGTGTGGTCTGTCAATTCGGCACGGTCATCCATGTCTTGGGCGTCGGCTTCGTCTTCGCGCACTCAGGCATCGCTTCCCATGACTCCCGCTTCTTCTTCCTCAGCCAACAAGACTAACATCTACTGGTGTACTTCATGCGAGACCAGCTTCAAGCGAAAGTATGACTGGAAGCGTCACGAAGACGAGTTCCACGAGCGTTGGAGAAAGTATCCCTGCCCCGAGCCAGGCTGCAACCGCAGTTTCTGGGGCTCCAACTCATTCAACCAGCACCACAAGCAGTGCCACGGCTGCAAGACGTGTCCCCATGCAGAAAAGGTGGTCAAGTTCCTCCGCAAGCGCAAGTACTGGGCCTGTGGTTTCTGCTCTGCCCTTCACCCTGCGCGCGAGCGACACGTTGAGCATGTGGCCCGGCACTTCGAGTCTGGCCTGGGTAAGGCCGAGTGGATGCACTCGAGGGTCATCTACGGTCTACTGCATCAGCCACTCATCCACGGTGCTTGGGATGCTCTTGTGACGGCCAAGCAAGCTGAATTTGGCGGGCGCCGTCCCCAGTTCAGTTGGCACCCGAGCAAGACGGGACGTGCTCAGGGCTTCCTGGAGAAGGAGAATCCCGGCCAGCTCCAGGACTTGCTCGAGTTCTTCTCCGGCGACGAGGGCGAGGCCCAATGGATCGTCAGCGTTGCTTTTGACCTGTCCGACATGGCCTTTGCAAGCGCTCAACCGCCGGCTGCGGCCCCTTCACCGCAGCCACAGTTTGCGCCCAATATGATGGCTCCTCCTTCCGGCTTTCCGCAACAGCAGCAACAGCAGCAACAGCAGCAGGATAGTCGCATGTCCTTTGCGGCATTGCCGTCCCAAGCACCGCAGCAGATCCCCACTTCGAATCCCTTTGGCGCCTCTTCTTACCGAGCCTCGGCGGCTTTTGTCCCGTCCCAGGCATTTCCCTCCTCGGTGCAGCAGCACTCACCCGATCTATCAACACCTTCTCCCATGACCTCTCAACTCGACAAGCGGGAGCTGCCCCCTATTCCCCAAGGCCATTCCTTGGCAGACGGCATGATGGACTTTGAGTATTCCCCCGCCGCCCCAGTGATCTTTGAGGACTGGGAGAGCATTGCGAGCTCAACCTTCCTCGACACATCGGCACATCACCAGCAGCAGCAGCAGCAGCCCAATCAGGGTGCTGATTGGGGGATATCCCAATTTTACGGCAATTCGAATATGAATTGATCAAAGCGAAACCAAGCGAAAAAGAAGAAAACAAAAAATAATCAACTCGAGAAACCCCGACACTCTTTTATTACTATTACAGCCCTATTGGCATCGAGTCTTTATGTTGACGTTGCATCAAGCTATTTTCCTTAATCTCACCTGCGCGGCATCTCTTTTTTTTATCCCATGTATTATCAGCAAACCAGCGCTACACAACGAACGTTTTTCCTACCATGTCTTTTTTGTCTCTGTCACATCACATCTATTTAACGGGCATGGAGCATCTCAGGGCAGCAACAAATACCACTGCTTTACATAACGTTGCTGCCCTGATTAATAATGATAATTCCCCTATTGTTTTTCTTCTTACGAAAAAAAGCACGGGCACCTATCTATCCGCCCCCCTGATTTGAGCCAATCTATCTCACTCTATACCAATCTATCTTTTCCTTAATTTTCCTTTTTGTTTTGTCCTATATATACATCTTATCGTGGAATCCACTCGAGGAAGGAGTTGGGAGGTAATCTATCGAGCCGGGTTAATGGTCTTGTCATTGTCGTTATTTGGAAGCAAGCTTTGCATGGCTAGTTTCGTGTTCTATTTGTCTTTGGAATGCTCGAAATCATATGCGCCGCGGATGAAAAAAGGGAGGACTTGGATTTGCTGTTTTTTTTTTTTTTGTGTTTGTTCCTAGCAGTTTAATCGGCCATGTACACAGGTATGAGGGTAGGGGATGGAAATCTGCAATAGGACTGGGTATGTAGCTTAGTGCAGCGGAATAGACGGTTAAAATGATGATTATATTGGTTGAGCCTCTTTTTTTCTTGTGTCTGTTTTGAAATTTGGTGATTTTGATTGTTGCAATGGCTGTTGTGTTCGTTCCATTTTTAGATTTGGTAGAGTGAAGGGGCCTGCCTGACTTTGTGTTTTCCGTATACCTCCACCCGCCCTTTGATCCAATTCTTTCACAAATTTCTCTTTACAACCCTTGTACTTGAGAAACCTTTTTGTCTCTTTCTTCGTTCTTGACAACCTAAAAATATCCAAGATATGGCTTGGAAATTTGAACGCCCGTGTCGCTCGAAAGTATAAGGCGTTTTCGTGGTGGCTAATAATAGCTTTTTAGGTTCAAGTTTTGTCCGCGTCGTTCCAAGATCGATCCAAGAGTATCTGTTCGTTTCCAAAAAGTATCTGTTCGTTTCCTGAGAAACATAGTTGGAAAGCAATGATTCACCCCAACTCGCCTTGTTTCAGCATCTGCCGTGCTAAATATATCCAACTTCAAAGCAAGAAGGACGTTTTGATTCAGCTTTCCGTTGGTATCCACTGATATGTTCAATATTTGTCGAGTGTGCAAATAGGCATTTCGGGTATTATATCGAATTCGTTCAGAGCCGTGGCTTTGTTTTTCTCTAAGTGAATTGAAGCTTTCGACGGATTCACCAAGAGATGGGAAGGAATCGCGGTGTTCAAATCGCGGATGGACGTTCGACAAAGATTTGCGTCGAAGCAATACAGTTACTGCTGTCTGTTTGGCAATCTCGAATAGCATATAAACCGTCACTTCTTCCGGGAAAAAGTTGGAGTCTCAAATCACCATCACTCTTCAGAACAATCTTCAGCAATACTACCTACTCAACTACACTCAGCTGATACACGCCAAACACTAGACCACAGTTCTCAACCTCCACAGCCAACCATTATACAGATACTAAACAGGACAGTTCTCATCTTCCACAGTCAACCGATCCACTGACACCAAACAAAACAGTTCCCAAGCTCCACAGCATTCGCAATTCAAAATGGGCAACGGACCTTCCAAGGAGAGCTCCAAGAAGCATTCTTCTTCCAAGCATGGCTCTTCGTCCAAGCATGGATCTTCTTCCAAGCACGGCTCTTCTTCCAAGCACGGATCTTCTTCCAAGCACGGCTCTTCTTCCAAGCACGGATCTTCGTCCAAGCATGCCTCTTCGTCCAAGCATGCCTCTTCGTCCGAGCACAAGTCCAAATCCAAATGCTGTAAGGGCAGCTCATGCAAGAATGCGGATCCCACTCTGCGGGCCGTGTTTGCTCTAAGACACGACTTTTTGAAAAAGCTGCCTAGCCCGGAATTCGTCCTCGAGAGCCATCCTGCGTGGAAAACACTGACCGAAGAAGAACAGAGCAAGGCCCAACAGCTGCAGGCCAACTTCCAAGATACCACCGATGAACAGTTGAAGGACTGGGTCGCCGACTGGCAGCGCGACTTTCCCGAAAATATGGACTATGGGTACAATGTCGAAGAAGACACGCTTTACCCTCAAGAAGGACGATCCCCTGAGAATATTCTCTTTATTTTCCAGGAAGAGCGCAACAAATCTAAGGGTAAAGAACCTGAGCGTGGACGTACTAGGGAGCGGCAACCCGAAATCGATCATGAAACGCTCAAGAACCTGCATTCTCGGCCCAACACTCCTGATATTCCGGGCATGGTCCCAGAGGATTATGCCGAGCTTCGAGAAGAGCTTAGAAATGGCGGCGCAGATCCGGATGCTACTCCAAAGGCTTCTGCTACTAGACCGTCTGGTGATGGGCATTCCTCTTCGAAGCACTCTTCGTCAAAGGAGCACTCTTCGTCAAAGGAGCACTCTTCCTCGAAGCATTCCTCGTCCAGGCATTCTTCTTCAAAGCATGGCTCTTCTTCCTCTTCGAGGCCTTCTGGATCCAAGTCATCCTCTTCGAAGGAGAAGAGCAGCTCTCACGGTCACAAGGGCTCTTCTCACGGTCACAAGAGCTCGTCTTCTCGCCACTAATGTTGAGTAGGACTATGAAGCCCTGGCGGCTGTTGGACTGGTTGGTATTGATGATTTTTGATTGTTTCCTTTCCTTTCCTTTTCTTTTTTCTTTTTGGTGTTGATCTACCCCTACCTATCTATCTTTCCCAATCCCCTTGTTTGCTTGTTTGTTTTGGCTGGTCGTTCGTTAAGGAGTTATCGTAACGGAGTCGGAGTGATTGATTGGACAATGGCATCTGGAATGCCTAAAAAGGGAGATAGATTTTGGACATTCTTTTGGAAAATAGTGCAATTGATTTGCATAGAGATACTGAATACATGTTTTTGCACCTTGGTAAAAAATGATTGACTTGTTTGCTGAGTAATTGCCTGCCTTAGGTGTTGTTTAATCTTCGAGGAAGGTACCGCTGCATGTGACATGACTGTTGACTTCCACTCCATATCCCATCCTACCTTCTGTCTGCGCGAGTGCACATTTTCCTCCCTCCTCCATTTTAATTGGAATTTCTCACCTGCGCCAATCTCAACTGCTGTAAAATCTCTTTTATTGCTGCTAGCCCAATCTTGATTGCTGGTTTACCAATGGAGACCTTGTTACGACTTTTACTTCCTCTAAATGACCGAGTTTGGAGAGCTTTCCGGCCCTGAGTGGCAGTTACCCACCTCTCTGGGACGGCCTGAATGCCTCACTGAGCCGTTCAATCGGTAGTAGCGACTGGTGGTGTGTACAAAGGTAAGGCATCTTCGGTTTACTCTGGCTCCCCTGGGTCCCCTTCTCCTTTTCACATATCACTTTTCGCCAGTTCCTTTTTCAGTCCCGTTTGCTTTTCTCAGTATACCCTGGAAATGGAAGTGGTCGGCTGCTAGAATTGGGCCCGTGGCTGCATTCCGATTTTCCGCAAAATTCATTTTTATGACCTTTCTCACCATATCCTAGATGAGTACGAAGCAGCCAATCGAGACTCGATCAAGGTCAGAAAGCCGACTGAAGGGGCCCAATAGGAGCAAGACGCAAAAGATGTCGTCAAGGTTGATGCAACTCCCAGTAAAGGGCATGGGATTCCGCAGAGGGAAAGGCCCGGCCGGACCAGTGCACCGGGTGAGGCGGACCGGCCCGCCAGGCCCAAGGTTGACAAGAAGGCAACGGATATTTTGAAACAGATGCTAAATGGCTTGGTCATTTCTGGAGAGCATGCCAGGAGGAGCCACGTTCCCGAAGCCTTTTTCCCCCGCGACGAACTGATGCTGGCCTAGACGCGGCGAAGGGCGCCGGAGAGCATGCCAAATCACTCAGATCACCACCACGTTCTAGTGATGATATCGAACAGGCAGCTTGGTGGTGGATAGAAGGCGGAATTGATGAATAAAGTAGTTTTTAGAAACCCGGGGAATTTGAAGAAGTGAAAGAGAGAGGGAGGGATCAGGAGAAAGGGAAGGAGGTGGAGAGAAGGGAGAAGGGGGGAGAGGATAAGAAAAGAGAACAGGCAGCTTGGTGGTGGATAGAAGGCGGAGTTTATGAACAGAGTAGTTTCTAAAAATCGGGGAATTGAAGAACTGAAAGAGAGAGTGATGAGAAGGACGGGGAGGGGTGATGAAATTTATATATCTCAATAGTCTTCTAGGAAATGGACTTTTTTTTTTAAAAGGGGAGGGGGTGGAGGGGAGCAGAGAGGATAAGAAAAAGGAAGGAAGGAAGGGGTAGGGGCAGAAATAGAGGAATTTGTCGACACTTTATTTTTATTTTTTGCCAAACAGCCATCTTCTCTTCGCCTCCACCTTCTCAGTCCTTTCGACCGACTTGTTATTCTCAGTCGAATCATGTCAAACACCTTTCTCACCCACTCTCAGCTATCTCTATCGATTAGTTTTACCAGTTCAGCCAGTCCAGCGCGTGAAACACCCGCGCTGTCGCATAAATCAGGCCTGTTCCCCCTCTTTCCCCCTCTCCATGGTATCACCTTTTACAAATCACCAACTCCCAAAACACCAAAAATCATAATATTTGCAGATGCTAGGTCCCAAAAAGCCCCCAAACTCCGCTCTTCGTCATTGGCTAACAATATTGTCGCCAGAACCGAATGCTATCCCGTTGCCCTAGAAACATCGCGGCTTGTCTCTTCAAGTACTCGAAACGACATGAATTTCATATCCAATCAACACCTCGGTGTTTGTACCGTCCCATCCACGGTTGCCCGCGGCACTGAGCATGAATCTGCTCGTAGGGTCGACGTACAGACTCGAAATGACACCCGCTCTGGGGGGTCCGGGGATAATGAGGAAGGGAACGGTTGAGTGCTTGAAAGCGCGAGACTCGCGCAGATCATACAGCCTGAGAATGTCGTGTGATGCGCTAAACACAGAGAGGTCTTGTCAGCCTTGAACAAATGCATGAATGAACCCTAGAAATAACCATTGCTCCCCGTTTGAGCATATTCTCCTTATCCTTCTCTTCCTCTGTTTACTTCCCCCCTTCCCCTACGCCATCTTTTGCGCATTTCTTCCATTTCTTCTATGTCTCCCATTTCTTTCTCGAAATCGCCTCGTCTTTCTTTTGCAAGTCTCGTCCTCCCCTTCTCCACAATATCTCTTCATCGCTACAAAAGAAACACGAAATTGTATCAACTTACCAGACCAAATGTCGCCCGTTGACCATGGGCTTGATTGCACTCACGGCACCGCTCCCCGCTGGAAATCGAAGCACCCTCTCGGGCTGCCATCCCCTCCTTGCTTTGGCAATGTCAAACTCCTCCACTGTTCCATTACGTCTACCTGCATAAATCTTGTTGCCGTCGGGGCTCCAGCAAGCGCTCATGCACCAAGGCGGCACGCCAACGCGATTAGGAATCCTAGCTACTGCGCTGGGTACTCGCCGATCCCAGACGCGAATCGCCCCGTCAATGGCTGACGACAAGAAGGTTGTCTGCGATACCTGCGTGGCATCGTGTTGAGTGGGAGGTGGCTGTGAGCTGACAATCATTGGAGAGTGTGGTCTCTTGATGCCCTGTCGCTCAGATGTGTCAGCTGCAGACTGGCTCTCCATTGACTGGTCTTGCTGCAGTGTCTGGCTAGACTCCTCCGCCTTGACTGTATCGGTATCCGTCGCCATTTCTGTCTGTTCTGTTACCCCCGAGATTGTCGAGACTTGGGTATCTCCGAGGCCTAGAGCTGAAGTAGAGACCTCGGCCGATGTTTGAGCTGGGGCTGGCTCTGGATTCGGGTGATCAACATCCATGGCATCGTCCTCTGGTCCTGATTGCTTGGGCTCTTTGTCCGCCTCTGTGGTGGCCATGCTGCTCATTGCCTTGTCGGCTGAGTGGTCCATCCCTGATTCGTGCCCTGCTGCCATGTTCATGCCACCGCCAAACTCATCATCATCCTGCCCAAAAGGCTGCTCTCCCGCCGTCTCACCGAACAGACTTCCGGCGTCACTTCCACCAAAAAGACTCTCGTGAGCGGGAGAAGCCGCGTCGGCAGCATCATTCTCTCCCCTCATTGCAACTGTGATCGATCGATCCTGTCCGTTGGGACTCCTACCATTCGCATTTCCTGCAAAACTCGAGCTGGCCATCGGTGCCCCGTTGTTGGTAGATATGGTACTTGAAGGCAGAGGCTCGTCAGCGTCTGCTGGTATCGGGGCGCCGCTCGCGGGCCGCAGCTCAATCGATGAAATCTGTCCGCCACTACCGTCGAAACTTCGCTTGATGTGCCCTGTATCGAGATCCCAGTCGAAGATGTTCTTGTCCCACGCTCCGCTGAGCACGCTTCTCTCGTCGGGTGCCAAGGTAAGCACGCTGACAGCGTTGGTGTGCTTCTGGAGACATGCTATCCTCTTGCCCTCATCATGGCGGACGCTCTGCAAGTTGATCGCGCCAGACTCGAGGCCAGACAGAAGCCAGAGAGCTTCGGAATGGACCGCCAGCGAGTAGACAGAGGACAAGACATGCTCCTGTTCGCTGCGCCCCGGCACGGCTGGCTCCTCGTTGGGCCAGTAGGACATGAGGATGCCTGCTTTTGTGACGGAGTCGACGAACGGGTGTCTCTGCGCGACGGTCAAGGCCAGCTTGCCATTGATGGTGCCTGGGCCGTCGTATTTGCGGATGTAGCCATCGGCACCGCCCGTGATCCAGTACCGCAGATCTGGCGTGATGGCCATGGCATTGATGCTCGTCGACATGGGCGCTGCCATTGTGGGCACAATGTCGTACAGACGCGCGCTGTAGACCTCGGAACGGATCTTGGGCCTCCACGTTCGGTAAAGAGACGGTAGCTGGTCGAGCTGGGGCGTGTCCGATTTCCTCCTAGGTGATTCGGGCTGCTTGCCGTTGACTCTGCTATCGCTGTCGGCGGTTTCGCCCTCGCCCTCACCAGCAACGACGACGGTGTTTTCGTCATCACCATTATCATCTTCTCCAGCCGCCTCTTCGTCATTGTTTCCATCGCCGTCACCCTCGCCGTCACCATCTCCTTCGTTCTCACCTTCACCTTCACCTTCGCCCTCGCCTTCGCCGTCATTATCTCCGTCACCGTCAGCGTCAGCATCAGCGTCGGCGTCGCCATCTCCATCGCCATCTTCCTCTCTATCGCCCTCGTCGGCGTCCTCCATCACTTCATCGGGCTCGTTGTCGCGATCCGAGGTGGGCGAGCTGGCTCGTGACTGGTCTTCCTCGTCCATTTTCGTCGTCGCGTCGGCGCTGGTCGGTTCAAAGAGGAGGCAGAGCACAAACAAACCACGGTCGCTCGTGTAAGAAGAGAGGGAGCGACAAGGGAACAAAGAATGAAGGCGCGCAACGCAACTGAATTTCCAATTGAGGAGCAGAGATGGTCGGTTTGCACTGGCCCGGGGGAGAAGCAAGCTACGTAATTGATGACTAAGGCGGGAAGCTCTGCTGCGTCCATGTCGCAGGAGCTAACATGGAAGCTTACTGAGTGGGTGGAAGCCTTGCATTGAACTTTAACTTGCCCGAGGCTTGCAGATGATACCAAGGTTGCACACTGAAAGTATCTGCTATGTGATTTCATTGTTTTCACCAATGGCAGGCCCTTCCTTTGTCTTCTTTGTCTTTCTTTTCTTTTCCCTATTTTTCACAACACTTTGTTGACAGCCGGGGGATACGAAACACAACACAAGAAACCTAGCTCGTCCTGAGGACCACGGCGCGAAAACAGGCTACGGAATCATTTGATCCACAAGTTGCGGCCTTCTTCCCCAAGAAACAATGCCATCGTTATAACTAGGGTTATTTCATCATGAATACCATGTCTGTATTCTTCTTATCAAAACACCATGCCATTTCAAACAAAACGAATCCGAGGTCAGTAATTCGCCGATTTACCAAAAGTTCGATAATTCTGCAAGTTACATAACACAATATTGGTAAATTTCACGTTTGTGATCTAGGTAATAATTCTGCCATGTTATTCTAATGTTTTTTTCTGATACAGCTACTTTTGGTTACCTAGCATCGGGCCACGATATTGCATTTTACAGAGTAGATAACATTAAACTAATACCTAGCATCGTGTCTCGATCTCCCGATAGAGAGGTGTTGCAACAAGGGAATTTCTTGCAAGATACGCACATTATCCCGATTAGCCAGCCAAGTGAATATAAAAAACCAGGGAATTTGCAAACGATTAGCATACACCGTCACCCCTTACACAAATGGGCTTGCAGCAAATCCTGTTAGATAACCCGCCGCCTTCTTATGCAAATCAATCCGCGATGATCCCAGACACTTCGGTAATATTGATTGAAGATTCTCCTTCTCCCCAAGAAACTGTGCGAGAGAGATTTTTCGGAATATTACACACACAACACCATCAAAAACGCTGGCATCATGACTTTTTTTTAGGTTGTTTCCATTGGCATTTTCTACTTGTTCAAACTGGCTAACTTTTTTTATTCCTAGGCACGATGGCTCGTCAAGCTAGGTTTCATTTTTATCATCACAATACTTCCAAAAAGTTGCTTGTGCACGCTAACGAGTGCTAACTGCCTCTAGAAAGAGAATATTGCAGCAGCGATGTTAACCTCTCGGGTTTCAGCAGCCTCCTCGATTAGCATAATGGTAGGCATCAGGGCAGAAATCAGGCCACGGTACTTGGCCAGCGCTGGATTGTGCAGTCTACAATCTCAATGCCTTCGAATTTGATAATCTCCACGTCGTTGATCCAGCGATTGATCTTCAGATTTTCGCAGGCCTTCCTGAACTCACCCAAGTGTCGTCCGACTTCCGAGATAGTTTATTCTCTCAACTGCAACTTCAGGTGATAGTAAACCATCTCCCTGTCGCTTTGCTTAGCATCATATAGGTCCAAGCGTGTCTTAAGAAGCTAAAGTTCCAAGCTAGGATGCATCTCGCGGTAATCATATCATGTGCACTATCATCAAGAAAGTTGTCACTACCATCCCTTAAGGCTACTCCATAGCCATCCATACAAGACTTATTTGCTGTAATGATGCCAGCATAGTAAATTCCATTACCACATGTATATATAATATATCAGCATTATAGTTCTACCAAACTACCAATTGCAGCGCATATCGTCTTCAATTCATCATGGCCTAATGCATCAGCCTTACGGAACTTGGACTACCTAGATATCTGGAAAGTGCACCATGCGACAACACTCAACCACTCAATCGCAGATGCAGTTGAGCAGCCCCGTGAAATAAGTAATTCTCTTCAGGCAATGATCAAAAAAATCAAATGAAAAAAGAAAAGAAGAAAAAGTCTCCCTAACTGGGAATTTTTCAAAAAACGAAATTTCAATGCGTAATCTGGGAATCGAACCCAGGGCTCCCCGACGTTGCTCGGATGGCAACGGAGAATTTTACCACTAAACCAATTACGCTTGTAGATGCTATGGATGCTTCAACTTTTGCTCTATATTATCCAGCCATGCAGCATAAACACCACGCGCAACTCCGTGATTCAAAATTCAACAAGTCTACAGTCAAAGATATAGTCTCTGTATGCATGATATTTGGCCTCTAGAACGGTCCCGACATCTAGGAGTAGCTTTAACACTTCCCGGTGTAGGAGGAAAGGTAGATTGAACAACCAAAAATAAATTTGAAATAGCAATACCCAAATTTTTGCCTCAATAACATCCCCAAATGCCTTTAGAAAGCCAACTGTACCTCGTAATCGGGACAATACCTCAAGAAAGCGAGTTCGAAACGGAAGCCAGACTACCTAGCAACGCTTAGCAACAGCATATCGGGTATGCAGTCTGAGAGAGAGAGAGAAAGGAGGATGAAAAAAAGTTTTATTTGTGTTTGTTATCAACATACGCCAGAAAGAATTGACTCTGATTCAGAAATAGGTTGCCTCCGCCATGGAAGCCGACCGTCAGGTCCGACCAAAAAGTCGCTCGCCTCTTCCACCAGTTCCCATTTCCCTGTCTCAGGATCCTTTTGCACAAACCGGAAGATGATGGAGGAGCCAAAATCTTCAAATACCAGCTCGCGCCTCCTGAGACGCATCCATTGCTCATTCTCGTCGCCCTCTATGCCATTTGTGATTTCGGTCTCGTTGTTCTTGATGGCAATGGCCCTGAAGACTCTGCTGTCGCGCAAGGCGTTGCGAATGGGGTATTGACCGAGGATTCGAATTGCCTCCTCCCTGACGGCGCGATCTCGGCAGCCAAAGGCGACGACGAATAGGGGCCATGTCCATCCTGCGTCCATGGCAAAACCACAGTTAGGTCGAGCTTGTAGCAGTTCTTCGGCGAGGGTCGTAATTTCGCGGTATTGTGGCGTTAGGCCCCTGACGGTTATGAGGCTGGAGTAACGAGGGACGGTGGTGTAAATATAGAGGATTAGATACTCGATTCGAATGCTCATGGCCTGTAGGTAAAGCTGCCGATCGTTTGCAGCGTTGCGAAGTACGGACTGGTACATGGGCTGGTATGCCTCGGTCCAGCGCTGAAGCCAGTATCGGGACTCTGCAATGAATTTCGACAGCGTTACGTTTGTCTTGAGGCTTCCGAATTTCCTCTCCAACTCGGCAGGGTCGGTTGTCTTGTGAAGAGCAAGTTCCGATGTCACTCTGGTAAGCATAGGGACATGGCGCACCATTTGCCTCTGGACAAGCCCCCAATAATCACGCATTTCATCCCACGAGGTAAAGGTACGCGGCATATCGTCCAAGGAGACGATTCTGGTGAGTTTTGGCCGAAAATATGGAGAGTGCTTCGTAAACGGGATTATTCCTGGCGGTCGTCGAGGAGCAGGGGGCGGCTGAGGAGAAGAAGGGTCGCTCTGGCTTTGAGGGCTCGGTAGGCCTGTCGTATGGGCCTGGGGGCTATGAGGCGGAGGCGACGACATAGGGGGTGTTTGAGGCTGGTTCGAGGGGCTATGGCCTGCTGGTTGGGATGTATTTGAATATTCGAGTCTCCTTTGGTTTTGTTGTTGCGGATTCTGCGGTGGCAGCGATGACGTAGAGGCAGATGGCGAAGATGAGGGATCTGATGGTGATGGTGATGAAGACTGCTGGGGAGGTTTCGGTGGGAAGAAGAACTTCCTATAGGACCCCATAAATGATCGCGACTGCAGCTCTAAGGGTTTGTAGCAGTCTAGAATATCTTGGACTAGGGCTGGTGGCGCGGGAGCGATGCTAACAAGATCAGGCGCTTTGTCAGTACAATTAGCAAGCTCGTTAAGCATCGTGAAGCCGTGGGTAATGTGTTTCAGGGCGGCTGGGACGTTTCCTCGCTGAGTTTCGAAGCAGATGAAAAGGAGAGAAGAAAGCAGAGCAGTTCGCAGGCCCTCCCTGGTAGGCTTCATCTCCGACTGCATTCGAAGAGCCTCGCAATAGTAGACAATGGCGTTTAGGTAGTGTCGATTATTGTTGTCGAGTCCCAGCTCTGAGCCTTGGACTTGGTATGCTTTTCGCAAGGCTCCCACAGCCATGGCTCCGTACCGCAGAGTGTTTTCTTCCAGAGTAACTTGGGGCATCGTGGCAGTCCAAAGACGAGTCTGGTCGATGAATCCGCCCAGGAAGGTTACGGATAGGTGGGACCATTCGACAAAGTAATCGTGCTGGTCGCTATTGGCGAAGCGAATAGTGTTGACGGAGGGTTCGATAATGAGTAGAGGTGCCTTTTTGGAATGGATGAGTTTGCCTTTGGACGACTGGGCACGAGCTACAAGCTGGGAGGAGGAGGAAGAAGAAGAGGAGGAGGAGTTGTCTGCGTAGGAATCACAGTAGCCGCGCCACTTCATGCAGTTGAGGCATGCTGGCCGAGTCTCGTCGCATTTGACATGGCGTTTTCTAGAAGAGGAAGAAGGAAGTCAGCTCAGGCAACCAAGGTGTAGAAGTACAAAGTGATGACGAAAGGGGGCAAAGGGTCTGGTGGAGATGCTTGCAGTGATGGAACCTTTGGTGCAACTTACTTGCCTGCTCGTCGATACAGCGTCTGATTAGCGGCATATCGAAAGAAACCAAAGCAAAGGGGTCAGCATGCTTCTACTCACAGGTTGTGCAGCCAGTACGCGCACGAGTCGAGCTGCGTCGAGTGTGTCTTGCTCTTGAATCTAGGGCAAAGCGATGGATGCCACCTTGGCCGTTTGACGCGGAATCTGCTTGAGATGGAGCTGAGCCACTATTCTCCGGAAATTTTCTTCGTCAGTAACAATGTACATGTAGATGCGTATACAGGAGATGAGTCTTGGAGAAAGGTAAATTATCAAGAGGGCACGCAAGAGGGCAACCCCAACCAGTGGATTTGCCCCCATTAGAAGCAAAAGACAACTCGTGACTCACTCGGCAGAACGATTGCTTTTGCCGGGGTTGATTGGCAGAGTAAATTGTATCTCCATGTTGTCGCGGTGATTCTTGTGCCTGAATGTTTCGCAGAGAAATCGTGCATCAGCGGGGCTTTCGTGAATGTTGAATCCTTGTGTTGCTCCTGAGGTTGGTCAGCGGTTATGGAGATGGGGCGGCGCTGTGTCGTATTTGACAGATCGTGTCAAGGTAGGTAATCCAGAAAAGACGGCTAAACGCAAACGGTTGTCTCGATCGCCCTGAACTCTTTGATTTTATACATTCATTTCATCCTCCTTTTTCTTTCCCTCCCTCCCTGGCTGGTGTGAAACGGCGATGGTTGCGAAAAGAACAAAACACGGCAGAAGAAGAGACAGAAACAAGGCCGTTGCTGGATATTAGCTCAGGATCTGTCTGTGCTGAGCCACACGAGAAGGAATTTTCGGGCCCCGGGGCTTTGCTTTAGAAATGCCGGCTCGGGAAGTGGCGTTTAGAGAATGGAAATAGGATCGGAATATAGCGCAGCCAGGCAAATCTGACAGAGAACCCCAGTGGTCCAAGAGTCCACAGCAGCCAGGATTGGATCTGGATAAGGTAGATGTAACGTTTGGACTCGTCTCGGACGATCAACTTGGACAGGAGCAAGTCGACACGGGGCGGGAAAAAACAAGAATGGCAAGAAAACAAAGGCAAAACGAAATAGTCTAGCCGTAGGCAAATTGAGAGGCTAGGGGGGACAGTTTAAAGCAAGATGGCATGCCGCTATCCCACGCTTGAAGCAAGGATGTTGAGTCGGAAGCAGAGACCGGAGCCTGGCAGGGGTGTTTGAGCTGGGGGATGTTTTGTTGTCTGTACTTATCTGTACTCGTACTAATAGCCGTCGTTAGTTCCACGATGGAGATGCTATTTAAACTGGGGCGGGATGGAGCAGGTGTTGAAGATTGCCTTGGCCTTGATCGTGGCAGAAGTGGAGGAGCGGCACTTACTCCAGTTTTGGATTCTCTTGCACATGTTGCGTTGATCACATTCAGCCTTGCACCATATTTGGTTACTTAGCCGCCGAATAATTGTACATTGATTGTTGTGAAGCAGAGGTTGCAAAAGGGATTGGCGTTAGCCGGAGTTTTTGCCCGTTCCCCTTCCCACAGCCGCCAGCAGATCCTCTCGAAAGGCGCCGATTCGGCATAAAGATACATAAGATTAACGCCTCCTCCCGCTTGTAAGCCGATTTTCTTGGCCATTCAGGCACCAATAACCCTAATCGGACACAAGAAAAAAAGCCACGAGATACAGCCTTCTTGTTCTTCTGTTCCCCAGCTGCCGGGTAGGTGTTCAAGATGAACAGACCAGATGGAACATTTTGAACAACCTCCTATTTCCGCTCTTCAAAGGCGCCTATTTACGTACAGAATAAGTTGCAATTTCTCAAGTAGGAAGGGAACTATACCAGCAACACGGGACTGCCTTGTCGTACCCTCACCACCCCTGCCTGCTTCGACAAAGAATCTCCACGTAAGAAGAAAAGAATTAGCGCCACGTCAAAACTTGAAAATGGCGCCGTCCAGCCGCCGCCCACTATCTGACAAGTCGTGTACATAATCGATTTACCTAGTGCAACGCCTCTTCCCCATGCAAGATAAAATGACAGGCCATGTCTCTGCTGCTATCTACTATTTCTCCAACCAACTTCCCTTCACGGGCTGAATCCTAAGCGGACGTTGAAGCGGCTCAGCCACGTCGTTAATTCAGCCGAGGAGTGTCTAAATCCGCCCAAGCTAGTCGGCGTTAGCATTCCTGTTGAAGATTCTCCCATGAAAAAATGGCACTGCAGTTGTTGAGGGTATAATTAGATTTTAGAAACATCCCTAGGAATGTCTCGGAAAGGCTGTAGAGTTACCGAGACTATCTTAGGCGAAGCTACCAAAGGGGTTCACCGCTTTGCCTCCAAAGACTTTGTCTGGAGTATTTTGCACGTGCCTTGCTTGATACTGCCGACTTTGCTTCAAACGCTCACGTGGCTACCAAAGATAAGGCTGGAATGCTAAAAACGTAGACCTTTTCTCTCCTTGACACTCCTTTTAATGTATCTGAGCGTGAAAAGTTAAACGGCTAGCCTCGATTGTGAGTCTAGTTGATACGATCCTTTAGCTTCCGTCCGAACATTGCAGAAAAAACACTTGGCAGAGAGCCCCAGGAAACTCCACCTCGAATCACGAATACAGAAAATGGAACCAACGAACCGCGCGAACGGATTTTAGAACCGAGGCTCAAAAGAACAGGGGAGAAGACAAGCTGTTCCATTCTCAGCAACTACAGTTTGCCACGATACTCGGAGCTTGACACGGACCTGAACCAAAAGCCGAACGCAGGGGAAGTCAATTGCCGAATGGAGCTACGAAAAAAACCCAAGTAACAGCGGCATCTGCTTTGACAAGTTGAGTTTTGGTTACATCGTGTGCATAATAGGCTCAGAGGCCTATCCACCGGAAGAGAGACCAAAAAGGTTGATTCCCATCGGCGGCTCCGGCCACGTTGTATGATCCCAATGGCACTACGAAGTACCGGGCCTTGAGATGGGCTAACGATAGCATATTGCTCCTTCTAGACACCGATGGAACCTAAGAAAAGACAAAAGGCCAAAAGCAACGTTGACCCCCAGTCTTGGGGTTTCGGCCGGATGAGTTACGATGACGAACCGATAAAGGCAGAAGCAAGACGAGAATAGAACCATAACCCAGGAATCTTGGGCTTCTACAACGGAATACCCTTGCACATGCCTGAAGGACTGCTCTGCATCTGTTCTTCTTGCCCTCTCCCCCCTCGCTTGCTACAGCCCATCCTAGCGAGATTCACATGCTCCGATGCTCATATAGGCACAGAACTGGGGAGACAACGGCCACGAATTCTGCAAACGATGTGGATACTGCTAGCCCTACCGAGCCTCATAATGACACTCTCGATCCACTGCTGCGATTGGTATCGCTGCCGCCTTCCTATCGCGAAATCGATCCAGAATCCAACATAAGCTTTGGGTCTGGCGGAGACGTTTTCACAACTGCTGCAAGTGCCGTGTTTGAGCTGACCGCCGTCCAAAATCGGATACCGAACCCTCGGTAACTGTTCTGGCTGAGGCGGCGAACTGGACAAGGCTGGGGCTTTCACTCTTATTCATTGGTTGGTTAACCTTTGCCTGCGTTTGTGTTCGTATTTACCAAAGCTCTTTCTCAATCCATTGCGGAAACTTGAGCGATGGCTACATTTGCTGATGACAAGGGCAGGGTTAGAGCAAAGATTCCGATTCGTTTCTGATATGCTTCTATTGCGTGCGATTGCCCTTTTCTGGATTAGACAGGAACCAGATGCGCCTCGCTAAGATCACAGATGCCAAATTACGCATGGGACTGCGACAATGAAGTTATTTCTTGATCAACTTTGGACGACATTTGTCATGATAAGTAAGAAACAACTGCCTGATTTACAGCAAGGACCTGCGTTAAATCGCGCTCTTCGCCAGTCCCGTCATCCAGGTAGCCGTCCAAGTTTCTCGGCTTGGTGAGCGGGAAGTGGGACTTTCATGGGGCGTGTATCGGCAAGAATTACGCCCTTTGGATTAGTTATAGCTTATACGTGCAGGCGAGTGTTCGTACCAGTTCAGGCTTTGTTTGGCATGAATGTCGGCATGGGTAGTTGGCATTGGCACAGGAGCTAATCATGGGTTTTTGCAGGCCGATATCACTCTGCACAAGGGACCGTCACGGACTACGCCGTAGGTGTGATGGGCGACGCATGCAGCCGAAGACGAATCGAGTCGAAACCACGCAGGACGAGATTTGACAGGACACCAAAGCGGCATCGGTTGACACATGCCATTGTTCCCGAGCCTATGGACCACAACAGCCGAGCCTGCCCACATGCCGCTTCGCCCCAGAATCGCAGCTCGGCCAACTAACGGTCTAGGGACTGAGTCGTGTTTACGATACTATTATTTGCTAGGGCTCATACTTTGCAAGGCACAGGACATCCACATGTTTGATCCAAGACAGAGACAGGGGTGCGTCGCTGGTTGATACAGACAGACAGGCGGCGGCGCAACTCTGGACTCGACTCGGTGCTTCGTTCGGAGCATGTGCTGGCCCGGTTCAAGAGGGGCTTGTTGATCCGCCGTCTTTGCAGGTACGAGGCAATAAAGCGGCAAGGCAACGGTGCGTTCTGTATATGCACATGTAACGTGCAGGTTGCCAAGGAATTTCATCTCTTGTGCTCGTGCTTGTACGCCAATGCAGCCACTAACAGCCAACGGACGACGCCGAGGGCCATTCTTGAGCCCGCCTTTTTTCTCCATCGAACCCGTTTTCTTCACCGTTGCAACAAGTCTCAGACAAGGCGCCGCTCGGTAGCCAGATTCCCACAACCCTGCAGAGGACTGGAGTTACTAGTTTGATACCGAGGAAGCTAGGAGAGTGGGTAACAATGCTTGACTTTTTTGCTTGATTGCAGGCACTGCCGACCTGATGATGGCAGAGTGGGCAAGGCACAGAGTATTTTGGGAACACAGTCAAATGGTGGAGTTTACGCGGCAGCGCTAATCACGTTTGGTGGATAAAATCTCACGCATCGCGGCGGTTCTGTTTTGTCTGATGATTCAGGCCAGGGCAATTTACGTCGGGCTGCCGTCTCGCCGTTTGGGCTTAGTCTGGTTGAATGTGGCATAGAGACGTGGGCGCAGGGCTGTCTTTGGACTTTTATCGCATGGTTCGTGACGATCGTCTTTGTTGATCTGGTTGCCATGACTAAAAAGGAGCCACTCGCTCGTCGGCGCTCCAGTTTGATCCTACATTCTTAGAGGAGATGTTTTAGCACGAGTACAAATACCATCAAAGGAGCACGTCACAAAAGGAATCTTCTGCATGTCAAACGCAGGAGTGGCAGCAGGGAGAGGAAAAAACAAAAACCCTGACAAATCGCTATGACTTCACGGTAAATGCTGCCGTGGTGCCCCCGAGGGATCCCTGAACCAGCCGAGAGATGCCCTTTATTTTGACACGCTGCCAGCGACTATCGAATCACAGGCTTGAACCTCGTAAAAAGCCGCTTCAGCCGACGGTGACGAGTTTTGTTGATTGCATCTCTCACAGCCTATTATCGCGTGAGGGGTCACGGAGCCTCAAAGATCAACGGGCCAGACAAGAGGGTCAAACAATGGGCGCAGCGGACAGAGACTGTGATCCAGAAATTTATATTTAGTGCCGCCCGATTATACAAAGTGCTGACTGATTCCTCGTATGAGCAAGTAGTGATAGCAATATACTTTGAGGTTGCGGGCATCGCCGGAAGCTTCATCTCTTTGCTCGACGACTGCCGATAGTGCCGTGCCCAAGCTTTCCATCACAACCGTATTGTGATATTGCAGCTTCAAGCTCTGTTGGTGATTATTATGCCTGGCAAAATACGAATGCTGAGATGAGACATACGAGAAAAAAAAATCTGGGGAGATGAGATGGGGGATGCTGGCCCGACCCACCTGGAGGACCCAGACAGTACCAATATTGGCAGCATCCGGCTTTGATTTTCGCGCCTCAACGCTCAACTGAGGGGCCTCGAAAAGAGTCTTGCCGTAGTACGTAGAGGCTGGAATTCATCGTGTGCGCCTCAATTCATTGCCAAAAATTGCCGGAGAGAAACAGAGACAGCCCGGGAGTAGCGCAGTCGAAAAGCAGCGTCTCGTCCACCAAAACTCCCCAATTTCCCACCCCCTGGCCGCCACAATAATCAGAGTCTCGTTGTTTCTGCCTCTCCAACTGACGCTATAGCCACTCTCAGTTAGAAGCTCAGGCGGGCGACCTGCGCCATTGGGTGTTAGTGGCAGCCAGGAGGGGGGGCAAAAGGGCCTCAGCCGCCGCCATAGTGCCATTTACTGGTTATTCTTGGATGGCAGCGGCGCTCAGCTACAGCGGATTGAAGCCACGCGGATATTACGAGGGAGGCTAATGTAGTTTGGGGTGATGTGCTTTAGCCCGGTGCATAACGCGGTTTGCCGTGATCCCGATTTCGATTTGCAAACGCATCGTGAGCTGACGAAGCTTCTCTCTCTCTCTCTTTCTCTTGTTCATCTTCCCCCCTCTTTGCAGCTTTGAAGAAACACTTTGAAGAGGTAGAAACGAGAGAGCGGGCGTTGGCAGCTGCTCTGGTCTGTCTGGTGCTTTGTTCTCTCCCCCCTCCTGGTTCGTCTTTGCGTTTTCTCGTGTTTCATCTCCAAGCCAAAAAGTCTTTCTCTCTCTCTCTCGTTTTCTAGACTAACGATACGAGCTCCTAATCAACAGCTCATAAAGGAGGCAAAGCACAAGAGGAAGAGAGTCATTCGCTTTTTCAGAGTCCCACGATCGCTCACACGGTCCCCCAGACCGGCTTACTGGGTCCCATCTCTATCATCTAGATATCTATCATTTGTTCCCCCCCCACGGCCCTCTTTTCCCCCTTCTTCTTCTTTCTACATCTTGCAGACTGCAGTTCGCGGCCTGTGCTTACCCGCATGCGCCTTTGAGATCTTGCGCTGCTGCTCTTTGCGAATGCGAATCCCTGTCGACTAGCTGCTGCGTTTCCATTGATTCATCCACATTTGATCGGCATCGCGTTGGCCCGCCAGTAAGTTCGGTTTTTCCAATAAACAAAAGCTCTTCCCCCCTAGGTAGATCCAACCCAATTGGCCTTGATCGATTGCGACGCAGAAGCGGTTCGACGTGCAATTGCTTCTTGGTCGCCAAAAGTCGCGAAGCAGAATCACGAATCCACTGACTCTGTGTAGCCTCAGATCGAAGCCGCCATGCAGCGCTACGGTGAACACGGCGACTCTCCCGAGAGCGAACCTCTCGATGGTTACGGCCAGTCGCATCGAGGAGTTTCCCCCGATAGCCGCGGCTACTCGCCGCCCGAGATCTATCACGACCAGCATCAACCTCCTCCAGTACCCTCTCACCAGCATCAGGGCCAGAACTACGGCTACGACCAACATGAAGGCTACGAGTACGACTACGATGGCCAGGCTCCTCCCCCGCCTCAGCATCGCCAGGGTGACAACGGCTATTTTGCCGGCGGAGCACGCAATGACGGGTATGCGCAAGAGAACATGACAAATTCCAACTCCCGAGGATATTCCCAAAACAATGTGACCCCCGGCGCTGACAACTTCAGCGACATGGCCTCTGGAGGAATGGCTGGCATTGCCTATGGAGTAGCAGAGCGAAACGCACGAGAGAGCGGCATGCAGGCGGCCCATGGCGGACTGCCACCGCCGCCATCCCACGCTCGATATCCCGACGGCTACGACTATCCTCAAGATGATCGAGGCTCGCGAACGACCTTTAACCCCCTGGGCATGCCGACTGCGGCTCACAGCTCGCGATCACCCTCCCGCAGCACGCGCGATCCGTATGCCGACGACCACTATCCGGCGATGTATCCGCCCAACTCGCGGAATAGCAATCCGATGCTGGGCATGTTCAATCCTAATGAGATTGTGGACGACGGCGACGATGGTTTGGATTATTCGCGACGTAGCGCCCGCAATTCCATCCTGAGCGCCTCCAACTCGGATCGAGCAGCAAAGGGAGCTGCCATTGCGACTGTTGCAGGTGGAGGAATCTTGGGTGCTGGTGCCATCAAGAGCGCCTTGGGCCGTAATGGTGAGTTTGTTAACATCAGACGTGGTTCCTGCTCCTCCTTACTCCCTTCCTTCTTTCTTTATCTAGCTGTTGTGACTATTGACGACTGTGCTTTGATGTACATGGGATGAATATCCGCTGACAGCTTGGTATGTATAGCTCAAGCAGCACCAGGAGGTAATGGCGGAGGGGACGAAGGCGGAGGCATGCTCTTCGACAACGGTAGTACCGAGGAGAAGTCGGCCTGGATGGCACAGCAAGCGACCAAGACCAAACGGTGGCGCTGGGCCATCATCATCCTTGTTGTCCTCATCGTCATCGGTGCCGTCGTTGGCGGCGTCGTCGGAACTCAAGTCGGCAAACACGGCAGCAAATCAAGCAGCGGAAGCGGCAGCAAGGGTGGCAGCGGCGGAAGTGGAAGTGGTGGCAGCGGCAGCGACTCTGGTGACGACAGTGGTGATCTTAACATCAACAGCCAGGAGATCAAAGACTTGCTCAACAACCCCGACCTGCACAAGGTCTTCCCCGGAGTTGATTACACACCTCTCAACACCCAGTATCCCGACTGTCTGACCAACCCTCCGTCGCAGAACAACATCACTCGTGACGTGGCCGTGCTCAGCCAGTTGACCAACAAGATCCGTCTCTACGGCACTGACTGCAACCAGACTCAGATGGTCCTTCACTCCATCTCCCAGCTGGAGATGACAAACGACATCAAGGTGTGGCTGGGCGTCTGGCAGGACAACAACGCCACGACCAACGCTCGCCAGCTCAAGGAGATGTGGAACATTCTCGACAAGTACGGCGATGACCCCTTTGAGGGTATTATTGTTGCCAACGAAGTGCTCTTTCGCCAGCAGTTTACCGTCACTACTCTTGGCGAGCTCCTCGACGATGTGCGCACCAATCTCACCAAGAAGAACCTGAATCTCCCTGTCGCTACTTCCGACTTGGGAGATGACTGGACTCAAGCTCTTGCCGCTGATAGCGACTACATCATGGCCAACGTTCACCCGTTTTTTAGTGGAACACAGGCGACTGACGCTGCGGCCTGGACTTGGAACTTCTGGGATGCACACGACGGTCCATTCTGGAAGTCGGACAAGTCCAAGAATGTCATCTCCGAGACGGGTTGGCCTACAGGAGGAGGCAAGGACTGTGGAGGTCCATCGACCTGCGATGCTCCCGCCGTGGCGGGCATCGACGAGCTCAACACCTTCATGAACGACTGGGTGTGCCAGGCGCTCGAGAACGGCACAAACTACTTTTGGTTTGAGGCCTTTGACGAGCCGTGGAAGGTCATTTACAACACTCCGGGCCAGGAGTGGGAGGACAAATGGGGGCTGATGGACGCCAACCGGAAGCTCAAAGACGGAGTCAAAATTCCCGACTGCGGCGGCAAGACTGTTTAAAGAAGACAAGGGGCTGTTTCTTTTGTTACTCTCTTGATACCAAATGTCTTGAGAATTTGCCCTGTTTTTCTTTTGAACAAAAGTCTTTTTAAAGCTGATGAGGCATGACGGAAATGACGATTCTTTGTGTGCTATTATGCACTCTCTTTATTTGCTAGACTTCGGGTCTTGTTCTATGTTCATTGTTGTTTTATTTTTTCACGTTTTTAATTTGCCAGTCTTTTCTTTCCATGTTTCTTCCCCATACTATGTACGTTTGGAGGATAATCCCCGGTTGGGACAACATATGGACGGCACCATGTCATTTACTTTTGCTCTACTTCTTTTTATTTCCTCTCTTTGCGAGACGGCATGTTAGCACACATCACTTCGGCTTCGAGAATCGACATTTGGGCGTTTTAGGGCAGCATGCGATGGCAACTTTGTTTTTCCATCCTCTTTTTTCTTCTTTTCCCCTAGGGCGGGCATGCATCATTTCACTTGCGAGGCAGGCATGGAATAAGACGTTTACTTTGTCAATTTGTAGTAGTACGATTTCTACCTATCTTTGTCTCTCTCAGCTAAAAACGCTCCGAACTCGTCGAACATGTGCATTTCGAAGATGTCATGTATTTTGCGACGAACATTAGGGGAAGGAAAGGGTATCTAATAATGCTTAGGGGGGTTTGATCATGACGATCATCACAAGGGGGCTTGTATATAAAGATACAGAAGCTGGAGTGCTGAGAAAAGGAAATAGTAAATGCGTGCCCTGCTTGGGGCCGATGAAATTGTCAAAATCGCTGAGAGAGAGAGGTCGTGACTCATGAGAGCTTGGTGATTGGAAGAATCATCAGTCAACAGGCTCTTGTTTGATGTAGATATCGTACCAGTCAACAGACTCTTCTTTGATGTAGACTTGGTACGTCTCGGAGGGCTCTCGTTTGACTCTGAGGCTGTACATCTCGGAGGGCTCTCGTTTGACTCCGGCGTAGTTCGTCTCAGAAGGCCCTCGTTTGACTCCGGCATAGCTCGTCTCAGTAGACTCTTCTTTGACCTTGACGTCGTCCGTCTCAGTAGGTTCTTGCTTGGCTCTGAAGTTATACGTCTCAGAAGGCTCATCTTTGATTTCAACGTAATTCGTCTCAGCAGGCTCTTGCTTGACTCCGGAGTTATACGTCTCAGCAGGCCCATCTTTGATTTCAACGTCGTTCGTCTCAGTAGGCTCATCTTTGATTTCAACGTCGTTCGTCTCAGTAAGCTCTTCTTTGATTTCGACGTCGTTCGTCTCAGAAGGCTCTTCTTTGATCTCAACGTCATCCTTCGCAGTAGGCTCTCGTTTGCCTCTGAAATTGTACCTCTCAGGAATAGGCTTCTGCTTGGCTTTGAGGCTGTACGTCTTAATAGGCTTCTGCTTGGCTCTGACGTTGTTTGTCTCAGCTGGCTCGTCTTTGACGTTGACGTACTTCGTCTCAGCTGGCTCTTCTTTGGCTCTGACGTACGTCTCAGTAGGCTCTTCTTTGACTTTGCCGTTGCTAGTCTCAGAAGGCTCTTCTTTGATTTCGTCTTTGACCTCGACGTAGTTCATCTCAGCAGCAGCCGCTTCTTCTACGGAGGCAGCCGCCTGATTCTCTGGGTATCTGAGGTAGAGGGAGGTTGCATAAAAGATTGTGCTGTCTTTGTCGTCTTCTGGGAAGGTGACGTGCTTATACGTCTCATGCATCTTCTTAATGGCGAGAAGGTGCTCTTCTTCTTCTTTTGACGGCGAAATAAAGGTTCTGGAGATGATTAATATCATGTATATATACCATTAGGAAGCGATATTGAAGAATTCTTTTCCATTGGACTTGAGAAAAGAGAAAGGAAAAAAGGGAAGAGGGAGGAGGGGAAGAGGGAAGAAATGAAACTTACTTGGACCAGACAACCCAGTCAGTGCCTACCCAAACTGATGGTAACTCTCCCTTGAGTGCCTTGCCGTAGACTTCTTTGTACAAATGGGGGCCGAAGAAGAGGGTTCCAGCGTTGACCGAGTTGCTGGCGACGGGCGAATCGACCACTTGATGGCCCATTGCAGTGAGGAAAGCGATGTCACCTGAGGTGAAGATGGGCTCCTGAAAGATGCATTTGATGGGACCGCTGCTGGTTTTCTCCTCTATTTCATGACCATGTTAGTGATGGGCATTGTATTAGAGAACAGAGAAGCGCATCAAGGGCTCATCTTGGATTTCTGAATAGGAAGCTGAGAGAGATAAGATGGTACAGTACCTAGCAAGCGGACCATGAACAGCATGGCGGCAAGTTGCGTATGCGCTCTTCTCTTGAGCTGCCAGCTCCCATCGGTAGGATCAAAAGATCCAATGCCCAGGCTGATGGCCTGGATGACGGGCTTGTCGTTGCCATCGGACAAAGCATCAGAGACGAATTCAGTGATGGTATCTCGGAGAGAAGCAGCACCTGGAGAGGTTTGGAACTGAGCGTTGAAGTTGTCAAAGTCTTTCTGGATTTCCTCCTTGGTAAGGTAGGAGACAGCCCGAGAAGGCTGGGGGAAGGGGTGAGAGGTTGAAGTGGAGCCTTGGCCCCGTCTCGAACGACGAGACTTGGGCCTCACCACGGTCCAATCCTCGGTTGCTGGCATCTTGTCAGGTTTTTGAAACTTTCAGGGGTAGATGCCTTGTTGGTTGTAGAGAGAGAGTGAATGGGTGATGGGAGAGATTCCTCCATTGGACGCTGGTTGATTTTTCTTTTTAGTCCTCGCTGTGGGGTAGAGGCGCTGTACTGTACAGTGGTTTCAGCGCCCATTAGCGGTGCTACAGCGGGTGTTGTAGGGCCTAGCGCACGGACCACTTTGGTTTGACTGCGCCTTGAAAGGAAATGTTGACTTTGGCAGCTGCCCAAAGGGGCAGTTTGGGGCAAAAGTATCAGAAGCTGAAGTTGGGAAGAAAATGAATAAGCTGGAGTTGGGAAGAAAATCAAAATCATACCTTAGGCACAAATATAACAGAGTACATTTATTATCAATAATTTCCTTACTCCATATCTATGGTTTGTAGTGTTGGTACTTCAGGTAGGAAGGTAATTTCATTGTGATGCGCTGTGCCTTTAGCGTTGCTGAAGCTAACATTCCACTGTAGGAGATGCGCTACGGCAGGTCGCGTGCATGGGCCAACCCTGCACCTCGTAGAAAATTGCCCTATTCGAAAGACAGATTGAGGTGATGGTAACAAATGCAACATCGTCAGTCGGGCTGGAAATAAAATCAAACATATTCCCGATAGTTGCCATGCTTATATTATTAGCTTTTACGAGTCATCATATGCATAGTAATCGCTAAATACCGATACATTTCCTCCATTTGGCACAGGTACCAATACACCACAGTAAGCTAGGCAGGTACCTTGCTGGGCATAGCGTAAGTCAGCTAGATGCCGCACAGTCAGATCCGATCGGCCACGATCAGCCATGATTATTATACCCCGGATTTTCACTAATATGCATCAATCAACCAACATTGCAATCCCCCGCCCAATTGAAGCTTTTGGCATTATTTTATTGCCACGGTAGAGTAGCACGTGGAATCATAATGCATATTACGCATTTGCGTATTCACGGTCAGCCCCTCTACTAATCAAATGTCGTTGCCTTCAAAGCAGCCCCCAATGCAACTCTACAACCTTGAAATCAATCAATCACGAGAACAAACAAACTCCCCCAGCCCAAGGAGAACCAATCCAGTTAGTCTTCTGCGGTACAACTAATAGCCTAATCTGCTGCTTGTCTCAATTACGTGAGAGAATTTGGCGGTAGATCCGAGATTGATTTGTCTTAGATAACAATGTTTCACTGTGTAGCCATCGCTTGGCTGTGGCTGGCGTCATAATGTGAGACCCGATGCGGAGAAGAGCAGACTCCCGACCTCGGCACTATAAGTAAACACTTCCCCTCATGGGATCGCCATGTACGTGTACAAGTACATATTGAGAATCAAGTGATCGGTTTTCTTTCGGTTTCTCACATCTTAATTGACCTGAACTTTCTTTGACTTACCATCTAGTCTCGGCAACTTCGCCATGGGCTCTGCTCAACTCCATGGACAGCTTCCCACCTGGGAACGCTCTGCTCCCGGATCGATCAACATTTCCCCAGCCGTGTTCCCCAAGTCCGCTTTGGCTCCATCTCAAGATCTGGATGCGAACAAGACCACCGCTGACTTGGTAACGGAATTGAACGAATCGCTCGCGAAAGCAGACTACGCAGCTGTCTCGAAGCTCTTCGTCGATCAAGGCTTTTGGCGAGACCACTTGGCCCTAACATGGGAGTTTCGCACAGCACAAGGCCCACAGGAGATTCTCAATCTGCTGGAGACAAGCTCTAAATCCAGAGATGGGTTTCGTTTAAAGAACGGTACACCGGATACAAGCTCTGCGCTACGAGCTCCCAGGATTGGACCTCTGGATGGCGAGGGCGAGGTTATTGGGATAACTTTCTTCTTCAACTTTGATACAGTCATCGGATCAGGAAAAGGTGTGGGCAGAATTATCAACGACAATGGAACCTGGAAGTTCTATTCACTCTACACAGCCCTCCAGGAGCTCAAAGATTACAAGGAGACGATCAACGAAAGACGGCCCCATGGAGTCGAGCACGGCGCGAAGCAAGGCCGGCAGAATTGGGCTCAACGAAGAGAGCAAGAGAAGCTGCATAAAAATGCCGATCCAGCTGTTGTCATCATAGGTGAGGAATCTCCCCGCTCTGTCTCAGTGTTGTATTATTTTCCCAACCCCGAACCAACCTTTGCTACGGGTAAAGCATTTACTTACATTCTCGACCTAGGTGCTGGACAATCTGGACTCACGATAGCCGCCAGATTGAAAATGATGGGAGTCGAAGCCCTGATTATTGACGAAAGCGCCCGCGTCGGAGACAGCTGGAGAAAGCGCTACCATCAACTGGTTCTCCACGATCCGGTCTGGTATGACCACATGCCATATCTTCCATTCCCGGCCCATTGGCCCATATTTACGCCCAAGGACAAACTGGCCGAGTTCTTCGAAGCCTATGTAACACTGCTGGAGCTCAACGTGTGGAACAGTACGTCCATTGAAGGAGCCAGTTGGGATGCTACAAAAGGGAGCTGGGATGTCAAATTGCTCCGGCATCTAGAGGATGGCTCAGTTGAGACTCACAACTTGCATCCACGCCACGTTATTCAAGCGACGGGCCATTCGGGCTTCAAGTACGTGCCGCAGTTCAAGGGGATGGATACTTTCGAGGGTGATCGTATCTGCCATTCATCGGACTTTCCAGGTGCTCGAGAGAACAGCAAGGGCAAGAAGACGGTAGTCGTCGGGTCATGCAATTCAGCCCATGATATTGCCCAGGACTTCGTCGAAAAGGGCTACGACGTGACAATGGTCCAGCGCTCAAGCACCTTTGTCACTAAATCCGAATCCATCACCGGCATCGTTTTGTCCGCCTACTCGGAAAACGGGCCGCCTGTGGAAGATGTAGACCTGTTGATCCATAGCGCCTCGCTTGCTCTTCTCAAGACGTATCAGATATCCACTGCTAGGAGGCAGGCAGAGAATGACCGTGACATACTCGAAGGGCTCCTACGCGTTGGGTTCAAGGTAGACACTGGGCCAGACGGTGCCGGTCTTTTCTACAAGTACTTTCAGTGGGGAGGAGGCTACTATATCGACGTTGGCGCTTCTCAGCTCATTGTCGATGGCAAGATCAAGATGAAGTCTGGACAAGAGGTTTCCGAGGTGCTACCCCACGGCTTGCGTTTCGCAGATGGCAGTGAACTGGAGGCAGACGAGATCATTCTAGCTACAGGATACGGCAACATGCGTGACAAGACTCGAGTGATGCTTGGAGATGCTGTTGCAGACAAGGTAAACGATGTATGGGGCATTGGCGCTGGAGGAGAGCTTCGCAGCATCTGGCAGCAGAGTGGCCATCCCGGCTTCTGGGTACATGGAGGAAATCTCGCGCTATGCCGCTACTACTCGAGACTTTTGGCTTTGCAGATCAAGGGAATTGAGGCAGGTTTGTATGGGTACGGCGAGAAATAGAGTAGACTCGATTGGTCTGGGCAGGTGTTTGCATGACACTGGTAGTTACCCATATTAGACTTGAGACTCGGCTTTTCAATCTCAACAACCATACCTGCAATGGCAGTTTCTCTCCCAACAAAGTGTCCGCAGATCTTTGTACGCTTTTGGAAACACACCGATAGCCCAGTTTCCCTGTAGCATCGATCGATCGGTCTCGAGCAGTCTAGCCTCGCTTGCGATTCTTCACTCCTGCTCTCAATCAGGGGCAATGGCCAGGCAAGTGAGCACCGAGATGACGTCGTTGAATGGGTAGATGCCGTACAAAGAGTAAGAGAGCCACTCTGACCGCCTCTTTGCGGTAGAATGCAGAGCTGGTGCTTTCTCTTTTGGCCATAATGATTGCGTAGCCTGGAGGATTAGTAGGCGAGGGAAAGAGGGTGCACAGACACAAGCACCTGATCTCGCTACGAACCTTCCTGTCTCTTTTCTTTTCCCCTTCTTCGTCTCATCTTCCTCTTGTTTTATTTTTTCTTCCTCGCCATTCTCCTCTTCTCCTCTCACACAGCACAACAACACCGTGTTCCCCATGAGCGTTGAGTTGTCAGTTGGACAATCTCGCACTCTTCCTACCTTCACGCCGCCTGCTCTGCAGGATTAGCAACCTCAGCCATGTCAACACAGCCGTGTCATCTTTGTTCTTCTCATCTTCTTTGGGTTTTCTGCTCATCTGTTCCTGCGGCCTCTACTCTAGTAGTCTGTTTCTTCTTGTGGTTCAGACTATGCCGCTGCTCTGCTCTTTTCACAGCTTCACTTTCCAGGTGTGTCACTGTCAACTCTGTTTGTTGCATGAACTAAACTCTCTTAGTTACAGACATCGTGGCTCTCCAAATCAACAACTCGGTTGATGCCATTTCCAGTGGAGTCACTTTGCTACAGACTCGCATTCCATCTACACACCTTCTGCACCACTCGACAAACTCGTGGGAGATGATTCTTTCTACATCTGTCTCTTCTGAGGATTCATCTTCTTCATTACTTGGCTTCCAAGACTTCTGTCTTCTCTTTACTTTTCTTGACCATCACTCGTTCTACGTTCGGGATCGATGGCGGCTCTAGATGTAGCAGCGGAGGTAGCAAACAGTAAGTGGAAGCAGTGGGAGAAGTGGCAGAAGCTCATATGCTAACCTACAAGACGAGCACTTCGGATCTTAGGACTCGCATCTATCTTCTTCATCAGAGGACCACGCTCATCCACCCTGTTGTCCTGAAGCAGAACAACTGTGTTGTGCTTGGCACTCATGCTCTCCGGTCGGAATGTTCGCAGACACAATGTGTGTTCCAACAGCCGATGGCTCGCTGCATTCCGCAATCCACATTCCTGGCAGCATTTTGCTGTGTTCCTAGTTGGCAACTGCAGAGGCTTATCACATCAACTGTCATTGTCACATTCAGACCATTGCCGACCAACAGGTCCGCTTCAATACATCGTTTGATGGCCATTTGGCTGTAGATTCTATGTCATGACAGCTGGGCTGATCAGATGGTTTACAACCTTGTGTCTATTGCAAAGGTATGACACCCTGCCTTCCTACATGCAAAGCAGCCTTCACAGAAATGTACTAATCGTTGTCAGCATTCGGCCCTGGCTGTGTGTATGTCCGAGGGAGAAAGAAGTGAGGTAAGGCTTCGCGCAAGGATATTGCTGCTCGGCAGCTGCCGCGGCGACACAACATCTTGGCCAATCCCATGATAGCCAAGAAGATCACAAGCTTTCATTCCAGCAGAGTGAGTCTTCACGTGGCAGTACTTCACTCCTCCAAGCAGCCCATGACCAGTCTCATGGTCACACAGAAGGCTCTGTCAATCCCTTTAGCGACATTGACGGCCACCCGAGAGATTCGTTGTTGAACTGCTTTCCCCACCAGGAGCTGTCGAAGCAATCGCAGCATCTGAAGCCAATCCTTATCCGGGGTTAGAGATCTATTTTGCCAACTTCCCCTATCACTATTATCATCCGCTAAAACGCATACAAATGAACTTTGCGGAAAATCGGAATGCGGCCACGAGCCCAATTCTGGCGGCCGACCCCTTCCATTTGGTCGTTGTTTCTTTGTGACATCTTCAACCATGGCACCTAGACTACGCGCAAAGCCCAACACTCATGCTAAAATGCAGAGATCCTCAACACAGTTCAATGCACCAGGACAGACGCCCAAACCAGATGTGCAGCAACCCACATGGACGAGAGGGTCTTCCCTGACCAAGAACCAGGACCACGGAACCCACGATGGGGAGACGAGGTATGTAACAGTTTGATCCTGCGAAGGAAGACAGACGAGATCTGCAGCTTCCGCCTTCGGATACCCTACCTGAAAGCCCTTGACACACCGCCGGAGATCCCCCAAGAGCTGAGAAAGTTCGCCCTGAAATTCCCAAATGACTTGCTCACTGATGGGGACCTCCTGCACGCGCACCTCGTCTGGTACGATCTCCTTCAGGCCCCCGAACTGAATCAGGAGAGATCCATGGAAGAAGCGCGGAAGGGTGCGAAGAGGGACTCGGCTGCATGGACTGTCCCAGAGGCCGACTTGGTGGAGTGCATTCTGGCATGGCCTCACTACCTGAGGTGGACAGAAGAAACTGGGGGCTCGGAGTGCCATAATCTTTTTCGGTATGTGGATCAGATATTCCGAGCAGATCGAGCGAGACTAATCCTGTCCACCGATCAATGCAGATGACTTTGGGCCCTTGGAGCGCGCCAGGGAGGGAGAGAGAGGCAGCGGCACGGCCAGCCCGGGCTGCAGGGTCAATGAATCCTTCCTTGGTGACCAGGCATCGGGAACTATCCTTGTTGGCAAAGATCAACTGCTCGCCAAGTCTTTTTTGTGGTCGGACTGTGATTCTACCACGAATAACACCAGATGATGTTTGCCTGTTGACACTCTCGACCGTTGTCGTGCACAAGTCCTACGTGGCCTTGATTCTTTCTGGCCCTCATCTCGCCTCTGACGTACCATTCCGTGTCAGCAGCATGGCTCTACCATGAACAACACAAGAAGGAGTTCGTCAGCCCACCTTCTCGACCTCGTCGAATCTTATCGTGCCCCTTGTGCACGGTAAAGTCCTACGCACCCGGGATCTATCCTGGTGCAATTTTTGCCGAACAGCACGGAGCAAAGAGAAGACGCTTGTCAAGACAATTCAGTGTGTCGGAAAAAGGCAGTCCGGTTGTTGTCAATGACGCTATCCTTCCTGAGAACATTCAGCCCGTGGTTGACAAAGATGAGCAGCTGGCTAAGCCTTTTGCTTGGTCGGATGCTGGTTCGACCGCGACCAGCATCCGACCACGAACAACACTAGACGAAGTTCACCGACTGACCTTGGAGAATTATCCAATGACGACGTGTAGGATTTCGAAGAACCTTTGCTCGACCTTTACCATCCCCCTGGTGCACGGTAAAGTCCTACGCGGCCTTCAAGTGGCCAATGACGACGTGTGGGACTTTGAAGAATCTTTGGCGCCGTTCTCGAGCCCAACTTCAGAGAAAAACAACTTGCCGGATACGATACCTTTGTTGTCTGCAGAGCAAGACAACCAATCATTTGATCATATCTTTTGCTTGGTCGGATGGTGGTTCAACCACAAACAACACTAGACGAAGTTCACCAGCCGACCTTTTCGACTTTTACCATGCCCCTTGTGCACGGTAAAGTCCTACGTGGCCTTCAACTGGCCAAGCCTTTTGCTTGGTCAGATGCTGGCTCTACGGCAAACAACACCAGGAGGAGTTCACCAGCTGACCTTGGACAGTTGTCCAATGAAAAAAGTCGACTTCTCCGAAACTGAGTCCACCATTTATCGCAGCTCCCCTTTCGGGGGGGCCAATGAACCCAAGGACTTCATTTTATCCCCCATTATTCTTCATTTGTATCTTTATACATATCTTAACTTTATTCTCTCTGGTGTTCAACCCGCCTTTTACGTACCATTCCTTGTCAGCCACATGGCCCGTCACACGAGTACAACCTGGCATGAGAAATTCCTTCCCGCGGATTTTCAAGGGACGTCGAGGGCGCACCGAACCCAGCAGAGGTGCTGGGCTCTTCCAGCCATTAATCGGGGGGAGGAGGTGGGGAAAGGGGTGTAGGTAGGAAGGGGGAGGGAGGAAGAGGAGGTTGAAGAGGAGGGGGAGAAGGGAAGAGAGGGAGAAGCCAGACGCTTCCCGCCTGACCGGAGGACCCTCGAGGTGCCGGGCCAAGGTTCACGCCCGCCTGCAGGGTACATAGGAGGGGGGAGCTCCGATGACACAGAGAAGCCTCCGAGCTCCCCCTGGCCTCCAAGATGATAACTGGGTACGCAGGGAGAGAAAAGGATTCAGCTGCGGCTCTGGAGAAGGTGGCAGCGCACCAACGTGGGAGTTGAGTCCAGCTCATGTCCAACCAACTATCAAGAGTTGCGTCACCATAAAATTCATGATTGGAGGATCTATTGAGGCCTCAAGTCACCATTTACCTCCTCTTCGAACGCAGACAAGTTGATTGCTAGGGTAGGTAGATAGCAACACTCAAATACTGCCTTATCTACTTCAACATGCCCATCCAGTGCCTTTCAATATCGAATGCAATTGTCTTGTGCGACTCAAAGCAGAGAACTTGAACATCCATTCAAACTTTGACAGAGGCATTGAGCATTGTTGCTCGCCCCTAGCAATTTTCTCACCAGCATTCTTTTGCTCGAGGCAAAAGGTGGATGTTGTTATTATTAGGGAGAGCATTCTTATTACGGAAGACTCGGCCGTCTTTCCATTGTGCGCTCCGTACACTTTATGCCTCTCTTTCCTTTAACTGCGGTAGAAGCAAGGTTTGGGCATTGTCTTTCATCTGACTAGCTGTCATAAATTATTGACTTTTTCTGAGCAGGAGTTTTCTATATTCGATGGGGAAGTGTTCTCGATTACGACCGCAAACCCGCCGAGATCGCCGTAAGCGACACGGCTACACGTTCAAAGAGAATTGGGCTTGAGCTTCGATGGCTAGCCACGCTTCTTCTGAAATGAAGAGAACTGAGGCTGGAGATTGGCTCTTATTTAGGGGCGTGCTAGATCCCGTTTTGATGCCCCGCCAATATCGCAACCGCTCATACTGACATCCTCGCCACATTGGGCTTATAATGTGGAGAGATAGGGACGGTGTTGATCGATCATCGCGATCTCACGGAGAGAAGCGTCCGAAAGGTATGTGAATGCAATGTTTAATATAATCACGCCAAGAGTGGCTTTTAGCACTCAGAGAGTATTTGACCATATAAGATTAACGCAGCAATTAAACTCGTCATAGTTATGAAGCCGTGTGTCGTCCGTCTTACAAAGTGTCAAAATTACGATGGGATAACGTCACGATCTCATCAGCATTTTGAAATCAAGCTCTCCTCATTCGTCGCATCGAATCGACAAGGCATCATGTATTTTCTCAAGATTCACGAGACGTTGGCTATATAACACCTGGCATTGAACAGGGTCAGCCTTGTATCCGCTCGATATGCTTTCATCTCGAAACATACCACACTTCAACAAAGAATGTTTAGTGTGTGCACAGTTTCTCTTCAGTTGCGCCAGTGTAGTAAATACTTCTCTCCTTTAATTGCCAGTCGAAGCATTCAACAGGCCGTCAGAATGTCTACCATCTCCGAGGCAATCATCAAAGATCACCGTGAGCTCAAAGAATACTACAATGAAGTGGTGAACAATCCGGGAAATCACGATCATCAAGACCGTTATGGAAACCAATTCACCTGGGAGCTGGCTCGCCATTCTGTTGGTGAAGAGCTAGTGGTATATCCTGCGTTCGAGAAATACTTGGGAGAGAAAGGCAAAGCCATGGCGGAGGAAGATCGAAAGGAGCACGCCGTGGTAAGTTTTAGTCCGACCACACATGTCTGTCGTAAAGATGACTTCCTAATGACGCTCAATGCAGGTCAAGGAGTTGCTCAAAACCTTTCAGAACATGAAGGCTTCTGACCCAGATTATGTCAATCAGCTGCAGAAACTCTGGGGGCCTCTCTCGGAGCACATCAAGGAGGAGGAGGAGCGGGACTTGCCGACTTTAGAAGAGAAGCTCCAGACTGTCGAAGGAGAATCAGCATCAATGGCAACGTCTTTTGGTTGGACAAAGGCCTTTGTGCCAACTCGCAGTCACCCGAGCGCTGGTGAACATCCGCCGTTTGAGACTGCTATGGGATTGCTTGCTGCGCCAATCGATCATGTTGCTGACCTTTTCCGCAAGTTTCCTAAAAAGAAGGTGTCTCCGAATCCTTCTACTGAGTAAGGATAGTTTGTTTGTCAAGTATTTCGGTTGTATTGGGTCAGTGTAAGTATTTTCACGCGAATGATATGGAGGTTTTTGTACTGTCACGGTTTGGATTATGTGTAACTGAGCTGCTAGAGTGTACACACTAAAACTCGATGGCTTGAATCTCACGCTCATTCTATCTTCTTGTAGCTATCTTTGCAAGAAAAGCTGCCGTCTCTATCTATTGTTATGGCTTTCGTCAAGTTTGAGCACTTTGATCAGTCGTCGCAGCATGGTGCTAACGCAAAGTTGAACATTTCCCTCCACAACGCGCTGATATAGAGCCCTGTGCATACGAGTTCGCTGTTCCTGCGACATCGTCAAAGCATTGTTAATCTCATCAGCCACTTGGCCAACGTCCCACGGATTGATTCGAATTGCCTCTTCCAAGCTACTGGCCGTTCCGCTGAACTCCGATATGATGAGGGGCCCGTGGCTCTCTGTTTGGCACGCGATATATTCCAGACTAGTCGTGCTCATCCCTTCTCGCACACATGTGTTGACGGCAATGTCTCCGAGTCGTAAAACAGCAAAATAATCCTCCTGCGATAGTCTTTGAGTGTGTATCTGAACGGGGGTGAAGTCGAGAGAGCCGTAGGTCTGATTGATTGAGCTAGCCATGTCGTTGACCTGGCGCGCATAGAGCATGTTATCGCCGTCATCGTCTTCCATTGTGGCCGGGCTTGTGATTTGCACCAGGACGACGTGGTGCCGCCAGCTTGGATATCGTTCGAGGAAGCATTCGAAAGCCTGGAGCTTCTTGTGCACTCCTCCTAGGCGGCTCATCGTGTCGCAGCCGATGATGACCTTTTTCCCTTTGTATAGCTTACGCAGTTCCTCATGCATTTTGTCGACTGCGGGTGAGAAACCTAAGGTTGTTATCTTAGAAATATTGATTCCTGATGGGAGCACAGTCAGATGAACTCGTCCTCTAGCACTTTCAACCCATCCTTTGTTGGCATTGTAGCCAAGGATTCTGGTGCAAGAGTTGGCAAAGTGCTGCAAAAAGTGGAAGGCTTGAAAACAGATAAGATCGGATCCAAGAATCCCGTTCAATATCCGTTCTCGCCGGTGCAAGCATCGAATGAGCTCGCTAGATGGGAAAGGCGACTCGAGGAAGAAGACGATGTGCATATCTGGATGACGCTGCCGAAGGAGTTCTGGCAGAAGCATCAAATAATGGTCGTGAACCACCACCATGTCGCCCGGCTTGTATACTTGGCAGATTCTATCTGCAAATGCCTTATTCATTCGGTGGTAGTCGTCCCACCTAGTCTCCGCTTGACGACCATCTGTGGGAGGACGTTGCTTGTAGTGGAACAATGCACAGAGATCATGTTCGGCATAGCGTCTCCATCTCGATTGCTGCTTCAACTTGATTCCACCGTCCGTGATATCGCGGTCGTCTGCAAGCCAGACTGGCAAGGTCCGCATGTGGTCATTATACAGCTTCTCTTCAAGGGCTGCTTTGCTGTTGCGGGAAATGTATGTCTCTGCGGAAACGATGTCGTCGTTGCCTTGTGAGTGCCCACCAAGCGAGGTAGTCGTTGACGCCGGGTTGGATTCTTGGAGTTGCTCGTGCGAAGATGATGCATCGTCTGACACAGGATATATTTCCCCAGTCCACGCGATGACTGTGTGATCCCATGGACTCTCTTTCGAAGAGAGATATGCGAGCGAGTCTAGATGGGTAGAACAATGGTTTTTGTGCTCTAATTCCTGTTCGATGTTAATTTTGTCTTCCATTGGATTTGTTGTGGCTTGGGAAACTTGCCCATTTCTCTCCTTTGCGATATCGCAGCAGCTGAGGCAGAGTAAATGTGGCAGAGAGGACAGTCCCGCTTAAAGAAACCTCGCCCTGCCGCGATCCAGCAAGAATCCCATCACCAAATTGCGACAAAGTAGACGGTTGAGCAAGCGCCCTGTTGGCTGGTCGTCGAGGGAAGTACTCTTGCCTGCCAGATTGAGATTGAGACTGGCCCCCCCTTGACGTTGGGATCCCATCGTTGGGGTCGCCGTATGTGCCCTGAGAGATTCCTGGGGTAACTGGGATGCTGGTGATGGCCTCAGATTCATGTGGCGGGAGAAGTGATTCCGTCCGTTGCTGGGCAGCCGGTCTATTCAGATGGCGCTGTGAGTAGGGCGTGCCAGACATTTTATATGCGAGTAGCACACAAAGCTGAAAGTCAAGAGTGTAATGTAGATGTAAAAGATGTAAAGGAATTCATGTAAACGTCGAAGGGCACCAAATATCCTTGAGAATATTTAAAGTTTTGAGAATGTATATCTGTTATCTTGAAGTCATCTGAAAGGTAAATGCTGTGTTGTTGCTCAACAAGAGTGGGGATCGACTTCGCAGACTGAAAGCTTCGTTTCGTTATGTCAGGAATAGTTTCGAGCTTCGACCAGAGACGACGCGGGTATTCTGACAACGCATTTCAATGTTAATAGCTAATTAGTCCGAGGAATTTAGTTGGTGGCAATCTTGGAGGACGAAGGAATAGTGTTGGTTACTTGTTGCTGTGATGATTACCGGAGCACTTCCACCGAAGTAGATGTCGTTGACGTCAACCCGAGTCATGTTTATGTGTTACAGGGTAGCCTGCCAAGCCCTAGGAAGATAAGGACGGGAGCACAATCGAGATAGTAAGGAGATGCAGGAAGCACCGAAGAAAAGAATTCGCGACGAGAAAAAAATTTGCTTGCCGCTGTTTAATGACGGAGTTATGAACGCACGATCTGGCGTCCGAGCGGTGGCGGTAAGACGATTCTCTCCGGTGTTGGTTACTCTGTTTCAGATCCAGCCGCCACCAGAGTCAATTGCTGTAGCTTTACTTTCAACTGGCACCAATCTGACGAAGTGGCAACGTAGCTGTCGCACGAGATGGTTTGGGAAGATGGAAGAGCGTAGGATAATTTGCGGGAGGTAAATGTAAGATAGTTTGCGGGAGATAAATCTCAAATCTCACCTTATCCTCCTCATTACGACGAAGCCGTGATGGAGGGCTTCTGTCGCAAACACTTCAGCATTCGATGCTCGCCAGATGGAAGCTTTACCTTGACGTTGAAACGTATCGCTCATATCACATCCTAGATATACAGCTCCCATGAAATTTTCCAAAGCATTCTCTATGAATTCGAACTCCTCTATTCTAACGACTCCGACGCCATGGGTATTTCCATCCTGCTCTTCACCAGGCTGTATGCCCGCCGTCGATAACTAGGTTGCTTCCAGTCATAAACGTGCTGGCATTGCTCATGAGGAATAATCCAGCACCCTTGAACTCGCTCGTTTCCGCCAGCCGCCCCATCATGTTCTCTTGGCTCCATGTCTGTCTCAAGCCCGGCACCTCTTCAAAGTTTTTAAGAACCATTGGCGTAACGATGTGTCCCGGGCTCAGGCAGTTGACGCGGATACCGCCCTCGCCGTTCTCTTTGACGGAGCTCCATTCCATGGCAAGATTTCGCGCCAACTGTATCAGCGCTGCCTTTGAGGAATTGTAGGCCGAGGACAGCAGGCCCTTGTTTGCCACAGAACCAGACATGCTGGCCACAAGGCAGATGCTTCCGCGGCTTTTATACTTGAGCATCATCTTGGCCGCTGCCTGCGCAGTCATAAATGCTGCTGTATAGTTCGTTTGTATCATTTTGTTTACGTCTTCTTCCGTGTAGTCTATGGCGGGGGTAAGCTGCTGTATACCGGCAGCAGCAATGACGCCTTGTATCCCCCCATTCTCAGAAGCAATCTCTTCCATGAGTTTGTTGAGTTCAGTCGTATTGTTCACATCCAGTTGTTTATACTCCAACGTGCCACCCCATTCAGGAACGACGCGCTGCTGAGCTCTTTGCCATTCTTGATCGGGCTCTGGTAGTCGATCAAGGCAGTAAACTGTGCAACAGTCAGACACATTAAATTCTACACGAAAAGAAGTGTGTATAGATACCTTTGCCGCCTGCTTCAACAAGTGCCTCTGCCAGGGCCAAGCCTAAGCCTCGAGCACCTCCTGTAACGACAAATGCATTGCCGGCAAGATCAAAGTCAGAAAATCTCTTGGTACCGACTGAAGCCTCCTTTGGTAGTCCAGTCACGTTGGTACCGCTCTCGCCGGTTGTAGTATAGCAGCGCTCGTTACGACGAGACACTATTGATGGTTTGTGTGCTGTAAGACTTGCTCTGCAAGAAGCTGCTGGCCATCTTCTTAGCCCTGCAATTGGCAATCTGCAGCGACCTAGAGAATTGAGACACGGAGAAATTAGTCTTGTAGACATTGTTGCTTTGCTTAAACGCCAAATCTCACGGCGATTCGTAGGAGCTCGCAAGATGCATATCGGATGCTGTAATGGCAATTGTCGACTTCAAATATCCTTCATGCCAATTGCTATCACCATTTTCACTTATGCATATGCGACGTCATGATCTGCGGCATTCGTGTTTGGTCTTTGCCAAGTGCGGCGATACTAGGTACATGTAATCGTAAGCAGCCGCAGAGAAATACAGAAAAATGGCCATATTATCAAATAACTATAACTCGGAGCATTGGTTCCGCTCTGAAAGGGAAATCCGAGCTCACGGTGGTGGAGAATGCCGTTGAGTCTAAAGTTTGAGATAGGCAGCACAATTCTTTTCAGCTTACTGGGACCATGGTTCCATACTTGGCCCACAACGTTTGTAGATCATTGTTTGCTGACAACAACACACGTGTAATCAATTGGGCAGCGATATGATATCCAGAGTATTCTATCATGGAGCGCGTGGGCTGATTCTTGCGAGTCAGGACGACTTCGATGGCTGTACCCTCTTTCTGTTCATGTATTCTCGGAGAATAAGGTGCGTCGTGTAGGTATGAATCCGGATATAAGCGTTTACCCGTACGTACAACATCCGCAATGGAGGTTGTAACACCAAACTCGTACAAGTCGAGAATTTCCGAGTCCTATCTGCGGTGGAAGGGGCTTGTTGCGTGTCTTTGATCGTGATGCCCTTGCCGTTTTGCCACAACATCTTGGAGGCCTTGTTATTTTGATGGGGCCATCTCCATAGTTGCAAAAAGTATAACGTTATAGAAGAGACATCAAGCAGAGGAAGCGTCGAAGATGCAATTCATCGTCACAGATTCAAGCTCGGGTCATCCAAGAAGCAGATGTCCCCCATCTACCTTGGCTTGGCATGCGTCAAAGACTTGTCGTGGGCGCAGTTGCCGCTGTGGCCTCCTGATGGACTGTGCTGGAAAATTCATCATATATGATCGTTGAAGGGGCTTTCCCTTAGGCTAATCCAGGCAAGACCCATTCTAGACTGAGTTCTGACGGCGTCTGTACGAAGTCGACATGGCCATTTGAATCGATCGATCATCTCGCAGGTAGAAGTCGTCATAGTCGTGCTTGTAGAACGTTCTCGTGCTTGGACGCAAGGGGAAGGCCGTTGGACTTTCTCTGCCCAGTCGTGGGAGAGATTCGGGAGGAGTAGCTGAGTCTTGCGGTTGGAGATATTTGCACGAGCGAGGGACTATTCAAGGGCAGTCGTTAGCAAAGATCGAACCAGCAGAGATCAAATCAGCAAGGGCTTGCGATTGATCGGCGTTTGTACGTGTTGGAGCAGCCTAACAGAAGCCAGGCAGGTAGCTTCTTTGTCTCTATCCCTGATAGCTTGGGTGCGATTGGAATTGAAGCGAGAAGAAGGTGTACGGTCTGCCACCACGAGTTCATGCCGCAGCTGCTGCGTAATGAGAGCGGCTGCTTGCACAGGTTCGTACTGGAGACATGAGGGCTAGTCGACAGCATCTCCTCAAGGTGTAACTGAAGCTGCTCAGGAAGTATCTACTACCCCTAGGTACGTACGGTCTCGATAAAGATCTTGACAAGACGAAGATGATGACAGACATTCCTACCTCAGTGGGTAGTTGAACGACTCCTTCCCCTGGGCTACATGGCGAGGGGGTGTCGCCTCCTTTCTTTGTTCAAGTCGAGAATGTACCAAAGTTGGGTCCCATCTGTTCATTGATGACAAACGGATCTCGAGATTTATCTGCTGCCTTGTTGTTCGTCATGTTCGTCATTTCGATCGCGCAAGGGCCGGATGCTTTCCCAGTCGGGAGTCGAGCGCTTCCTAGGCGCAACGTGATGGATTTCTTGATGCGTCATACTGTACTGCTGGGGTACATCGTGTGTCAAGACAACCTGTGCTTGTGCCTTGAGAGAGAATGAGAGGGAATATGTCACTAGATACAATATTTTGAATCTACAGCTGCAAACATCTGGTGTCTACTGACAACACTTCTGTGTGCTGCGATACCCCACTCCAATTTCAAGTCGCTGCCACAGCTTATAAAGAGCGCAGCCTGATTTCAGATTGTGGATATTTGCAACTATATAGTAGCTACAGGTATCTCCAGATTCACCTCTAGGTTGGCATTGTACCGTGTCGTAACGGGATTCCCCCCCTGAGCAGATGCTGAGACGGCAAGCTCGGGGATTCCAGGCATCAACCTCCACACCCAATAACCTGCCGAATTCAACCACGAAGGAACTGGTTTGTGAGAGTACAAACCTGTAGCTGGCGAGTCTTGCAGAGCTCCTGCACTCAATGGATCTTCCATTGGCGTTGTAATGCCCCTTCACCGCCTCACCTAACTGCCATTCCACCCCTCTCCCCTCCCCCCTCTCCTCTCCCGTTTCCATTTCTTCCTCCACAAACTCATTGCTCTGCCACGAGCAATGAGTTTGCTTCTTCTTCTTCTTCTTCTTCTTCTGTTCTTCGTCTTTTTTCATTCTTCCCACTTCCCCCGACGTCGTTCTCTCCCACAAACCGGGGGAGGTGGGAGAAAAACAACATCAGCAACAACACACTGCATCTTTTCCCCCTCCCCCGACGTCGTTTACCCCCCACAAAACGGGGGGGGGGGGGGGGACAACAACATCGGTGACAACAACATCGGTGACAACAACATCGGTGACCACAGCAAACCACCTCCTTTCTTCCTCTCCCGACGTCGTCTTCCCCCACAAAACGAGGCAGGAGAACGAGAACATCAGCGACAACGAATCGCCCCCTTTCTTTGTGTCCCTCGATATCATTCTCAGGTGTATATATTCTTTGTTTTCCTCTTCTCTCATCCATGACGCTAATCCTTCATGCGAAGCAGGTTTCCCAACCACAGCCACAACTTTTCTATTCCGACTGCTGGCGAACTAGACTCGTAACACACCCACTGCCCTTGGCTCTTTGCAGCTGAAAACGTTACCAACAACACAACGAGACCAACATGCTCACCACCAAGCTACATCACCTCGGTTGGCTCCAGAAGAGTGTAAGAACCAACTCTGAGACCTGGCAATGCAAACTGGTTGCGAATATCTGTGCCTCATTCCTGCTCCAGAAGTAAGTTCTACCCACACCAGATCATTGAGCATGGCCTAACAAATTTGCTAGACTGTTACTTCAGTGAGCCCTTTGGACTGGAAGACAGCTCGACCACCTCGATTCACAATGATGAGCCAAGCGGCAAAACGTCTATAGAGACAACAGATGGTTTTCCACATTCCGAGGAAGGATGCCTTGGGACAGCGGCATTGTGAGTATCCATGCGTCAGTATCTTGGCATTTGTTCCTGAAGCTAATGGTATATAGAAAGACGAAGAGATCTCTACAATTTTTTCTTTCACCTCCGTCTCTTCTACTTTTCCTTTCCCCACCGCCTGCTTAACACGGTCGCACAACCCCCATAGACAGCCACCACAATCTGTACTCGGCCGACTATCTCAGTCCTCATCAGCATTTGGGCAAACACAACCAACCTCAGCTTTCTTCGCGGGCTTTGCCTGTTTAGTGCGTCGGTTTTTGAGTGCCCCTCAGCGAAACACAACAGTTTAATCCATCCGGACATTCAGTGACGCATGGAAGTTCAGGCGTCCTAGCTTGGATAAACCTGAATCTTTTCAATTCCAATGGGGACTGGCCCAAGTCGTCTGGATGCCGCACTCTCATCCTAGTTGGAGATATGAGCGAAAAGGGTAGAGTCTGATTGGAAGACAATCCAGTTGGAAGTGTGAGCGACCAAGGGTAGAGTCAGATTGGGGGTTGGTTCAAAGGGAGGACTTGGAGGTGTCTTTTTTACTGAGGTGATGGGAGAATAGAAATCAAAAGTCACATTATAACGGCGGAATCAATGCGAAGACCACAGCTTTGCACTTTCATCTTAAGATGCCAGCGTATTTGCGCGACAGCTGCGTAGCCCTATCCATCAACGAGGGATTGTGTGTCGCAGGTGTTGTCATTGCCTTTCAACAGCCATGCTTACAGTATCTACAGATCCAAAAGAGGGAGCTTTTGATCCTTGGCCACCCTTGATGGCCACGTAACCCTCGTCGAGTACCTAGCTGATAAGGTGTGTGGCTCTTGTCTCTAGCTGGGCGCTGAGGACCCAGAAGCTTGACCAACTGACAACAATCTGGAAGCTGGAGCTGCTTCAGACTTCGGCCTCTACACTCTACGCTCCACCAAACCAGCCCGACAGGAACCGGAAGCGCCGAGATAATCTTGCCGCACAAGATGAAGTCATCATGGAATCCCAAACAAGAATCACTTCAAATACAGCCAGCCTCCAGTCCCCACTTCCGCCTGGCAAACGTCAGCTACTAGCAGCTGGTTTGCGGAGAGCAAGCCCGCTAGCAAATCGCATATCGGCCGATCGAACGTTGCTCTGGGATGCAAGGGACTACTCCGTTAACAGCTAGGAGTGTCAGACGCTTGACTCCGGCATCACAAGATGGCATATTTGCCGGAATGAGCCTGAAGAGACACACGTCAAATTCCAGACAGCTCGCTTCCAAACCAAGCGGCGGCAATAAATCGAACGACGGGTCGATAAATGCGGCGATACGGTCGGCAACGAGGTCCCGAGGAAGTGAAGGGAGCGAAATAATCACCACGACATCGTTCCATCACATCACTTTGACTGTGCATATGCGCCCGTGCTGGAACCAACAATCACATTGACCTCCTACCTCCACAGTCCCCTACCAAACACCTCCAGGCGTCGTGCTATGTATTTCCCGCAGCGAAATATCGATCCACGGACGCAGACAATTTGTCGAGTCTGTCCATCTCGCGGCCTGCCATTGGCCCATCTCCCGTGAGAGCCCTGCATCACAATCTACAGCTCTGCATCTCGCAACTTCTGCACCAACTCCATCCAGATGGCGATTGGCCGGGGGCGTCTCCGCAGGCACCGCACGCGAGACCAGGGTCAGGCGCTTAATTCCTCGGTGGGCCAACCAAGAACGATTCTCACATCAGCATTGTGACGCCTCCGAGACGCCACAGGCCGCTCATTGGCCTGCCGGCAACGCTGGATTCGCAACCCGCCTTAGCTTTGCCGTGGAAGAACGAGGAGAACGAGGAGAGTTGTCGCATTCGAGTAGCTGTGCGCCGTGGTTTACGATCTGGGAGTACTGCCGCACTACCTGGCGCTGTGCTACCAAAAGCTGTTTAGACTAAACTCCTCATTACGAATATTACTCGGTTCGTGAACATTGACTTTTGATGGTTCCGAATAAGCATGGCGTTGCCTGGACTAATCCAACGACGCGAGAGAAGAAGCAAGAAAATCAAATCTTTGCCCTTTGGCTCAAGCTACCATTTTCTGCTAACGAAGCGCTACTCTCCCTCTCAAGCACCGTCCTCCCCAAGGTTGCTGCTGCTCGTATCGACCCAGGCATCACCCGCCTCTGTGGAACGGCCAATGGGAGCTGTGAATCGGAGTATTCCAACGCAAGGGTCGGCATCTTGTGAGGGCCAGGACCAGGTTCCCTGATTGGGGCAGCCCGCGCCAAAGCTGTGCGCGAATCACAGCGGGGAACAAGAGACAGAAAGACAGCTTTCCATCCACTCACAATTTTCTTCGCCTTCTAGCTTAGCCTGACCCGTCTCGGGTGGCGTCTGTCCTCGCCCTTGTCCTTGTCGAGGGAAGGGGGGACAATAGCTTGGGCGGCTGCAATGGCGCTTTTGTCACTCTCTGCGGTGTTGTGTGTGCATGCCGGAGCGGGCCTTGGTTCGCTTTTGGCCCCCAGAGACCGTTCTTAAGACCTCCCGGTTGCGCACGCCTCTTCTTTCCATCTTCTTTTCTACCCGCTCCCTCCTTGGCTTCCGTCAACAACAAGTCTTTTGTCCCAAGACAAATCCTTTGACGCTCTGTCTATCTGGACAAGAGCTCCGAGATTTGTGGCTTTTTGAGGCTGCCGAATATCAAAGAGAGAAGAGAAGGCCGGGCCTTTGGAGTCGCCCCACACAAAAAGAAAGAGAGGAGAACCCTGCGACCAGGAAAATCAACCAGGACGGACGACATCGGAAGCGACTTGATAGCCGATCTACGATTTGATCGTATACATCTACATACACAGCAACTACCGAGTTTCCCTCTTCGATATATACGACGGAAAGTTTCGGAATAGCATACCAGCAAAGCGAATTTGAAAACAATTTCTAGACGCGGCGATTTGCCATCTGCCAAGCCGGTAGAACATCATATACACGGGAGACAGTTACACACACATACATACGCATATAAACGATTCAATATGAGGCTATCACTATTCCTCACGCTCGCCCTGACGGCCCTCATCGAGGCCCATAGCATCATAGTATACCCAGGATGGCGCGGCAACAACCTCATCACCAACGATACGTTTCCCTACGGCATGCAATGGATGTATCCATGTCAGTTAACACCAGCCTCGCTCCACATCCCAATAAGACAACACAAAGAAAACTAACCATGAATCAGGCGGTGGCATAGGAACAACAAGAAACCGAACATACTGGCCAACCACCGGCGGTGCCGTCTCCTTCCAGCCCGGCTGGTTCCGCGGCCATCTGACGGCTCAGCTCCAGATCAACCTCGGATACGGCACTGATGGTCCCGACGGCGGCCCGCCAAACATGTCCAACATCATGGTCAAGCCGTTTATGCTCCAAGGACCGACCAACAATCCCTATCCCGGAACCGTATGCCTGCCTCAGGTCCCTCTGCCTGCTGGCGCAAATGTTTCTGCTGGCGATAGGGCGACGATTCAAGTCGTTGAGCTGGCTCAACACGGCGCAGCTCTGTACTCTGTAAGTCTTTGCCCTCTCATCTATCTATTCACTTCAAGAAAATTGTCTTTTGGGAATGGAAAAGACAATTCTGCATGGCCTATTTCAAAAACTAACTGGACTTCTTATCAGTGCGTCGACATCATCTTCGCCGAGCCAGGCGACCCCCGCATCCCCATCGTCAACGAGACAAACTGCTTCAACTCGACGCAGTTCGGCTTTGCCCAGATCTACACAATCACCACCCAGGAGCCCATCCTCGATGTGGTCTCCTCAACGACTTCCGATGCCGAGTCGCTGCGAAAATACAGCTGGGCGGGCTGGCTTCCGCTTGTTGCTGGGGCGATGTGGATGGCTCTGTGATGAAAGAGAGAATGGGGGGCTAGAGATTATATGACAGATGATATTCTGTTTTTTATCTCTCGCTCTTTTCTTCTCCTTTCTTTTTTTCCTTTTCTCGGTCCGCATAATTAACATATACCCCTGGATCCTCACTCTGTTGATGAGAGTTGGTACCCTTTTCCTTACTGTTTCTTCCCTCTCTCCAAGCGTGGGAACAGGACATGGCGTTGTTGGGCGTTTTTACGAAAATTGGGGGCGAGGCCATGTTTATTTAACCCCCCTGTATATCTCATTACCGTTACTTGGACTACTCGAGCTCGAAGATGGTGGTTGTTTTATAAATGAATCGTGTATATATAGATATATATATCTATACCATATATATATAGAGCAATGTGATATGATCTCACACTTGCCAAGTCTTTGTATATTATGCTTATGCGCCGAATGTCATCCTATCGTGCTTCATTTCTATTCATGATTTTCTTTATACCTGATCCCTCACCCGCTGTCTCTTCTACGAGTCTATCGCGGGATTACCTTTAAGCACTCATTCGCAACTCCCTTGATCCGTTCCTCGGTACTCTTGCTCGATGCTCCTTCAACCCATGCCGCTACTCCCAAGCTCTTGGCTTCATCCTTGGAAGTTGAGAGGATAGTGCCGAGAGCGACTAGTGCGCGATAGAGAACCTCTGAATCGGTCTGGTCCTTGAGGATAGTGCCAAGCACAGTGACCAGCCGTCGTCGCTGTTCGGGATTCAGCAGCTTCTCCTTGTTGACAAGGACAGAGTAGTTGACGGCCACTGTTGTCAAAGCGACCAGCACATTGCGGTTGAATTTGCCAATTGGCTCTCCGCCCTTGATGCCCGTGACACGTTCCAAAAACGAAATGGCCTTGTCTGCTTGAGAGCTAGCCAGGCTTCGTCCGTCGGCAGAGCTGAATAGGTTGGCAATCGTTCGTGCGCCCATCATGGCGGCATTCTCATTGGGTGGAAAGTCGTCAGGAATCGACGAGGCCACGGCAATGTCCAAGAGGGTCAGGCCTTGAGGGCCCTTGAATTGCGCGGCTATAGGGTATCTAGCCACACAGCGAAGCAAATCAAGGCCGGCCAGTCGATCAGCATAGGGCCACTCAGTGACAATCTTGAGGATTACGTTGAGAGTTGGGGTTGTAATAGCCTTCGAAGAGTCTAGAGCTTCCTTTGATGAATGCAGTGTGGCCTCTTCTCCTGGATTAAGAGCCACATCTTTTCGCCCAGACGAGACCATGGTCTTGTTAACATTGGAAATTTTGTTTAGGATGGCTAGTAAAAGGCTGACGTTAGAAATCTCACTGTAAAACTAGGACTGAATGTTCGATTTACTCACCTTCGTACTTTGCGGCAGAAATATTGAGGTATTCCCTCTGCGGTAGCACCTTTGGCGTTTGAGACTGAGATTCCTCTCCAGGGCGATATCGTGACTCGGTGCCGTATGGATCGGGCCCTGTGGATCGTTCAGACTTTCCGAGGGTGGCACCCTTGGTGTTTTCGGTGATGAAATTGGCCACGTTATCTAGGTAGGTTAGGGGCAGTTCGTTATCGTTGAGGAATTTGGTCGCTCTCTCGTAAGGGTTCTCCGAGAGATTATAGGGGAGCTTGAGCGCAGGCTTTCCGTCTTCAATATCGACGTCAAAGACATAATCGTAAGACTGCCCGTTGTACTCAACCTTCTTGCCCGTGCTACCAACAGCATCCACTACCGTACCAACGTTGATCCATTGCTGCTGGGCCATAGACCACGTGTGCGCAGTGATGTTGCCGTTGCTCTCCTTGATCATCTGGACTTGGCCCTCTTTGGTGCCTGCTTTGGACGTCAGGAACTCTGGACCAGGCAGCTTTTCTTTGTTGATGCCACCGAGCTGTTGTTGCGGGATAGCCGAGGCTTTGACTGAGTCCTGGAATTCCTTCAGTGTGGCTTCATCTGCTACAGCCTCTGGTCGCCGAGTGAAGATGCGTGCAACGCCATCACTGGCGCCTGAAATGATGTCTCCCGTCTCTGGATTGACAGCAACTGTCCACACAGATATGGCTGGGTGCGTGATGGTCTGGATGCATTCGGTTCCCTTCCACACCCTGACGGTCCGATCCTCTCCAGAGCTGACGAGTTCACCGGATGGCAAACTTGCCAGGCTGTACACGAAGCTTTCATGCCCATGGAGCTCACCGACCTGCTGACCGTTCAGCTTCCACAGCCGCAGAGTACCATCGTTGCTTGCACTGGCGATATCGGCACCGCTGGGGTGGCCCTTGGGAACCTTGCACAGCGCTCGGACAACATCGGGAGTGTAGATGGTGGCTGCTGGCATGACGTCGCCGCCCCTTGACTGCTTCAGATCAAACACTCGAATGCTCTTGTCAGCGCATCCTGTTACCACTGTTGTCTCATCAAAGGCAACGACACTCCAGACGGCCATGCCCTCGTGGCCACTAAGCATGTGCTCAGTCTCCCACTTGCTCAGGTTCCAAACTCGAGCCTGACCGTCCCATCCTCCAGAGACAAGGTATGTCCCTTTAGGAGAGACATCGAGTGTACACACGTTGTGCGCATGTCCAATGAGAAGGCGCTCGGCATTATCAGCTGCTGATAAGCTCGGCGACTTGACCTCGATGATGGTATCTTTGCCTCCCGAGACGACGAGACCGTTCTGATGCTCTTGATTTGGTGGGAAGAAGGCCACAGTGTTGACGTACTCAGAGCCGCGGCTGACAAGCGAGCCCTCAAAAGCTGGAGGCGTGGTCTGTGTTCGTCGCCATATCCGGATGGTACAGTCTCTTGATGCCGAAAGGGCGAATTCGGGAGAGGGGAAGCTAACAGCGCGCACCTGCAGTAGAAGAGGGGAGTCAGTAAAGGCAAGACTTGCACATGGATATGTGAACAGAGTGTAAACAGAGCTGAGGGATCTCGTACGTCGGCTTCGTGGCCAAGAAGCTGCGCTGAGAGCTTGAATTCGGCCATGGCAATGTCAAGCTCCGGATCGCAATGCCTTGGTGGTGGGGGTTGCACCTCAATCTGGGGAAGAGGGGAGCGATGATGCGACTGATGGCAGAGAGAGAAACGACGAGGCTAAAGAGCGGTTGAATTGCTGTTGCAAGGGAGAAAAAGAGCGATAGTATGAGCAATATGGGTCTGCTTGAGATGAGCCAAGAAAGCCGTAGCTAAATTGCTTTGTCAGGCGTTTGGGCGTTTGTAGATGTGGATGACGATGGAAGCTTGAAGACAGCTGGAGGGACCCCGAGAGGCAGCTGCAGTACGTACTCGGGCTGGTGACTGCACTGCGATCCCCACCAAGTATCAGCACAGGCGCAATGGCCTCACTCACAGCGGGTAATTTAGCGGGCAGCTCCAGTGGGCTTTAGGGGCGAATTGGCGCTTTGGTAAGCAGCGTGTGGCTTGTGGCGCTAGACGGGCTTGACGAGGTGGTTCATCCAGGCACAGGGACAACGAATGGTGTTTTTGCTTGTGCAGGGAGTAGCTTCTGTTGGTGATAATCTTTGTACATAGAACACCTGACATCACGTATCATTCATAGAGATCCCTCCAAAATATTAGATATTACAATATATCATAGATAACATGGCCAATCTCTTGTCTAAAGTCTTGAATCATGAACAGAACCAAACGAGGCGCCACACTTCAGCGACCCCTCCATTTGTGGCGGTGCTCCTAATCCATCTTTCGCAGCCCAAAACTCATCGATAGCCACAGCGGCTCGCAATTAGCGATAGCGACTGCTCGCCCTGCTAGCCCAAAAGCTCGATACGCTGCCCCGCTTCCCCAGCAGCGGACAGAAATCATCATCCAGATCGTCTTGCACCCGAATCTTTGTGGTCCCGGAATCCTCTATCAGGGGCTGCGGTGATCGCCTCCAGCTCTTCTCTCTTCTCCTCCGCTCTACTCCATCACTCCTCCAACAGCGACATTCATTCACACGCTGACGCCCGCTGCAATCTGTCCGTGTGCTGGCCTCTGTCTCGCCCGCTGTTCGACAAGCGAATCCTGCAGCGAGCTGCTTCGACTCCTTGCATGACCAGTTTGAGACTCGACTCGATTGCCAGCTGCCAACCAACGTTTTTCTCTCCTTGTCGGCCGATTTATACCCCCCGTGCGCTCGGCGAACCTTTTTTGCTTTCTTCTCTCTCTTGCTTTTCGACCAGGGCTTCTCTCACTCATCGCTGGGATCGTCGATTTTGTCTGGAGCCTCGCTGACCCCCTAATCCAAATCCATCTTCAAACTTGAAACACCTCGTACGGTCCTTTTTATTTTCCGATTGACCTTTGGTTCGCCGTCTTGACGCTCCTGCTCGCGACGCAAAGACTCCGACGCTCTAATTACTTCATCTCTCCGTCAATTCACGCGATCATTCACCGTCATCATCGTCATCATGGCAGCCGAGGTGCCCCGACAATACGTTCCGCTGACCTGCCACGGTCACTCGCGACCAGTTCCTCACATCAGCTTCTCTCTTCTCGAGAAGGAAGAAACCTACTACATGATCTCAGCTTGCAAGGGTATGCATTGGCCCATCTCAGGTGGAAGCACGTCGTTTGACCTGGGCTAACTTTGTATTCTGCAGATGGCAATCCCATGCTTCGTGATGGTGTAACGGGCGACTGGTAGATATATCCTTTTTGTGTGACATGCTGTCATAGACGGACCCAGGCTGATTTCTTGCGTCAGGATCGGCACTTTCATCGGACACAAAGGCGCTGTCTGGCAGGCTAGGCTGAGCCCTGATGCATCCAACGCCGCGACCGCGTCTGCCGACTTTACTGCGTACGTGATACTTTCTTTTCTGCGGGCGTGGAGTATAGGGAATTGCACGTGTTCTAACATTCATGATGTGTTGTAGCAAGATCTGGGACACCCACACCGGCGAACTCTTGTATACGCTGCAGCACGACCACATCGTCCGCGCCGTTGCGTACCCACCCGACAATTCAGACCTTGTAGCCACTGGCGGCATGGAGAAGAAGCTTCGCGTCTTTGACTTGTCCGACGTCCCAGGCGCCAACAGCGGGAACCCAATCACGATCCCTGCCTCGGCCGGATTCGAAATTGGCGAGGGTGTGCACACGGGCTCCATCAAGTTCATCTGCTGGACTCAAGATCCAAACGTCATCGTCACGGCTTCGGATAAGACCATCCGCTGGCTCGATCTTCCCAGCCGAGCTTGCATTCACCAAGAAGTGCTGGACGGCGAAATCCGCTCTTGCGAGATGGTATCTCTGTCGCCAGAGTATACCTCTGTTACGGATATTGGCGGTGGAAAGCCTGTTCTTGCTGTTTCCGCTGGCAAGACTGCCTACTTCTGGGGCGGCCACCGGGCGATGGAAGAACTGAAGCGCATCGTTCTTCCCAACACCATTGCCAGCGTGGCCCTTGATGTCAAGGGACGCAAGGTGGTTGTTGGAGAAGAGCCGGGAACATGGGCCAAGGTCATTAGCTACGACGACGAGGTGGAGCTGGATGTTCACAAGGGCCACCACGGACCTATCTGGTCCATCGCCTTTTCGCCCGATGGCAAGCTTTACGCAACAGGCTCAGAAGACGGAACCATCAAGATGTGGAAGAACTGCGATGGGTTCTATGGCTTATGGAGAGGCGGTACGGAGCGATCTGCGGAGTAGAGAGACACAGATCGCAGCTTCGCCTCTTTATCAGACGCGGCACGGACCTCGAGCCGATGCTTCACGCCAGGTAGCGGCCAATCCGAAGACTTGATCTGCTGCGACGTGATAGTGCCTCCAACGGAGAGCTCCCTCGCCAAACTCAATTCCCTTGACGAGAGCTACGGTGGCAGCGGCAACGTGCGACGGCGTGCATTTGCGTCGTCCAAGGGCTGAAGGCTGCTCCGGAATGCCATCAGAGGATTGACGCGGTAGAAGATGTGAACAAGTCGTGCCGCCGACATCATCCTCACCCATGGGCGAGATGACTAGATGCATGTTTTTTCCTATATTTATACGAAAAGCATGTGCCTAATTTTTACACATAGTTAGACATAGAGCTCCGTTTTGAGCCACCTAGTTAACCTTGTATGATAGTAACAAATCAATGGAATAATAAAGAGACTAACTAGTGTTGACTATGCAATTCTAATGCTTCCTCATTTAATTGATGTATAATTTTTTTTTTTTTTTTTACCATACTTGAAAAGATATTTTGGACCTCGGAGATGCAGGCTTACCCTCCACTGTTGCCATGTACCCATGTACCTCGCCCTCCGCAAATCGCCCAGCGGTCCGGAAAAATATTGTTGCTACACTGTCCGCAATCTGCCCCTCCCCCTCCATTTGCCCAGCCAAAAGATTGAGTCACCTTTGAGAGGCCGATTTCGACAAAAAGGCAGCGCCAACGATCGTCACCCGAGTCGCAAAGACGACACAAATCACAGCATCATGGCTCCCGCATCCGCTGACCCAGCCGGCGATCTCGCCCTCCAGGTGCTCCAGGCATTGGCCAACACCGACCAGATTCTCTCGACCGAGGCTTTCCCCAGCGTGCCCTTTGAGACCCTCAAGGCTTCTTTGGACCGCCTTTCCTCACGGTCCATGGTTGTCTACGAGCAGATTGAGAGACAGGAAGCGATTCTAGAGGCTGAGGCTGAGGAGATTGTCCAGCATGGAAGCCACGAGGCTCGTGTCTTTGAGGCCGTGCACAAGGCCCTTGGCGGTCTCTCCATCTCAGACCTGGAGACCGCAATCGGCGACAAGATTGTTACCAAGGTTGGCCAAGGAAAGGCCTTTAGGGAGAAGTGGATCAAGAAGGACGATAACAAGCTTGTTGCGCTGGTTAGTTTCTGCTGGAGAGAGAGAGCAGAGAAAAGAGCCGGCGACGTGATCTAACCCTGCTCTATCTAGGTCGACTCTATTGAAGACGTAACGAGATCGCAACTCCGCTTCATCAAGGAGACCAAGTCGCACGACAGCAAGATTATTGCCGACCTGAAGAAGCGAAAGCTCATCACCACCGCAAAGGTCATTTCCTTCAAGATTTCCAAGGGACCCAAGTTTGCGCTGGAGATTGTCAAGGAGGAGACGGATTTGACGGCCGACATGCTGGCGTCTGGAGCGTGGAAAACGGCCAACTTTAGTAAGTGGTCCTGCTTAAAGCATGGAAGTACGGTTTGCCGCAGGACACAAGGACTAATCTTTGGTATAGAGCCATACAACTTCAAGGCCTTGGGCGGGCACCAGGTCTCTGGAGCTCTTCACCCTCTCAACAAGATGAGACACGAGTTCCGGTTAGTTGGCTAAATCTAGAACAATTGGTGGGATTTTACTTGTATGGAGGGGTACTAACTGTTTGATTTTATTACAGACAAATCTTCTTCGAGACTGGCTTCACAGAAATGCCTACCAACCAGTATATCGAGACTGGTTTCTGGGTATGTATTACCCTTTGGCACTTAAAAGAAACATGAAATTTTTAGATGCTAACGTTTTGAACTAAATAGAACTTCGATGCTCTCTTCGTCCCTCAAGTATGTCGATAACGAAGAACTATAGCTCCTATCTTCTTCTTAGCATCACTAACGACAAATAGCAACACCCTGCCCGTGATTTGCAAGATACCTTTTACATCTCCGACCCCAAGACAGCCGGCCGCCCCGGTCCCGTCTCTGCCGACGATAAACAAAACTACGACGAATACTTTGAGAACGTAAAGCAGGTGCACGAGAACGGAAAGTACGGCTCCATCGGCTACCGATACCCGTGGGCAGAGGAGGAGTCATTAAGGTATGTGCTTCCTGGGATAAATGTGTATTACAATTCAAGTATCGTGCTAACAGGCCGCAGACTTGTTCTCCGTACTCACACCACATCTGTTTCGGCTGCCATGTTGCACAAATTGGCGGCAAAGAAGGGACCTGATGGCCGTGTCCCTCCTGTTCGCTACTTCTCCATCGATCGCGTTTTCAGGTAATTATCGATGCAATAGTTCATATATGAAGATGGCGACTTACCGTGTTTACAGAAACGAGGCCGTTGACGCAACACATCTGTGCGAGTTCCACCAGGTAGAAGGTATAGTTAATTTGACATGAAACTTCGAAATTTTGGTTATTAGTCGAAAGCTCACACACAATAACTAGGTGTTATTGCCGACTACGGATTGACCCTTGGAGGTCTGATGGAGTTCTTCGAGACCTTCTTTGCCAAGATGGGCCTGACAGAGTGAGTACATCATTTAATCTTAACTAAGCCAGCGATTTAATACTAATATGCACATTGCAGTCTCAAATTCAAGCCAGCGTAAGAAACAATAACTCTCATGCTGGAGTTTACCTGGACATCACTAACAAAAGAAATAGTTTCAACCCCTACACAGAGCCTAGTATGGAGCTTTTCAGCTACCACAAGGGTCTGAAGAAGCTTGTAGAGGTAAGGAAACCATGACCTTGATACCTTCAACGTATCTATAATGCTAATTGGGGAATTACGCACAGATTGGCAACAGTGGCATGTTCCGACCGGAAATGCTCGAGGCCATGGGTTTGCCCAAGGATCTGAGAGTGTACGGATTCGGCCTCAGCTTGGAGAGACCGACCATGATCAAGTACGCCATTTCAAATATCCGTGAGCTGCTTGGTCACCAAGTAGACTTGAACTTTATCGAGAGGAACGCCGCCGTGCGACTGGACAAGGATTAGATGATGGAGCGCATATAGAAAGCAAGTTGAAACGGCATATGATGGAAGAAAAAAAGACCAATGTTTGGACGGAGGAGGAGAGAAGAAAGAAAAGAAATAAGAAAGGCAGATTCGGAATGTCGCCGTTTTGGCCACGACGTTCCGATCGGACGGCAGCAACGATGTAACGACACGGTTTGGTTGCAGAACGCAAAGCCAAATCTCATCAATGCACTAGAATTTTGAGTCGCTGAGATACAAAGGAAAAAAAGATCAATCATGGTACTATTACCCGTAGTACCAAGTCTCATTCCATAAAACGGGCAGCGGTGACTGTATTTCCGGTCGAGCGTCTTTACTAATGCCCCAATTAGAGGGGATATACGGAGCACTATGTGCTTCAGATTATGGAGATGGATATAAAGTTATTCCGTCGCTCACGGGGAGGGAGAACTTGCCTATATTCTCGTCATCCAGCTGAGTTGAAGCTTAAGAATCCAAGGCTTCATGCGAAAAGTTGCCTGTTTCGGAATGTGTAAGTGGGGTTGTTCGCGATCCCGGTGGCGTCAACAGGGATCGATGGTTAGCATTAAGACCGGAGTTACGGGATTGGTCGAATTATTATCATGGCATTTTTTGGCATGTACGGAGTAGTTGAATCATCTTTGGTCATCACAGTTCTAAAGGAATTAGTAACTATAGCAAATGCGAGCCATTGAGAATAGGTAACAGAGCGGACGTACGTAGACCATGGAGTTGGTTGTTTCGTAATTGCTCCAGATTTCTGAGCTTATGAATTGTCTCTCAGGAGATGGACATCACGAAGTGTATAAAGCAACTCGTTTCCTCGTGAGGTAGGATAACTTCTTATACTCACCATCAAAAATCGCAGAACTCGCACTTGTTTAGTACACCTTTTATACAACCAACGCAAAATGTCTTCTTGGGCTATTGTCGGAGCCACTCGTGGCATTGGAGTAAGTGATGGACCTGCGATGTGAACTTGTGTGCTCTTTCCATGAAGCTAATCATCGTACAACCTAAATAGTTCGAATTTGTCAAGCAATTGGTACGTTGCTAGATGATGTCGCTGTGGTGACTTGAATGCTTACCTATAGGCCAGTCCTCTGATTCCAAGAACACGGTTATCGCTTTGATTCGAAGCCAAGCTACGGCCGGTCAGTTGAATGAGCTGGCTGCAACTCGCAAGAATATCCACATCATTGAAACGGACATTTCTAGCCTCTCCAGGCTCGAGGAGACTGCAAACAGCATCAGCAAGGTCACCAATGGCAGCCTGGATGTTCTGATTTACAACGCGTACTCTGCCGGAACTGACGAGGCCAAGCTTTTGCCGCCTTCCGCCTTGTGAGTATTTCGTTATTCCTTGTCGATATTTGCCAGGCACTAGAGAGACTGATTGCGTCAAGCCGCGGAAAGGAAGATGCTTTCAAGCGAGAAATCGACGAATCTGTAAGTCTTATTACCGGATCAGAAGCCAATTCACGTATACTCACCCTGTAAACAGTTGTCTGTGAATCTCTTCCAGGCTGTGTATACGATCAATGCACTGCTCCCTTTGGTCGAGAAGAGTCAGCAAAAGAAGATTGTCTACATTTCATCAGGAATTGGCGATATCCCTACCACTCGCGCCACCGAAATGCCTAACCTCCTTGGATATTCCGTCAGCAAGGCCGCTGGAAATATCATCATGGCCAAATACGCAGTCGAACTCAAGGCCAAGGGCATCCGGACCCTCGCTATGAGCCCTGGTTGGGTGGAAACCGACGCTGGTAAGTGTTTGTCATGCTTGGTAACCGAGTTAGCCGACTTTTGCTGACATGATCTGGCAACATTAGCTCGCGACATTTCCAACTCGCCTGAGGCCTTCCAGTGGATGCTCAGCTCGTTCCAGAAAATGGACCCAAGAGTCAAGGGCATGATCTCGACTGAGCAATCTGTCAAGGCCCAGTTGTCTGTTATTGGTTCTCTTGATGAGAAGCTTAGCGGCGCGTTTGTTTCTCACAACGGCAACGATAAGGACTGGTTTTAGGCCTCATTACGGCCGCTTCTTGATGCTTATTCGCTTTTTGCGATCGGACGCGCGGGCAACAAACTCGCAAGGAATAGCTGTCTTATAGTTGGCTAAAATTAGCAGAATAAATAGCATTATTATCAAGGAAAGCTCTTACCTTTTGTGAATACGTGTTGCATTTGTTCCCGAGAACAAGTGATTTAGATTCAGGGCCATTCGTCAATCTCGTCAGGGCTACAAAGAATGGGGCCTCCATCTAGTTCACCCTGTCAGTGCTCAAAGAACATGATACCGCTATGTTGTGTTCAAATTCTGGGTATGCCGTCATTATCTGTTCGGAGATCGGTTGGTCGCTGGGGTAGCTTCTCTTTGTTCCTGCCAATGAAGATAAGCGTAACGCCTGAATTCGGTTCATTGCTACCCTTTGCTGCAGCGAGTCCATTTCAGGGAAGCCTTGTGTCGTTGACTGGCGTTGGATATGCCCAGAAAAGAGACTCTCCAGCCAAGGGAGCTTCCATGCCATTGTTTACCCCGGTCGAAAGGCCCACAGATTCCCGATGTCTCTCTACCGCCACTTTAAAAACTTCCTCTTTTGGTATGTGTAGGTGGAGTACGGACTTCGTGGCTGATGTGTCGACTAAGAGGCAATTAGTCAGAAAGCTAGATTAAACCTCGAGGGACAACCATCGACGCTCTCTCACCATAAACAAAGTGCTGCCAAGAACGTCTTCTAAGATTGATTCTCAAATTCCTGAGAAGATTAGTAACTGAGAATATGAAGGGAAGCAATTCTGCAAGTGAGCCACAGCTCAAGATACGAATCCGTCGCTGGAGACAATACCAGCCGACAAAAAGCCTAGCGAACGACGATGGGTGTGGCAAGACGGCTTCGGAGTCATCAGATGCGCATCTGCCATCTGGGCATCCATCTTCACCATTGACAAAAAGAGTGGGAATCGAGTTCATTAACGCAGCACATCCCCGAGATGCCACTTCGGCAGTGGCCGTCTCTAGCATTCGATCGCATGCAGCTCGGGGTGTTCATGCTTCCCGGCGCGCATCAGCCCTGCCACTAAGTAAGGATTCGAAGGGAAGAGGAGCACAAGTGGATACTGGAAAAGTTTCCCAAGTGGTCGTCGTTTGGCCCGCTAGGCTGAATATTCCCCGATTCGAATGGTTGTTCCAAGGGAGCAGACCTATCACAAAGCTTGAGTATTTCCTCTTGGACTACTGTAGGTGATCCTAGGCGAACGGTTTTGAACTCACATAAAGCTAACTTGATGTAGACGTCAAATCTGTCATTCCAGAATCTCGGGATTGGTGTGACCATGGCGAGGGGGAGCTTCCATTCTTTGAGACCGCGAGCCAACATTGGCTCCCCTTTATCGTCTCGGACGATGGCATGCTAGCCGGGGTCTTTCTTTCTGCATGTCGTAATCTTGTACGGCATGAGCGGCGAGGACCAGTCGATTGTGATTACGCACATGTGGCAACCATGTACAAAGTGGAGTGTATCAGATCTGTTAACGCAGATATTGCTACAGAACAATGTTCTATTAGCAATGCGTCGACTGCAAAAGCGCTAATGTTGTGCAGCGATGAGGTAAGTTTATCCTGCATTTGATATTTGATAAGAAACCTGCCGTGGTGGAAAGTCTAATGCGTTTGATTGTAGGCTCTGTGCGAGAATGAGGCGGCTTCGTTCCAGCACTATGAAGGCATGAGGCAAATGATTCAGCTGAAAGGAGGCTTACCAAACTTTGGCGTTGCAGGGTTCTTGCGCAAAGCCTTCAAAGGGTGTAACATGTACCAATTTTTCGGGAAGCCACATCTTGAATATGCCAGATGAAACGGAGTCGAGTCCATGCTGCAGACTGCTGGAGCAGGCAGGGGAGCCGACAGGACGAGAATGCTTCAATGTTCCTTACGATGATGTTTTGTCATCAGGAAATGCCAAGTGCGAGCTGGAGAGAGTTTTTCGCCATCGAATTTTTGGAAAATGGATCTTCAAGATTTGTGGAGGGCGGCTTGGGGGCTGGAGAATCACGGTCGTGGCTTGCTTGATGCTTTGACTCTTGTTAGCGATCGCGATTTGCCTCGTGTCCATTCGCTTGGGATGGGGATACAAGAAGCTGTTCCATTACGGAGCAGTTTTCGGTTGTAATGTGGGAGAGGCCGCTTCGGAAGAGGAAATTCGGGAAGATTAATTTTGGAAGATGGATTTTGGGAAGATGATGTAGCAGCCAAGATGAGCGTGTGCCTACGCGTTCGGGCAGGAGTGTCTTGATAGCCTTGGTACGTACAGACGTGTCAACCAAAACTAAGCCAAAATAAATGAACATCATGGAATTTATGTTCAAATAATCCCTAAATAAGCCTAAAAGTACGCAATCTTTCTTTTGCTTTCTTTTTACGTCCTGTTCATTCCATTTTCTTATCGTCTTCTTGATTCTAGAACTGGATAATGCTCCCAACAACACACCTGCGTGTCAGTATCGGATAATTAATCAAGAAATGATTGGATACGGTCATTTCAAAAGATGTGTATGTCGAATGAGGCAGAAAATAGGGGTTTTCAATACATTGTCGTCTATGAGCCTATTCTTGCCACCGACGAGTCTAATATCGCCAATCAAATGTTACGGTGACTAGGGCTTTGTAGGAGCTCTCGCATCAATCAGCCAGAGATATGTCTGATCGAATTCTGCCGACTGGACTCGACGTCACAAAATGTGATTAACTTTCAAATAATCAAAAAAAATTCTTGAGTAGAAAACTATCGGACAAGCCTCGATATATAAAGTTCAGCGGGTGATGATAGACAGTAGGGGATGAAGATATAAAGGGTGCAGAGGCCCCGGAATCCAGCACCTCAAGATGAACCAAGTCCAACATTTCGCAAAAGCTTAGCTATCACGTTCAAAAAGAAGCCGTTTGTCGACTCTAAAAATGTGGCGGGCACGCAGAACAGGAGCCAAAACACGGCCAGTGGGCTTCATTCCACCAGCACCAGCACCAGTAACAGCACCACCAGCACCAGCACCGGTAACAGCACTACCAGAACCAGCATCAGCACCACCAGCACCAGAAGCATCAGCAACACCAGAATCAGCAACACCAGAATCAGCAACACCAGAATCAGCAACACCTCCTCCTCCTCCTCCTCCTCCTCCTCGTGGTCGTCGTGGTCGTGGTCGTCGTGGTCGTCGTGGTCGTGGTCGTGGTCGTCGCCCTCGTCCTTCATCACCACCACCAGCACCACAGATGCCACCGTCACTATCGCCATCGCGATCACCGTCACCACTATTACTGTCATAGTCACCGTCGCCGCCACCACTAGAGCAAGGACAAGGACAACAGGAAGCACCAGAATTCCCACTACTACCATCATGGCGTCCTCGCCCTCCTCGCCCACCACCTTCGCCGAGTCTTCTTCCAACAAGTCCTCCTTTCACACACATGGCTAGGCCTCTCACGAATCCGCCTCCTCCTAGCCCTCCTACTATAGACCCTCATCTTCTTCACTCTTTTACTCGGCATCGTCCTACTCGGCAGCATCCTAGACAGCCTCACCCAGGACGTGCTCGTTCTGTTCCCGCTCGTCCTCCTCTCACTGAGGTTGTCAATTGCGCTATTCCTCATGAGCATCCTATTCGTTCATTTCCTCCCCTTTCATATCCCCGCCCGGTATATCATCATCCAAGGCCTCTTAGCGCTACATGTCCTCGCCCTACGCCAACTCTTCCTATGATGCGCTCTGATTCACCCCCCCCTTGAGGTCTGGAGGCCAAACACTGCGGTGTCGGAGAGCCCAAGCAGCGAGGAAGCTGGCTTGGTATATTGGAAGTGCTGTGCATGTGGTCAGCTGGAAATGCTTTGCGAGCGCATCAGGACTTGCGTTCAAGGGGGCTGCCGACATTTGCACTGCGACCGCTGTACCTTCTATGAGTCTTACAATGGGGATTGAACATTCATTCTCCTTTGTTTTGAGCATAGCAAAACCGACGAAGCACTCCAGCGCCGCCACCTCCGCACGACGACTATGATCTCTTGGTGGTAGCGATAAAGTTCAGTTGGACAGACGTTACTCAGAGCTTGGGCGGGGAGGACTTGCTAGGGACCAGGGCGCCATGGAGAGATTGTACCATGAGACTACTTATGCGACGGAAATTGTCAGAGCGCGGACAGATGAAGAATATGGAGAGAAAGACTGGGAAAAGCATTGCATCTACGCACAACTTTGAAGATGGGGAATGTTGTGAGATGCTCACGATGAGTGTCGAAATGCCACTTGGCAAGTCACTTAGGATGGAAAAGTGCAGCGCCGGGCGACAGGATGGGAATCAACACGGTGGTGATAAACCATTTTATTTGATCTTGATCAAGGGACCAGTTTTTCGCGATGAAACTGTTTGTCCTTGAGGAAATGGTCATGATATTCAACTTCTGGGGGACACTTAACCTGGAGTTGCAATGGAGACGGTAGCAGGGGTGCGATCCTTTGCTGGGTTTTTCTTTTTTGATTGGTATTTTATTAAAGAACATTGTAAATGACGTGCTGAGTCGGAATTAAGCTTAATGAAATAATATACCCTTGTACATATGAAACTTGTTATTCATTGCTTCCCGATCAAAGACTGTGAGTCGGTGGGCGGTTAAATTGCTGTGGAGATCGTGACGGTAATCAGTACTCGCTCACCTAAGCAGCATTAACAAACAGCATCAAGGAAATATCTTATTGGGGGGGTAAATTCGTTGTAAAACACTTGATTTCAAATATCCGGTTGATACCCTTTGTTTAGACGGTATATCGCACATCATTAGAGGTCGTTCAAGTTTCACAACCAACTCATCAGACATCAGTATCGATAGGCATCGCCAGGCAGCAGCCGCCCTGGTTCGCGGCGAGTTTTGATTCGCCTGAGGCCACACCAATCTGGTTGCCTCAACGGAAAAACGATTCGCCTGAGTTGGGAAATCATCGGAAACGTCTCTAATTGGACCACGACTCAATTCATCTCTCGGTTGTGATTCATTGGTTTCTCAACATTGGACGCCGGAATTTGGTGTAAGATGGTTGGCTGGCTTGCGCGATGGAGTGGACCTCGGTCTTCATCAGCGTGTGACTCTTGGGAGAGGGAAAAAAGTATAAAGCTCCATGTTTCCCCTCGTTGATATTCGTTTTGATCTCCTTCATCATCATCACCTTCATCTGTTTCTCCCTCTTTCACTGGTGATACAAAACTGAGCGTTGCTATACTGCGGCTTTGTTTGTTCTTTCTACCCCGCCGCCTCCAAGCATCAGTTGATCATCACCAGACGTCATCCCATCATCACAGTACTTGAAGTATCTTCTTATATCATCATCTCCATTGTCTATTCGGCTTGTCATCTATTGTTGTTTCTTTATCATTTCATCATTGGATTTTCCATCCATCGTTGTTCCTCTATATCTCTCTCAACCATTGACCCACTTCTGATATATCAGATTCCCTCCCCCCTGTCCACATCTCATCTCAAACTAACCTGTCGTTGTCACCCCCTCCCATCCATCCATCGCCATCTGACTTGAGGTCTTACCCACCCCAACACTCAACATCACAATGTTTCGATACAATAACCCCAATGCCCTCCCCACTTGTGGCATCTACATCATGGTCGACAATGATATCAAGTTTCTCCCCATCGTGTCTCTTGATGTTCACACTTCCATTGTTGCCTCAACCTCTCGGACTGTCTTGACCCAGACGTTCGGCACCACAGGTACCTCCCTCAAGAATGTGAAATATGTCTTCCCCCTCTATGATGGCGTCTCTGTCGTGGGGTTTGAATGCACCATTGGGTCGCGCGTGATCAAGGGTGTTGTGAAAGAGAGAGAAGAAGCCAAGCAAGAATACCAGGCTGCTGTAGCAAGTGGCAAAATCGCGGGCTTGCTCGAGCAGTCTTTGGAGGCATCCGATGTCTTCAGCACCTCGCTTGGTAATATCCCCAGCCGCGCTAAGAGTGTCAAGGTTGAGATTACATATCTGGGAGAGCTGAGGCATGATGCTCAGGTGGATGGACTGCGCTTCACCATCCCCACCAAGTTAGCTCCGCGATATGGACAGCATTCCATGACTGGTAGCAACACTTTCCAAGGTGGAAAACACATCACCATTACGGTTGATACTGATATGTCTAGTGGTTCGGCCATCAAGAGCATTCAGTCGCCGTCTCATCCGATCTCTGTCAATATCGGCACCCTTTCCACCGCAACATCTGACACACCATCTTTACAGAAAGCCCACGCGACTCTGTCCCAAGGATCAGCAGAGCTAGACAGGGATTTCATCATCCAGATTGTCGCCACCGGTCTTGGTGATCCAATTGCGGTCTTGGAAACGCACCCTACGATTCCAAACCAGCGGGCTTTAATGGCGACGCTTGTCCCTAGGTTCAACCTGCCCATGGAAATGACTGAAGTTGTCTTTTTGTGTGATAGAAGCGGAAGCATGGGAGGTGGACAAAAGATTCCCAACGTTATTGATGCGTTGAAGATTTTTCTAAAGTCTATGCCTGTTGGAATCAAGTTCAACATTTGCAGCTTTGGATCACACTATGAATTCTTATGGGAGCGTTCCATGACATACGAAGAAGGGACATTGGAAACAGCCATAAACCATGTCAGTGGATTCTCAGCCAACTTCGGCGGTACAGAAATGTACCGGCCGATGGAGGATGTATTCAAGCGACGATACAAAGATTTGAACCTCGAAGTCATTTTGCTCACTGACGGAGAGATTTGGAGTCAGGAAGCCTTGTTCAACCTCATCAATACCCAAGTCTCTGAAAGTAAAGGTGCTGTTCGAGTCTTCACCCTGGGCGTAGGAACAGATGTCAGCCATGCCCTGATTGAAGGCGTCGCTCGCGCAGGCAATGGATTTGCTCAGACGGTGGGAGAAAACGAAAAGATGGACAGGATGTTGATCCGAATGTTAAAGGGGGCCCTGACTCCTCACATTACGGATTACACGCTTGAGATCAAGTATGAGAATAATGATGGCTCGGCAGAAGAGAATGATGACGACTTTGAAGTTATCGAAAGGGTCATGGATGCGATGACCTTGGAGGTACCCTCCTCGGGACAAGCGGAAGAAAGTCGCACTCAACAATCCCAGCAACCCATCTCTCTGTTTGACCAGAGTGTCCAAGACACCGACTTGGAGATGTCTAATACCTCCAATTCAGTCAAGGCGAAACTTCCACCCCTGACTGTTCCTCGATATCTCCAGGCCCCGTTCCAAATCCCACCTCTGTTCCCATTCAATCGCACGAGTGTCTACGTCTTACTCTCAGACTCGACACCAAATCGTCAGCCTAAGAGTGTTATACTCAAAGGCACCTCTCTCCATGGTCCACTTTCACTGGAAATTCCCATTGCGACTCTTACGGAGAGAGGTACTACCATTCACCAGTTGGCAGCCCGAAAGGCCACCAGAGAGCTCGAAGACGGCCGCGGTTGGATATTTCACGTCAAGAATCAAGATGGCAAGCTGTTGCAAGAGCAGTTTGACGGCCAATTCAGCGACATGGTGAAGAGAGAGGCTGTCCGTCTGGGGACGCAGTATCAAGTCAGCGGCAAGTGGTGCTCATTCGTTGCCATCCAGGATACTGATAGAAATGCCCACACGGGAGAAGAAGGCGAGGAAAATAACGATGATGGCGACGAAGAAGATGACGACGGAAATGAAGAGACGGACGACTTTGAGGAGCTCTCGTTTGATGAAATCGCAGCTCCAGGAGCCCCTGCCCAGAAAAAGAAAGCTCGCCGGGGTCCTCTCCAGACTGCGCGCAAGTCTACTGGTGGTAAGGCTCCGCGTAAACAACTTGCCTCAAAGGCTGCCCGAAAGTCCGCACCGTCTGCTGCTCCTGGTAAACTTCTCGGAAAGGGTGCCGTCAAACAGCAAAGAGTTGCCTCTCCACAGGCTCAGGGGCTACCTCCAATGGCTCAGCAGAAACCTATTAAAAAAACTCCGCAGCAAATGGCACAGCTACAAATGTTACAGCAACAGCAAATGCTACTGCAACAGCCAATCGCAGAGCAACAAAACAGACGGCGACTACTGATGGTGCCACAGGAGATGATGCCGGCGGGGATGCAACCGCTGGCTGGAGCACAAATGGCGGGTGGTATGCCAACCCAAAACCTAACGCAACAACAGATGGCGCACCAGCAGATGGCGCAACAGCAGCAACAGATGCGGGCGCGGATGCAGATGCAGGGTCAAGCAGGAATGCTGCAACAGAGCACAACTCGCTCTGGGCGTCCATTTGGCTTATCCGCGACTGCTATGGGAGGCGGTTTTGGTACTAGTTCTTCTGGTGGTTTGTTCGGTTCTGCGAATAATACTACCCCAACTACTGGTAGTTCTTCGTTTGGAAATCCTCCTCCTATTTCTCCTCATAGTGGCATGTTTGGTGGTCCTTCTGCTGCTGCGTTCCTTCTAGGGAACACTTCTGCTCCAGCAACTGGTGGTTCTTCGCTTGGCAGGTATGCTTCTGCTTCTTCTTCTGGTGGCTTGTTTGGTAGACCTACTAACTCCTCCCCTTCCGGTGGTTTGTTTGGTAGTTCCAGTAGCCCTTCATCTTCTGGTGGCTTGTTCGGTTCTGCGAACAGTTCTGCTTTTGCGCAACAACCGACGAGTGGAGGCCCCTTTGACCTCGACAACAGCGAAATCGATGTGCTGTCAACGTTGTCTACTTTGCAAACTTTTGCTGGCAATTGGCAGTGGAACCCCAGTCTCGAAGGTATTCTAGGAGTTACTCCATTGACTGCAACTGTGAAGATTCAGTTACCTGGTCAGTATACCCAGCATATGGATGTGTTGGCAACGCTTTGTGCTGTGGTATTCCTGAAGAAGAAGTTGGCGTCTGAAAAGGATTCTTGGGAGCTGCTTGTGCAAAAAGCAGAGGATTGGCTGAGGGCCCGGACGGGGGCAGACGTGCTGGATTTAGAGAAGCAGGTGGAGGAGAAGTTATTCCTAAACTGAGGGCTTATGAATTATGAATCAAGGGAAATGGTCAATGGTACTGAAATATGAATTGTTTCTATTGGGGTAAGGGATGTTGGGCCATGAGACAATGGTACTGAAATATGAATTGTTTCTTTTGGGGTAAGGGATGTTGGGCCATGAGATAGAGCAAGTGAAGATATCTTACTCTAGTATCTGCTACTACTGGTATATCTTTCTAGTAGCTTCTGCTATTGGTATATTTCTTTAGTATCTGCCACGATAGCTATATTTCTCGATGGGTAGTGAGGTTCCTAGAATTGATGTTCATCACTTATAAACTTGGTTGAAGACTTGTGACATGATGCTGTATAGCAGAGTTGGGGTGCTGACTAGTATTTCTCTATCTAAATATATGAAGATTGCTTTATAATTTACACTTTATGTGCTGCTTGATCAACTCAATATACTGGTGGATAACTTCCGAAGAAGAGCTGAATAACAAGGGTTTGAGAGCGAGGTAAGAAATGTTATTTGGTATAAGACCGTTGAGGTGTTAGTGTATCATCGTAATATGGAAGCCTCATTCATGGGTAGGCACATTCCCCCTTGCTTTTTGTATAGCAAGCTCCCCCAGCCTGGCAAGCTCCATTGAAAAGGCATCCAGGAGTTTCAGGTGTGTCAATTCAGCCAGCGTGAGCTTTCGTATGGGGATGCTTCTGAATAGCGTAGGGGCGCTCTTGAGGATTTCGAGATCTCCGGGAGCGGTTTCGTCGAGAGGGCTTGAGAGAATATTGGAAAACAGAGAGAGGATAGCGCTGATGGGGTAATAGATGATGACCCTACACGGAACATGGCGTCAGTATTTGCTTAGTTTCTTGAGACAATACTAATCAAGACAGAAGAAAGTGTGATCTAACATACCAGAAACAATCGTCCGTTATGACGTGGAGAGCTACGCGCAAGTATACCAACGTCGATCTGCTAGCATCGAGAGAGAGGTTGAAACTGGATCGTACGCCCTCGTGATAGTTGCCTGGTGACTGGGTCATGCACCTTCCGCTCGCTCGATGAACAATTGCGACAAAGTGGTAATATGCCAACCGAACCATGGAGGACTGCATGCTGACATCTGCGCTGACAGGGGTCGTCTTTCCGAATGTGAGTGTTGGGCGGAAATCGGGCGGAAGAGACAGACGCCACTGCTCAAGGGATTCATCGAGGACACGGATACTTTCCAAAAGTTCACATTGAGACTTGCGGTGCGCCATGGGCGAATACAGAGCGTCATAGGCTCGGGACTTGAGCTGAGAGAGCAGCAGTTCCCAGGGATACATGGGGACGATTCGGTTACCAAGGTTAGGGATGGTGTGGCTCTGGATGTGGCGGTTTTGCATTACGGAGTAGTCAGGAGGTAGTGTAAGGTCGCAATGGACGTCTGACAGACACGATGGCTGACCAGTACGGATGCAGAGATCTTTGTCAAGGGAGTAGCAGGTCCAGAAGAGATCGCGGAGATGGTGCGTTCGATCGTTCTTGTCATAGACTGGCGAGGTCGGCGGTGAAGATGCTTGATTTGATGATGATGGTGAAGAAAAGTATGATCTGGCAACATCTTGAGGGTTTGCGTGGGCCTTGAGGGCAAAGATAAACCGTGTGGCAATAGATAAGAACAGGCCCATAGACTGGAGGTCGCCCAAGAAATAATAGACAATGGCCTAATGTGGGTAATCAAGTGTTAGACAGAATGTACCATGGTTTTCCACACCTTCGATGGGTAAGGAGGTCAAGCACTGCTTGAAGTAAAGGGAGAATGTGTTTTAAAAATAAATCATGTTGCCAGAAAGGGGCTGGAGCATGAACGTACTAACGTGATGAGGGTTTGAAGGCCATCCCCTGTCATTTCTTGCGTAACCTGGGGTATTAAAGACCTGGCTGCTGCCAAATACGATTCACAGGACATTGTCGCAGCAGAATCATCTTCAATATGCAAAATAGAAGCCACAGCCAGAAACGAGTAGACGCACGCTCTAGCAGAAATGACAGAAGGGGAATCAAGCGAGGAATATGCCAAGTCGAGAGTCTTGACAAAGAGACCTTCACTCAGGACGGGAAAGATGAGGCATATGGTCGAAGAGCAATAGGCCGCAGCATATCTCTCCAAAGTCGATCTTTGAGGGAGCTCACAAGGCTGAGCGTTGGCAGCTATTGTATCCGAGTCTAGATACAGACGGCGAGGACTGTGCCATTGGCGACCAAATGAGCAGAGGGTCTGAGGCGTCATACGGCTTCCAGTGCGTGATTCGATCCATGCTTGACCTTTCTCAGAGAAGAGCGGGATGCCTGTAAACGAGGTTGCATTGCGGAGGTCGGACTGAGACGAGGTCAAGTATTCAAACTGGGTATCTGTGGAAAAGTTAGACCAAGATGTGAACAGATGCCGGGAAAAACTAGACATGTAGAGGTGAACACAGAGAGAGGGGTGTACGCAAAGAACAAGGTGCTTAGGCCGTATTATACTCGTACGAACAAGCACTCCTTCTAAAGGATAACACAGCACAAGTACAAACAAGGCTAGAAGAAAACGAAGAACAGAGAGGTGTGGCAATGCTATACAATATGCCGCCATGGTAGGTAGTAGAAACGACAAGGTGCATAATGCCGAGATCGGCGAGCAAGGCTTTGCCTCTTTAATCAAGAGGATCAGGAGACTTACCATCATCGTGCTGGGATAACCGTTGAGCTAGAATAACCTCCATTCTGGTAATGGAATCTGGCGTTTGGGCTACTCTCTGATCCGGGCTTCTCAAGGCGGGTCAGTAGCTGGCATGACGCCAAGGAATGGTAGATCCGCATGGCCGTACTCGGCACGAGCTGGGGATGAGGCTACGAATGAGGGATGGCCTTACCTCTTCTTCTTGGTATTTGCCACCAATCGGCGGTAGGTGCAGGCTAGGTCATGGTGTTTACACCAATTGCATTGTGGAACGTCGGCATCGCATTGGATCTATCATGCCGGTCTGTCAGTTGGTTCCTGGCCCGAGACTTGCCTTAATCGGAGCAATCCTGCTTCTCCATTGGCCCACCAGGGCGGGAAATAAAGTCGACAGACGCATTTAACGTGTACTGTCTCTCGTGTTCAAGATCCACTGGCTCTGGGGGAAACGCACCTTTCTCCTGGAGCACGAATCACACGCCTTTGCACGCCGTCCCCTGTTTGATTTGCGAGGCGCCCTAGCATCCATAGCGTCTTAACTGGAGCCAAACAAGGCTACTTTTCCGATAGAATGAGCTTATTGAAATAAATCAGACAATGACCTGAGACTGCGGGCGCGGAAGACAGGAGATCTGGGAGCAAGAGATGGCTCTCTGAATCGTTGAATCCTGGGGAGTTTGGCGATTTGACCGCTGAGTCAGCGGATTTCGGAATCATCCCCTGCAGCTCACGATGTGTCGTGCAGGGATTTGGTGGCTGATATCCTTGTTACTGTGCTTGAAGAGGAAGAGCTGCATCGCGTCCGAAGCGAACCTAAGATGGATTAATAAGGCCGATGGGATGATGAGAGAAAAGAGAGTACGCACATGCAATGCCAGAGTCACGATTCGTAAGAAAGAGAAGAAAAGTAAAATAAAAGCAGGTGGAAGGAGAGAAGAGCAGAGAGATGGTAAAAGGTGAGATTGCCAAGGCTGCACTCACTTTATGCATTTACTACCAGTTATTGTGTTAAGGGAATTTTATCTTCCGTGTGTGTCCGCTTACTTTGATTCTTCTCCAAGGCTAAACCACAACCGGACATCTCTTTGACTTCTACCACAACCTCAGCTCTTGCCCATGCTCAACCTCTTTTGACTATGGAAAACGCCACACAAGAAGCCTCAGATTAGCGAGTCCAGTCACAATTTCTGTCCGGTGTCACCTCTTCCATCTTCCATCTTCCATATTCCATATTCCTTGCTACTTTGCGATACCACCCAACTATCCTAGCTTGGATGTCGTCGTGTGACACATCCGAACCTTCCATCAACCGCAGGTAAGATGCACTACCGGGCCGAAGAAGGGTAAGTTCAAGTGTTATGTCTATTAATCTTGCTAGGCTGGTTCGTTAACGTTACTAGAACCACGTCTGACTCTAAACAACTCGACAACTCTATACTCTACCTATGATGCTTGTCAAGCCAATTCGACACACACCGGTGCTTAATGAACCCATGCAGAAGGATTCTCGCCTGATTCAATCTTGGCTATCAACTCCTCCTTGTTCTCAAGGACAAACTCCTCCCACGTCTTCAACGATAGACCGGGAATCTGCACGCATTTGTCGTTAGCATTATACGGAGATAACCGGCTACCAAGTAAGTGTCAAAACCCACCTCATGTGCTTGAATGAAATCATGGCTTGCGTAAATCTGCCCAAAATACTCGAAAATCAAAAGCTGCTCCGTAAAGTCCAGAGCCGACTCGGGCGACAGGCCGACACTCTCCAGCCGTTTCTGGAACTGCTCTGGAGTTGATTTCCGGTACTCGAATGGAATTCCAATTTCTGATCATTTCTCATTAGCTCCACGATCCGTCTGCAGACAACTCATGAAACGTACCCTTTGCCAAGGTGACAAGCTTTTCGCCCTCCGATATACCCTGGGCATAAAACGCAATTGACTTCTCAAAGTAGGTCTTTGGGTTCTTCACAACCGTACGGACAAGTTTACCCGTATCGGTGATGGCTACGTTTGGCAAGAGTGTGCCAGGGCCGACTGGAAACTCGCGCACAAGCTTTCCAGAAATCTTGATACGAGAATCGTTTAGCTTCTGTCTTCTATGTCTCTTCAATCTGGACGTAAACGGAGACTCACCTTTTGCGGCAAATACCCCCGAGGGTCAGTCAAGCAGTTCTCAAAGTAGTTGGGGAACAGAATCGTCGTCGTCTTCTTCCAAAGATCGGGCTTCTGCTCCTTGATGTACTCAGTCACGTCCGCCTTGCTCTTCCAATGATGGACATGGTAGAATCTTCCCTGAGAAAGCTCCATTGGATCAGGGAGGGCGCTCCAAACGAAATGCTCCAGCGTCGGGATCTTGGCAGCAGCATCGGCCAAAGCCTTACCCTGGGCGATCTCAACGACTTTGGATCTCGAAGCCCAGAAATCAGTCAGGGCAAAGACGATGCTAGCTCCGGCAAAGATCTTTTCCAGTGCCTCGGGGCCGTCGTTGAGGTCTGCAGCTTGGACATCCACCCCTTTTGCAGAGAGTTGCAAAGCAGCGGGCTTGGAGACATCACGCGTGAGACCTTTGATACGATACTCGTTGGGGTACTTGAGAAATTCTTCAACAACAGACCCTCCCTAACCCAGTCTCAGGTTAGATGCTAGATGGACGTGTCCGGATGGGGGATTGATATACAAACCTGTAAGCCAGTAGCACCCACGACAACAACTGTTTTAAGAGACATTCTGAGCTAATGTTTGTTGCTTTGCCTGGAAGTAGTTTCTCGATGCTGATGTGTTTCCAGATGTTTTTCGCGGATTGGAATCCGGGAGATGATCCTTTTATATTTCACCACCAGCCCCAGTCAACATGTTCCAATTCCGCAATTTCGACCAAGTAAGCGGAAGACGTGCGGCTCTGCTTTACCGGCAGCTTGAGATTCGAGTCAGGATTCTGTTGAGAATTTCCGACATTCTGTCAACCCTTGCCTCGCGCTGTATATCTAGACATGGGGATGTGCCTCTATGCTCTGCAATGTGACCCCTGACGTTGCATCCAAATGCCGTAGCGCCGGCTGGAGATCTTCTCAGCCGGCGCCAACACCAACACGAACGGCAGCTATCGGCCGTCCTAACTCTCCACTGCAGACCATCTATGTTACTCATTAATGACCAGTCTACACTTGTCTGGAAAAGATCTTATCCGTCGAGAGCTTGTGCTTCCCCGATCTCATGCTCGGCCTCGGATTTTAATAGTTGTGCGAGCCTTCGTTTTTCGGATTGGTCCCCACACAGACTCCTCCATACCCATCTCAAATTTTGTATATGCGCATGGTCTGTGGATTCTGATTGCTAATCTATAGCATATTTAGGTAATACAGAAGATCACAAGTCCTACTCTCGTTCCACAACAAGTCATCATGGTCTGATGACTCAGTACAGGACATAACACGTCAAACGAATTTCCCGATTACCAAGGAATCTCCCCACCGTCCAAGTCCAAAAACCGGCCCGTGGTCACTTTGGAAGCCGCATTGATCAACTTGATAACTCCATCCGTGCAGTCTTCCACCGTCATAGGCGCCTTTTCGAGCCCTTGAGCCTTGGCTCCACGATTTCCCATATCTGTCTGTACAAATCTAGTAGCATTTTAGAAATCAGATCGTGTTATTACCAATACGCGAATCATCTTACCCAGGGCTGATGGAAAGAGCAATTACATTGCTGTGCTCGATGCTGATCATCTTCATCAAGAAGTTGCCGGCCATCTTGGATATTCCATATTCCGTCGTGGCGGACCATGTGTTGAGCTGACTGATACTAGCCACGTTTGTAGATATGTATACCAGCTTGGGTTTCTCTGAGACATTCAAGAGTGGAATAGTAGCCTTGAAAAGCCGAAGTAGGCCTACGGTGTTGACCTCAAAGTGCTTCAACATCTCTTCCTCGGAGATTTTCGCCACAGGGCCGAAGGTATCGCAAATACCGGCATTGGCAATGACCAGGTCCAAAGATTTTATACTGTATTCAGCTTTGAGAAGAGCAGCCCAGTCGGTAATACTCGAGGCAACATTCATGTCAAATGGGAGTATGATTACCTTGGAGCCTTGCCCGCAAGGTAGGGAGTAAAGTCTTTGTTCATGTTCAGCCGTGACCTGTCGAACCGTTGCAATCACGATGGTATTAGGCCGTAGAAGATATTTGGCTGCTAGAGACGCCCCGATACCTGATACAGCATGGTTTAGCACTTTCTAGTTTGTGGAAGAGGAGGATATCCGTACGCACCTCTGCTAGCACCAGTGATAAGAACGGTAGATTGAGACATTTTCAATAAGACTTTAAACTTTTTGAGTAGTAACACATTTCACTCAAAAAGTAGACAACCATCCTGCGCATTAAATGCTTTTTCACATCGTTTTCACATTTCCCGAGACAACTTCATCTCCATCTCCCAAACCTCAACCATGTCGTGCATTTCATTTTGCGATTACTAAGCGCTGATGGTGATGGGCGTTGTCTTTTGTGCATTGGCTTGTTGCAACGTTCGGGATTCTTTCAAATTCCGAGACTGGATCTCGGATTTTGCTTATTTCCTGTCGTTCACTTTAGTAGAATCATGTCATGAAGTAAGCCTTAAAACCGGGGTCTGGTACATTTCCCGCCTCCTCGTGGGCCAAAAATAGATGACGGCATTGCTGAATCCCAACCAACTTTGACAAGGCGTACGAGATTCCAGTAGGCCTGTCGTGTACAAAGTTGAACATATTATCGGTGATTTCGGGTAGTGTTGTCTTCTTGATGAAAGAGCTGTTTTCTCCGTCATCTAATACAGATGTGTCCAGAGCAGTTGCACTGGTTGCATCACCTGCAGGACAAATCTCGAAACTAGATGTATACAAATGGAGGGAGAAATAGTGGCATTTACGGCACAGCACATGATGGAAATGATAGTGGGATGCCTATCAAATATAGCCAAATTGAGTTATAAGGAATTTCTGTCCGGGCTACTCGCAATAACGGGTGAGTTGAACAACAAAGCTCGGCTTCATGCAGAAGCGCCAAAGGCGATGATGCTAGCGCCGAAAACACTTTCAAGTGCTATTTGGCAAAATCAACTTATCATTCAAAGGAGATTACACTTCTAACAAAGCAGCAGTACTGTTTGACAAAATATGTGGGATCTCAATGTCTGTCCTTTCCTCCTCCTCCTCCTCCCCCCCACTCTCCTCCTTTTCCTCCTTCCGTCACTCTTTTGCGTGTGTGTGCTTGTAGACCTAGCTAGGCGAAAGGACAAGGCCTTAGTCAGGCGTTGCTGGGAGATATGCCCACTCACCAGAGCCGTCAGCGTCAGTCCAAGTACATGAGAATGAGACGTAAGGGCTGTTCGCAATGTCGTTCATGTTGGCTGTGTATATCTGAACGACTTCTGGAGGGAAATCGGCCGCAGTAGCAACTCATCTAGAACAATCCTTGGCCACGGTGACAAAATCTACATGACCGCCCAAGTACCAAATGGCCAGCGCAGTCATCATGCTGTCGAATTTGTCAACTTCCTGGGCCTTGACTGTTTTGTTGAAACTGGAGGTGAATGCCATGCCAAGAAAGCTGTCGTAGTTAGAGCTTGATCAAGCGTGCTGAACAGAGGCAGCAGCCATGAAGGCATCTGTACAAGCTGAATAACAGGGGACTGGATGTAATTAGTATAAATAGGAAACCCTCTGCCTGATCAGTCTAGTAGGGAAGTAAGCTGATTGAACATACATTTCAACAAGGCGAGGGGACGTGGCCTTGGTTAGGCGAGAATGTTGGTATCCTTCTCGTCAAAGACCAGCGAGGACGAGGAAGAGGACGAGGAAGAGGACGAGGATGGAGACCAGGATTCATCTGCATGGCTTTGCAGAGCTCGTGACACATCAGCCTTGTTTGCCATGGGACATTGGGCCTTCTCTTCAGGCCTATTCGGAGTGATGTCCAACTCGTTAAACTGTGTCGAATATCTTTGCATTCTCGCATGCGTATTCGGCTTCGCGCGGAAAGCATTGTTATGCTGCTGTTCAATACGCTTACCACTTGATGTGCCTCTCAAAAACGATGAGGATTGTGTGGCAGTGAATGGCTCTGGACGACCGCTCATGGGAGGATGCGGTTTGACGGGCATGGGCTGAATATTCTCATGAAGGACAGAGTCATTGACAACGACTGGGCTGCTTTTTTCTGACACGCTGAATTGTCTTGACAGACTAGTCTGGGTGCCTTTCTGCCAGCAAGGTCAGCTGGCTGGGTCCTCTAGTAGCACCCCGGCCAGCCAGCCCTTGCCGACAGAAAGGCTGCCATTGGCCTCGACACACACTCCGTCGCCCCAGGAATCTCGACAGCAAGGTGGCCTCAGCATCATTATACCTCCTGCCACCTCGGTGCGTCATCAATCCCCGTGCTTTTAGAGTAGTAGGCAAGAAGCCTTCGCCTCGATTTCCCCAATGTTTCGGACCTCCCGCAGGAAGGACGGCGTAGGAGGGATGGGAAAAGCTTTCTGCCTTCGTTAGTATGGTGAATACGTTTTGAATGGATGATAAAAACCTCTCGAGAAGGAAGATTGGCTAGCTAGACGATCTTTATGAGGGAAGAGGCGGCTCATGAGAGATGCGCCGTAACGGAGCAAGCATGGAATAACTCAAACGTGAGAAGATAGAAGAGAAAAGAGAAATGTGGGGAGTGAAGTGACTTGGGAGATGATGAAAAGGTGAAGAAAAAAAAGCAAACTGTTCTGAGTGTGTCTTTACCTTAACGAACGTATCCTGTCTCTCGAGAGGGGAAACATGACATAGGTCTCAGCAGCGTAGTGGGCCTCGGCGTCAATACACCTCCTGCAACACTAGGCGCCTCATTCACCAACTTGAATATTGCCAACAGATCTATCAAGAGAGTCAGCGAATGAATCGATTCACACGTAGTTAATAAGAGAGCAGGGACGTACTCTTCAGTTGAGGCGACTCAAGATCCAGCCCAAGGCATGATTTGGAGGGAAAATGCGAAAACATGCTGTAGAAGCAGCACTACTAGGTATTGATACCACTTGATTGACTCAAGGGCGAGCGAGTCAGTGGATGTGGTGTTGCAGGGACGTATGGTTTTAAGGGAAAAGGACATACTGTTCAAATGAACTGGTTCAGGGAGTAGCACAAGGTAACTTCTGGGTGAAGATTTGGCCGAAATACGTGGTGAAGCAGTTCTGGAATTGCCATTTGGCAGAGATGAAAGAGTTACCTGGAAGTGTGCAGATTCATACCATATGAGTGCAGAGGCTGGTGGCGGCGTGATGCCATCTTGATGGTGATGTGTCAAAGAGTTGGCAGAGATTCACAATGAGGGGATATCAAAGAGAAGCCAGAAGGCCTGATGGACGAAAACTGTGAGAGATACAAAAGAGAGGGAATAGAATAGAATAGAAGAGAGAAGAAGATGTGGAAGGGCCTTAGCGGTCAACCATAGGCAGGCTGTTTGTTTACGAGTACGAGCAGCCTCCATTGGACCCACGCACCTCGCCTCGATGCTGCCAATCAGGGCACAGAGCTTCCGAGAGTGGCTTGAGGGAGGCAGCTCTTTCTTCATAAACTAGGTGCTTGTTACGTATTCTCAATGATTAGAGAAGGTGAAAGACGTATGGCATTACGCGGCCTTCGCTTGATGGATCAGGCGGCAACAGTTGCTCGGAGAGAAGGGGAAGGCAGGCTCACACCTGGTGATCTCTATTTAAAGAGGCCACATCTCTCCCTTTTACGAGACAACATCTCTCAACCACACGCCGAAGCTCTCCTCTGCGTTCACTTTCATTACGCGTAGGGGTTTGACACCCGAGCCCTCCCGAAGGATATGGCCATACAGCCAGGCAGTATTAGGAATCACGCAGCTCGTACAGACAACCACGAACTGCCTGGCTGCCCTGTCTGGAAAGGAGGGTGAGGGTGTTGACCCCTCGGCTTATGTTGACAGGGCAAGCAACCTCCCGGCCTGGAAGTCTTTCACAGGGACTATCTCCTATTACACGAGCCGTTTACGAAAAAGTCGGAGGCTACTTCAAGGCAACCAAGCCCAACGTTGTGAACCCTCAAGTTGTTGTTAACGGCAACAAGAACCGGGGCGTCTCGAAGGACATGGCGATACACCCAAGCAGTATCGGAAACCACTCAGCTCGCACAGACAACTACGAGGCACCTCAGCCACCTCAGTCCAGAACAGACCCCTCGGATTATGTTGACGCAACTGCCACTTCTCAGCCTCAAGTCGAGCTCGAAACTTCAGTGCAACAAGCGCCCACAGCGTTACCTGCCAGCCCGGACGGCCATCTGACAGCTGTTTCTGTATCCTTTGAGCAAACTGCCTAAACTACAATCCTGACTCGTACGGAGGTGAGTTTCCTTTGACTTTGCTGATCTCGGAGACTTACCAACTGGCAATTTTCAGGATCTCGGAGAATCTCTTACACTGGTATCTCTACTTTCACGCCTCACATCTCACGCCTCTTTCACACTGGCATCTCTACTTTCACATCTTTCGCCTCTCTTACACTGGCATCTCTACCATCACATCTCTCATCTCTTGTCTATACGCATAACCACGTCAGTGGCCAACAGCATGAGACAAGTTGACGTTTCATCTTGTATCTCAGCAGGAGTCGTTGTTTCTTTTTGATGGAAGTGGAGAGGGTGACATGCAGGAGGCTTTGTTGTGATGGCAACGGACACGGGACGAACATCTCGACGGTGGACTGCGCAGGGGGAGGGGGAAAGGGAAGAGAGGGTGAGAAGACAGATATAGAGGTTTCATCTGGTGAATAGACAACTTGTCACAACTCTCAATTCTCTGCCATTAAACGCGCGCATCCCTGACCATCGCACACTGAACATATGTCCCGTCCAAAAACGTATCCCTCTGCACAACTCTAAACCCATACCTCTCGTAAATAGGCTGTCCCGCCGGAGAAGCATCGAGAAAACACTCCACCTTGTCCTCGTCAGCCTTATTCACGCCGTACTTGAGCATCAAGCTCGCCGCCCCTTTGCCCTGATACTGCGGCTTCACTGCCACTAATTCGAGATACCAGTGCGGCCTCTTGCCCATGGCCTCGTGATGCATCTCGCCGAGCCTGCCAAAGAAGAAGACGGAAAACTGCTGGTCGCCTTCGCTGGGCCATTGGTCAGCCGGCGGGAGAGGCTCTGGAGAAGCTCCCGGAACGATCCATTTCGCAAAACCAACAAATGTTTCAGGCGTGAAAGAGTCGTCCCACACAGAGAGAAAATGGTTGTTCTCGTCGCGAATCTCTGCTGACAGCGACGTTGTCCAGAAGTCGCGTGCTGATTGTGTTCCTCTTGGGGCGAAGCGCTGATGGATCGGGTCTTGTGAGAAAGCCTCAAAGTACGTCTCCACCATGAGCGGCACTTCTTCAGGTTTACTGGGCACGAGTCTCAGTGGCATTTTTTGCGGCGTATCTGAGTTCAGGCCCTGGTTGGTAGATCTTGGATGAGGGGCTCTTTTGCTCAAGATTCGCGGCTCTAAGTTATGTAGTTTGACAACCAGTTAGCTAAGGACAGAATTGGATAGCCTGGTTCAACAGCATCAAATTCCCCATACCTTGTTGCTTCTACGGGCGCGTTATTCCTATTTTGGTTTCGCTGTGGGATCTTTGCAACCAGTGTGGTTTTTTTGCACGAGCTGTGTCGATCTGTTTGTCGCGGGACTGGCGGTTTCTCACGAATGTGAAGGGAGTAAAATTGTGCTTTTCATCCAGAAGAAGGTGTCCGAGAAAAGCATTCGCACAGCAGTATATCTGATCACTGAGATGACTCGTTCCATAGATTAATGGTACATGTAATCAAAACGCGGCCAGTTCCGACGTATAGGACCTTTTTCTTGACGCTGAATAAAAGAAAGAGGAATGTACTCTTGAGCTACCGTGCGATGCTGAATATAATTATTGTGAAATCAGAGAAGCAGGAATTCATTACACAGTCTCAATTGTATAATCCACTAAAGTCCATACATGCCTACCTAGACGTTCCAAACCCTGACCGTCATGTCTTCTCCCCCCGTGACTATCCGCGAAGATGTTTGACACCAAGCTACTGCAATGACTTGGTCATCATGCTTGAGTGTCGACAAACACTTGCCCGAGCCCACATCCCATATCTTTGCTGTGTTATCCGATGCCCCCGAGACGACTTATGTTTGATCCGGGGACCAGTCGACGCAAAAAACCAGTCAGTATGTCCCTCGAGGTTCAACAGACACTGAGTTAATCTCCAGTCCCAGATTCGGACATTCTTATCGTACCCTGCTGAGGCGATGCGCGTTTCATCGGGCGACCAGCACGCCCAGCGAGGATGGCCCTCGTCGCCTTGAGTCTTTGCTTTTACCTCGGATGTGCACCAATCCCAGACCTGGGAGGTATGGCTTGCCGATAGGATCTGCATGGAATCGTTTGACCAGGCCACCGAGGTGACTGCGCCGGGCTTTTGATGGTCAAGCGTCAAAATTGACACCAGACACTTAGCTAGTCGGGTATTCCAAATCCTGATGGTGTTGTCAGACGACCCGGACGCAAGCAGGGTTCCATCGCGATTCCAGGCCACCGTCATGACTGCGCTGGTGTGGCCGTTGAGAATGTGTAGATATTGGCTCGTCTCTGCGTCCCAGATTCTTACCGTCTTGTCGTATGACGCCGACGCGACCCGTTTGTTGCCAGGTTTCCAGTAGGGTGCGCAGGCTACTCCCCAGATAAAGTCGGTATGGCCTTTGAGTGTTGTCACGCACTCGCGCGTCGATGCGTCCCAGATTTTGACGGTGTTGTCATACGACCCGGATGCAATCTCTTTTCCGTCTGACGACCAAGAGACTGAGTTGACCCCAGACTCATGGCCCTTGAGCGTGAGTGCAAGGACTGGTTCGCCGGTATTGACATCCCATATCTTGACCTCTTTGTCGGTAGACGCCGAAGCGACATGCGTCGTTGATTTGCACCATGCCACTGAATTGACGGCATCGGTATGGCCCTTGAGTGTTGATACACACGCTTTCGTCTCTACATTCCAGATCTTCATGGTGCTATCGAGCGATGCTGATGCGCGGCGGCTCCCGTTGCGCGACCAGGACACTGACGTGACGCAGTTTTCATGGCCCGTGAATGTTGCGGTGGCCTCGCCGGTTTCTGGATTCCATATCTTTGCTGAGGCATCCATCGACACCGAAGCCAGCTGAGTTCCATCGTGGAACCAAGCTACTGTCATGACTGATTTGAAATGTCCTTTAAGCGTGCGAATGCAATCTTGCAAAACTGTATCCCAGATCCTGACTGTAGCATCAGCTGATGCTGAAGCAAGTCCTCCTTCTGCTGACCAGGCCACTGACCGGACCTCGGCGGTATGGCCCTCGAGTGTCATGAGAAGCTTGCCATTCGCTGCATTCTAGACTTTGATGGTGCGATCGAACGACGCCGACGCGAGCCTCGTTCCATCGGGGGACCAGACGACGGATGTCACTGCATCGACATGACCCTCGAGGGTAAGCAGACACTCTTGCGAGTCTGGATTCCAAATCTTGACGGTATGATCCGATGATGCAGATGCCAGTCGAGATTTATCTGGCGACCAGGCCACGGACATGACGCTTTGCCCATGGCCGCTGAGTGTCGATAAACACTTTGCTGTCTGTGCATCCCAGAGCTTGATGGTGTTGTCGTCAGACCCTGACGCGACACGCGTGTTATTCAAAGACCAGGCTACGGCGAGAACTGAGTCGGTATGGCCATTGAGAGTCTCGATGGATACATCCTTATTCTTGTCCTGGTCATACATTTTTGTCTTCTCTAGTATTACGGTCAGCTTTCCTTGTTCTTGTGATGGCAATCATTGGGCCTTTTCTCGTCACATGTTAATGTCTAGTAAATGGTAGAGAGTTTGATGAGGAAATTGAGTTATTCGAGGTTTTCTGTGGTCCATATCCATGGAAATCGATGCGTATTAATACTTTTTTTTAGAGGTTGTAAGCAGCTGCAACAATTCCACACGTTGGCTAAGAGAGGGAGCTGCCATGTCTTCGATGTGTGATTTTCTTTCCATGAAAAGAATCCAATCCGTCTCGTTTAGTTGCGCTACTAGCTTGCATTTCACAAATGTTATGAGAGCTGGGAAACGCAACTCCAATGCTCAATCTCAATCCATTCGCTGCGGTTTCGTCGGACTCTCCAATTAGAAGAGGGTTCGTGCGGGGGTTGGTCAGGCAGATGTCATCGCCAGAGCAATTTAGAAGGGCAAGATGATGCGGTTTGGGGAATTCGGAAGCTTCATTGGGATCAGACAACCAGCTTGTGCGCAGCTGAGGGCCTGGAGAAACGGGTGTTCAGCTGCGCCGCATTGATGGCGGCTTTGCCGATTCAGCATCTCAGCTGATTGAATTCATGGTGGCTTCGTTGATTCAGCACCTTGGTTGCGTTTATTACCAATCAAATGAGTACGGATTGGCTACTATGAGTTTCTTCTTACCTGGGACAACATAACTCGACTCCAATGAGATAATAAAGTTCTGCCGCTTTCAAATCAATGGAGATGCGACTCAATTCACCTCATCGATGAGCCTTGATTCGCGCAAAATTCTGGCGAAGGCCTAGTCTTTGAGCTATAAGCCGGTTATTCTCCATGGGCCAGTTTGGATCAACACCCAATCACGCGGCAATCTTCTAGCACTGGTTCTCTTGAACTCAGTTGCAAGTTCATGGCTGCATTGCCTGGAAGTCCAAGGCCCCGGCGACTGAATAGCCTGCCGCCTCTCAACCATGTATTTCCCAGCATTGAGCAGGAACAGGAACAGGGACAGCAGCAACCGGAGACGGAATCAACAAGATGGCCTGTCTCATGGATTAGCTACTGTAGTAATTGCAATAAAATAAGCTTGGAGAGAACCAACGATATAGTTGAGCAACGAGCAATTTTGTTGTGTGAGGAGGAGAATCTAGAAGATCAAATGTCTGGGAGCAACTCGGAACAGCAGCCAAGCGGTCAGAAAAACAGCCACTGAGAAAGAGCGACTGGAGAGATTTTGCACGTGCACACTCGCTAGAAATATGCGCTTACGGAAGTGATCGTCAACCAGTGGGGCAAGGTGCCCATATTTCAGAGTTTATGTGCCCCATTTTCCTGTCCCCCGCTCGACGGTGCATGTACTCTTGTACCTCCTAAAGTACTCCCGTACCGAAGGGGCACAATATTCTAACGGCGAAAGTTAACGCAACCACCAAAAGGAAATGAACTGGAATGGATTCATCTGCTTGCCTTTCTCCCTTTTTACGCAGTGGTCGTACTTGTGGTCAGTTTACCAAGCCAGCGCTTCCGGCAGTACTTTATTTTATACGGAGTTGGCATAGTGTTGATAGGTACCTTTGGGTGCCGGATAATAGGCTTGTGGTGCTGGATAGAAAATGGATCCTATTTTAAAGCTTTGATGAGCAGCGTCACAGCTTACAATCGTAACAATCAATTAGCTGCTAAGCTGGCAGTTAGCTGCTGTAAAAAAGCATCCGCCATAACAAGTCACCATCAGGCTGATCTGCCAATACGATTTTTCTTTGTTTGGACTTGCAAGGCGGCCAATTCGACAAAATAATTTCGGCCTAGAATATCGTCACTAAACCACTCACTAGAAACCTCCAATCCTTCGCGCGCAAATGTAGGCTACTGCACGTGAGATTATTCGTCCTCCCTTTGAAAGCAACACACCGTGATTTAACTAATGATCCCAAAAAGTTTTGCCCTTTCATCATTCTTCTTAACTTCTCCAACTCTAGTCATGTCTCAGCCAACTTGGCAGGACATCACCGCTCGCAAACGCGCTGAGCGAGATGCCAAAATCCCCTCTGAATGGCGTCTCACCGAGTCTCTTCCCCCTGGAACTAGACCCATAGACTTTCTCCCTCGATGCGGAATCCTCACAGAGCACGATCTGGCCATTACAAACCCTGCTCGCGATGCCACCGATTTGCTCGCCCAACTGTTCACTGGAAAAGTGACGGCTGAAGATGTCGTCCGATCATTCTGCAAGCGTGCCGCCGTTGCGCAACAGCTGACCAATTGCTTGACGGAAATCATGTTTTCTGAAGCCATCGAAAGGGCCAAGTGGCTGGATTCTGAGTTCAAGAAGAACGGCAATAAGCCCGTCGGCCCTCTCCACGGCCTCCCCATCAGCGTCAAGGATCAATTCTACATCAAGGGATACGATAGCTGTATCGGAATCACGGGCCTATGCTTCAAACCAGCCAAATCGACAAGCCAGGCAGTGCAGATGCTGCTCAAGGCGGGTTGTGTCATAATCGCCAAGACCACCGTTCCCCAGACTGTCCTCACCGCTGACACGGATTCAATTGTCTTTGGACGCACGGTGAATCCGTACAATGCCGAGTTTGGAGCGGGTGGTTCTTCAGGAGGCGAAGGCGCGCTGATTGCCATGGGCGGCTCTACTCTAGGGTTGGGAACAGACGCAGCGGGGAGTGTGCGGATGCCAGCCGCGGTGTGTGGAGTTGTCGGATACAAGCCGAGTGCATACAGAATTCCCGTCGATGGCCAGAGAATTCTTGGCAAGGGCATCATGGGCACAACGTCTCTGGGGCCGCCAGGAGTCAGCGGGCTTTTGGCGAGATCGGTCAGAGATGCGAGGCTTGCAGCAAGAGTCATGGCAGAGGCACAGCCGTGGAACGACAGCCCGTTTATTTACCCTCACCCTTGGATGCAGATTCTTTCTCCCAGCAAGCCTCGGATCGGCGTGTGGCTTACGACCGACGTGGTGCATCTTCATCCGCCCGTTGCGCGAGGTCTGCGTCTTGCTCACGATAGACTGAAAAGAGCTGGCTACGAAGTTGTTGAGCTGGCCCCCCCGCCTTTTGAGAAGGCGAGTGAAATACACTTCAAGATGGGCGAGTTCATGGACGTGTCTCATATGCGCAAACTACTCGAGTCCGAACCACAAACCAAGATTGTCCAGGCGATGGGCAACATGACTTCCAAAGGAACACAACCAGAGCTCACCGTCGAGTATCTCCACGAACTAAACTTCCAGATAGCTCGCATAGCAATGCAGATGAAGAGGTATTGGCGACACGACGGCAAACCGCTCGACGGCATTCTGTTTGTCAACGCACCACATACTGCTGTCCCGTTTGACAAATATCTCTGGGTTGCCTTTACCGGTATTATCAACGTTGTCGACTGGACAAGTATCGCGATACCACTCAACGAGAAGGCGGACAAGAATATAGACGTTGCGATGCCACTTGAAGATTGCTACAACGACCTAGATCTGTCCATTCAGAAGCTATATGACCCTGGAAAGTTTCATGGTTTGCCATTATCCGTCCAATTAATTGGCCAAAGGTTTGAAGACGAGAAGCTGTTAGCCTTAGCGGACGAAATTACTCCGATTATAACGCAGAGAGGACAGTCCAAGTTATGATGACCAAATACATGCATAGTATATACATGGCTAGATAGATGCTGCAGGAATGAAGCAATGTACCGCTGTTCGCAACAAGCCCAGTTGCTCTGTATCAGTCTCCTATCTATGAAAGACCAACAACTCCAACCTGGAGGTAAGTTGGCTTCTCTTCAATCCTCTTCCGCCATTCTTCGCTCTGCAGCTCATTCACGTCCCATGCCGCCCAAGTAAATCGCCCGTGCAGAAATTTGGCCTCATCAGAAGCCGCCCAAACTGCGTAATTACCCGGAAGAGTTTCTACAAATCTAGTCAGCACCTCTGTAAAGCCACACACCAAAGGAAAGGGAAATTCTGAAGAAATTGCCATACCATCATCCCAAGCCATAACATCCTCCGGAACGCCACTTTTCTTTACACCGTCCGTGTAAATCCCTCCGGGGTGAAAGCTCAGGATTTGCATGTCGTCGGGAGAAATCGTCTGAGCATACATCTGCACGAGCAGGGTTCCCGCATTCTTGGACGCGCAGTAGGCAGGAAAGGCTTTTACAAATTCAAAGTCGTGAATGGCCATGGTGGAGAGATTGACCAGGTACTGCAGATCTCCAAGTTAGTAGACATTCGACAAGGACTTCTCTAGCTCGAAAGAAAATAAAGCCAACGTACCAGCTTCCGACCGGCTACTCGCTTCTTCTGGTGGTAGAATCGGTCGATGAGATCCATGTTGGCTCCAACGTTGGTCACCCAGCTAGGCCACGCTTCGTCGAATTCCAGATCAATCATTTTAGACTGCCTGTACGTGACAAAAGCAGCATTCAGAATCAAGACATCGACAACAATCCCATCGGCATCGAGCTGTGCCCAGGCCTTTTCCGTTGCTGGGCGATCGGAAGCATCAACGACCTGGCCGATGAATTTGGTCTTTGGGTGCTTCTTCGAGAGAGCTTCGACGGCTTCGTTCAGAGCGCCTTGGCGTCGACCGGTGAGAATAACGGATGCAGCTTGAGCTTCACCAAAGGCATGGCAGATGGCAAGGCCGATTCCTGCAGAGCCTCCGGTGACGTAAATGACGCGGCCTTGTTGGGAGAGCTCTGGACGAGAGGCTAGAATGGCTGGGTACGCGGTATTGTGGATGGTCTTTGCGGGTGAAGGGTTTTGGAGAAGAGCCATGGCTGCAGTTGAACTTGGTATTTGCTTGAAAAGGACGGATTGAATACTAGAATGTGTCAGTTGATGCTGAGAGAAGAGAGTTGCGGGATGAATCGATCTAGTTCAACTTACAACAAGCAGCAATTGATGATATTTATACATTACATCGTGCATCAAAGCGCCATCTATCGGTTTGTCATTCTGCGGAGCGCCGTCCATCAAACTGACATCCATCGCGTTGCTATTCTGCGGAGTATTGTCCATCGGAGTTTGTCCCATCGGAATAGTCGTCGTGAGTAGTTGGACATTGATTTGATATCCTAGCCATGTTGACCAGCGCTGATGCGTTGTGCCAATTCTGGCTCTGGCGGATCTTTTGCGGGAGTTTGAATCGCGTTTTGCCGCCTTGAATCTCCAACAGCGGGTCAGCTAACGGATCCAGTGAACCAGCTTCACAGCAACAAAAATAACGTCATATTCGAATAAACCAAAAGATAAAAAAAGAAATCAAAAGCAAACTCCAAATCTATGAGTAAGAGACGGCAGATCATAGGCCTCATGATTCGTTTAGATACGCGTAACTAGGGCGATTCTAACACAGCCATTTAACGCATCCGCCGCTGACAAACTAAATCAGAGCCGTAGCATTCAAGGAAACAGCATCAAAACCTCGACAAAACATAATCCCTAAAATCCGATTTCGCCAAGGCGGCAAGATCTCAATCCTAAACCAATCATCCCAGAGCGAAATCTTTAGCTGCGCGGACAATCGCTGGTCTCACATTGAACGTAACGCCATCATCATCTTTAGCCGGAGTTCCGCAAATGTTCCGCAGATTATAAACCGTCGAACCATCGGATCTCCTTTTCCCGACTCCATCTCAGCCTCATCAAAGTCCCATACACCACGGTACGTGTACTCTATACAGCCGGACCACTTTGTAAATCTTCCGCATATCCATTGTCACATCCTAACAAATCATCCGCAGCCATGGATTCTTTAATAAGCAAAGACTCCAGTTCTAACCCCGATCGGATTCCCGCAATGCGGCGAAGAGCCTGTATTCCCTGCACCAGTTCAAAGCGCCGCTGCGACATGACCCGCCCGTCCTGCGAGCGATGCTTGGACAAACAGGTCGCATGTCGATATTCGTCGGCTCGTCTCTATGCTCGCCGAGGCATTAAATCGAAGCCCAGCGGAGTTACGGAGCCAGAGGCGTCCCTCAACTCTCCGTTCTCCGCCTTGTTCGAGAGTGGCGACGATGAGTGTGATGAAAGTTATAACGGTGGAAACTACCATAGGAGCGATGGTGCCACCAATTCTTCGGATTCACCCGCTTGGTTTCTCCAAGCTGAGCACTGGGTCATTCACTACCATGAGGATCGTCCAAGCCCGCCTCCCTACGTCCGCAGCTCAGCAGTACGGCAGTACATTCTCTGTGTGAAGAAATGGCTTCAACAGTGGGTTGAGTGCGGCCATTGCCCCATGATACACAAATCCCTGTTTGCCGACACGAAGCTGCCGCCATGTCTTCAAGATGCATATGCCGCTCTGGCAGTGTACAGTTTCAAGAACGACAAAAACGAGGATGTCGTAATGCAACACATCGAGGACAAAGCCAATTCACTCTTGGAAGAGCATTCTGCCCATCAAGACCTCCTCATTGACCCATTTGTTCCCTCATGTTCACTCACAACTGTTCAACACCTCGCCAGGGTTCTCGCCTTGATCATATACCAGTTCATCCGCCTCTTTGACGGCAATATCCGTCATCGAGCCCAGGCTGAAAAATATATTCCCTTGTTAAAATCATGGACGTGTCAGCTGTGGAGCTCAGTCAACATCGACGTTACCGTACAAAACACCTTCGGCGGCGATTATCTCATCAGTCAAGAAAACGCTGATGCAACCGTCAAGCTGTGGCGGACCTGGCTCCTGATGGAGAGTGTGCGCCGCGCCTGGAAAGTGAGCGCCTATATGAGGTGCATATACTATGTCTTCCGCGATGGGACTGCGCCATGTGAGGGCACCATTGATTTTACGGCTCGGCGGGGGCTGTGGGATGCCACTTCTGCCCCAATGTGGAGGCGTTTGCTTGAGCAAAAGGATCCTTTGTTTGCTGTGCCGTTTGAATCTGCTTGGCTGCTCGACGCCACGACCCCAAAGGATATTGATGTCTTTGGGTTGGCTACTATGAGTATCTCGGTGGATTCAGACAAGTTGGATTCGTGGATTGCGAATTCTTCGGATATGCATTTGGAAGGTTTATTAATGGCTACGTGATTGGAGATTTTGCTTTAATATGAGGTATACGAAGCAGCTAATGGCTAATTATAGATATAGAAGGGGAAATGGTAACAAGAAATAGGCAACAAGATTAGCAAATGGGAATACAAACTAATGCATGAATGGTTCAACCTGTTCCAGGCACCAGTCATACCAAACCTTTCCCATGCCAGTTCCTCCTTCTTTCGTACTTTTCGATCCCTTCTCGATATCTTCCCGAATCTTGGCAAGTCTTCCCCACGGTATCGCTGTTGTAGGAGCACTATTAGCTTATGCAACGTCAATAATTCAACGTCGCGAGTTCTTACCATAACTTCCTGACTTCTCTATCGTCACTTCTGGAGAGAGGCCACAAAATAGCTCAGAGTATGCACCATTGATTGCTGGAAACAAAATGACTTTCTGGTTTATTTTGTGAAGGAATCCCTGCCCACCATATCTCTGAAGGTCGGATCGGAGGTTTCCCGGGTTCACAGCCTGTTCACTCGTCAGTACATACTCATCCTATTTAGTCCATTCAACTTACCAGACTAATAATTCCCTTGTCCTTGTATCGCTTCGCGTATTCCGCTGCTTGATAGTATACACCCGCCTTACTCACAGAGTACTTGTAATATGTACTCTGCTCCTTTTTCGTAAATCCCATGTTTTCGGGATCAAATCCTCCCTTTGGTGACCCCATCTCCGAGTATAGTGAGCTCACCCAGACAACTCGCACCGTATTAGGGGAGCTCGCAGCATAACTCGCCGCAGTTGTAGCAAGCAACGGTGTCAGAAGCTCTGTAAACAGCAAATGACCGAGATTGTTCACTCCCAGCTGAAGCTCGTATCCCTGCTTTGTCTTTGACCCTTGCGGCGGATGCATCACGCCTGCATTATTGAACAAGACATCGAGCTTTGACTCCCTCGTGGTGAACTCTTTAGCCGACCTTGCAACGGCGCTTAAGTCTGATAGGTCGAGAGCAAGAAACTCGAGGCGACCGGTGGAAGTGGGAAAGGCCGCGCGAATATCTTCAATGGCTTCAGTGGCTTTGGCTTCGCTTCGAGCTGCGACATAGACTGTTGCCTTTTTAGAGTAGAGGATTTGCGCGAGCTCTTTGCCGACGCCAGTGTTGGAGCCGGTAACGATGTAGACCTGCGCTATACATCAGCAATTGTGTAGACACAAAGAATCTCGCCAGAGTTGAATACCTTGCCGGATAAGTCACCCAGATTCTGTTCGGTAAAGGCTGGCTTCGGTGGCCACATTTGAGTTATGATGCCGCCCATGATGTCGGTAGTCGTTTTGTCTAATAAATGATGCAGAGGTGGTTACTGGAGATGGATATGCAAGATAATTCTTGAATCAACGAGTCCATATATATACCAAATCCTCCTTTTCTATCCCGAGAATGTCTACCAATGCAATTGGAATTCGGGAAGCTGATCGGCTTTTTTCTCCGACCCTGTGTGCGGCGAATCCGTCTGCCGGTGAAGCCCCAACCACGGCATTCGGGCAGCCACGCGATTATCTCCACCAAGCATGATCCTATATCTTGATTATTGACGTGAATAGATGGTCAAAGTTCGAAGCTAGCTGACATCTAGATGCTTGTGTATCCGATTGTAGAATAAATGGCTGACACCTAGCTCCTGAACCTCGAGATTGTGGCGGCCGCTTCTGCGCTAACGAGCGGCCGCTCTTTGACAATGGCGGGTTTGCTTCACTTTGCTTCTTATCAGTTGCTTTTGACGAAGCGTGACTCTTTTCAACTGCGATTTGTGCATATATTGGTCCGTTTTTAAATTGTTGTATCACATTTGAGATTCTTTTCGATTTATGTCTTGCCGAGTCCATGAACGTATTGGAAGGCTTACTTTATGTGCCTGGCTTTTGTTAATCTGGAATCTTGTCTTTGGATATAGGTTGCCCATTGAATGATTCAACTGGGTATGTTGTTTGACTAGGATGCAGTTAGTATAGCTGTTCTGGCTGCTGCTGTAACGCAGCCATCAATGGATCTGTCAGGCTCCTTTTCTAAGGACTGAGCGGCGCGCTTGTCTATTGGTTCATCTTATAGGAAAGTATCGTTACGAGGTCAGAGGTATTAAGTGGAGGCTGGCAGATCAATAGGGCTGAGCATATTTTCCCCGGAGAGGTGGCCGCCCGCAGCTAAAGCATCGGCGGCAATGGCCCGCAGGGCCCTGGAGGAGCCATCCGGTCGCTGAATAACATCGGCTTCTATAGGGTTGGCGTCTCGGGATGGACTTTTATAATAGGCATTATCTTCACTGTCAGAGGAGTCAGAAGAGTCCTCATCTGCGCTAGATAATGCCTGATGGCTAGCAGCTTGAGCGATCTCGGGATATCTGCCGCCGCTGAGATAGGCAACAAGGATAGCATCACCAGAGGCGGGCCGGATCTTCGGGCGATTAGACTTGGGAAATTCGTCGAGGGGAAGACTTGCACCAGATGATGCCTGGTGGCTAGCAGCTTGGCCTATCTCGGGATGTTTGTCGCCGTCGAGATAAGCTACAAGGGCAGCGTCTTCAGAGACAGGTCGGATCTTCGGGCTATTAGACTTGGGAAGTCTGTCGAGAGGAGGGGGGTTGAAACCGACTTGAAGTCTTGGTATTTCCGGAGAAGGGATATCTATGAGCTTGCGATGAACGGCCCTACTATATATGGGATGTTAGTCCATCAATACTTGGGTACACATTGCAAAGAATGAGTACAGCTAATTCATGGGAATGGTACGCAACGGAAGAATGAGATGAAAAGAAATGAGGCCTAAGAAGCAGAAGAATGGACAAAGAGAGGAAGAAAGAGAGAAAGAATTTAGTTTGGGGGTAAGACTTACATGGCAGAGTTCAGAGTGCCACTCCGAGTTGACGTCTCTGGCACCGCAATGTCCAGTAAAATATCGGGTTCCCGGTTATGCACAGTATCATATATGCTCATAGTCCCCTTCACGCCTGGCGGTGTTGGCGGCCGCTTAGATGCGTCAACCGGATTCAGAATCTCCCGAGCACTTGAGTGATGGTTTGAGCCGCCAGGTATCTGCTCGTATTTTTCACCAATATCCTTCGGAACGGCTGTAATATCAGACTGGGCATGGCCGTTGGGACCGAGGGCCTCATCATCTTCTTCTAAGTCTTCACCGGCGAAGTGGCCGTACATTGACAGGAACTCAACAGAGTTTGATGTCAGTGGTAGCCGGTCAGTGCCTGCCAAGTCAGCCCCTTCGTGGCCGTTCTTATGGCCTCCAGAAGGGCTAGTGATGTCTCTTGGAAGATGATCTCTTCGGAAACCTGCCGGAGCCCCGATGGCGTCGATATCAAGTGTATCGCTTTCAGGCTCGGGCCTCGAGTGATTCCTTTAATGATTATACTCAGCATCAATGCAACCGTATTCCATAAGTCCTCAAATTAGACTCATCAGCTATGCAGAGGCTCACATAAGACCCGCGAGCGGGCTATCCGTTACCTTGCCGAAAAACGGCGAGAATTGGCTACCCCAGCCCCCTTTTCTTGATATTTCGTTCCGTACATTCGCTGAGGGGAGTACGTAATCTCTTTTGTGCGAAAAAGGTGCCTCATAAGATAGTTCAAGGGGCCCGTTGTTATCAGAGGAATTAGCACCTCCGTAGACATTCCCATGATCTCCAGAATGGCTAGCGACGGCGGCCTTAGCAGCAGCCTCTTGAGGAGCCCTAAATAAACCCTGGGTCTTGGCCCTCAATTCATCCTGAATCTCCTTGGCCGTTTTTGATGGCGACAGGCTGTCTGTGCGGGTGTGAGCACGCATATTAGCAGTACCAAAGTGGACCTCGGTCGTCTGCTTACTCTTCGATCTAACGCCTGACACTATATCCGAATCTGTATTCGAGTCTAATTGCTGGCGTTGGAGGAAACGAATATGCGCATGCTGCACATCAATCTTCTGAGATAGGGCGAGGCTATCAGCCTCAGAGAGGCCATAGACAAGAGCAAGCCTTTCTGCCAAATGCTCAGTGTCTGATAAATCTCCCGAGCTCAGTTTCAGAGCTGCCTTCATAATTAGCTGGTCTACTGTAGACAGACCAATCTTGAAGTCGACATCCACTAATTGAACCTGCTTATATCGGCTAATATCGTCTTCTGGACTCTGAGGCTTCGGTGGCCGGGGTTTTGGGAATCGAGCTGGTGAACCCTTTACTCGGTCTGTTCGAGCGCTGAATGAGTCGCTGCTGATCCGGATATCCTGAATCTCTTCGATTCGCCTGAAATTCAACGAGCATCTATGGCTGTTATATCATTCACCTTAGTATTCAATCAATCCTAAATGTGTTGATGCAAAAGGGTAATAACAAAAAGAAGTGGTGCTCTCAAAAGCTACTAATACCTTACCATTGAACTTGATCAGATTGGAGACCAGGATTCATAAAGCCGCAGGATGGACATCTTGTGGAGCTATGGTTTTGCCTTCGGAATATCATTCTCATATTAAGGATTTGATTCGGCTATTCAGTTAGGTCAGCAGATTGCAACTATTCGAGAGCATAATAGGCGACCTTTATGATAGATTGCCAATCTTTGGAAAGATCAAGGCGTTGTCCGTTTTGCTGATGCTCGAGAATCCATTCACTCCGTTCTATCTTGTTGGTTCCCAAATCCTTGAATCTGTGTTTAAGGATCTCGACAAAAAGCTAAAATGGAGATGAGTGGAATACCGTAGCAGATTCCCTGGGAGACAAAATACCTCTTTTGAGTCAATGGTTTCCAGGTAGAAGGGTAAATAGCAACCCCGAGAATCGATCACAAGGACTGGGCTGAGCGGTAATTGCTGGCAGAGCTGTTGCCGGAACAAGAAAGATTTTGATCGTTGTAGATGAGGTATTGTCCATTGTGAACCTGCTGCCGACCATGAAGCAACAGCTGCTTCAGGCTCTACGTACCGCTAATTAGTACGCGTCGTCGAGTGCAGGCAAGTGAATTTAATTTACCGGCTGAGTATGAATCATAAGACTTCGGGAACGGCCTCATCACAGCTATTGGTATTGCTTCAACTAGTAATTCTTTGGCGTAAGCTGCCGCGGCTGCTGCTGCGTACTCTTGCCATTGCTTATTCTTATGGGAATCTGAGTAGTCACAGATTCCTCGGATTACCAGGCATGGTAAAGCATCGGATAGGCCAGCCGCTTCCATTTCGAAGCATATGATATTCAGTTCCCGGGCGATTTCATCTCGGGAGATGGCGTCTTTCATCACTTGGTTACCAGAGGCCACATTGCCGTAGTGAATGACTGGGTGATTATCCATTCGGGGAGGACGGTAGACCAACATGGACGTATCACAGCTGTCGCAGTTAGCTCTTTCTGGGCTGTGAGAGTAGGTAGCGAGAAAGAGTCGGTCTTGTGCTGAGCTCGGACAAGTATATTTGGTCATTTTCGGATGCTTTATGATCATTTGTTGAAGAAATTCCGGAACTCTGCTTGAATCGGACTCGTGAATCGCTCTCAGTTTAGAGACAGCGGCCAAGAGGCTAGAAGGAGGGCTTTTTGGTGTTCCGGTCGATAGACTCGAGAGCCTTGGATGATTTTACAAAGGTCGTGCTGCACCACATTGTAACCGACGACGACATCACCAAGTCGCACATCGACACTACCAGGAACTCCACCGCCGATTCCAACCATCAAGCCGGTGCGAATAGAGGGAAATGTGCGGATCAAGTTGTTGGCCACGATTGCCGCAGAGTTTGTGCCATAGTGGTCTGCTGGGAGACACGCCACTACAATATTGTGCCGACCAACATTCCCCAATATGTAAGAATTGGAATCCTTCTCGTTTGACGGCAAGCTTGGATGAACTCCGTCGAGCATTGCATTGGCAGCGGCCATTTCGATGGAGAGGGCGCAAATCCAGGCGATGGTGTAGCTCTCATTTTGTAGTTTGACGGAGCTTTCTTCGATCCTTGGTCGTTTGAAAGCTTGAACGAATGAAACTTCATCATCGTCGTCAACCCAACTCCTCTTGACCCATCTGCAGCCACTGGTATTCATTTCTGTTCAAAATACTTGGACCCCAAATGAAGGTCGATGGCAGTTCAAAAGATTTGAAAGAAGACTCCGAGACAATAAACAAAAGTACAAAGAACTGCCGATTGTGTGTCGGGCAAGGCTGAGCCAGCAACGTTGACAGCTGGATCATTTGCACAGCCACATCCACGTGGGGCGCTGATATTGATTTAGGCGCCAGGCTGTCTGTTGTATGGCATGCATTTTTCCCCGTGGGATTTGCGAAGCGAGCTGCAGAACTGCCTTGGTACCCCAGACGTGGCAAAGTAGCATCTATAGAGGTAGTTCAGATGCGATTTTCGAGTGAGAAGTCTCCAGGTTCTTGGTGCATGTTTACAAGCAGTCGAATCGACGATTAATTACTGCGGCATCATTTAATCACTGAGTAATAGTGAATATATCTTCGGGGTCCGAATATTGGTATGTTGTAAGTCAACTGTTCACAACTGGCTATCCAAGCTATCCAAATGAGTGTGGAGGGGTACATACATGTAAATATTTGGTTTGCTGTTCACCATACTAAGCGTGAACACTCTCATTCGAGTGTCCATTGACTTGACAATTACCATAGCTCGTGCAAACATTTTGACGATCGGGCGGGGTCTGTGTATAGCACATACCCTGCAGTCATCGAAATCGCAGCTCATGGCACCATCACATGTACAGGAATCTGAGCTTCAAGACATGGAACAAATATGATTGCAAATCGCATTAGTAGCTAAAGAAAAAAGAAGGTATCTGGAACTTACAGATGTAGTACTTGACGCTTTGCTGGTTTCGAGACAAATTACCCTCGTGCCAAACCGAGATCGTGAGACTTTGGGCACAAGAGTATAATTAAAGATATATTGCGTTTAACGTAATCTCGTTTCCTCAGTGTGATTGCGACCGAGAATTTAGAAAGGGTAAATGCAAAGATACTGGTGGTTCGTTTCTGTATTTCGCCATGTACCACTTGTCCATACAACGGCTGATGCTATCCGCCAACTGCAGCAAGGTGAGCAGTGGTAAATCAAGCACACCCAGAGCTGCGGATACGATGATACCACGGTCACAGAATTTCTCAGATTGATTTTATGCAGATGGAAGCAATCTGATATTGGCAGTAAATCATCTCAGAATGTTGATATGCGCTCCAGATCAAACACCTACACCATCTCTTCCTACACACAACCAGAACTGCTGTTCTCTACTCTACTCATCTACCTATTGAGAGAATGCCATCAAGTATCATTGATATCATAAAGCCGCTACACAAGAGAAGGCCAATCTAATCATTGATACTTCAACTTCAATCCACCCCTACAGCCTTCCCCAGCACAAGGAATCGCACGCCAAGGATCCGCAGCAGATACACACTCGGCAAAATCAATCCACTTTCCCTCCAGAAGACATTATTTCACCGCTCCTGACTCTCATAAACTTGCTCAGTTGTATCAGTACGCGAAGAGCCGGCGAATGAGGGAGCAATAAATAAGAATACGAGGAGGAGGCTGCACGGATGCCTGGGGCAACCTCCCCATCAGCCAGTGAATGACGAGTTTCGTCTGATGTCAAGGCGCACTTTCCAAGCAACTGAGTCTCCAGCAGGTAGATCAGTTGGCGAGGAGGACGCGCGGCCTGTTTCCCTCCCCCCTTCTCTCCCTCGAGCATATAGTCTGACTTTCTCATCTCCCCTGGAATTTTTCTTCTCTCATCATCATCACCTCTCTTCGAGCAGTTTTCTCTGGCCTCTGGCGAGATTTTCATCTTCTCTGAAGCTCTTCTTCTCTCTTCAAGCGGCTTTCTCTCTTCAAGCAGATGTCTCTCTTCAAGCAGTCTCTGGCCTCTGGCGATGTTCTCGTCTTCTCTGGATCTTTTCTCCCCCCATCGTCTTCTCTCTCTCCAAGCAGCCTTCTCTAGCCTCTAGCAAGGTTCTTGTCTTCTATAGACATCCTTTTCTCTCATGACGTTCTTCTCTCCTCTTCGTCTCTCCTCTTCTTCTCTCCTCTTCTTCTCTCTTCAAACAGCTCTCTCTTCAAACAGACCTCTCTCTCTTCAGACAGCTCTCTCTGGCTTCTGGTGAGCTTAGAACACCAATAGAAGACTTGAAATCATCGCAGCCCATGGAAGCTACCGGATGATGTTTGGTGGCGGAGACGGTATGTCTTCTTTTCCCTCCCTTCTCTTCTCTATCACAACCAGTACTAGAGTCCATACTAACCATTGAGCCAGGACATCTACTACCCATCAGAAACTGCGGTCGAAATTTGACAGACACTGTCTATCGAGGCCACATACTCTCACTTCGAGAGCTCACCTCCTGGCATTTCTCGGTTAGTTGGTCTTTCATGCTGTTGAGCTGCTTGTGTTGGTCTGGCCATCTGATGATTTGAAATAGACACCATCCTCCATTTCAGGCCACTTTACATGCATCCTTCAATGCTCGCTTTGGTGAATCACTCCATGGAGGCTTCGACTATGAAATTGTTGGTGACAGTTGTGAACACAGCACCATCTCTACCGAGGCACCGACCCGTCAACATCGTTGATGTTTCGTCGCATTTCCTCACATTTATTTCACTGTTCGGAACTCGTCTTCTTTTCATTTTCCCCAAACCACTCTCATCCCACACTTGACTATACACTCAACGCTTGCCGGGGTTGAGATCTCCTGAATTGTGGCATCATTTGCTAGTTGCCCACGTGGAGAAACATCCAACGCGAGTTACGCAAGCGTCTGTTGAGGTACTTCAAGCTCGCAAAGCATCATCACACCTCTTCATTATTGCTGACAAATACTCCTCACCTAACAGTCGGCCGACAAGTTGCACAGAGACAGCACATTCTTCCATGTTTCATCCTTCCATGATGTCGGGGGAATCTGTTGCTGGTCGGCCTTGTCACGAGGACGGAAGCTACCCAAGCAGACATTTTGATGTCAGAATGTGGTGAAATCCAACCCAACTCAGCAGACTGCGAACAATGGTAAGAAGACACACTGCCCTATTAGAGACAAGATTCTCATGTCATGACTGCTATAGGCCACACAAGACGGATGGTCCAGCAGGCCAAACATTTCTCATTCGTTGGCTGTTTGGCAGGGCACGAGGGGGTCGATGGCACATTGAGTGTGGCAGGAGGCATATTCATGCGGGGACCACCTTGCTGTCAAAATCCTCTACGCGCCGCCTGACAAACTGGCTGAAGCCCAATAAGAGATGGCCTCCCAAATCTCTGACTTTGCCATCCTCTTATCCTCCATGGCAGTGACATGGACGAGTTGTACGGAAACTTGTTATATCGCCGGCACAAGGAGATTGATCACGTACCGAGTGTGGCAGGAAGTGTATTGACGCTGAGACTCCTTGCTGTTGAGATCCTGGAGCGCTCTGCCAAACACATATAAACGCTCTTTGCGCGGCGACGCAAGCAACGAGACCATGAGGAGAGACTGGTGAAGCGCCCCAAAATCACGCTGGTCTTTTTGTCTGTCCAGGCTATTTCCAGCCCTTTGTGTTGCTGCCATCGATAGTGCAACCAGTACCATTGCCTCTTCCAATACTCCTGCGGCCGGACCATCACCAAGCACTCCACCTTCATCGTCGACCCCATTGACGGCATATCCAACTTCGTCCACGGCTTCCTCGATGCCCCCCCTTCATCGCCCTTGTCGCACGTAGAGTGCCCACAGTAGGCTTCATTGACAACCCCTTCGCCGACGAGCTCTAGTCTACCATCAAGGGCCACAACGCATATCACACCACACAAGTCAGCAGCACCATCACCGCCGACGACATCTTCAATAACAATCATACAAAATAGAATTCCCCCAAATGTCCCATTCAAGACCTCTCCTACGACCAGATCCCCCTACGGCCTGGGTCCAAATGACAACTAGCCAATGGTCAACGATGTTACCAAGGGCTATTCATCCAAAGCAGCTTTACAGTCAACGGGAAAGAAATAGTGACCGAGAACTAAAAACCCCATCAAGGGCCCCTCGACACAGCCAAGACATCTTCGGGCAGGCATGGGCGGTTGATGACGCACCAAGGTGGCAGGAGGTATAGTGATGCCGAGGCTACCTTGCTGCCGAGATCCCCTATGGGCCGCCGGACGTAGATAGCAGCCCTGTTCCAAGGGTTTGGACAGGCACGGGAAGTTTGATGACACACCGAGGTGGCAGGAGGTATAATGATGCCGAGGCCCCTTGCTGTCAAGATCCTCTTTGATGTTCGTCTAAACCCTTTCGAAGAATCTTTGGCTCCCTTTTCGAGTCCAACTTCAGAGAAAAATCAGCTTCCAGACACAATACCTCTAGTATCAACAGAACAAGACAACCAATCCTGCACCCCGATGAAAAAAGTCGACTTTTCTGAAACTGCATCAACAGTTCATCGCAGCCCCTCTTTCGAAGGAGCTAATGAAGCCAAGGACATCTGGAATTTTGACGACAGCCCATCAGATAGCAGCCCTGTTCCACGGGTTTGGTCGGGCATGAGGAGATTGATGACGCACCGAGGCGGCAGGAGGTATATTGATGCCGAGGCCCCTTGCTGTCGAGATCCCCCTGATGTTCGTCCAAACCCTTTCGTGTCAGCAGAACAAGACGACCAATCCTTCACCCCGATGAAGGCAGTCGACTTTTCCGAAACTGCATCTACCATTCATCGCAGCTCCTCTTTGTTAGGAGCCAATGAACCCAAAGATATCTGGAATTTTGACGACAGCCCAACAGAGAGCAGCCCGATTCCAGAAACATCCAAGGAGATGCCAACCATACCGTCGGATCATTCGCCTTCTGACGAGCTTTACGACTTCATTCCTAAGAAGGCTACTGCACAAACGCAAGCCCCTGCCAACCCCAACAGCAGCTAGCTAGTCGTTGACGATAATATCAAGAGCTCTTCGCCCAAAACTACGATCAAAGGGAAGAGGCAACGACCAAGCCCGTCACAATGTAGCCTCACGATGGCCTCTCGCTTGACTAGTTCCACGAGTGGTACAACAACGAACACGGCCCAACGCGACTGTGCCTCCCGCAAATCTTCAGCAACGGCCTCCGCTATCGAGCCGCAGATGGGAAGCAGCCCGAATTCCTCGTCGCCTACGATGTCATGGACATAGCATCTCGAGACCGAGACTTACTTAACATTGCGCGCAAACCGCTTTCCGAGAGAAGCCGCAACTATTGGCCAGATCGATGTAAAGCGGTATTTCTACGACTTGGTCTATGTTGAGGAATCTCCGCTCTTTATGCCAATTGAGAAGTTGACAGAAGACGAGGCAGAAGGTCTCGTGCGGTGCTGCTCCGAGGTGTTGTTGCTCCCGATGAGTGGAATTCAGATGTGCGCCAATAGGCTACATGACCATATTCTAGAAGTTCATACAGCAACGCGCCTTGAGCACCGACCCAACAAGCACGCGCTACTCTACCAGTGCGGAATCCAGCATCGCGGATGTGGCTGTGATACAAAGTACTTGCATGTTTGTGCAGATAATATTACCTTTACTGCCAGTCAATTGTGTTTGAGTATGCAGCGGGAAGTGGCAGCTCGACAAACCCTTGCCTTTGAGGAGATGATGGTGTTGCATCCAAGTCGGTGATCCGGTGCCAGACCCTGCAAAATTGTCGACATTGTCTGAGACTCCCATCTTGTTCTTGACGGCAGCGCTATTTCCCTCGACCGAGAGCAAAAAGAAAACCCCAATCGCTTCGATCCTCTTACTCAAGAGATACTAAACGACCCAACGTCCGAGGCCTCTTACTGTCGACATCCCTTATATCCTAGATGAACACCCTTTGGCGGCTTGGGAGAACGAAGAGAGGAGATCGATGACGCACCAAGGTGGCAGGAGGTATAAGGATGCCGAGGCCCCTTATTGTCGAGATCCCCTACATCCCAAACCCAATTTTCTCTGAAGAAGAAACCAAGATCTTCTTTGTTGAAGGTCCTGGAACTGATAAAATCTTCCAAAATATATCACAGCTAAAGACTAAAACTGTTTCATTCTTGGCCAGCGCTGCCTTTACCGATGAAGAGAAGCGCTTCCCCGCTCCATACACCTTCTCCAGCCAGACACTAGAGTAGCATCTCTAGCAGAGGAGATTATCAAAACGACTTCAGTCTCTCAAGAACATGAAGACTTGGTGAAGAACTGTTTGAGGCTCACTCTCAGCTTCCTGCTGCCTATCGCATACGGATCCTCACTCTTCTTGCCTAATCGAACATTGCATCAACCATGCCACAGCGTATTACGAATGTGGTGACAGATCATTACCCTTTGGTGGCTTGGGCGAGGACAACGACGAGGAGGTTGATGACGCACCGAAGTAGTAGGAAGTGTATTAACGCCGAGGTCACTCCACACAAGAAGCAAGCCAGAACAGCACCGGAGGCCACGAGCAAGACCTTCAGCAAAGCAGAAGCAACAACAGCAGCATCAGTTTTAGCGAGCAGCATCACAAGCAGCAGAACCACAAGCAACAGCACCAGTACCAGCAGCAACTTACCGTGCCCAAACAGAACTGTCAAACGGACATAGTCTCGCAGTTGCCCACGAATATGTGATGAAATCGTCATCGAGGAAGTGTTGCAAATGGACCAGCTGGAGCTCGCCGTGCTGCCGTCGTTCCAATGGGACGAAGAGTGGATGATTTCCAAACTCGACATCAGGAGGCCCAGAATATTGCTACCAGCATTGGCCAAGACCCTATGATGACAAGTGTTAGAGCGTTGACACCCTCTCTGGGGACTTCCGAGCCAGCTTGACGACCATTCAACTCACCGACTGTGGAAGCAACGATAACCAGGGTCAAGACATTATCACCGTTAGCGTCCACAATGACCGAAAAGGCGAGGTTCTGATCGCGAGTACCCTCAGGCAAGCCTGCTTCAACCTTGACCCTCGACGTGCGGCCGGAAATCCGGTTCTCCTCTTCTCGTGTGGTGTGTGAGCTGATGGTAGCGGACAAGTCCTGCTTTGCGAATTCTCTTTTTTTTCTTCCTCCTCTTGCTCTTGCACCACTCATCTTTCCTCTTCCCCTCCCATTTGCTTCCTCTACTTCTTACTTTCTGTTTTCTTTTCGTAGCACACACACATACATCGAGTGATGACCAGGGTTCTAGTTCCGACTACACGTCAGTTATGGAATGAAAATATTGTCTGACACTGATTGAAGCACTCTAGCCTCTCGCTTCTGTTGCTCCTTCTTCATTGTGTTTGTGGGTGCTGAAGAGATAAATGGAGCAAGATCTTGTTTGTCTCCAGTCCCGATTTTCCCGATTCTCCTCCTTCTTTTTTTTTTCCTATTCCTTTTCTCTTCCTCCTTCTTCGCAAACTCCCAACTCTTTGCCTTTACCAGAGGCAATGGCCCGCTGAGCTTCGCTCTTTGCTGTCAAGGTCCCTTATATCCTAGATTATTTATCCTCTGGCGACTTGGGGCGGTTGATGACGCACCGAGGTGGCAGGAGGTGTATGGACGCCGAGGCCCCTTGCTGTCGAGATCCCTTCACCCTATATAGTTTATCCTTCGGAGGCTTGGGGGGCGGCTTGGGGGGTTGATGACGCACCGAGACTGGCAGGAGGTATAGTGATGCCGAGGCCGTCTTGCTGTCGAGATCCCTCTAAAGCCGCTCTCCAGTCGCAGGCCCTCAAAGACCGAAGCCGAAACGGGCTCCGCCACAGAAAAGGGTCAAGCCGCCGGCGAAGATGCGGAAGAGAAAGGCGTCGGAGGAAGGTAGGTGATTATGAGGTGGTTTGTGCGATTTGGTGTTGCATATGTATAGCTGACTCTGATGATTTTAGAGGGAGATGAAGTTGAAGAGATTCTTCAGCCTGTGAAGCAAATTGCTCCCAGGGCGCAGAAGAAGCTTAGAGCAGGGCCCAGGTAAGAACGTGGCTTGGAATGAGATGTTCGAGCTGGACTGGTACTAATTGGTGCAAGCAGCAATCGGGCGGCCAATAGTACTTTGAAGAAATCAAAGTCGGCTTCATCTTCTGCGAAGAGCGCAAAGAGTGAGATTCGTCGAAATGCGGATCCCTTACGCGAACCCGAGGGCAGAGGGACGAAGACGGGTGGCTTTACCCAAAACGACAACCCGAGCTCGTCCCTGTCCCGGCGATGGCCATGAAGCGCTTCTTCAGCGAAGAGCCTGAGGCTGACGACCCGGCCAAGAAGCAAGTCTTTGACAAGGGAAAGACCAGATCCGTCTCTACTCCGGTGGTCAGCCAGCCGCCGCTCACTCCAGGCAAGTCGGCCAAGGCTTCTCGCTAGACCTCTCTGCAGGTCTCCCAGACGTCTAAGAAGTAAATGATACGTGCTTTGACATGCATCGATCATTGTTGCAAGTATTTTACGAATTGGCTTGAATGCCCCGACGATAGTTGAATACCTCCAGCCCCCAAAGATCCCGCACCATCCAGAGGTAACGATCTTGTCACCTTTATCAACGGCCCAGCCCAGCCAATTACCCAAAGTCCTTCGGAATACCTTCATCTCAACATGCGTCTCATAAGCACAAAGACCCTTGACTTGGAAGAATTATTCAACATTTATGTCCCCGAATACGCCATTCTCTCCTACACGTGGTCGACGTCGTAGCCAATGTGCGTCAGGGCTACGATGCCCTTGATATCGGTTGTGTTGCGAATCTCCCAGATGGCCTTTTTTACCTCTTCCACTAGATCGAGAAAGGTAGTCAGTTCGCCAACATGCGAAATCGTCGGCGTCGTCGGCGTTGTTGCCCCGATAACAACCAGCCCGTGCTCGTCAAAAGTAACTGAGATTGACCCCAGATTTTCTCCCCATATCCACGAAGTCACGATAAACGCCTCGTTACCAGATAAATCTTCCACAATCGTCGGATACTTGCCCTGCGTACCTTACATTTCTCCTAGCAGCGTGTGGCTGTGACCGCCAATGATGGGGGACAGGCCCTCTGTCTGGGCCGCAAGCTGGGCCGCAAGCTGGGCCGAAGGCGAAATCTTCCTTTGAGAATGAGCTAATTGTAAGAACCGACGCTTCAAGCCCGGCTTCCATAAGATCATTTGGACCTGCAAAGAGGCCACCAGGGACAACTTGCAATATGTCTGGGTCGACACCAACTACATCGATAAGACCAGCTCAGCGGAGCTTTCCGAGACCATCAACTCCATGTTCAAATGGCACCGCCAGGCGCGCATGTGCACCTACCAGAGCTCCCAAATGTCGGCAAGTATGACGATTCCAAGACGAGCTTTGCTGCGAGTACCTGTCAGGAGTCAGTCACAAAGGGAACGCTTCTTTCTTCATTGAACGCAGATAAAGGCACGAGCCCGTTGCTGCCTCTCTCGAGCTTGCTGTGATTGCTCTCGACCTCTGATTTCTTCTTCCTTGGCCCGTTGCTGGAGCTCTCGAGCTCTATGTTTCTCTTCAAGAGCTTGCTGCGCTTCCTCTCTAGCTTTTCGCTGCTTTTGGAATAGCCGTTGCTCTTCGGCGCGCCATTGCTCACATAGGCTCTCTTTCTCTATGGCAACTTTCTCTTGCTCTGCTCTGTTCAACAAATGCCAAATTGTTGAATATCTGTCGATGAGCCATTTTTTGAAGTCTTTGAGCGTCTCTTTGAGGGAAGATAATGTCTGATGGCGGCAAGAGAGGGATTAGGACTCCCGTGGTGTCCGAGTTCTCAACTAACAAAGTAGCCGGCCAGAAGGGCTGAACAGAGTTATAAGAAGGAGCCGTAGCCCCTTTGTTTCTCAAAAGATCAGAGGTAAGTATAGTCCTTTATATAACCCTAGCTGTGTGGTCCGTGATAGTGACCGTGCAGTCCCCATCTTTGACTCTTTTACTCTTCCTGTTGCCGCCGATCCTGACAGTACCGGCCCCCAACCTCAACCTGGACAAGTTGTTGTCATGGGATACACCGGCCGGCTCAAGGACACCAGCAAGCACGACAACAAGGGCAAGAAGTGCGTGGTTGAACCGAACACTTTCACCGATGCTTCCATGAAAGCGAATGAATCTTCAATTGTTTTGACTCCTCTTAAGACCGAAACCCTCAGACACAGCGTGGATGCTATTCCACATCTAACAACAACGTCTCAATTGTACCAAGGTGAGACATCTGGTCCATGATCGTTCGCTGTTGATTCCAAACTAATCGTTGAAATGATGTTTGACAGTGTTCCCACAAACAATCAGGGATATAAAAGCCCCCTATAACGGCCTCGTTTACATCCAATATATGATACAACTCCAGCATCCAGTCTCTGCGTCGTCAGGCGGCAGCTCCTCCATTCTATCTCCTAGCCATCACTGTGGCGCCATTTTGCCTCGCCATTTTTATAGCAGCTTCCCGCTGGTCTAGTTTCCGACACCGCGGTTTTGATATTTTGTTTAGCTTTTGCATTGATGTCTTTACTGTCATTTTTGACTTTAGGTTTTACCATCTGCCCATTACTGCCGGAGCTGGTTGGGCGTAGGTCCCTCGCAGTCCAGGCAGGGTTTTTTGGGCTGACGCTGGACGACCAGGCTACGTGGGTGAAAAGGCTGTTGAGCGTGGAATGGCCGCCCAGGTTCTCGAGAGATGGGTTCACCGTGCTAAATGTGCTCGCTATAACAAGAATGAAGGATTGGGGACAGCGTATCCGCCTTTTGAGACAGAGATTGGCATCAACCCTGTCATTAAGGGTGCGTTTCTCAGCGATGATGACCTCACTTCAATAACCCGCCAAGTTCACAATACTGGAGACTTTGAAGTCTTTGGGGGCCCAAATGTTGGAGATATCGAGGCAAAGGTTAGTTTTGCTCTCTCTCCAAATCATTCTTTTGCTCTAATGCTGATTTAGCCTGCCTACACTTTCCAAGAGGTGTTGGGGGTGATACAGGGGTTGATTGGCCGCCTTTTCTGGCTGCGACTGTCCGTATACATCCCATAGAGCAAAGCCCATCTCATGGTCGTTTAGAGAGTCGTCGACGGCCACGACCATGATGGCGTCTGTGGAACTCAGGCTTGCCATCTTTTTGGCATATCGCCAGGAATAGGCTTCGCCCTCTCCAGTGAGCCTAACAGGAAATAACCGGGCTATAATGGCATCTGTTTTCGGGTGAAAGGCGATGGGATGCGGCTCCTCTACAAGCCGACTCTGCCAAATCTCTCGACGATTCCGACAGCTTCGCCACCAACGAATCGACGCCGCCAACTAGCCCAGACATTGCGACAGGCGAGCACACGCCTTCTCCCAAGCCGAATCACCTTTCAGGCTACTTTAAGTATTCGACCAAGCCCGCTGCCCCAGTCGAGCCCGAGCCTACTCCGATGATTCCCCAGCGCTCTCCTACGCACACCAAGAACAACTCGGTCGATGCCGTTGCCAGGTCGCAATCCATATCCCGCATTTCTCGAGATTCAGATCTGTCTGCCGCATCCCGGAGTCTGCAGGCCTTCTCCCGAACGCCGTCCGTATCCGCGTTTGAAGCGTTTGTATTTTTTGGGCGGAAGGTCGATGATCTATTCTGCGGGGCCTCGTTTCTAAGAATAGCTGAGTTGGTGATAATGTAAACGTTACTGGGTATTTGTTCGCCCTCATCCTTTTTTCATCTCACAAACGTGCCAAAAAATTGCCCCGGTAAATCTCATGTAAACAGGCACATCCATGTGCCAGTATCGATGGACTGTAAATGATTGACAGCGGTAGGTACCTATTATGCTCCTTAGGAGAGCTGGGGCTGATCAATTACTGGTAGTTGGATCCTCTTGAATCCCGGACACATATTCCATCCTATGTAGTCGGGTGACTTTTGTGATGCTGCTGATGCTGTATGTCATGCCATCAGTATTCGAAGCTTGCTGGCTGCGCCACTGAAACTGCGGGTATCGCGATACAATCACCGGGCGATGTGCACATGGATGCTGTCCCTATCTCAACGATGTCAATGGACATGTACTGTAAATGCTACCATAGCTTGGTGAAATTAGCCTCATACAAGTATCTTTTGCGGATAGTCTCCAACATTATGGACTCAATTCATCTTCAATGGGGGATCTAGATGGATGGGGCTGACAAAAAAAGGATCCATGGTTCATTATGACAAGGAACTATTTGGTGTAACCACGTAGCTAATAATTGAGCAATTGTATGGATGGAGGCAGATTAAACATTCCGAATTGATGATTTATGCGTGTGTTCTTCCCATATATGCCGATGAATCCGGGTAAGATGCTGAAGGAGTTGCCTCTCGTCGATCATGTCACGTTCCCAATTCCCTCTCAGCCATGTTTTGGTTCCAATTCCTGCGTAGATGATCAAACTTTGCAGAAGGTTCTACGTGCAATGAATGGCCCGCAGTACCCGAATGGTTACACAAGGTTGAACGAATCCAGCGACCACAGAAATCCATTATTCCTTCAGCATTCAGCATTTTGATCAGCATCACGCCCAGGCTACGTTGCGTGCAAAGCTGCAGTCGACGCTGTATCATTGCCGACTCGTTTCCACTCCAATTGTTACAGGTCTTCCTCATTTTCCCGAATCTGCCAAGTCCCATCTATCACGATCGGAGCTCGGCTGGCTACAGCCAAGCACGGGTAGCCACCAGCTAGGAAATGCTACTGTGGTTAGCACCATCTCAGGCTACCCCAGAGCCAAGACATCTTGGAGATGTACTTTCACTGTTGTTACCTAGCTGAGCTCTGACACCGGAGCTGATGCTTGCAAAACACGTTGCAGTGGCATGTCACCAAGAACCCATCGAAGCGGTCACTGATAGCAGATCGACTGCCTCTCTCAGGCTCGTTCTCGGGTCAGTCTGCCACCGAGTAAATACTCGTAGTACAAGCAAATCCAAGCCCAGCAGTCACAATGCAACGTTAACCTTGAATCATTCCCCCACCCTGGTTATCTCGTCTTCTGTGCCTGGAACCTCGTACCAAGTAACTGCTTCTGGAGTAGGGCCCTGTGGCTGGTCTTTGGAGTGCGGGGGCACAGGGTCAAGACACTAATACGAGTACAGTATGTACGGTAACAACCAGGCTCAAGTACAAGTAAGCACGTATTATCTCGTACTCCGTGGTGCCTGGGATAGCCGCGAATAACTGGAGCCAAGCCCGCTGGGGATCCGCAGATACTTGCCATGCATCTTCCTTTGCCATCTTCGGGCGAGGAGGCAGAAGAGATAACGAAGTGCTTGTTGATAAAACCCAGATGAGTCAGGCCATATCTAATCTGCTAGTTGAGATACGCTACGAGAAAAATGAATGATTACAGAAGATGCCAGAATTATCAGGCGTTGACGATAGGAGTGGGGAGTGGATGGCCAGACGAGAAATCCTTCCCTCAAGATTGTCAACTCTCCTCTCCATTCTCCGTTCCCGGTAATGGTAATACGAGCCACTCACTCCACCCCCGCAAATGGTCGACTTTTTTTCTCTCCCGCCTCTTTTTCATGTCTTCATCTCCACTCTTTTCGCCTCTCCATCTTTTGCCTCCATCCCGCTAATCATCCGCGGCTTGCCCTGGCCTGGAACGGGGAACATCCACAAGTCTGGGGCAGAAACGAGCATCCACGGCCCTCTAGCATTCTTCGTGTCCTGGAAACAGACTGCTTGTGCACGATGGAATGATTCTGGGTCAATGTTCCAGGGGGGCTCTGCCATTGGCAAGTCTAAAAATTGTTTCTTTTTAAGCTTCCCTTTAGGCTCTTGAGCAAAACGACATCCCTGCCAACCTCCCCGTCCGCCTGATAGGTGGAACAATCGTCGAGGAGTCATGCTAACCGTTGCTTCTGCAGACTTCTGCACCGCTCTGCACCGCGCTAGCAACCTTGAACTGATAACGTGTGGGATGGGCCATGCACTCTCCAATCTCGAAACAACCACACTAGACAGTCGCTAGCCGGGAAGAGCCACAAGGTGTGTCAGTCCATTGAATCCAGCAGTGTCTGATCGGCCAAACTAGTAACTCGAAGCTGACAGTATCACCCCTAGCTCTTCTCTCTGTACTACGCAGGCCCCTTCGCATCACCTGTTACATCATACAGGTCGTCCCTAGTGGCAATCTCGTTACATCGGTCCAAAAGCTACTCCAAGCAGCCTTATCGGTCATGGCATCCACTCGGTAGCACACGCACACCTCCTTGCGTGGTATATATCGACGACTCCCTAGCCCTGATTTGCGATTTCCACAGCTCGGAAGTCGCTGTCCTGCGTCGTCTCAGCACCTGCTCAAGCTTGGCTGCGTGTTGCTGCTCTCCACCTCGGCTGTGACGACCTCAATCCTCTCCATCAGAGACTGCTCTCGAGGCTAGGCTCTAAGACGACGCTGTCTTCTTTCGTGCTTCATTTACCTGGGTCAATCTTTATTAGCAGAGGCGATTCGATAAAGCGTCACAACAATGGCGGAGAAGACCGACCTACAGCGCGAAGAGACGCGGCCAGACTCGATTCACGACTTGAAGCATGGCGGTGCCACCGCCGAAGCCATCGAGGCTATTCGTGCCGAGCACGAGCTCACCTTTGGTGAGGCCCTGAAGCTGTATCCCAAGGCCATCGCCTGGTCAGGCTTTGTGTCCATTGGTGTCATCATGCTTGCCTTTGATCCCCAGCTCATCGGAAATCTGTATTCAACACCTCAGTTTGCTCGTGACTTTGGACACTTGTACAAGGGAGATGTGAGTCCAACCATTTCATCATTTCCCTAAAATAGCATTGCTGACGCTCATCACGTGCAGTGGGTGATTGAAGCTTCCTGGCAGACGGCTCTCTCAATGGGCAACCCAATCGGTCAAGTGCTTGGAGCACTCTTTGCCGCTTACCCCATGGATTACTTTGGTCGAAAACTCACCTTCGCTGCCTGTGTCATCCTCACCGCCGGCATCGTCTTTATTCAGTTCTTCTCCAAGACCCTCGGCGTTCTTCTCGCTGGAGAACTGCTGGCTGGTCTCGTTCTAGGAATGTTTGTCGTCATTGCGCCAGCTTATGCCTCCGAGGTCTGTCCCACGGCGCTTCGTGGTCATCTCACCTCTTTCGTCAACCTCTGCTTCGTTATCGGCCAATTGCTAGGTAACGGTGTCACTGCTGGTACCTCTAAACTCGAAAACCACTGGGCCTACAAGATCCCTTTCCTGTTGCAGTGGTTTTGGATCCTTGTCATCCTCCCTGGTATGGCTTTCATCCCCGAAAGTCCGTGGTGGTTGGTTCGTAAGAACCGCTTGGAAGACGCTGAAAAGTCGCTGCGGCGGTTGGCGTCGCCCAAGGTGAATGTTCAAGCCACCTTGGCTTTCATCGTCGAGACAGATCGTTTGGAGCAGGAGCTTGAAGCTGGTAGCACATACTGGGATTGCTTCAAGGGTGACAACTGGCGTCGAACTGAAATTTCTATGGGCGTTTACTGCACTCAGGTCCTTAGCGGCATCTACCTCATCAACTACGGCACCTTTTTCTTCCAGCAGGCTGGTCTTCCTACTGACCGCGCCTTTGACATGTCTGTTGGATTCTTGGGTAAGTTGTTCCACCGTCACAATTAACATCTTGTGTGAGATATGTTTTACTAATGACTTTCTTGTTCTGTAGCTGTTGGTTTTGTCGGAACTCTCGTCTCCTGGGGTCTCATGCTCAAATTTGGCCGCCGCACGCTCTTCGTATCGGGTCTCGCATGGCTCGTAGTCCTTCAATTCGTCATCGGCATCCTCGATTGTATTCCCGGCCGACCTTCCGGCGCCATCTGGGCCGAGTCATCTCTCATGCTCATCTGGAACTTCTTCTACGACATCTCCATCGGCCCCGTTTGCTTCGTCCTGCTTGGTGAATGCTCGGCTACACGTGTTCGTTCCAAGACTATCGCCGCCGCCACCGCTGCTCAGGGTCTTTTGGGTATCGTCATGACCGTTGCCATTCCTTATATGATCAACCCGGAGCAGGCCAACTTACAGGGCAAACTGGGCTTCTTCTTTGGTGGCCTTGCTCTAATCTGCTTGATCTGGTCTTATTTCCGCGTTCCTGAGACTATGGGCCGTACCTTTGAGGAACTTGATCTTCTCTTCGACAAGAAGGTGCCTGCAAGACAATTCAAGGGGTACAAGTTAGAGGGCGCAGTATCGGCAGGCGCAGCGTGATTACACACGCGAAATCATGGATGGAAAGGAGGACTAAGAAAAGAGAATGGAAGAGAAGAGACACAAAGTGACCGGTTATTCCAAAAGGATGCCTCGCACTACGAATGACGAAAAGACAAGCTGATCTTAATGAGCCCATAGTGTGGCTTAGAGGGGAGAAATGGAAACATTGAGAGCACATTCTTGTGAAACAAGCCTATGTGAGTCCGTGTCTTCTTTCTCTTTCCCGTTTCTTCTCCTTTCATGTTTTTTCTTTATTGCACTGGAATTTTATGGCATTAGATACCACTTGAACTAGTAATGAACATTATTGAACCATCTTCAGTTCCCTCTGCTGTGATCGCCCAATGCAAGCATTGATTCCGACCTCGCCAAGAGGCTCAACTATTTGGCCTTTTAAGATGATGACGTCCACTATACCTTATCAGGTTGCAATATTCATGCATACGCGTAGGAAAGCTTGATTGGATACCGGCTTACCGAATAGGCTCGGCGTCATCCTTCTCCTTTTTGATCGACTGACATTGTATGTGGTCTGCGGAGATTACGCGGCGGAGATTGCAAACGAACTACCTCCTTGGCACTCTCATGTCAACGTTTTACCAAGTTAAAAGTGTAATTGCATTAGAAAAAGTAAATTATCGAAATGAACGAAGGTATAATGTCAAATAATAGTAATACAATCGCCTGTAATTGCAGTGTCTGTTGTTTGTGATGTCCTGAATGGAGACCGATCAAACAACATCTTGACACATGTCCGTAGGCTGAATAACGGCTTAGGCCGTCACCGATTAACACCATGTTGGCGGATATGCCTGTCCAAGCGTCATTTCAACGCTCAAACCTCTCCAATCGGTCGAAACTGCACTGGCCGTCTCCAGTGGCGGGGTATTCTCTCGTACAAAGTCATAGACGCCGTGGTCTACGGTTCGCGCATCAGCGCAATAGGGTGATAAAAAACACTCCTAAAGACTGGACGATATACCAGGGGAGATTGTGTCGAGCTTGCTGAGGAGCTCATCAAAAAACCTCTTCTGAACTCCTTGACCCCACTGGTTTGTGACATGTTTCGCTGGCCTGGCACGGCGGATTGATTAGTTAGACAATGCTTCTATGTAGCAATGGCTGGTGGGGAGTGTCATCAATGTTACTTACACCTGGACCTTGCAGTTGGTTAGATACTGGCCGTGGCTGCTTTCGTCCGTGAGGATTCCGTGTACCAAAGTGCGGCTCCCCTCTTCTGTGGAGCGAGCCATGATCTTTTCAGCGATCCGGACCCCCGCCGAATCTTGCTCTCTGGCCAAGTCAGACTTGCACCAACTAGGGTTGGGAGTATTGATGATGAATTTGCCCTTGGCCCTCTTGGCAATTTCACGCACGGCATAGAGCACGAGCAGTTTTGAAAGTGGATATCTCCCACCCATGTCGGCTTGTTTTACGTCATTCAGCCGATCCAGGAGGTTCCTATCGTTGAGCTCAGCAAGAGGCGCCATGTAATGCAGGGCGCTGTTGGGAATGACGAAGCGACACGGGTTGCCTGTTTGTTGTTCTGACCTGCGCATGGTTGGGAGGAGTGCGAAAAACAGGAGGAAGATGTTGATCACGTTGACGTTGAGTGTCTTTTCGCTTCCCTCACTGAGTACGAATTGGTTTGTCATGATGCCTGCGTTGGCCAAGACTCCGTCAAGGCGGGGCAACAGAGCTGCTCGTTCTGCAAAGGCTTGGACAGACGCCTGGTTATCCATGTCAATGGGCCACACCTCGATGCTTGAATCAAGTTTTCCAGTTGATTTGAGAATTTCTTTCTTGGCTGCTTCTCCCTTGGAAAGTGTTCGAACAGCCATGATGATCTTTCCCACGCCGAGGCGGGAGAGGTGACGGGTGGACTCGAATCCGAGGCCGCTATTTGAGCCGGTGACAACCATTACTTGGTTGGAGAGGTCGTTTGGTGTATTGGGAATGGGGAGAGTGACAAAGACTCTACCATAGATGACAGAGCCAAGCCCGTGAACGGCAGACATGGTTGCTTGGTTTTTTTCAGCGTCTCTTTGGAAGTGTATGCAGTGTTCTTCGAATTGAATACTGGCTTGAGCTTGCGATTCAGATGGTAAAATAATGGTTGCTTCAGTGTTTAAAGAGAAGATGCTCTTGGAGTGGTTGCTGGATGCGAGCCTGCGTATTGATGTTGAAAGCCACAAATGGAGATGCAGGACGAGGGCCTCGCCGTTACACTTAAATAATTTGTCTCTTCTTCCTCATCTCCGGCTGCCTATAAATTCTTCATTCTTCATCGCTACCGGTGTTAATAAAGCCACCATCTTCAACACACATTTGCCTTCAATTTGGCATCACTTACAAGATTCCCGCTCCTATCCCCGACCCAGCTCTTCGCACCAGCCTGACGGAATTTTGCCCTTTGTGGAGAAGTCCGGGGATATTATCTCCGCAATAGTGCCCGCTAAAGTCGCCGATCCAGCCATGACACGCTGAGCTAAGGAGGAAATGGGCAATTAGCAAATGCTGCAAATCGATTTGCCGTAGTTAGGCTTGCCCGGAGTTAATATCCCCAAACGGGGTCATTAAATAGTCCGGGTGCTTTCGCCGATAACAGCCGGCTTTTCGATCTTCTACCACCTATCTCCTGATCTTCTCTTTTTTCCACATTGTACAAGTGCTTTTTTCTTTGGTCGTTGAGGGAGTCGCGTAATGGAGTTTGGTCCAAGGAAGATTGAAAAGCGGAACCGGGCCCCTGTGTCTTGCGAACCATGCCGAGCTCGAAAGTAAGCAATCGTCGTCCATTGATACACGCAAAGTCTCCGAATGAAGCCCAAGAGAAAACATGGGAGGAAGCTCACCCTTATGCTGCGCAGGCAAATGTGCAACCGCGGTCAGCCATGCGAAGGCTGTACCAGGCGGAATCAAGCGTCACTGTGTCGATATGCTCCCAATGCCATCAGGAACAAGGCTCGCCCTTCCAAGGTTGGCAACATCCAGGAGCGGCTGGATAACCTAGAGGTTATGCTGGCTTCGATTGCCGCGAATCCGGCCGCCGCTGGGATTGGCATAGGTGCGGCTCCCGGTACGCAGGCTTCGTCTAGCCAGAGGCGAATGCCGACATCTTCCTATGAACAGCCTCAGTCACCCTTCAAGTCAGCTCGATTCCGCCAAGACAATCACGCATTACCGCCTGAGCTGCCTCATCGCCACGAGTCCGGAGATGGCCAGGTCAGTTATATCGACCCCAGCCATTGGAGAGCCATCTTGGATGAAATCAAAGAGGTCAGAGAACATCTGTCGGCCTTTGACCGCCCTCTGGTGCAGGAGGAGCCGGAGCGCAAGAGCGTTGCCTCGGAAGACGGTGCCGGATTTATGTTTGGCAAATTTCCGGTGGTCGATCTCGAAGACATCATCAGCACCCTGCCGCCGAGATCGGCATGCGATGCCCTTGTTGCCCAGTATTTCAACGCCAGATTCATGGTGCTGGGTGAGTCCATGGCAATTCATTTTCATCTTTGGCCCTACAATTTGAGGTTTGGTGCGCTAATGCAAGCGGGCCACCTGCATGTCGTGTGTAGGCATCCTGCACCCGGTCAAGTTCCAAAGGGAGGTCAGTCATGTCATCAAGGATTAGTCAACACCTGACAGGTCGTTTTTCATGTTGCAACTAACCATTGTTGATGAATACAGTATGAAAAGTTCTGGGATGCTCCCCTCAAAGCACCTCCTCTTTGGATTGCTCTGCTCTTTTCCGTTCTCAGCCTCACAACCACTCTTCGCAATGTCGCCGGTGGTTCGGCCGGGCCCAAATCTGCAAGGCCTACAGCCAAAACGCTGCAGCAAAGAACGGTTGAATGCTTGATATTGGGACGTTTCCCTAATGCAAACGCGTATGCTCTAGAAGCCATGATACTGCATCTCCAGAGTTGCTACCTCACTCTCAATAGGCTCGGCTCCGATCACTGGTTTGAGATGGGCACTTTGATTCGCCTCGCCTTTAGAATGGGCTATCATCACGACCCGGACGGCTTACCAGGCATCTCAGTCTTTGATGGAGAGATGCGGCGGCGCGTTTGGCACAACATATTCCAAGTGGACGCGCTCATGTCTTTTCAGATGGGGTTTCCGAGCATGATTCCGACAGAATTCTGCGACACCAAAGTGCCGAGAAACCTGCAGTTCTCTGATCTAGAAATAAACATGACTTCGCTGCCTCCCGGGCGACCTCTGTTCGAAAACACTCCGATCAGGTATCCAATCGCCAAGTCTGGTGTCATGGCCGTGTTCAAAAGGATTGTTGCGCATTCACAGTCTTTATCTCTCCCAACTTATGACAACACGATTATGTTAGATAACGAAATGAGGGAGGCGTACAACAACTTACCGGAAATCCTGAGAGGAAGAGACGTTGGTCGTTCTTTCATGGATCCATCGAACATCATCTTCGAGAGATGCACCATCGAGATGCTCTACTTGAAAGGTCTCATTGTTCTGCATCGGCGATACATCAGCTACGAGGTTGACGGCCGTCGATTTGAGCACTCTAGACGCACCTGTGCCGAAGCAGCTCTTGACATTCTGGCTCGCCAGGCAGATCTGCATCAAGCATGTCAACCCGGAGGGCGCTTGTACGACGACCGATGGATGGTCTCTTCACTGACCATGCACGACTTTCTTTTGGCTGCCATGGTCATCTGTCTGGATCTTTCTGTTCGTCTCCGGCGTCCTTCAAGCGTGTTAGTGCCTGCAAAAGATGATGACGCTCTTACTGGGCGAGAATACCATGCGCTGCAGAGATCGCAGACGATATGGGCATCTAGTAGCCAGATGTCTCCAGAAGCACGCCTTGCATCTTTGGCGCTCGGCCTGATGGTGCAAAAAGTGGCCGACAAAGACGCCCGCCATATCCCTCTGTCCAAGGCTCCAGAAGAGGACCTGGCTGCTGCCGCTTCTTCCCAAGAGCTTCCGTATGCAGGACCCATGTCTCAGATGATTGATGGCACTGAAGGATTGGACTGGGTAAGTTTGGATCAGGGCTCGTTGATCAGGTCAGAGGAGAATCTAACTCGCAGCAGGGCTTGCTGGACCAGTACTTTCAGAATCAGCCAACGGATGCGTCCCAATTGGATCCATTCAGCATTGATCCTGGTTGGTTTGACCTACCGCTGTAGAAGAGGTGGGAGGAGAAGTCCTGTACAAACTCTTGACTGTAAAATCAGGTCATATTATGGTGATGCGAGAGAAGCAGTAGGGTGAAGATGGGGAAGAGGGTGAAAGAAAAAAGAAAAGAGAAAAAAGGAAGAAGGCGAGACTGCGGGCAATGTTTCCTTTGTCTGGGAGAAATGGACAGTTTTCACTCAACGCTAATCGGGATATAGGATGGGGAATTACTGCCGGTAATTCACAACGTACATCAACTGGGGCGCCGCCGCCGGAAATGCAGATGCAGCCTAATCTCAACGATACCCAAAGTACTGGAGGAGGACAAATGCAGGGATAGCAGCAATTTCGCTGGTACTTTTCTTTTTACATCAGAAAACTTTTGAATAAATTTTGATTTGATATCAAGTCTACTGTATCGTATTCAGTTGCTATCCGTGTATTCGTCTTGCAAATACCCAAGGTTGCAACAAGACGAGGGAGGGAAAAGACAAGTGAATGACCTGACGTTATCATTGTCCATAAACAACTAGAGCTTCTTTCCAATGCGGATTGTTCAATAATAATTACCTCATTTAACAATTGTGCAATTGCAGCCCATTCATCGCTTGCGTTCTTGCAAACGTCCAGTTGTGTGGATGACCCACTAGCTGAGCCAGTCAGCAGCCGTTTGCCCACCATGCCTTAAACCCCCCCCCCCCCCTTCAACTTTCTTGTTATTCTCCCACTGCTACTACTATTTTTTGCTTCTACCAAACATTTCTTCCTTGTTCGAATCTTTTTTGGTCAGATTTTGGTTCGAATTTTGCTCATTTTTGGTTTCTTGGTTTCTTGATTTCTTGGTTTCTTGGTTCTACCAATATTGCTTCATCATTATTCCAATCGTAAGTCTCTTCTCTTCCATTCGGCATCCATCTTCAACAGCCTCCCAGATTCTTCGCGTCTTGACTCGACCTTGCAGACTGACCATGGCCCCAGATTATATATTTCATCGTTATTTTACTGTCAGCACCGAAATGCTGAAGATCGGATGGTGTCCGGAAAAGGACACCAGATTATGCATCGGCCCATCTGCCGATGAACTCCTCCGACTCAAGGCAGGGTACTAGATTCTGCATCAACCCATCCCCCTCCGCCATTTATATTGATTCCTACCTCTTCGTCATTGCCACGGCGGTCCTCCAGCATTCACTCGGGGTCAACTCAAGCTATGGAATTTGCGAAGCCATGTCAACTCAAGTTATGGCATTTGCGAAGCCATGTCAACTCAAGTTATGGCATTTGCGAAGCCATGGTTGCCACAGATTGCATCCATGGTTCCCTACGGGGACATGCTCCAACTGCGGGGGACGTCTCTCTACTACATCTACTACATCTACTCGCCAATGCCACATCTATGGCTAGCGTTCAAACGGTATGTTCATTTCAGTTCAGTACAACAACTTAGTTGCACTGCACAACTCGCACATGAACCAGAAATACTAACACTGCTGCAATCAAGACAGAAGTGGTCGTTGGATCACTGATAATACCTTTTATCCGCTGAAAGATACACGGCAGCTCGAAGAGGGACAGACATTCAATGCCTTCAAGGGTTACATTTTGCCTACCAAGACAAAAGAACGCCAAGGTTCAAGTATGGCACGGCCCGGGGTCTACGAGAGGCCCAGGTCGTGCCATAATGCACAAAATTCGCCGAACACAGCAACGAACTCGTCGCCAATAAAAAGCCCGCGCCGGAACTCCCGGGAGCCAGCCTCCCCTGTACTGGCAAGAACAGTAGCATCTGGTCCCATTCGCGGACCTGTGCAAAACAGTCAAAGGCGTCTTCTGCCAGATAACAATAATGGCCAAGCGGTAGCTCAGAATCAAGAGCTACACAACGACCAGAAGCTTCTCGCCTACGAGAGAATCCAAGATGCCAGCCGATATTTCCTCAACCAGTTGAAACCCCTGTTCGCAGAGTTGCTAATCGCACCAACCAACAAAGAAATCGCTCTGGCCTGGTGTCGAGTTCAACCTCCGCCCAATCCTTCATCCCTAGGATACTCTGCAGACTGTGCTGCCGCAACAGAAATTCCATCACGTTTTCTTGTGTAAGTACTGTGCATGCACCAGTCTCCTGTCAACACGCGGAATACGGCAGAGTGCTGACCCGCGTCGTCTAAGGTTAATCCTAGCGTGTCTCCAGCTCAATGGTCAACCCGCGCTGTTCCCGTCATGACTTTCGCGGCATCTTTCCAAATGTGGTATTTTAGTGTCGAGCTACTCAGCATCTTGCAATTGCGAGGAATGCGATCTCTTCCTATTGGCTGCAAATAAGCGATCTTCATAGCCACGATGCAGGAGTCGTTTAATGGCTGCGGTGGATTACGTCGACCTTTCGCGGCATCATCCCAAGAGCGGAAGAGGCTGAACATTTCGGTCTCTTTATGCATCGAGGGATGCTTGCCATGAAATCCTTCCATTGATTGCTGCGGTGCCTCCCCGAGGATACCAAAAACTATAAATCATGGCTGGCTCACTTCACGAATTCCAGAATTGCCACTGTTTCATTGCGATTCAACTGCATCACTTGTCTGGTTCTTGAGAGGCAGTTATCGAAATGTTTAGCTCCAACCTCCAGTTGCTTCTCTGCCTAGCTGGCAGTGTCTATGGGCTCTGTGCACCACCTCCAGAGTCATGCAAAGCATATCCCGGCACGTCGTCTTGGCCTTCTGCCCATACTTGGGCTGTACTCAACCAAACACTCGATGGACGACTGCTTCAGCCTTCTCCCCCCGGCGCAGTCTGCCATCCTAGCCAGTCTACCTACAACACCAGCCAGTGCTCCCAGGTAGCCGACGAGTGGAAGACGTACGAGTTTCATGTTGCAAACCCAATTTCTGTCATGTGGGACAAGTTTGATAATTTCACCTGCCTACCAGATGAGAACACGCCGTGTTCTCCAGCTGGGTATCCTGCCTATGTGGTGAATGCATCAACTGCAGAGCATGTCAAGATCGGCATAGACTTTGGTAAGTTAGATTCATACGCTTTACAGTGACGGAAACGCAGAGTTTTCTAACTATATCTCTTAGCACGCAAGTACAATATCCGCCTCAACGTCAAGAACACTGGCCACGACTATCTCGGCCGCTCCAATTCTCCAGGCTCTCTCTCCATATGGACTCATCATCTGAACAAAATCACTTACAACAAAGGGCAGTATAAGCTGAATGGCTCTGGGAAGGTCCTGCAAGGAAATTCCATCACCGTTGGCGGTGGATCTGAGATGTGGGATATATATGTCGCTGTAGACAAGCATCACGAGGTCATTGTTGGTGGAGGAGGCAAGACTGTTGGTATAGGAGGATACATCACTGGCGGAGGGCATTCGATCTTTGCACCCAAGTATGGCTTGGCTGCAGATAACGTGTGGGAGATGGAAATTGTCACACCAGGAGGCGATATTGTTATATCCAACGAAGATAGACATCAGGACCTATTCTGGGCAATGAGAGGAGTAAGTAGCAGCTGTCCCCAAGATGATGGGTGTCTCAATACTAACGAGCATGGCAGGGAGGCGGCTCAACATTTGGTATCATCACATCCGTCACGCTCAAGACGCATCCAAGCCCCAAGATTATGGGCATCGCATTTATGATGTTCACCGATCCCAAAGAATCCATCGTATACGAACTCATCACCTACATCGTCTCCCAAATACCCAGTCTAATGGCACAAGGCCTTTCTGGGTACAATCTCGCGACTAAAAATATGACGACACCCATCCAGATACCAGGTATCCCTGATCGCATCGCAGGATTCCTAGGCTCAATCGTTCTCCAAGACGTCGATAGCCCCGACGTCGTCGCAAAGATTTTCAATCCAATAAACGAAACCCTTCATGAGCGCTGGCCTGACAAAGTCCAGTTTTACACTCTTCTTACCCAGTATGACTCGTGGCTAGCTTGGTTCAGCCAGAATTACGATACCAACCAAGCGGGTGGAAGCCAATACCTTGTCTCCCGACTTCTCGATGGCGAAGCCCTAACTGGCAACCCGCAAAAGCTAAAGAGCGCTCTCAAAGCAGCGATTAATCCGAGCGGAACCATATCTGTATTCATGGTAGGCGGCAAGGGTGTCCAAGAAGCGAAGCCGAGAGGAGGCAGCAATGCCGTCAATCCCGCATGGAGAACTGCATACGTTCACGCTCGTAAGTTGTTCAAACTCTCATTCATCGTGGCCAGATCCATTGTACTAACAATGATCTACTACCAGTAACCAGCGAACCGTTCGGGCCGTTCAACAAGACTGCAGAGAACAATGCCAAAGCGATCATAGACAAAGAATTCCAACCACTCCGCGATCTGACGCCCAAATCTGGAGCATACATAAACGAGGTACGTTGTTTCTTCATCCCTCATCATTATTCAATGGATACTAACCTGTCCTTTGATCTGTTACAGGCCTTTCCGTTTGAAAAGAACTTCCAACAGACGTTCTGGGGCAGCAACTACGCGAGACTACTCCGCATCAAGCGCGAAGTCGATCCTACCGACGTATTCTGGTGCGCGCCGTGCGTGGGCAATGAGAAATGGGAAGTTCGCCAAGACGGAAAACTCTGTAAGAAGTAGACGAGGTCAATGTCGTTGGATCGAGGTCGGAATTTCTCGCATTCTCCAGCTGCTACTGCGATCGAGGAAAACAAGGAATAGTTTAGGATCATGATATTGCGATGAATTCAATACGATACATATTTTCTTGGCATGTCTAAAGACAGAATCAATGCTAATATTTCAAACGATTCCCTCAATTAGTTTGTTAGATATGTACCTAATATGAACTCTGTTGCTACATACATGTACTTTCCATGTGCTGACGGTGACTCAGCAGTCATGTTCGCCACAACACCTTTTGTGCTCCATCAAATTGAACCTATCTACATGTGTAGACAAGAGTAATCAAATGCTATTTCGGTAAATTGTGTAACTTGCCATGTGTTGTACATAGGATTTGTAGAACAAAAGTACATGCTGTGTATACAATATTCGAGTCCTCGACAACAAATCTGCAATTTCGCGCCACACCAGCCCTAGGAGAGCTAGATGCCTTGGCTGGTTCTTTACCAGCCAAGGTATGCGTAAGACTGTACCGTGCCCGTCCCTCCGACTCTTCCGTCTTGCCTTCAAGATCCTAATCCTGATCCTGGTTGGCCCATTCGCATTCGTTTTTAGTTCGGTAACAGCAAAATTGATACTGACACGCGATGCACGTCACCGACTTACTAGACACAGCCCTCGCCTCGGCTGGTAGATCCGGAGGCAAACCCACGCAGGGAGTACTCAGTCGTGACAGTCCTTTCCACCTTTCCTCCACCTTACCCACAAGATATGCAAGCATGCTGGCGTATTGGAGGGGATTAAGTGTCTTATTGTGATGATGCTCCCACCATAAACCCGACAAGTTGCGAACCTGCTTATATTGACAGTCCAAATACATCCCACCGAGCAGAGACTTGCTGGCTAGGTGAGAGGCTCCTATGCAAGTACCGAAGAACCTCGGTCATGGGCGGCGGCTCCAAGGACTGTATAGGAGGAGGTGGTATTGAAGGAGGTGATGTTACTGGCGACGGCGGCGACACAAAGGAGGTGGCCAGGACAGGCAAAGGGACCGGTGTGGTTTTGGGCCGCTTCGCCAGTCGGGCTCTTGTGAACACCACAGAACATGGCTCTGTCGGCAAGGCTGAAACGGTCGGTTGTCGAAAGATCGTTCGTAGGGGCGCCTTGCCGACAGAGCGTGCGTAGGACATTACCGTGCACGCCTAGATGCATGGGAGTGTGCAGAAGATTCATGAGGAAAGTCGAAATCACGTAGCTGTGCTGTGTCTGCCTAGTGGTAGAATTTCGAATGAATGGTTGGCTTGACCAGAGGGAAACAAGAGGACACGGAATAGTTCACATTCGATGTAGATGAAGTTGACTTCTCTAAAGGATTAGTCAGTGACATGTTTGACGAGCAACTCGAGTTGATGTACAACTTACCATGCAATCCAATGTTCAGTGATATATTGATCTGTGTTCTCAGCGAGAGTAATTTCCTATCGCTAATGACGTTAGCAGAGATAGGAACCAAGGAGAAAACATACTTACTGCTTCCAGGAGGTTCCAGCCAATTTCTTGTCCAGGCTGAACGAGATTCTGAACTTGGTATCCGAGTGCGAAAAGATGGGATACGGATGGAAATAATGTGTCAAGAGGGCCTCTGGTTGGGAATGAGACACTTGGAAGACGCAACAATGAGTGAAAGAGGAATCTGGGAAGATGGTTAGTCGAAGCGAAGTAGGAAGGTTCATGGGGGAAATTACCAGTGTTTAGAAAAAAACTGGTTTTCCAAAGAGCAACATGTAGCTCGAGCGACGAATGGTGAGAGTGAGTAGGGAATAGAGGGAGATGAAAACTGTTGCTTGTTTGTCGAGAATGTGATCTGAGGTTGAGCAAAAGCACAGCCATCAATCCCAAGTGACAGCACAATTGTTTTCTGCAGCGTGCTCTGTATTGCAAGCAGCGATGAATGTCCCGCCCTTGAGGGTTGTTTCTCTGAAAACGCGTCTTAATGAGCATCTGTCCAAAATACAGACACAGAGTTGTGTACCTACAAAGTGTCATCGTTCTTTGAACGGCGACTATTGGCTCGCTTTTTGTTTGAACGGTGGTTGTGCGAAGCTTTACGAAGAGAAGATGATCTTCTTGGAAGAACTTTTCAGTACAGGTCTGGGGGCCGTGTCTCTCCGCGTTACTCGCTCATCAGGAGAAATAAGACGGGCCGCTGATGCATAGAAGAATGGCAAACTGATGCCTCAAAGTCTTTGCACGGGGATGACTGCGCTTTGGAATTGCTGCTGTTGGGATCTGTTGCTTGCAACGGTATTTGTTGAGTGTTGAAGAGAGGGGGGGAAGAGACAAATGTGGGCAGCTGGCCAGAGCGTGAAGGAACTGCTTCAACTCCTGCTCCTGCACTTCATAAGAGGCAGCTGACGCGGCGTGTTACGTAGGCAGAGTTATTGCCTGGTTGTTCAGGTGGCCACTACGGCTGGCATCTGCTCAGGTTTGGTTGCCTCAGACAGTGGGAGGGCACAGCAGTTAGGGGGCCTAAGTACTAACAGTACTGGACACCAATAGATGTTCTTTGTAATACCTATTGATACTTCGTCTGAAGGCTCTTCTTTCTCAAGTTGAGAGTTCAGTTACCATTACTCCGTCACGATAATCCAATAATCCGGCCGCCCTTCCTCTCTAAGTGAAAATGCTCCTTCTCCCCACAGCTTGTTTCCCTGAGTATTATTGCCAACCTCGACAACTACCTGACCCTTTCTATCCTCGTCGATATACCACATTACGCTAGGCTGCCCTGGGGTGTAGCGGATCTCTGCCTCATCACCTGGGGCGATCTGCTGGGGAGGGTTGTGGAGATGGTCTTTATTACCAGTGAAATTGAAGGCCGAAGAGGTGGTGTTGTATAGTGTGACAGCTGTGAGAAGTCAGATCATTTTCTCTCGTGTAAAAGCCATAAAAGAATGCGAATTCAAGAACAATAATGGATCAATGGGAAATAAGCACTAATCAGACTCACACATTTTGGCTCTTGGTAACGTTCACGAACTGACAATGGTATTCTATTTCGTTGTTCAAAGGGCAGATGTTAATGGAGAGAAGATGGAGAGGATCAAGTGGTGATTTTATATTGCTCTAGCTGAGGCATTGGGGGCCAAATCTGGCATGCCAATTTTACACCCTGTTCTGACTGCCGTAGCGTACGCTGGCCTTCATCAGGGCAATTCTGCACTAAAATGGCACTGTTTTAACTAATGGCTCAGCTCCTCCAATACGGTAGCGTGTCGTACTTAGAACGGCATCGTGAGAATGCTTCGAGGTCAGAGAGAGGCTCATCTAACCAAGCATTAGGTTCACGTAGCGAACTACCCCTCGTCTACGTGGCATAATCAAGAAGCAGACTTGATTGGATTCCATGCTGATTGGACAATCCCAAATTCTACATCTGCCGGAGAGCAGCTGAATATCTGCATTGGGAACTGCCTCCGCGGGGTTTAGCTGAAGAGGGTGTTGGGGTCAAGCTTAGCATGGCATGGACATGGCAGGGGTTGTGTAGCTTCTTTTTGTATGGCCAATGAATGCCAGTGAATAAAGAGAGTGCAGATTTCAGTAGGAATCCGTCTTCAGCAGCGCCCCGCACGACACGAGCTGGGCGTTCTTGTGGACGTTGAGTGATTTGCCTGCTGAGATCTTTTCCAGATCCCTTGGGAAGATGTACAGACAAATTCTCGTCTATACAGCGGACTACTGCAGAGTACCACCGCTTCAGTCGCGAAGAGCTCGGAACAAGGAATAAGGGCATTTTTACTACTCAACGTCCCAGGCATTGACATCAACCAAACGACAAGGACTAGGCTGAACATGTGCGGGTGTCAGAGTGACAGCGGGATTAAATGCCGTCTCCACTTGGTTTCCTCCAGTTTCCTCTAGCTCTAGGCCAAGTCGAAGGGAGTGGGTGCGAACGGTGCAACGGTTCAACGGTCTGCAGTCATCAATTTGTGCCAAAAGCGTTGGACAACAATCAGACAAAGTCGGCGGCCTGTCGTTGGTCAGTGGTTCGGTACACGCATCTTCCATTTTGTCCGCAATGATCAATCTATGGAAGACAATCTAGACATGGTTGTAGTAGAGGAGAGGCGGATCCCTTCGTCGTCTTTGGTGTGCGAGGGCGAGAACTGTGAGCAGAAACACGTCAGCTTTTCTCTAGAACCAATTGCTCAAGAAGAGAGTGAATTAAGCACGTGATAAGATGTAAAGGCTGGATGAAACTGGACGACAACGGGTTTGCGCGGCCACTGATTTTTGGTTCTTGTGTTTTTGTGGGATTGGAGCAACCAAGGCTGACTGTGGGAAACGGAAGAGTGGAAGAGGGATTCCATATGCAGACGATTCTTGCAGCAAGATTGCTAGTCCTGTGGCTGCGAGGATGCAGCGTTCAAGCAACATTTGCTCCCTGGCTCGCTTTTGTAAAACCCCGGTGCCGCTTGAATCTGGTTACACAAATGTGCCACGACATTGCAATACAGAACGCTGCACCAATATTTCCCTACGCCTTTTGCCCAATGTTTCATTGCTTCCAAGTAATTGCCTCGCAACTCAGTCCCTTCTCTATGGTCTCTGCCATGATAGCGTGCTGCACTTCTCCAGGTTCCGTTACCCTACAGCTTGCCAATTGGAGTATATTATTCCATCTAAGCACAGGTGTCAATCAATATGGTAGTATATAGCTGACCTTTTGATCGCTATCTTGTTACAAATCCGAACCAATCGATATTCCGACCGTTTTTGTCGAAGGCACAAGCAGCCTGCCCATCCTTGGAGTCTCGTAGTCTCTTTGTCAGTCTTCCACAGCACAAATGTCAATATCACCTTTATTGACCCTCGGCCTAAAATAAGCAACCCCAACTAACGAGTCCCTGCGCTAATGCGTTCAGCGAATCCTTGATCTTCGCAGCTGTTCAAATCAATCTGTAATTGTACACATCACCGCCTCGTCTGTTCAAACACATCATCCGTGAACAAATGCTGTGACCAGAGCTGTCGCAAGTGACAGCGGTGGTAAATCTTACCGTATGTATAGAAATTAAAGATACCATTGTAACTACTTGGGCGCGTGGTCTAGGGGTATGATTTTCGCTTCGCATGTGAAAGGTCAGGGGTTCAATTCCCCTCGTGTCCATTGTTTTTGCACTTTTTTTTATGCACTCGTCCCGACTTCAGCACTCTTACAAGACTCGATTGTCTTTTTTCTTTTTCTTTTCTCCTTTGTCTTGACGGACCCCTTGCAAGATAACATGGAACTCGCAATGTCCATTGCTTCTAGGCTGGTTACATCGCACGCATTTCACGACTTGGTAGGAATAATCGTCTCCACCAAACACCACTCGGAAATAATGTTAGCGGCGATCCGCAGACCACCAGCTTCATTAGTTCCGAATCCTGCCCGGCTCCCCAAAACCATCCATGCAATGGGATCATTGCTGAAAATTTGTCACGGTCATTTCCTTGGAATATTCCGAGTCAGCACCCAGGACGTCTGCAAAAGACTCCCAAGGTATACTGGGATTCTTCCTTTGGTGGACTTGCAGAACTTTGTCTCTCCATAGTGCATAGGGCCTTCTGTGGTTGATTAGGCCCGTTTATATACCGTTTCAAAACAGAGAGCAAACATCCGCCAAGGCGAAGAGAATTTACTCTGTTAGCTCAGGGTGTGGGAAGCCCCATTTGGCTGAGCTCATTGGATCTCTCAAGAGGAGACAGGATATTGATCAAGACCTACACGCGCCAAAGCATCGGAGCTTAATCGGCAAGACTTCTTATAGACCGACTAACGATTGGCCGGTAAGGTTCTTCTGGGCAGAGAAAACACTCTCCGCACCGTCCATCCACGATCGTTGATGGCTAAGAGTCGGCTGATGGAAGAAGCGAAGAAGCGCGATCAACATGACCGAGGCCTACCATCGTCTTGCGATACGAGTATTTGGAAGACAAACGCTACAAGAAACTAGCTGGGCAGCCTCGCACGTTATTGTATGGCTGTATTGAGAAAATTTACACCCAAGGAAGAGGCGGAGAACAAGGACCAAGTCAATATGGTGCTGAATCAACGGCCGCAGCTTGTATTGCATCATCGGACAAATCTCTGTGGACAGACGATCAGGAGAATTAGTATGCGGTAATATTACATCTATCACATCTCAAGAGAGGCCAATGTTCAATTCCTTCCAGAATGCCAGTGGACTTGGGCATCAGGCATGGCAGCGACACCCTGCTTCTATAGGGAATGTTGGACAAGCTACGGTTGGAGCACAAAACAAAATCTGCACTGGATGCAAAGACACAAATCTCGAAGCTCCAAAATTGTGAAACAAGACATTTTCATACAGCTATTCTAATATGTACATTGAAGGCCGTGACTGACTCGATGCGCCGGCGTTGGCGCATCTGTAGGACTTTACCGTGCGGCGGGGTGGTTTGAAGCGCCGACTGGGGAAAATAGATACATACATGCGTAGCTCAATGAGAAAAATAGACAATATTTGCTCATTTGCCAATGATCCACAAATGAAGCTCAATCTGCTCGCATGGCTTGCATCATTCTCATCGTCAGAGATTGTGGCTTCTTGAATAGTGCTGGAATCCGAAGCTACTCACCTCATCTATTTCCTCGGACAATTGTCCGAGACGTAGGACTTTACCGTGCACAACTGACAAAATAAAAGTCCCCCGGGTGATTGGGGTT